AATTTTAATAAAGTAGTTATATATCTAGATAGGATCCCGCTATAAGACTAGTATAATACCTAGTTAAGGGTCCTAAAGACTATAATAGTGTACTATAATAAGGCTAAGGAACTTATTAAGTAAGTATATAAGCACGTAGAAAAGTTAGAAGTATTCCGGATCTATATATTAGAGGACGAGTTTTACTAGTCTTAAATAGAAGTTTAAGTTATAATTATTAATAATACGAAAAAGAGAAATAAATAAAGTAAAGCTTATAAGAGTATAGTAAAGAACTAGATAGACCCGGAAGTACTAGCCTAGCTAGCGACTAAGTTAGGAGAATTCGTAAGTTACTACTAATAAGTCTCTATAAAGATATCTATTAAGGAAGCTAGATTATAAGTTAACTTAGAAGTTTAAAGACAAGTCTTAAAGCTACCTTATTAAGAGATATCTAAGGTAAAGGAAGTTACTATAATAGATATAACTTATATAATAAGCGTGAAAGCGAGAGAAGAGAAGGTAAGGAAGTTATTAAGAGAAGAATAAAGAAGTATTAGAATACGAGTTAATATAAGAGGCTTTATAGAAGAAAGGGTATTTATAAAGGAATTAGAAGATATACTTATAGCTACGAGTAAGAAGAAAAGGAGCTCTAGTAATATTAATAATTTAGCCTACTTAGCGAGGGAAATTATTATAGGCGCTATAGTAGCCCTAGCTCCTTAACTATATTAGTTCTAGCGCTAAGAGGAAATAAGCGAGGCTATAAAAGAGTTTAGGTTTATATATAAGGAAAGGGCTAAGATTAATAAAGAAGAGGTTAACTTAGTTAAGAAAGAACTAGAGGAATAGGAAAAGTAAGAGGTTAATAAGGAGGGCAGAGATAAGCAGAAGTACAGCTATAAGAAGAATATAACTACTAGCTAGAAAACTATAATAAAAGGAAAGAAAGTTCTACTAATTACAGTAATAATAAAGCTCTTAAGTAAGATACTAGGATTTTAGTAAGTTTATTATAATCACTTACGATTAATAGTAAGGCGTATAAGTCTCTATATAAAGCAGCTCCCGGAAGGTTTAGCTATTAAGAGACTACGTATTATATATAATAGGAGGTTAGAAATCAGAAAGCTAAAGATAAACCCGGAGACTTATATTTAGTTTCATATAGCTAATCGCCTTCCTTACTTATTAGATAGGCTCAGATCTTATAAATTTTATAAGAAGAAGGGGCTCGAATTATTCGACTATAATTAGAAGCTAATTCTAGATAGTTAGGATCTAATAATCTTACTATAGTAGGAAGAGAATAAATAAGTTATTCGCTCCCTCTTTAAATAGTAGTTTAGTTCCCTTCTTAGAAAGTAAATCTATAACAAATTAGATATATACTAGTACTACTTATAAGAAATTAATAGGCGTAAGAATATTAGATAGCTACGGAATATATTTTTTTCAGTAACTTAGTAGCTTATATATTAAGACCTCGCTTACTATATATTATATATAGCTCTTTATCCTAATAAGAAATAGAGACTAGTTAGTTACCCTTACTATATTAAATATACTATACTAGGAGATAGAACCTTTTTCTATTATATCGATTTAAATATTAATAATATACTTATCACTAATTAAGGGGCTATTATAATTTAAGGTAGTATCTCGCTAGATTAGGAGAATAAGGATAATTACACTTTTTACTATCCGGGGATATAATATAAGCTAGGCGAGTAGTAGGCGTATATTCGCGAGTAAGGATAGGATACTAACTACTACGTTTACTAAATTATAGACTAAATATTTACTTGAGAGGATACAAAGGTCCTAGGAGTGAATTAGGTTAGAACTCCTTATAACTCTAGAGATATACGGATTATACTACTAAAGATCCTACACGAGTTAACTAGGCCTATGATAAAAGTTCATCGGATTATCTTACTATAGTTTATTATAATTTAAGATAATAAGGAAACCTTAGAAGTTATAGAAGGAGGAACTTAGAGAGATCTAGCTAACTCTTATCGAGATTTCACTATACCCCTAGCTACCTTATCAGGCCTTATAAATTAGTACAGAGCTATTCCTTTTCAGTTTACTACTATAGTTAAGCTTTCCGGGTTAGGTGCTCTATCTAATACTTTAGTTACGTAATAATAATAGAGTTCACTAGTAGTAATAGCTTAGAGAAACGTTCTATTAGGAAGGGATTAAGTAGTAGCTTATAGCTTTATTAATAGGTAAAGAGCTAAGGCACTAGTTATAGCTATAGAGGCTTTTAAGATAGTAAGGAAAGTAGAGAAGGAAGTGTTTAAAGAGAAGTCCTTTTATTACTTAAAAGAGGTATTAGAGGCTATAAGCGTTCTAATAGGAGAAGTAGAAGCTAATACTAACTAGCTAAGTAAGGAAGTAATAGAGATCGCGTTAAAAGAGAGCTTATTATTTATAGAGAAGGCCGAGGAGTACTTAGCAGCAGGTATAAGTGATATAATAGAGGTAAATAGTTAAGAGGAGTATCTATATATTTCTTTTATTTATATAATATATCAGGGGATATAGTCAGGGGGCGACTACTTAGTTAAGAGGGGACGTATATAGTAGGGTAGTATAGTTCTAAGTCGGAAGATAGTTAGCTTATTCCGTAAAGTTATATAGATAGGCGTGATAGCGCATAACGAATATATTATCTTCTCTCTCCTACTCTTACTACTTGTTTAGTTAGTAGTCCTCTACGTCCCTGCTTACTATGCACTTTAATAGCACTACCTTACTTCTTTACACTATTCAGGATTACTAAAGTCAAGGGACTAGTTAATTATTAACTAGCTCTACTAAAGATAATAAATATTCACCTAGTATTCTATATATCTCTCCTTAAACTAGCACTACTAAGAGCACCGCCTGCTCTTATCACCGAAATACAACTGATTAATCCGAACGCTAAATACGAAGTAGAGGCTATCCTCGACTATTAGAACTACTATAGTAAAATACGATATTTAATTAAGTAGAAGGGGTACTTATAGTTAGAAAATACCTAGGAACCTAAGTCTAACCTCTACTGCCCTAGGTTACTGCGAAGTTTCTATTAATAAAACCCAGGTCTTCTTAGAAGGAGTTCCTAAAGTTAGGCAGTAGTTTATTAACTAGGTAGAACTCGGAGGAGTCACTAGCAGGCGGCGGTATAAGTAGCCGAGTAGTAGAAGCTTACTTCTCCCTCTCTACTACTTCCCGCGCCTCTGCTTTCTCTACTCTTTCTTTTACCTTAGCCTTATCTAACTTATCTAAAGTTCTTAGATTACGACGAAGTATTTCCCTCCCTTACTTATAAAGCTCAGCTTAGTACTACTTAAGCTCGCGGACGCGAGCTAGGCTAGTTATAGCTACTTTAAAGGCTATATCTCTCTTAAACTTCAAGTGATCTTCCTTTATATAAAGACTTTAGAGGTTGTTAATAGAAACCTAAAGAGTATCGTATTTCACGCCGTGATAGATATACTCCTTACACCTCTAGGACTTCTTATTTAGGACTACGTAATTATAATAGTAGTAAATATAATTGGAATATAGTATACTAGGCGAGCTATAGGAGTTAATCGTTTTAGTAAGTACTATCCTTTATTTGTATTTAGTAGTTTTAGAGGATATAATAAAAGAAAAAGACGGCTATAAGTCGTCGTTAATATTTCCTTTAGTATACTTAAGCGTAGGGACTACGCTAAGTAAGAAGGAAGATAATATTACAAACACACTCGGAAAGAGTATCACGTGTATCTTAGCTCTGAGGCTTAGCGGCCTTATTACACAGAGAAGCTAAGAACTAGGAACGAAATCACGGGACTATATATCATATAATAGTATAGAGCTTTTAGAACTATAGGATCTAAGGTTCCTAGAGCCTAGGATCATAGGACCTATAGGGATCCTCGAAGAACGAAGGTTCTATATAAGACTAGTATATCTATTATTAGATAGGAGCTTTATACTTAACTTTAAATAGTATTCTAATACTTAGTAACTATCTTCCTATCTACGTGATATACCTACCTCTCGATTATTAGAGATTAACTGCAGCCTTCTGTATTTACAGCGAGTAAATACCGGACCGTTACACTTACCTAGGTTCTTGCCCTTAGGTAAAGTCAGGTACCTAGGTATTATTAGTATCATATCTCTTGTGCTAAAAAAAGAACACCTTTTAAGCCTTTTTTAAAGGATCTGTAGAAAATGAAGATATACTAACTAGAAAGTACAGAGGCAGTAGATTTAATCTATTCTTAGTAGAAATCTAACTTAAAAAGGTAACGTGATAATACGCTTTAATGATATTTGTGGAGGCCCTATTTATTAATTATTCAACTCTAGAGCGTTAAATAATAATTAAATTAATGCCAAGGATAAATTATTTAAGGAATTCAACTCCAGCCAACCCTACCGGTGAGCTGGTTTTGCTGCATGATTTCATGGACATGTAACCAGGCGTGGGACTTTTAGACGAAGATTGGCTGCTGGTTACTCAATGTAGAAGGACACAGTACGTCCATTCGTGCTTCCATGCGCGGACGCAGTACGCCAAGTTCAGATTCGCCGGAAAGTGATTCATCACCTTCCCGCCACTTTGGTAAGAGGGTGCACTGAAAATCTGCACATCAGGGCCAATGCTACCGAATGCAGAGAACAACAATGGCGACCAAGAATTTCCAAACTATGGATGAATTACTCGCATATGCTGCCTTGTTCGATTTTCGCAGGGGTCATGGATGCGAAGGGGTTGCATCAGGTAGACTCTACGACCTCGAGTTCGTATTTCCACAGAATCAATCGGTTCAACGACCCGGAAATTACACACTGAAAGGAAAATTACTCACTTCTGAAAAGTAAAACGATGTGCAACCGTAATTTATTAATCTGGCATATCTCTTCTATCTTCTAATCGTGCGTCTATCGTAATTGCAAGTCTTCTGCCAATACCAAGCCAGACCAAGATACTTACGATATGCATCTGTCCAAAGAAATCACCTCGAAAGGCCGCCTCTCCTTGCGGCTTCGGCTTGGGCTTGGAACTCGGCCTCGGCTTGTTCATCTCCTTCCAACATTATTTCATGTCCGTCTCCCTCTCTCACCCATTTGCTAGCGATGCAGTTCAGAATAGCAATTGCACCGAGCCCCCAGAAAACCGCACCTACGATACCATGTCGAAGTCCCACACCGTATAAAGCCCCTGCCACTAAAGGGCCAAATGTTCGGCCCGCACTTGATAAACTCTGGCCAATTCCGTGCATCGTTCCGAGCACAGATGGATGCGGTGATGCATTGTTGACTAAAATAGTCGTTGCGGGGAGTGCGAAGGTTCTACCAGTCACTTGCACGAAGAGGACCGCACAGAGACAGAACCAAACTAAGAAGCCATCCTTCTCAGCTGGCGGTTGCGACTTAGATGGTACGATTGATAAATATGGGACAAGCAAGTAAGCGACTGGAAAGCAGTACAAGAATATGCGCCAGCTTTTCACGGTTCCCAGTTTGGCATTGATGATTGGGTAGATGAACAATTGCATGGATATTCCAATGATGCCCAGGATGGCCATGGCGAAGCCCACGTCTCGAGGTGGCATTCCTAAGCCGCCGGTAAAAATGAAGGGCAGACGGCGGTGAAAGCCAGGTGGGTCTGGGTGGGCAGGGTCTGCTACGGGTGTGGATAGGAACACAAACCAAAGTGAGTTGAATGTTCCAAGATGAATCGCCATAAGGGTGTGTGCTACCAGTGTACAAATGACGTTGTAAGTGAATATTCTTCGGAACGGCAATTTGTGTCTCCATCTCGGGATAGCTTTCCGCCTGCTGAACGTGGTTGGGGTAGCGGGAGCCAGCTCAACATCTGTCTCAGTGCTTCTCTCCTCGCCCGAGACAGCGGTGTAAGCATGCGAGAACTCCTGGGATTGACGTCCTCGAAATAGCTCTGCAATCTTCCGGCTACATTTTATTCCGAGGTCCTCGTGATGGCGTATGGATCCGAGCGTCTAAATTATCAGTGGCTTTTCTTTGTGAGACTGGTGAGGATCATGAATACATACCTCAGCAAGCCCGAAGAACACCCCGAGGGTGGAGCAGATCAGGAGGAATGCGCTCACGATGTTTGGCAACGCGTAGGGATAGTGTATGAAAAAACCGATATGGCCAAAGGCTTTTGGATATGTTCCAGCTGGGTTTGCCAGTAACCCACCAAGTATTGGTCCAATTATCACTCCGATGTTGAAGGTCATTGGAAACAGTAAGAAAGCTCTCGATTGATACCTTTTTCGATATCAGTGATGCAGTCGGCTACATCGTGAAGTGACGAGGGCTTAATATTAGATGGCAAAAATCGACTCACTTCTTCTCTTGTACAATTTCAGAAACCATTGTCCTCATGACTCCAATGTTTCCGTTGCTGAGACCACCCAGCGTCCGAAAGAATATTGCTTGATAGAAGGTTTTCGAAAACCCAAATCCTAGGCACGAAATGGCTGAGAGCCAAAGTCAGCTTCAGAGCTCGAGTCACTTCTTACATCAACAACTCACCTGTCCCAAAAAGTCCAATCAATAATACCAACTTCCTGCCTGCTTTTTCCGAGTCCGATATTCTTCCCCACATCATTGCCGTCAAAAACTGCGCGCCCGTAAAACTACTCGTTAATAGCCCAGATTGTGTAGCAATTGTGGAGTCCGGCAATGTTTCGTCAAAGGATTTAAGTTGGTAAAACATATATGCCTGCCAACAATAAAGTATTAGCAATTGTGCCTGATTTTGTAAAGGAAATGCTATTGACCAACCTGCAAAGATGTCTGTACCAATGGTTCCGACAGTCGTGCTAGAGTAAGGATGATCAATTGCTTCCTATGAGGCAAGGACCTCCATGTAACGGCCTCCTCCTTCTCATTATGTACTACCTCTGGGGTTCTCGTCCCAACTTCTTCTGTCGCAACCTCATCCTCATCGAGGGCAGCCAGGCGGTCGGTATCGCCATTTGCTGGTCTGCAAGTTGACAAAGGCCCAAATTGGCGCTCTGGGTTTTGTACTCCTTTGTTGAAATTCATCGACTCCAGCCAAGCTCGCACGGTTGCGATTTATTAATCGAAAAGACCCTCATCGTGAAGTGGATTTTAGAGATGAAGCGTTTGAGAGTGGGATAACCTTATGGTTGACATGGGCGAATCAGAATTCGTTTCTTGGCTTTGGTGGGGTTGGTTCAGTGGCGGGGTTGCGGGACACGGATCTGACGGAATGACCGAGTTCCGCATGCGATATGAGGCCCCTGTATGTTCTAAGCCGGTCAACTCGACCAAGAAGAAAATAGCAAACGCAAAAAATGGTTCATAGAAAGCTCTGGCGTCTGAAATCGTTAGAACTTATCAATAAGAAAGGGCTGATACGCTGTGAACGAGCGCCAGCCACGCAGAGAAGTGCGGATACGGAATAAACATGGCGTGAGACAGGACGTCCTGGGAATAGAGATAAGGAGGAGATCAAAAGTGCTCATGGTTTGCTGACATTCAGACCAATATAAAACCTGTTGCAGATCAGCATGCAGGTAAGATGTGATGTATACAATGGAAAGGAAGAAGAGGAAGGAAGAAAGTGGAAGGAAGAAAGTGGAAGGAAGAAAGTGGAAGAAGGAAAAGAAGACCAGATTAAGGACTAGATTACGAGTACTAATTTCGCTAAAGGGGGGCCAAGTATTCTGGCTTCTGTCTCGTCGGTTGACCAAATGTTGTTCTCGCAACAAGCCCAGCAACCCAATAGCCATGACGGGTTTCCTTGCGCAGTCCAACACATTATTTCCCCCTGGCTATGTGGACAACTGTGAAGTTGGAAAGCATCACTCGAACTCAAAAGGCAACGTCAGAGCTTTCAAGGAGTGGAAGTCTGCAGACATTAATATTTAAAGACTAACATATAGGATTCTGTATTCCAGAGGGATCATCAGACTCTCGGTATCAAAGGAACCCACAGATTAGCAACACTCGGCAATGTCACGTGTCCCAAAGTAAACAAAGCGCACAGCAAGCGAGGCCGTAAACGAGCTAGAAGCATGCTGTTTTTGGAACCGAGGCGATAAAGTTGCGTCATTAGTGCTGATCAAATAATAGAGAAGATTTTTATGCTTCATGGGATTCAAAAAATTCGTTCCTTCATATTCAATCTCGCTAGCTACAGCAATCTCTGTAACTCAGTCCCATCATTCTCCTTACGCTTCCTGACTCATACATCCGTCTCACCCTAACAACGGACTCTTACCACGGCAAATTATTGCACTGGAACTCGAACTTTGGATCCTCAGCTTCGAATACCAGAAACTCCATACATTTATACCGTAGAATCGATCCATATGTCGTCTCTTCTGTGCCATCGCCTACAGTTATCCGCAAAATTAGCAAAGATATTCAGCAGGGATGTGTTTCTCGATCTTTGGAGGTGTTACATTGATTTACAGCGCTTTCGCAACCTGTTACACAGTCGGTGTAAGCAGCTGAGTCGGCCAGATACTTCGCAGCTGGAGTCGTTGTGAAGTCATCTCCTTTTCCTCCAGCGTCAGGTTTCCACCAAAGATCGTTCGGACAGATCTCTAAATCCCATCGCATAGAGAATAAAATCTTTGAGACGTCTCCAAGAGTTCTATCTTGGCCTCCATTGTTGACTTTGGTCCCGTCGAACGCGTAATTCTGGTAAGAAGCGCAGTTTTTAACCACGTGGTCGTCCCATAGGTAGGGATTGTCTTTGCAAAGCTTCGGGACTGACAAGAGCGCAGCTTTACGATTGAAGGGTTTTGTGAACTTAAATTGTGACGCTCTTGGTTCATCTTTGACGTCCGGCACTTTCTTCATGTTGCATATCGCTGGGGCAGGTTGATCAGGAGTCAGGGCCGGGCCGGTTGGAGCTGGATTCGCAACTGTCGATGTGACAACCTAAAAACCAGTGTTAGCCACGAGCCCGAATTGAGATTATTGTAAATATGAAATGCTACATACGTCGCAGTTTGCTCCATCTCCAAGGTTGGTACAATCGAAAGAACCCAGGCTTCCATCTGTCTGAACATATTGAATGCATGTGCATGCATTCGGCAAGACTGTACTAGCAGCAATGACTGCAGCGGATGAGAGCGACGCAAAGCGGTTCTGTAGACCATCAGCCATAGCGTCAGCTTTTGGGGTCTCAAATGGCTCGAAATAGTGGTACATGTTCGTAAGAACTGGCGGTGGAATACGAAACGGCTCTGTTTCTGTCGAAGTGGTGGCGGGAATTCCAGCTGCAATATTTACTGCTGGGATTTTAACGACATCCGGAATTGAACCTCCTGCAGATCCACCTGAATCTTTCCACAAGGCATAAGCCAGGACCCCGAGACCACCAGCAACTTTAACCTTTTTCGCAGCCGAAGTCTTCACAAAATCTTCAGCGCCAACCAATAATAAGTCAACGAGATTTCCGAGGCCATCTATAAACCCATTGGATAGTAGTTCTTCCATTGTGCTTTCTGCGGCAGCATTTTCTACCATGTAGTCGGCTACACAGGTTCCCGCCGGAGTCTGTCTTGACTTGATTCTCGCAGGACCTGGTACGCCACACACAGCTTCAATTGTTTTGAAAAGTTCTTCAAGCTTGGTCTTCGCGCTTGGCGTGATTATGAAGTTGAGGTCACCGCTCGCTCCTCCCTCAGATGGTGGTGTTGTGCTGACTGCAATTGCAGCGGTTGAGGTGATAGTCATAGCGACGCCATCATTTGTGCGAGTTATGGTTTCAACAATAACAGTATCAACTCCTATCCATTTGGTGGTAGTAGCATCTGCAGAGTAGTACTGAGTGTTTGTTCCAATACTAATGGGTGTCAGAGGTGGACCAGAATATGGAACCAATAATTAACGCAGAGTACTCACAAGTCTACAGGGTTGATGCCAATTTGCCCAGAAGCGGTTGGTTCAATTGCTTTCGCCCCTAAATCTTGTGCCATACTGTAGGAGAACAGATGTGAAGCTGTTGTTAAGGCAGCGAGGATGAAATGAGGATTTGGGGAAGCGAATATGACCATTGCGGCGAGTGAAAGGTAGATAACTGGCTTGAAACGTCTGATAATACCAGACTGCTGTGATTGATAAAATTTAACCAAAGGCGAAATAAATGGGGATATTTGAGACAGTTAGAGTCGATTGCTTGTTGTGCTCTTTGATCATCGGAAAACCTGCGACGAAGGACCTCTGGTTGCTCTTATACAGCAGCTCACATGTGTACAGTTGGGCGAGATACCTTCTTGAAACCACATATAACCAGGACTTACTCTTTACAAGTCTATTTTGTGCAAGTTATTGGGCTGACGTCTTGAATGGGTGGTATTTTTGGTGGAATTCTCTGGAGGCCTAATTCGGCAACATATCCACGGCCTGGTGGTCCAATCCACATGTCCAGGATGCGGGACCTGCATATACATCTGAAGATAAAAGTGAACCATCTAGGCTGATTTGTATTTCTACTTCTGAATCGCTTTTCAATCCGAAATAGCAATTGTTGGTAGGTATTCTAGTATCATGCAGTCATCAAGCCTCGGGCCGCGCCGCTGTAACCCCTGAATCCCCTGTTCGGCTAGAAATAACCAGCTCGCTTACTGTACCAACACGAACGTGCGGCTGTGTATTTACTACCCTCATTCCATCATCGTCTTTGTGGCCGTGGTCACGAAGGATGAAACAGCCGTTTCGAGGGTCGATCTTCTCTATGGGTACATGATCAAACCCATGAGTACTCGCGATTGGTTTGAATGTCGGATTAAGGGAAACATAGAGACCTGACTGCAGCCTTTCGTGTCGTGCTTCCTGCAAGTCAGCATCCGAAGTCTAACGACCAAGATCTTATGGTACGTTCTGCCCATTTTAGTTCAAACAAACTTGGCCCAACATTCCCAGAGTAGCGCCCTCAGGTCTGATAACAATCCTCCGCCACATGTTTCCCCATGTGGGTAGCGTCAACTTCGGCCACAAAGCTGAAATCTTCATCCACGGAATATTTTGGCGCCTGCTGGACTTTCATCATTGGCACATTATACATAGATTTTGTGACCCAGTGATTCCATTTCTCACTGGCGCTTTTTTACCAATGGTGTCCTTGATTGAGATAGGTACACTTGGTCGACCTAACAAAAGTATTTTTACACGACCCCCAAGGCTGACTGCTCTTGGAATAGCGTCAAGTAGGCCGCCCCCTTGGACTATCATGCAGTTATCAATCAATCTACTTGTCATCCTTAACTAAAAAATCTTTCATGATACCTGTTCCTTTGCTTTGAATATGTGCACTTTGGATGTATACTTGGCTAGACTGCACTTTTATGACAGCCCGAGCAGCGGCTGGCTGGTTATAAAGTCAGTTTGATACCCCAGGTTCTTCAGCAAATTACACAATCACAATTCATCAGTTTTCTCGTTCTCTCATTACCCATCAAACAGCCTATTCGGCAGGCATATTCCTTGCAAAACACCTATCCTGCATTCAAATACCATCGCGAAGGTCCACCATGTATCACGGCTACAAGATCACAGCACGTCTTGCGGTTGTACTCTTCTTATGTCAACCATTAGTTCTTGCGGGCTTTAATGATCTCTTTCATGTGAAAATAGGTACGGAGAAAAGTGGTTGTGACGATGTTGCCCAGGATGTTCCGGCAATCTTTGATGAGGCTGTCTTGATCATCAACTCCGCTGTTGAGTCTATACATGGATACCGGACGGATTTTCAGGTCCGAAAGATCGCGTTGGCCTTCTTCAACATTCAAATGAACGACGAAATGACTCTTGCAAAAGAAGGAAAAGATGCAGACATGTTGCGTGCTATCCAATGTAAGAGGCTATTCTTCGGAAGCAACCCCTACTGACCAAACTCCAGATGGGTTTGAAAGACTACAAGAAATTGCTCAGAAAATCCTGGATGAGAAGCAAAAGATTTGGATTTTCTGTGCGAGCGATTGGGTAGAATATGCCGCACCAGACGACCACTGTAAGCATATGAAACAGGAACCGAGTTTCTGAATATGAGCTCTGACAGCTATCACAGACCTCATGGAAGATGATAATGGAGTTTTTAGAGAAGTTATTTTGGCAGATGCGGATCCAATACAGGATTTCGGCCCTGTGATATTCCCAGAACAAACAAAAGAAAAGAAACCTATTGCAAGGGTGCGAGATGTGCTGGTACAGAAAGCGCTAGTGCAAGGCAAGTAGGCCAAGACTTATCTGCTATCGCCTAGTATACTAATAATCTTAGGAATCGTACGTTTTTGGTTTTCTTATGAAGGCTCTTAAATATCAGTTTGGGTCAAGAATGCTAATACAAGCCCAAACAGAGTTCAGCATACCTCAGCAGAGATATCAAGCAATATCTTCTAGATGATCCGAACCCGGACAAAGTGGTACACGCTTATGATAATGGAGCAACCGCGGCATACTCATCAGTTTTCCCTTCAGGAAAGGATCACAAGAATCGGGCCTTGACACTGTGCAGAGATGGGTTCTTCGGGAGATACAAAGACAGATTGGACATCAATCAAGCAGAAATGGGAGTCTATCTTGATTCTTTCCAACCGAAGTCATTGACCTTGATCCACGAATTATACCACTTAGGATCGCAGGGCCCACTGAGCGCTGATCTAATTGGTTGGGCTCCCCCCACCGACGTCCAGCCAAAGGACGAAGAAGGAAACGTGAATCCAGGATGGCCTGGGGATCCAGCGAACTTTGTCAAAAGCAAGATTCCAGCAGGTGAGAGATAGAAGCAATTTGGATTTGGATTTCGAAGGGAGAGAAGCTACCTGTCGTCAAAGATTCGTCCACAAATATTCTTTTACTTGCCCTTGGTAGGCTGCTCGCTGCCACGCAGTAAAAGCCAAATAAAGAAGCCTTTCTAATATAGTACAGCAAGCTCTTTTGGAAACCACAAGATCGACCTTTCAAACAATCCCCACAGTAAGCGATCTGACATGTTGTAGTTGAGGTCACTAATCTTGGCTCCAGCATACGCATTGGCAGCTCTTGCGATGTTTCTCGCTCGAAACGGCGCGAAGTTGGACTACTCCACGGGCCAGTCGAGACCTCTTGATGCTCCAATTTCGCAACCTGCTGAGCATCCGGTGCGCCTCTCGATCATCAACTCATCAATCGTGGAAAAAGGGGGTGTCAGTCTGGTAGCAAAGGAGTTTTGGGCTTAGGAAACCTTTGACTTATAATTTGTGAAATGATCATGTGAACTAGACCCATTGTCTGAATAGGAATATATATGGCAAGCTTCTTGGCAGAGAGTATAGGTTTTGGGGAGTAGGTACTTATGGGATCTCAATAGTTGATGCTAGTGAAACGTAGCCGACACTGTCGAACATGCCAGACCACTTCATGCATAGGGTTTCCCATGAGATCTGCAGCTTAAGCAAGGACGTGTGGGTAGAAAGGGAACACCAGGTCCTTAACGAGTTTGGTCAGGCCTCAGCATGACTTCGAGCGAAATTGCGGCATCATGAAATGTGTTTCTCACATCGGAGGGATAGTCCCATTCCGTATCAGCAGCTCTGGGTCTCTTATGATATTGCCATTCCATTTCCTCAAGAAGTTTGATGCGGGCGAGATTCTCAAAAAGCAGCTTCTTCTGTCGGGCAAGATGGAGAAGCCAGCTGTATGACAATGGACCGGATTGTTCAAGATGTAGAGCTCGAGATTGGCGGCCAAACCATATCTGTTGAAATTGTTTTAGCAAAATGACCTCCAAAAAAGACAAGGTCGGCAAGGCAAGAGTGGAGTGGATTGAGAAAGAGACTTTTCTCACTATCAGATTTCTCAGTGCCCTAGGAAGTCGATCGGGAAGGTCGTTTCTGTGAAAGAGTGTTTCAGGAGGGACCATGCGGAAGTTATTCCCAAACGTCAGCTTCTCGTGAATTTCCAGGTACTTGAGGGCGGTGAAGCCGGAGAAGTCCATCTGGTTCGCTTTGTAGGATGCGGAAGGCTCTCGCATGAGCAATGTCAGGTTTTCAAGAAAAGGAAGCAGCGGAGCCATGGCTCTGAGAATAGCAGAAGGATAAGATACAGGTGGCGAGTGGTCGCAAGTAACAGTCCGGACAAGAGTTCTCAGAAATGGATGGTTTTGAAGCAGCAAATCTGCATGCGGACCCATAGGCAAGCATGTTGCCAAGGGAACAATCATTTCCTTCAGCTTGGTCGGATTGTAGCTTTGGCTAGGTAAATCAGCTGACCCGAGAGGCACCTGAAAGTTACGGAAGACCAAACTCTCAAGATACGGCATAGCGAACAGTCTGATAGCCTCGCTCGAATCAGATGCAACGTTTGCAATGTTAAGGTGTTGTATCGATGTACACTCATGGCAATTATTAAGGAAAGCTTGGAATGGCAAGTCTTCATCCCATGGACCAGTAGCATACATTCTCAGACGCTGCATCGCTGAGAATTTGAAAAGCAGTTCAAACAACGCAGTTGAACGCCTAGCATCCTGCCGGTACCAGCAGGCGTGAACTTTTTTGACCCAGATGAGTCGTTCAGGATAGCGATTGAAGTGAGCAAGGATATTCTCGAGCGCATGAGGAGAAGATCCTCGCGGACCGGAGTACATTATCTGCATCGAACGATAAAGGAAGGGAAGGGTGATAAGATTTAGTCGGCGACAAGTCATGAATACGTTGAACAAGTCATGGCGATCCAGAACGTCTTCGAAGGATAGAATAGAAGCAAGAAGCTCAGATGAGAGGCTAATAAGTGACATCGCTCTGCAGTGTTCTGAGGCCACTGCGTCGAACAGACTAGGTGATTCAAGAATACGGAGAATACCAATTGTTGGAAAATAAGTAGCGGGAATGGAGGCAGAGATTTGTGATGTACCCCGCGCTTAGTCAGGGCCCTGCAATATAATGTTGGTGAAGACAGCTTATGCGAGGCCCTTTGAAACACCAGATGAAACAGAAGTAGATACGTGTTACGCGTGTTAGACAGAAATGGCGTGCTAAGTCAAGTTGGAAATACAAAAACTCGATCGACGCCACATTCAATGGTATATGGAAACCGAAACCTCCACATAATTCACAGATTCTATTGCGGAATGAATCTTGGCATCGCACTCAACTTACACCAGATCTTTGAAATGATTATCTGATCTCTTCAGGATAAACCAGTCAATAATATCATGTATCGATACATGCTTGCCCGGAGACTTACGGGGACGATCCCAAGACCAACAAGCATCTTCACACCGGACAACTGTCAACAGTTTGTATGGACACACTGTTCATGTCGTGCCAATGCCATATTCAATTGTAGCCGCCTACACTGTAGTCAACCACACTGGAATTTCCACGCAACATCCGCACATTGGGATAGAGGACTGCCTGAACCTGGTAATCAAACACCAAACGATCGGCAGTCTATTGCTCTGAGAGACAATTGCAGAACTTCGGTGACTGAAGAGAAGCTGGTAGTCTGGCAGTCAGATATCTCTAGTGTTCAATATCCGCCCGTTGAAAAGCAAGTTTCAGTTCAGGTGGAGATTCCCAATCCGTTGCTGGAGAGAAATCTGCTTCCGTTTTTCCCCGATTCAACCCTGGCCAGAAATTGCGTTCCAACAAAGTGATTCTTGCCAGGCGTGGTGAAAACAGCTGCTTGCTCTCCGCTAGGTTGAGGATCCATTTGTAATCCAGTTCTTGCGGTTTCTCTGTATACAGGACTTGTGCACCGACATCAAATATAATCTATTGGACACATTAGTTTTAATCTATCCAGTGGTCAGGGATACATACTGTTAGAGACTGCAATGAATAAGGAAGTCGTTGCGGGAGGTCTTCTCGCCGATGTAGTCGCTGTGGAATGGCCCAACTGCTCGCTAACATAAATTGTTCCTGTATTTCTAGACTTTCTATAGCTTTGAAATCAGAAAAATCCAATTGATCTGCGTTGCGAAAACGCCAAGAGTCCAGAAGTGATAGGTGCAGATGGCGAAGAATGGCCTTCAATGGAGACAGCACACGAGAAATATCACTTGGCTTAAAATGGATGGTATAATGCTGGGTTTCAAGTGTCCACACCAGAGATTCCAATAATGTCATTCCTCGGAACAAGATCTCTACCTGGGGTCCCATGGGAAGCGACGTAGTCCGCAAGACCTCGAGTTTTCTCAGCCTAGTCGCCGGAATCATCTGGTAAGCAGTGGAGTGAGGTCCTTTCGGTAATGTAAACTTCCTCAGCTTCAAACCCTCTATATTCAGGGCAGCACAGAACTAAAGAACATCTTGTATAGTCACGAGCGGGTTGGCAAGTTCTATGTCTCGTAGGAACTGGAAACGTTTGCAGATACCAGCGAAATGCAAAAAGGAGGTATCCTCGTCCCATCCACCAAAAGCAGTAATAAACAAGCCATATACACTCGGAAACGAAGACAGAAGGCCAAACATCCTGGCTGACTGTACCCAGTCCTGTTGGGGACACGATGCTCGAGCGACGTGGACCCATGACAAGCGGTCAGGATGTCGTCGGAAATGCTCGATAACACGATCTAAGTGTCGTGTGTCCGTCTCTCTGGCATAGGGTGTCCGCACCCGAATGGTGTAGTACAAACCAGGAAGTGCAATGGCATTCAAAGGCTTGCAAGTAAGAAGAATGTGATGGAAATCGCTTCTTTGTAGCACCCTGTCTGCGGACAGAATATTGAGTAGAAGCTCCGTGGACAGGTCGAGGAGTGACATTTTGTTTCTGACAACGTTCTTGCTCAGAGGGTGATGTGATACCAATATTTGGCTAGGAAGAAGAAAAGAGAGGACATGGGGGAAAGACAAGACGGGGAAATAGGGGAGAGGCGTAGTCTCAACCAACAACATTTGCCTAGTCAGGCAACTGAAAACACTCTGAGCGACAGCTTGGCAAGCGAACCTAGGGAATCGATCTGGGATGATCAAACGAATATGCAGACATAGCACTGAAGGAGATGCGCATAGATGAGCACTAACCTACCATGCAATGTCATATAATAATGCGCGCCCATGATGGTAACTTCTTAGTTTCATTACCACTTCTTCGGAGCACCTACCACAGTTCTAGAAAATATTGCGCTAGCAAGAGGTTCCTCCGCCTTGCTCCTCTGCTTGGCCTTGATACCTATCCTATCCGTGACAGGTGTAGCATCAATAATGTTGTCGAACTCATCATCATCCCCATTATCCGAATCAGGCTCAACCTCCGAATCATCCTTGAGCGGCACAGGTCGAGCTATCTTCTCTGGCTGCTTCTTCCCTGTGTCTGTTGGATTTGAGAATGGTTTGGCAGCCAATACTCTTCTTCTCAACTCGGCCATTTCTTCTTCGTCGTCCTCGTTATCAGATATGTCGAATGGGTCTTTTTCTACCTCCGGTTGCGTCAAGTCGACTTTTTCGGGCTTCTTTCCCAGGAATATACCATCGATCTCCTCGTCGTTATCTTCGCCACCTTCCTCATTGTCCTCGTCCTCGTCCTCATCGTCATCTGAACTAACTGGCGCACGGTGATTCGAGTTTCCACCTTTCCACATATCTGTCTCCGCCCCATCTTCTCCATTGCCTCGGCTGTCTGCATATTCCTTCTCCAGCCTAGCCATCCAGACCTCTTCCGCCTTCTTGATTTCTGCCTCATCCTTACACGCCGCGTATCTCTTCAGGATCGACGAATTGATTTCCAAGAACGCTTCTCCATATGAGAATGGAGCAAGTATCTGTTCTGCCCAATCTGGGTGCCCGCAGATAAAGAATGCCGCTGCCAGAGCCTCCACGCAATTCAGTCTCCAAGGCTTGCCATAATTGACACTATTCGCAGCCACCAGGTACGGTAATAATCTCTCGCATTTTCCACCAATCTTTGGCCAGGGCACCTCCTTTATCCTAGCCCACGAGCATTCCACCACAGCGGCTCCATATTGTTCCATGAGCTCCCGGTCGGCGGGGGAGACTGTTTGCTTCGCATTTGGACTGATGATGACTCCAGAGTGTTTTTGTCCAACATGAAGCTCGCGCATAAGTCCCTGCCTCATCAATTTCTTCCCTGAACATCGCTTTGGATCGCAGTGTCCGAGATCCCAACATGCTGCTTTGAAGGAGGGGCGAGATGCGGGGTGTTCTGAGTCGTCATCGTCGTGTCGTGGACCTGATCTTCTAGGCGCATTGCTGTATTTCTTGCCTCCTCTTGACGAGAATCCATCTTTCTTGTGTCGAACCATTGCGGCGTTTTTGTACTGTATTTTTTGTGTTGCGGAGGTGGAGGAGAGGTGGTTTTAGAAATATATTCTTCCCCTCCAAACTTTATCGAGGCGTGGCAAGGTTCTGGCTGTTGCCTCGCTTGGACCTGCCCCGTCAGCCAAGGCTTCACTTTTGAGACGAGAGCGACCACCTGGGCAGCAGTCCAGCTGTCGCGTTCCCCCACCATCTTCTGCGCCTCACATTCGCAACAGCTCATCGCTCTTACATCAGCTCTACTTCTCCCCTCAAATTACCTTACGGTGGTGATAGCTATTTACAAACCTCCAGATGGAGGCAGCGTCCGCGAGGATGGCGGCCAGAGACCGCTTCAGTGTTATGGGGGATCCAGGACCCTCGAACCTCCAACGGTATATCCAACAAGCCTGCAGTCCCGAGAACTTCGAGCCAAACCTCGCCGTCAATCTCGAAGTAGCTGATCTGATCAACTCAAAGAAGGGCAATGCGCCAAGAGAAGCTGCGGTGGCCATTGTCAACTACATCAACCACCGCAACCCGAATGTGTCCCTGCTAGCTCTCAACTTGTTGGATATATGCGTCAAGAATTGCGGATACCCTTTTCATCTTCAGATCAGTACGAAGGAGTTCCTCAATGAGCTTGTGCGGAGGTTTCCCGAGAGGCCGCCGATTAGAGCGACAAGGGTGCAGATGAAGATACTGGAAGCTATTGAGGAATGGCGGGGTACAATATGTCAGACTTCACGGTACAAGGAAGACTTGGGATTTATTCGGGATATGCACAGGCTGCTTAGTTACAAGGGATATGTATTCCCTGAGGTCAGAAGAGAAGACGCTGCGGTGTTAAACCCAAGTGATGTGAGTGCCTGGAGATAGTGGTAGATGTGGCATTTACTAACCTTGTAGAACCTCAAATCTGCCGAGGAGATGGAAGAGGAAGAGAAAGCTGCCCAATCAGCCAAACTGCAAGAATTGATTCGGCGAGGTGGACCAGAAGATTTACAGGAAGCTAATCGTTTAATGAAAATCATGGCGGGGTACGATACTCGACAGAAAACCGATTACCGGGCGAAGGCAGCAGAGGAAGTCGGCAAGGTCCAGCAGAAGGCACGTTTACTAGAAGAACGCCTCGAGTCTTTCAAGGCGGGCGATGTCATGACTGAGGGCGATGTCTACGAGGAGCTGGCTTCTGCACTTCAGAGCGCTCACCCGAAGATCCAGAGGATGTGCGAGGAGGAGTCTGATGATCATGAAGCTGTGGCCAAATTGCTGGAGATAAATGATAGCATACACCGAACTGTGGAGAGATACAAGCTCATGAAGAAGGGCGATGTGGAAGCTGCTGCCAAGATCGCAAAGGGGACGTTGGGAACTACCACAGGTGTCAGCAAGAATGCTGACAACGAGCTTTCTTTGATTGATTTCGGCGGAGATGTAGAGACCAACGGAAGCAGCTCCGAAGCTGCGGCTCCAGTTGGGCAACCCGGAGGACTCGAGGATGATTTATTAGGCCTGTCCATGGGAGAGAGTAGTTTTGGACAAGGTGGTGGTATTTCTCTTGGATTTGGAAACAACACGAGTAAGTCATTCACGCCGCTTACTATGAATATTACTGATGTCCAAAGATCTTCCAGGTCCAGCATTAATATCCTCAACAGTGGACCATAACACAGCAAAAGGACCAACTCCAACGCGGTCCCCAGCACCTCCGCAACCACCCGTCAAGCCAGACTATTCTTCATTTTCTGCGTTCGGGTCTTCAAGTGCGAGCTCGAAACCAACCACTCCACAGCCTTCACTATTTCAACAACAACAAGCTCTACAGCAACAACAGTTCCTACAGGCCCAGACATCAAAACCCCAGCCACCAGTTGATCCATTCGCAGCACTGGCATCACCTCGGCAAGCGACACCACAGCAAGCATCACCATCCATGTTCGACTTCGGAAACCACCAAGCTGCCGCACCAGCCCCAGCAGCCGCAGATGATGACGAATGGGCATTCTCATCGGCATTACCAGAAGGTCTCCCCTCATCAAATACCCTTCAGGTCAGCGAAACAGCTCTTAGCATTTCGCTATATGCGGCTCGGGAACCACAGACACCATCAGTTATCACAATGTCCATAACATTCTCAAGTAAAAGCGACCAACCGATATCCGAACTGACTTTCATGGCAGCAGTAACAAAGGTACGCCCACTTCCTGATCCTCTATCCTTTTCACCCATACCTTCAAATCAGCACAAAACTAACTCCTTATAGGGCTACTCCCTCAAGCTACAACCCCAAACAGGCCGCAGATTACAACCTCACGAACAAGGCGGGGTCAAACAAGTCATCCATTTGAATGGTGTTGAGCAAGGGAAAGGCGACTCGGTGAAGTTACGATGGAAGGCGTCCTATAAGGTTGGAGCGCAGCCAGTGAATGAACAGGGCGAGATTGCGTCGCTTGGTATTTCATGAATTGATAGACTACGTATGAGCAAAGAAAGCGAGATGAGATGAGATGAGATGAGAAGAAATGAGAAATGAGCGATGCGGAAATACTACAAGTGAGAATTGAGAAGTCTGTGTCTGAAAGTGATCTTGAATAGTCGCATCCACCCCGGGAGAATGTCTCCTTACCAAGGTAGGTAGGTAGGGACTGATGTTCGCAGAATGTCTAATGACATGGCACGTGAGGATTCTTCTTTGCTTCCTTCGAAGTTCCATTTTTGCATTAGCTTCTTTCCATTTCCATTCGCGCAACTGTTGAAGGCCATCAAGAATTCGACCTCCTTCTGTGGGTAAGAAAGTTTTCAACCCTCAAAATTTTCAACGTTCTTTCTCAACGTGCGGATGCAGTGCTGCTGATAGAGGGGTCCATTGATCGACCTAGCCGCAAGCAGAAAATGTCCACCCTGATGTCATCCTCCTGCATCGACCCCTCTTCCAAGCACACGTGCACGTTTAACGACACTCCAAGCAACACCACGCCAGGTCCACGTCCACGTCCATCTCAAGCACCTTGTTGTCTTCTACAAAAGGACAACAGTATCCAATCGACCCAATTGACAGTCACAATAATCAATTAGAGTTCCATCACCAAAACGGTATATGATCAAAACCACCCAGCGCCTCGAGAACCCGAAGGTGGGTCCAGACAAGTAAGGTATGCTTATGCCCCTTGGCCGGATCATCAGCCATGCTCTGCCGTATCGTATCAAAGATCAGTGCCTAGAGCTACCCTATGCAACGCACTTAGTAAGTAGTCGGCCGTTACTTAATCTCATCCTGGACTTCCCAAAGGCTGTACAGTACAGTATTGGACCACTCGGGAGCTTAAACACGCACGCACTATCCGGCAGGCAAGGGAAAGCTCCTGCTGCTGCTGCTGCTACTGGTACCGGTACTGGCGGCTTCAACGTCATGCCACAGAAAGGAGGTCGAGAGGCAAGAATGGATACCCCTCCACTACTACTACTGCTACCCCACCATGAGCTCATGCTCTGAAAAGACTAGTTACAGTAGGTGCGCTACATAAAGATAAGTACAGCTGGTCCCCCTCTTTCCTTTTCTTTTGAAATCATACCACTTCACCATCTTCACACCTCAACCAAAGGGTCAAGGTCAATTGCTATTTAACTACACCAAACACAACACACACATCATATACATCTTCCAACATGCCTATCGGAATACCAAAGACGGACTCCCTTGCGGAGATGTTCTCGCTCAAAGGCAAGGTCGTTGTCGTCACCGGTGCTTCCGGACCCAGAGGAATGGGTATTGAAGCTGCTCGTGGTTGCGCCGAGATGGGAGCAGACTTGGCTATCACATAGTATGTATCTCAATCAAGTTTGTTCTGCCCAAGACTTTCCCAAGACCTCTCTACATCCACCGATCCACACACTGGTACCATTACCATCACCGTCATCGCCTCTTTCACCATTCCCTCCTTGTCCCTCTTCCCTTCAACCAGCCAATTGACCTCCAATCACCAACCAATGAACACAAGCTAACCCTCCCCCCAGCGCCTCCCGCCCCGAAGGCGGCGAAAAGAACGCCAAAGAGCTCGCCGAGAAATACGGCGTCAAAGTCAAAGCCTACAAATGCGACGTCGGCAACTGGGAATCCGTATCAGGCCTCGTGTCAGACGTAATCAAAGAATTCGGCAAGATCGACGCCTTCATCGCCAACGCCGGCCGCACCGCCGACAGCGGCATCCTCGACGGCACCGTCGAGGCCTGGAACGAAGTCATCCAGACCGACCTGAACGGCACCTTCCACTGCGCCAAAGCCGTCGGCGCACACTTCAAGGAGCGCGGGACCGGCTCCTTCGTCATCACTGCGAGCATGTCCGGCCACATCGCGAACTTCCCCCAGGAACAGACGAGCTACAATGTTGCGAAGGCCGGGTGTATTCATATGGCGAGGAGTCTGGCGAATGAGTGGCGTGGGTTTGCCAGGGTGAATAGTATTAGTCCGGGGTATATTGATACGGGGTTGAGTGATTTTGTGGATAAGAAGGTGCAGGATTTGTGGATGAGTATGATTCCTATGGGACGGAATGGCGATGCGAAGGAGTTGAAGGGGGCGTATGTTTATCTTTGCTCGGATGCTAGTACGTATACTACTGGAGCGGATCTTGTTATTGATGGTGGTTACACTGCTAGGTAGAGGATGTGTTTCTATCTGGCTGGTCCGGTAACTGGATATGTAGGTAGATATCCGCAATTAAAAGAAAACATTTGAACATCAAGAGCTTCATGCATACCGTTCTGTGATTTGATATCCATAAGTATCATCTCCACTCATAAATCACCAACACCGAACCATAACGGCTTGCTGAGTACACGCGATGCTTGTCCATTCTGAATGGCTCGAGAGTATTGGGGTCAGATCCCAAATGTGCGGTAGAAATATCATTTCCTGATGTCTTGAGGAGAGAGATTCGCAGACACATGACGACTGATCATGGTCCTCAATATGATTCCAGGCCGCAAATGCCTCAAAACAACGTGATTTGAGGCATACTTTGGGATAGGTAGTTGTTATGAGACAGATGGCTGTGAATCCTTCCCACGTAAGGACTTGTTCGAATCCGTGCTTCCTGCTTCTAGGTTCACACCAGTTCCAATACTCTTCGTCTCTGAAGATCAAAAGTTGGTTTCTCTCCCCCGATGCTCCCAATGCCGATTCTTTTATAGACATTCTGGGGTCTTTGAACAGGACTCAAGATCAAAAACGCTTCCTTGATTTGACTGCCTGTTTTGTACGCCCTGGATCTGAGAAGAAGACACAAACACTGTGCGGGAAAAACACTATCTCTCGCTTCAAATGAATCAAACTGAGCTGCACACCTCCAAGGTATCTTATCTTTCTCAAAGTCAAGCTCCTCATCATTGACATGCAAATAGGGTGGTGTGAAACTCAAAGATTCGGGCGACGTGTTGAACGTCAACTCGACGACAGGGCCCTCTACAACAACCCGACTTGACTTCACATCAGACACAAGCGGCTCGGACACCCATTGAATGTCCCACTCGACAAGAGCTGAATGATCCATCACGATCTGATGCTTCTCCTTCTCACTATCATCGTCCGCCACACCCCAGAAATCGAACTTGATCATAGTCTGGCACGACAGCCACGACCACGACGGCATATTCGGCAGGTCGCTGTCGTCACGCGGCGTCTCTGTACCCAGAGCTCCCCTCCTCATCCAGAGCAAGTCCTGGGTAAAAGAGCGCTCCCAGAGCCCAAGCATGGGTTTATCGTTGCTGGCGGACTGGTAGTGCCGCACCAAGCCAGCCATGGCGGGAAGGCGATCTCTGGGGAACGAGAACTGACGCTCCGAGTAACTAGTCATCCAGGTCCACCAGTGCCTGTGCATCGATCTTGTGCCGCGATCCAATAATGCGCCCGACAAGGTGTACCTCATCCCAGGAGCAGAGTAATCAAATACCAATCCCATCTCGAATCTCGAGTGGGTTTTGCATTGCCAGAATAGACCGGAAGTCATGCAGTGCAGGATGCGGTGTGAGAGCACCATTTCTTGAAGAACCCAGCCTCTTGTGTTCAGGATGGAGTCTTCGGTCACTTTCCTGAGATCTCCGATGTAGACATGCACCAGATATCCTTGACCGGAGACAGAGTCTCTCATAGCAATCATCTGAGCACTATCTTGAGCGTGGAGCGACGGGCTAGTATCGGTCTCTGGAAAACATCCAGTTGAGCCATCGGGCGCATCGGTAGCAGCGATTGTGAGCTCGCTACCAGCATAAATGTCTTGCATTCTTGAAGCTTCTTCTTGCCATTCGTTGCTATCATCCTGGACAATACACAGGGCATCGATCCAGAGGTATTTGATGCCTAGGGATCGGGCAAATACAATGGCGTCTTGGTACGTTCGAGGGAGTTTCTCGAAAGGTATTTCATGATGATAGAGGTCCACGGATGACCTGACGGTCTTGAAAGTGGACTCCCCCCAGCAGTAGCTGAGAGTGGCGTATGTCGCTGATCCAGTCGCCAAATCTACTGATGCTACGAGTTTAGGTGGTGCTCCAGCTCGGCCAACATCAATCAGCCGTTTGGGCATTTGTTCGATTTTGGTATTGCAATAGGGATGAGTAGCTTTGCATTCTCGCAGCCAAGTCCCTACTGTCGCCAGCCTTTCATGGAGGGGCGTGCTTGAAGCTTGCAATTTTAATTGTTGCGCATGTACTGCTGCGAACTAAGTCAAATTGATCTCTCATGAAGCCCCCCTGGAAAAAACTCACATCTAGACAGGCAAGTGGTGATCGATATCTTGTTCGTGTAGATCAGAGCGTGGGCTCGTACTTCGAATCCGATGGACAGCAAGCCCCACACCAGCCCCTCGTCTGAACCTTGGATATCCAATACCTTCAACTCCAAGAATATGTCTTCGTAGGCTCCTTTGTTGATGTTGGGAATGCGCTTCTGGACAACTTCGAGGGTCCACTGCGCTTGGAGTATGGCACAAAAGGCGCAGCTTTTGCTTGATACTTCCAGCAGGGCTAGGTTGGCTTGGTGCTTGATCTCAAACGGTGTTGACAAGTTCCGCAGTGGAATTAGCTTGGCACAGTACGTGCACAAGTCCTTTATCTCAACATCCATAGTAAGAACTTGTTTTTGAGGGAGATGGTTTGAATATCGGAGCTCTGTGTATGAGAAGATATATCCTAGGCAGCTGCATGATGAAGAAAAATAATTCAGCTTCTTGAACATGCTGACTAATTCAGCCACACAAGCGAGCACTAAAAGCATTTGTTTACTTCATTCAAAAAATCGCTTGTCTAATCTGTTTCAATACTAGTTACAAATCCCCATTTGCTCTCGTACTCCTCGATGAGTTCCTTGCAATTCTCAAGATCTTTCGTTGTCATCCACTCGTCCCACTCGGGAGAGTATCCCTTCCACCGAGCCCTATACAACGGCTTTCCAGACTTCGTTGGTCTTTTTCCTACAATGCTTTCAACCTCCCATTGTTCTTCGTCGTCTACATAGACTGGATCAGCGTGTAAGGAGAAGACGCCTTTCTTAACTCGCTTGGGTGGTTTTAGTGGTGGGGTGCTTAGAGGTGTTGCGCCATGTTTCCTCTTCTTGTGCGAGGAGGGAGAGTCAGTTTCTTCAACCTTTGGCGACGGCATCAACCTTGCAGAATTAGTTTTGACTGGCTTCTTATTTCGCACGACGTCTGTCGATTTGGAGCCTGAAGTGTCCCGGGGTCGAGGTGCGATTTTCTGAGAGTTCTCTTGCGCACTCAGCTTTGCGTTTGCTTCTCCCAGCAACTGACCTATTGATCGCGTTAAAAATTATCAAAACTGTCCCTTGGCAGGACTTACTTTGTTGGAAATTAAAGGCAAAAAGCTTAAGACCGGCCTCTTTCAACATGTCTATTGCAGCATTGAACTCATTTAGGGCTGGCGCAAGAACTTTTGCGGCTCCTGTATGCGCCTCCCCCCGCTCCCCATTCAGTACGGCTTCGTCTCCAGATTCCATCTCACCATTTACTTCTGTTGATTTCTGCACATCAAAATCACTGTCATCCTCTTCCTCTTCATACTCATTTTCAGAACCCGAAGTTTCGTGAACTCTCTGGTTTCGTTTCCTGAATTGATTCTTGCCCCTGAGTCTTCCAGTCACTGATCTTCGGACAGGCTTTGGGCACCCGCTGTTCCCGTAATCACAAGGATCCAAATACCGCATGTCCTTCTCCAGCTCCTCATATTCAATATTTGGCTTTGCTAAAGCCCTGAGAGTCTTCACAGCCTCCGAGCGATCGGGTTTCCTTCGTTCCCCAGTCTCAGGGTCCGTGAACTCAAACAATCGGACATAGTGATCTGGGTCTCCATTTCTGGTAATCCCCAGACCGAATTCTACTCTTGCCTCCTTAGCTTCGCCCTTCTTCACTGTCTCCACATTAGCCACGATCATCTGACTTCTGCCGTCTTTGGGTATTGGTACGTGATTCGGCAAGCTTTTCAATCGCCCAAGAATTTCTGGTTCATTTACGATATATGTCCGCATCATCCATTCATAGTGATGAGCCTTATCCTCGAATAACATCCCTTCTACGGTTTCATCAAACAGCTCGATTCTAATTTCGGAGAAAGACAGCTTCATAAGTCGGATTGCAGGGTATAGAACGAAATTCAATCTGCTGTGTTCGAAGTCTGAAGGAAGAACGGGGATAAGTCTCGGGTCGCTTGGTGGAACGCGGAGTGGTGAAGACTTGGGGACGTTGTAGAAACCACCGCCTGTTGAACAGTGGTAGAAGCGGGCGGAGAAGATAATGATCTCGAATGGTAGGAGGGGTACAGTCGCATGAAGACATCGGATATTGAACCGACCTGTAAAATAATCTTCTGACTTTGAGAGTCAACTTCCAATTCCAACACTTCTCGTACTTTCATGATATCTACGGCTGTCTCTTGACAAGGAGTTAGGTCATGGAAACGAAAACTCCAGACTTACATGGTGTGACATTGAGACAAGAACCCCAGGCAGCGTAGGATCATTCATCCTATCCCTATGCACTCCACCAGACACCTTCAAACTATCCTCCAAACTCGCATTCTCCTCCGAATAATTCAACTGCACACTCGTAAACTGCCGATTCTTCTTCGCCCCAAACGTCAATGACGCATTCTCATACCGTCTCTCAGCTCTACCCCTCGTCTCGATATCCGGAAACGCCAATTGAGTGACCTCAGCAATGAGCGACGTAAGTTCAAGCAAGTACTTCTTAACACCAGGCAGCTCATCCGCATGGTTCAACAGCTTCCCCAATTGAATCGTGTTCGTGCCATAATGCTTATTAGTCGTCGTCGACAGCGTATACGCTGTTCCTCTCTTCTTCCAAGAACCAGAGTTATATCTCTTGCACAAATACATCAATTTCTCTCTAAACTCTTTCTCTAACGAAAACTCTCGCAGCGCAGCAAGCCGGTCTAGAAATCCGTGCTTCTTCAGCCACTTTGCAGAGAGTCTGATTATACCTGGGTGACGACCGGATGGGACTTTGAAATAGTACATTTTGTCTGGTTGGAGCTCTATGAGTCCGTTATCTTTCATCTCGGCGTCTGTGAGGAGTCTGTGTTCGTGGAGAATGGGCTCGACGTCTTCGGCTAGGCGTTTGCGATCGGCTGCTCTGACCGCTTCGTTGAGGACAAATGTGCAGACGCCATCTTCCCAGACGGGTTCGAATATACGTGTAACTTCTTTCTTGATTTTAGGTTCGCTTTGGGGAGGATTTTCTGCTTCAAATGATGTTTGGATTTGTGGAAACGCTTCAGGCGCTTGTGAACTGCCACACGAAGGGAGAACAACGAGTGGTACCATGACGGTTGATTCCAGATGTTAATTTAAATTTATTGCTTAGAGAGTCAATACTATCCATCTATAACTGATCAAAAATTTTCCAATGTCAAGGAACGTATTGTACCAATAAAGGGATGCCGCTTTCATAAGAAGCTCCTTTGTTGTTTTGCTCTGTGCAATCACGTGGTCAGATTGAAAGACATACAACAGTGCCCTTTGAGCTCAGCAATAGATACAACTCTATTGTTTGGAGGAATGCCTCTATATGGCCACATATTCCGTGTTTGACGATGAGGAGAGAGTAAAAGATTCAAACTTCCAATTGCTTTCTCTTGCCCCACTCCACGGCTTCCTAAACGGCCCTCTCAGGCCTCATAACCCCGCCCAAGTTCTTCAACTCTACCCTATGATATCTCAATCCTGATAATCTCATCTTCGCCACCTCCTCTGCTTCTTCTTCCTCCCTTTGCCTCTTCGCATTTGCAGCCTTCTTTCTGGCTCTCAAGCAGATTGCCACCGTTGACACAAGCATCGCAATGGCCAGAAGAATTATCGCTACGAAACCGAAGATCACCAAAGAACTGATATTACTTTCAATACTTTGGACTTCCAGTGAGTTGGTTGTGTTGTTGAGATTGGTACCGTTAATTTGATTCTTTTCGGTGCGTGGGAAGATAGCGGTGGTGGATATCTCGCTTGTGGTGTTTACTACGATGGGGGATGACATGACGCGCTTGAAGCCGTGCAGCTCGATAGACGGTATGCGAATAGGGGGCTCAGTATTAAGTATTGGCTTCGTAGTGGTTGGTGGCATTTTTTCAAGCATGCGCTTGGTGATTTTACTGAAGGCTGTCATGTTGGAAGCCATTTGTATACTTCGCCGTGCTGCGACAAAAGCAGCTTTCTGGTTCGGTGACTCGAAGATTGTGCTTACTTTCTCTCTCTGGGCGTGAATGAAGGGAGGTAGTACAATGGATGTGATGATTCGGATGAGTCTGATGAAGTGTTGGCGCGCACGAGAACCTGTTCAGCAATTGACATGAGACCAGAAAGGTGAGCAGAAAACCCTTGAATATGGAGAGGTTGGATTAACATCTCAACTGGTGATTCAAAATCCGACTGATTTTGTTTAGTGCGTTGATAATGAACACTGAAGGGGTAGCGCCTGCCGCTAACAAGCACAACTCTGGTACCGAAGCGTACCAAATGTTGGCTGACTTATGACGTACTGCACCAGCAGCAAAGATTCACATCTGAGGCTTCAATTTTTGCTGCTTAAAGCATGTCTTTATCGATCATCGAAAGACCTTTCGCAGGTGAATCAGCTCGCCGTTTCGTCAATAACACTGGATTCTCCATCTGAACAGATCGTATTGTGTGCTGGATCATGTAAAACCGACTCGTCATCAAAACAGCTCGGACAATACGGTATATGGACTGATCCATCACAGTTATCGTCTCCAGCACAATCGCCCAATTTTAACACATGTGCATGCGAACACCACGGACATGAGGCGCCATCGTCTGAATCTCGTCCGATTCCATCGTTCTGGTCCTCGTTGGCCCAGTCTATACTATCGCTTTCGATAGTACTCCCTCGCTCAAAAGATCCGGTATCAACATCGTCAAGCTCGTCGTGTCCTCTCACACTCACGTTGCGCTGCTTCATAATTTGCTTGGCAGTCTCGACCAGGCAGAGCTTCTCCTCTCTGTCCACTTCCCTACTAATTTCAATCTCCTCCCTCAGTGCTTCGATTTGCATGTCAACGTCTTTCCGTGTCCGTAGAGTTTCTTGAACCTCTGATTCCAGCTGTTGTATCCTCTCGTTCAGCCTTAGTATCACCTGAACTAGGATGGTGATGCAGATGACAAATATTGTGAACACGCAAATGGACTGCTTCCATTGGAGGCCTAGTAGTACTCGTAAAGTTTGAAAAATGAAAGATATTCCTTCATTATTCGACTGGATAAGAGCTTGGTCGTTGTTGTCGATCGCCATAACGGCAGGAATGTATGGTTGAAGGGGCCACAGAGAACGACTTCGACGTCCTTCCAGAAGCGTCAATGTGTTGCAGGTAATGAAAAACATACTTATGAATGGACAATTCGTAAAGAGTGATTTGGATGGGATTTTAGGATATCTAGCAGTGAAAGCGGGGTGCCTGAAGCATTTATTGTGTGACTTGATGCGGAGGAGAGAAAGGGGCATTCCGTACACTTGCCCAGAACCAGCACCAATTCATCCAATCTTTCCCCAAATCCAGTTCATAAGGAGTATACATCATATTATTGGACGGGAGTCAAGCATGCGGCCGCAAACACGTTTGAGTGTTGAACTAACGATGTGACACTGAAAGGAGGCCATTAAGATAGCTTGAGCCTAGGGAGAACAAGCGCCGGAAATCTTTTGAGGGATGGTGTGCATCATCTGTCAGCGGTACCTGAGTTACCAACTGCATGACGCAACATGACACACATCCATATGCAGTTCTGACAGCCCCATGGCGATCTAGTGTCTGCGAACTAAGTACATCGCTTGGGGCTTAATGTTGTGAGATGAACTCCTTGTTAATGGTTATGTGCAGATAGACCTCACGTTGTATTGCAGAACGGGACTGCACAATAACGCTCTGAAGACCAGATCTCGCTTTATCCACCGGCAGACAGGTATTTCGAAATTTCAATAGTCCTGAGTAGTGCAGGTTCAGGGCATCGCATTCAATTTCCCACTTTGGTGCGTCCAGCGGGAGGGGAAATATCCTCGGCAATAGAAGTACGCAGAAGACCACTCGCAATTAAGTGCTAGTCAAGGGAGGCTTCTATATCTCAAACTCATATAACTCAATTGAGAATCTTCACCATATGTTACTGCTATATGAGTTGTAGGTTATATTATAATATCAATCATTAACAACCTGTAGTGCATTTGAAATCAGGGTTTTGTTAGGCTCAGAATTGTTCTTGGCAAAATCTCCTTCACTAATTAATACCTAAACGGAAGAACATCCGGATCGGTGGCTGATGGGGAACAAGGACAGCCCTCCAAGAACCAGACTTGTGATGCAGGTACAACCCTACAAACTCAAAAATTACTACAGGATCCCCATACACATGGCTTTCACGAACTTGGATATAAGGCCTCAAGTTCGCAACGAGTACTGAAATATGATTAGTGTAAGGCCCTCGCTACTGACGTTGACGCCTGTGATTCCGTAGAAGAAGACTTCGTCAAATTTTGACTGCAACATGAAAGTTATTCGGAAGCCTTTCGACAAGGCAAACAATAAAGTTTGTGAAGTACTAACTCCTCAGATAGACCGAATTCTCACAGTGTTCAGTGGCTAGCTTACTTGTATTTGTTGCGCTTAGAGTACAGATGAAGAAATAATGAAGTCAATTCTGTGATTGATCATGATAGGACTAGCGGAGGTCATTCTGGCAGACTCCCATGATCAAAACTGGAAATAACCATAATGAACAATTTCATTTTCTCAAATTGATACATCCAGAGCCTAAATATGACAATAAAAAGCACGATATAAGGCAAAATCAAACCCAATTTCATCAACGTTCCAACGACTCAAGCAAACCCAAGAATATCAGGCCCAGCACTTATCCAACTCCGCCGCCAGCCCCGCAAAAAACCTCGATAATTCCCTCCCTTCACCCTCACTCCTCTCCCTCGTCCCAACTGCCAAACACCTCCTCACAACACTCCCATAAATCGACCCCGCCAACCCCTCAAGCCTCAACGTCAAACTCTGAAATCCCCTCCTTACCCGCTCAAAATCCTCATCCTCCACATCCACAACCTCATGCAGCGGTTCCCACAGTCCAATCTCCAACAACACGCAACCGACACTGTAGATGTCGTGTGCACGAGAATACCGCACAGATGGGTTCCACCGCTTATCGGGGTGCTGGTAATAGTCTAGGTTAATGTCTTTGGGACGACGAGTCGTGGTGAGTTCGTTGCTGTGGTGGGGAGGAGCGGTGATGCGGACGAGGCGTTGACCGTGTTCGGAGATATAAATGGGTTCGTGGGTTTCAGTTGGATAGTAGGGATCGGGGTCGTTGATGAGGTCGTCGATGCGTGCGTTGCCGAGGCCGACGAAGAGTGGGTTGTCGAAACCAAGGGGTTGAGGGATTCCGGAGGCTGGCCCTGGAGGGCCATGGGAGGGAATGTTGGCTGCTGGGAAGAAGAGGATGGAATTCGAACGAATGTTTCTAAACAATTGAGTTAACTTCGTGCATGGCTTCTTGGGGTCGGCAGATGTACTTGTGAACCCATCCAACACAGTGCATCATGTTGACAGCTTCAACCAACTTCTTAGCTAAGCGAAATCGGATGCCAAGATCTAGTGTCTCTTGATGTGCAGGATGTCTCTTCTCCAGCAGCTCGGTCAATGATACTGGCATTCGCTTTTTTGAGATTGCACCCGCAGCCATTATTTGGGGTAAGTTAGAACGAATATGCGGCGGTGGTGCTAGGACAAGACCATATCTCCTTGCAACTGGATCTTCAACCATGCCGTAGCATTTCGGGAGGAGTAAGCGATCAGGCTTAGGAGTTGCCAGCATGAGAGTCTTGATTCTCGTATCCCGTTCTTGATCACGGTCCAAATTATCGATCCATTCGATCAGTACCACTCGGTTCTCCTTGCGAACAGGATAGTCAAAGAGAAGCGCCATAGTTGATGAGCCAGAAGATGAGACAGCGTAGGAAGGATCGAGACGGAAGTCTCTCATCGTGAACTTGTATGCGGCATGCTTCCGCTCATATTTGATCACAGAGCTGAACTGTGCTGCAAGGGACATATCCTGGTATCGTGCGACATTATCACCATCTGGGAGGGAGTGTCTCGCCTCGTAGCCCGCGGCTTCTGCTCGTCGCTTGAGTTCTACAAGTTGCATCTTCCGTAAGATATCGAACTCTCCCTTGAGCATCTTCTCCAAATCGAACTTAGGTCCGTAGGTGGCAAGATTCTCGTTGTACTCTTTGATCAAGTCGATCAGACTGGTCCAAACGGCGTCCTTCTTTCTGAACACGAATTTGCAGCGTTTGATGAAAGCCATGTTCATCTTACACCGCTCGACGAAAATCCCTTGAGTTTCGAGTGTCAGGTTCTCCCCTTCTTTTAACCTAAACCTTGATAAATCTTTGGACTCCTGCACGCCATTAGTTCTTACTCATTCCAAAAGGTGTTTCTTACTCGATCAGGCCAATGACTTGGCTTAATCCCATACTTATCCTCCAGCGCATGAGCATCACACAAAGCTTGCGACATCAAGGCCAGTTGACGCAAGACTCTCTTCCCAGAAGCTGGATTAGCTTTCGCGTACGACTCGAATTTCATGTCTGGTTCTCCATCCTCAGCCCGCCAGATGTCTCTCCATTCGTCGAATCGCTGGTCACGTGTTTAGCTCGCTGGCAAAGATTACCTCCGTTTGCAGGGAGTTCTTACGTCCTGCTGCAGTTCTAGCCTTCCCACTGCCAGCTCTAGTGTTCTTGCAGAATCGAATACATCTTTGATCATGCCTATTCCATCTTCGAAGAGTTAGTATGGAAGGTAAGAGAAGGGAAGCGGTGTGTGTTTTGCTATCCTACCTCGACACAGAGGGAGCAATCCTAGAACTGCCGTGACGATCCCGAAAACCTCTGCCATTTCGACGAGCCTCAGTACATAATGGACTCTAGAAAGAGCAGTTCCAATTAGAAGAGCTGAGATTTTTCGCTGGAGAAGTTCTGCAAGCATCAGGCTCCACTCACGTGAACCAATCACACCACCACGGATGTAGTACACGATGACCCAGCTGAAAGATCGAGGCTGAAGAGAATGACCATCAATAAACCTTAGTTCTTTTTACAGAAAGCCGAAACTCGAAAGCCGCAATATGCGACGCCAGGCAGTTCGATGAGGTGCGCAAATCTCGAGGAAAGTGTCTTGCTGCCTCACGATTGGACGATACACACAGGTGTCCGAGGTCGTGGTGCTCGAAGATTGGACAGCTCCATGTACTGTGTATGTAGTTTATGGAGTTCATTCATTGATTGATGGATTGATCTGGTATGATCATAAGGTTGGCCGGTTGTCATGGGGTTGTCGTTTATCGTCTCAATCCGACTCTCTCATCTTGTGAGCTTTCAATGTGATGACGCTTCTAACATTCCAATATTGAATTGGAATAGGAGATCCAGGCGTGAAGACTCCTCATACTGTCCCCCTACCATGCTCACATGGTGACCAGTGCGTCTTCACGGTCTAATTAATAGTCAGCCTTCATGGGTGTCTTGGGGGCCAAAAGTCGGTGCCTGGTCTCATGACCACCCTGAAGTGCTTGACCCCGAGCGTCAGCTCTCATGCCCTCTCGTGGTCCTCGGTTATGGTATAGACAAAGATATTGTAAGAGAAGCTTAAGGACTGATCTTTGACGAATAACCTTCAAGTTCTCGACAACAATGGTCTAGAAGGCCGGGTCTGAATGTCCGCACGTGCCATCGGCTAATTCGCACTCAGCGATCAGTGATTATCCCTACTTGGGCAATTGTTTACATCGAAGCGAGACCCTAAAGTAAAAAGCCCTGGAAAAGGAAGTCCATATAACTCCTTGAGTTCAGTTCTTTCTTACTATTACTCGCTCACAGCCTCCTACTAACGAAGGCAATCGCATCCAACCACCTGTCAATGTGTAACCCACCATTCCAATCCTCAACTCCACCAATCCATTCACGCCTTGATGCAAGAACATTGTTCCCCACGGAAATATTACAATCACGAAAATTGCCGTGACCACACCCGTACATACAGTACATGGAATATAATAATGAGACGTGAAGTTTCAATTCATAAAACCCGTCCCGTGCTCTGATGGGAAACAGGAGTCTTCTTCAGGAAAGAGTTCAGAATGATTGATTACCTGCAGAGTGAACTCGTGTGGGAGCTTTCTATGCCTATAAGAAACTGTAGATACTAACCCTTAGCTTACACATGATTATCCAGTGTCAGTCAACACCATGTTCCTCCAGCCTAAACAGCAGCGCCACCTGTGACGTTGATAGTTACGCCATCCACCCAGCTAAGCCCCTCCTCGCACAACGCGCCCACCACATTTGCAATTTCCTCAGGCTTAGCCACACGAGCAGCAACAGGCGTCATCTGGATGAGTGGCTCCAAAGCACCCGCAAGGACCATGTCCGCGTTCAAAAATGCTTGCGTGCCCACAGGGCCAGGAGCGATTGCGTTGACCGTACAGCCGTACTTCCGCGGCAGCTCAACAGCCAGCACCTTTGTTAAACCTTCAACGAATCCTTTGGAAGCAACGTAGAGGCCTTGGCCTGGGGTTGGGCTGCGAACAGCACTGCTTACGATGTTGATGATTCTGGAGTTTTGTGGTGCAAGGTACTTCAAAACTGCTCGCGTGAGCAGGTATGTGCCTCGCAAGTTCAAATTGATTACCGTATCCCAAATCTGGTCAAAGTTGTCACCAGGTTCGTCAAAGGCGATATGAGGGATAAAGGCAGCATTGTTGACCAGAATATCAATCTTTCCAAAGGCGGCTGCTGCTTCATCTACAAGCTTCTGTGGTCCTTGAAGCGTTGATATGTCTGCTTCCACGGTGAGTGCCTGCGCTCCCGCACCCAGACTCTCCTTCACGCTCTCCGCATTTCCCTTCTCGCTGGGAAATGGGTAATTGATCACAACAGTTGCTCCGCGTTTTGACAACTCTCGAACAGTTGCAGCCCCAATTCCTTGAGACGACCCGGAAACGACAGCAACTTTCCCAGCCAGCGATGCGTTGTTTTGTGACATGGTGATGAATGGTGATGAATGGTGAACTGAATAAATTGCTGACAGGATGAGTGTGAAAGTTGGGAGCAGGGAATCGGTAGGATTTATGGTTTATTGGTTAAACTTTATGAGTTTGCAAATATCATGTATCGTTATCCGGTGTCGAGAGTGCTGTGCAAAGACAGGATGAAGCTCCACTTAAAGCGCGTGCCATACAATTCAAACGGAAAGTCCGGCGTGGAGCGGAGCTACAGTATGGATGGGCATCCAATACCGTACGCAAAAAACATCGTAAACTCTACCTCTACATTGTTGATCATTGTGTTTGACCTCCTGGTGTGGAGTTCTGGTGGCTACCTGGAGTCTCAATCATCGGTACTGTTAGCGTTCCACGCCAGGGCCGCATGCCCCTCACCCACCCGCTAGACAACCCACCCGAGTCTGGTTACCACCCGTGTGGCTTGCAGAGCGGCGATAAAAGTAGATCCCAGACGCGCTCCCGATATCTCCGTTGCAGCGTTTCGTCTATTGTGTTCGTTTCAGTGGATGATTATTGTGTTGAATTTAGGTAAGTGCTTCCCAGCCACCGATGTGAGTTGTTTCTCACAAGCCTACCTTCGCTTGGCCAATCACATGATACTGTATATACATAGATCAGGTAGCTCTCAGCCTCTCTATAGCTGTATTTTGAGTAGCGACTGAACAATTAACCTCCCATCAAGGGTTATTACTGTACATGGATGCTTGATATAATGACGCTCTCTGGCTTCCAGTTGTCGTTCATTATTGAAGTCATGTGATACCATTTTCAGTAGCCACAGAAGCCGGGTGGGGAGCCCGGATATTCTACAACTATTGTGTTCTCATATGAGGCTTCTAAGCTAGGTAGGACATTGTTATGCTCCGAGTGGATTGGCTTGGCTCTTTTTCACTTGTCCCACGGCTTTACTAGGGTAGGTTGGTTATGGTACGTGGACCTTGACTCGAGGACTGCCGTGTCCAACAACATTTAAAGGCGCCCATATATCCAAACTACTCTGGCCAAGAACTCTCTACTTTCACTCCTATTTAGACCTTCAGCTGTTACCGTCAAAACATCAGAAAACTCAAAGTCAAGGAAAACACTTCAATGGCTTCACATCCCCCTGGATCTTGCTGCACAGTCGGCTTCAAGCACGAGTAAGACTTTCATTTTTTTAAGTTATTTGTCATATTCGCGAGCTTCCTAGTCCATAATCAGGCTTCCTTGTCGTTGAGGAAAGCTCCACCCAGCACATCTCCATTTCCGACATTGACTTGTAACTAATCATACTCACAGAGGCACACCTCAAGGGAAATCCATCAGAGTCGCCGGAAAGTATGATGCCTATCTCGCGACTCCCCCTCCCGAGATTGCGCACAAGGACGTAGCCATCCTGTATTTACCAGATATTATCGGTGTCTGGCAAAATAGCAGGCTGCTCGCGGACGAATTCGCCGCGAAAGGCTACCTGACTTTGCTAGTTGACACCTTCAACGGCGACCCGCTCACTTTGCAGAAAGCCCACTCGCCAGGTTACAACATCCTGGAGTGGGTGGCCCATGGCAGTGACGGGAAGAACCCACATGACGATGCTGCCGTGGATCCGATTGTCGTGAACACCATCAAGTTCTTGAAGGAGGAGTACGGTGTCAAAAAGATTGGCTGTGCTGGCTACTGCTTCGGCGCCAAAGTAAGTGCACCACTCCATGTGTACATGTGAAATAAAAGGAATCTAGCCACTAATGCGGATTGGCAGTACCTCGTTCGCCATTACACTGATGGAATTGATGTCGGTTATGTCGCCCACCCCAGCTTCATGGGTGAAGATGAGCTTGCGGCTCTCGGTGGACCTCTAGCCATCGCTGCCGCTGAAGTGGACCCCATCTTCCCGGATGAGAGGCGCTACAAGACCGAGGAGATCCTTAAGACGACCAAGCAGCCCTGGCAAATTTTCTTTTACTCTGGCACCGAACATGGTTTCGCCGTTCGGTGCGACTTGAACGACAAGGTTCAGAAGTTCGCGAAGGAGCAGGCTTTCTGGCAGGCTGTTGCGTGGTTCGACCACTACCTCTTGGAGCAGTAGATAGCCGTGTTGAAAAGTGCTGGCTGCATTCTGGCCCATGTAGCGCTATGTTCTGATGTGGATGTTGTTGCATGGCTTGTAGCTCAAGTAAACTTAAATTTGTGTGTTTGAGGGCGAGTCTCCCTGGCTGAAAGCCCATACAGCATTTTGGAGTACTCGGATTGAAATTCATGTGGTTGAACTGGAGATTTTCTTTGCTGATTTATACACAGTGACTATTCACATGACAGGGTAAGTAAGTGGTGTCATCACACTCTGTAGCCCGTGCCTGGATTCAAATGTTCAATTCAGTTATGATATTGGATTCATAGTCAGCAACACTGATTTAGAATAAATCAACATTAGACTATAGCAGATTCTGATTATTAAAGGTGGGTTGAGATCTGACTCTCTTCAAATGAACTATTCATGGGACTCACCAGTCACATACCAGCTTTTCGAATGCAGGCAGTAACAAACAAAATTATTGCTTATATTTTCAACAAATCAGAAGTTGGCATGCTGAAGACAGTTGCTGGTCCCAGTGAATCCACCTTTGACGCTCACTGCAGATCAGTAGCGGATCTCGCAGCCGGTTTGAACATTCAGAGGTGAATTATGAGACACAGCACTGGAGAGCAACCTAAGAGACTTCATTTGCCTTCTTACCTCTTCTGCCCATTATACAAGTCTGAATGATATGCTCCGCTTATTTTGCAGGCTGGTTATCATTTCTTTGCTATAATACACAGAAACACTTTGACGTGGGGCCGGAGTAAAAGGGAAATGTAAAGCCTTCTGGTAGCGTCACACATATTGCAAGAGTCACATAAGCACGCATAACATCTACACCCAAGGATATGAATTTCATCTAAACTAGAGTGGAGATAAATCGACAGCATAAACAAGATCGCAGCATGCCTCGCCAGAACAAACAACTTCCAACACAAATGATTTATCTATGCTGGAGTGACTGCAAATTGCTTGTTGAACAGATTACCCGAATCGTACTTAGCCTTCAGGCTCTGCAGACGTGGATAGTTGAGTCCAAAGAGATCATGGGACTTCTTCCCGTCGTAATCTGCACGTGCAAGTCAGTACAAAGATTTGAAACCAATATAGACGGAATGACTTACGGTCATAGTTTCCATATGCCAGTACCGTTCCATAGTCACCAGCTCGTTGCTCTTGGCCAGATTTCTCAAACCACCTGTCAAAGATAGCTGAGGTGTCTCTTGCCCACTGCCTTCCCAGCGCGTCATTTTCTGGCTTGGACCAGTACGGCGCAACCATGGCGTTCATGTGCCATCCTCTGTTGGCGAAACTCGTGTCCTGATTGGAAGCCCGTGTATTCACGACATAAGGGTCGTACAGCTCGTAAATGATCATAGTTCCAGCCAAGTCTGGGACTTCTTCAGTGAGCTTCGTGTACTCGGCAAGGACCTCTTGCACGAATTCGGCTTGCAGGGGCAAAGAGAAGACAGCTCCTTTCAAGCTGACGCGGTAACCTTTGGGACCATGAAGCGTTTGGTTGGCGATATGGTAGGGCACCGTCTTCATGGTGGAATTGACAGGGCCAATGTCGTACAGAGCCTTGAATGCCTTCTTTCCTTCCTCCTCAGTTCCGTTGAAAACGACAGCCACTGCGAGGACCACCTTTCCACCAGCCTCAGGTGGGCGTGTAAGAACAAGACCACCCATACCTTGGCCCTTGAGCTTGGTGAATCCCTTTCCGTCCTTGGGCCCAATAAAGAGGTCATTGACGGCTGCAACGACTTGTGCTACGATGGGAGGTGCGGGCTTGAAGGCAATCACACCAGCCCACATGTCACCCTGCTCGAACGCCTGGAATTCGAATTCCGTCACAACGCCAAAGTTATGGCCCGCGCCTCGCAGACCCCAAAACAAGTCTGGATTTTCCTCTTTGGAGGCTTTGAGGATTTCGCCACTTGCAACGACAATCGTGACACTGATGAGATTGTCAATAACCATTCCATATTTGCCGGACAGCCAGCCATAGCCGCCTCCCAGAGTCAAGCCGCCGACTCCAGTGTCTGAAATCGTTCCTCCGACAGTTGCGAGGCCGTACTTTGCGAGTCCAGCGTCAACTTCACCCCAATTTGCGCCGCCGCCAACTTTCACTGTTTTAGCGGTGGGATCAACAGTGATTTGTCGTATTTTGCTCAGGTCAAAGAGGAGACCACCGTCAGTGCTGCTTGAGCCGGATGTTGAGTGGCCGCCGCCCCGTACAGCAACATCGAGTTTCTTGGCTGCTGCAAATTTGACGGTTTTGGAAATCTGGGAGGCATCTGTGGGAACAACCACTACACCGGCTGGTTTTTCGGCTGCTTTGGACCAGCGTTCAATGGCTTGTTCGTAACCCTCATCAGTCGAAGTGAGGATTTTCGCATCAGTTCCGCTGAGGAGAGAGCTGAGCTCCTCGATGTCTTTGGAGGTTACTTTTCGGCTCATGATTTCTGAGGAGGATGAATATGCTTTGAATTGAATCTCGTGTGGATATTGCGATGGGAGAGCAAGGAGCAGTGTTGACCCCAAGAGTGTTTTCTATGCGGGACAGCTGGGAATTTGTAGAAAGTTTAACAGTGTCAGAGTTGCCAATGAGGATTTAAACAATTGGAATGATGTGTCTTAGAGAGAACCGCTAACTATAACTTTTCATGAAATCAGAAGAAAGTTATTAAATATTAATCACCAAGGTAGTCCAAGTGAGGTGGTCAGCCTTCTAGACTAGTGCTCGCTTACGAAAAGTCAATGTGGGATGCGAGACTTCGGAACATTCGAGGGGTCGATCAAAAATGCCGACTAAGGGAGCCGTCCAAGGTTCCTTGGGAGGGCCACCACCTTGGCCACCTTTGCCTCGATGCCTTGGGCGGGCCACTCTGAGTGTGGCTGGCCACTTGCATCTGGCTGGCCACCCTGATTGAATTTAGTGGGCCACCCTCTTTTTCGCGAGCCACCGAAGCGTTAATGTATACTCAGTCGACTGTCTGAACTCTGTCTAAACTCTATTGGGCTGGCCACCTGCTCAAAGTCATCATTTACTGAGGCGTCCAAGGCCTTTAACTAGTGACTATGTCTCTGCACTGCATGACCAGATTTATCGTCTGATCTATCATACAGCCCACAAATATTTGCAATTGCTTGACTCGCTTAGCTCATCCATCATCATGGCTACCATTACCATCGCCGGGGTTGAAATCCCACTTGTTGACACGGTCCGCCCAGAGGACTCGACTAACATGCCAACGTATGTGAAACAAACTCGCAGAACCGACATCTTGCCAAAAGGATGGAAGAAGAGCGAAGAAAAACGTCCTATCCCTTGCGACATCATCTATGACCAGAATATCTGCCTTACATTGAAGGATGGCACGAAGGTACTTTGTGATCACCGGATCGTCATGCTGTCACGTGACTGATGTGTGAAATAGATTTATATGGATATATTGCGACCACATGGCGTCAGTGAGAAGATCCCGGCCGTGGTGGGAATGAGTCCGTATGGAAAGGGCGGACACGGTAAAGTCTCACTTGCCCGGTATTATTGATTCAGTAATTAATGTGCCTTAGGCTTTGATATCTATGGAAATTGTGCCTATAGAATTGGCATCCCCGAGAGCAAGTTATCTGGGCTGGAGAAATTCGAGTTGTACGCATAGCGAGTATCCTAATATTTATGGGCCTCGTTGACCTGTTCAGTCTCGATCCGGCCGAATGGAATCCGCGAGGATATGCGATTGTCAACATTGACTTGAGAGGGAGCTGGGAGTCTGATGGTAACTTGTACGTTGAAGGATCACAGCAAGGTAAGGAACAATGCTGCCATTTCGAAAGACTAGATTTAAATCATTATTAGGTCGTGATGCATATGAAATTATCGAATTCGTTGCTGCCCAGGATTGGTGCAACGGTTCGATCGGAATGGCAGGAAATTCCTGGCTCGCAACATCCCAATGGTCCGCAGCCATGGAGCACCCTCCTTCCCTCAAATGCATCGCCCCATGGGAAGGCTTCACAGATATGTACCGAAACCTAGCTTGTCGAGGTGGTATCCCCAGTCTCCCATTTCTGAACTTCATTATGAACAAGACCATCCGAGGACGCGGCGGCAGAGAAGATGTCGTGAAGATTCTACAGAATTCTCCATTGTACAGTCCGTACTGGGAAGACAAAAGTTTGTGCCTCGACAAGGTTAAAATTCCCATGTATGTCGTATCTAGTTATTCTTCTGCGATCCATGGATTCGGCACTATCAAGGCATATCGAGAGGCTACCAGTCCAAAGTGGCTTCGGATCCACTCCACCCAGGAGTGGTATGATTTGTACCTGCCGCATAACACCGATGAACTGCAGAAATTTTATGACCGCTACCTCAAAGGGATCGACAATGGTTGGGAAAAGACAGACCCTGTACGAGTCTCAGTCCTCACATACGGCAAGGTTGGTTTCTTCTTCATTTCAATTTTCTGTGTCCACAATTTAACACACTTGTAGAAAGCTCTTGACAACATACCATTTTCCGAGTATCCTCCCAAGGAAACCGAATACAAGAAGCTGTTCCTCTCCGGGTCCAACCTGGTGAAGAGTCCCGTAGATAAGGTATCATCCGTTTCCTACCAGGCGGATGATTACAGGGCACAGCCCGCAGAGTTCAAAATCGTCTTTGACAAAACTACTACGCTCATTGGGTTCTGCAAAGCCAAACTCTGGATCTCTTGCGACGAGACTGATGACTTGGACATCTACTTGTCTCTCCGCAAGGCGGACAAGAATGGTAAGATCCTGGAACACATCAACCTTCCCTGGGATGAACTCCCCCCTGAAGTCAAGTCCTTTGAAGACGTTCCAAACTCCAATGTGATCAAGGTATGAAAATCCTAATTTCATCTCACCAACATATCCATCCCTATCCCCATCTTCTAAATCTGCTCGCAAAAACTAAACAAATTCCAGTATCTCGGCCCAACCGGCGTCCTCCGCGCCTCCCACCGCGCCCAAGACCCCAAACTCACAACCGACATCGTCCCCTACCACCCGCACGACAAAGAAGAAAAAATCCCTCCAGGAACCATCGTCCCCGTGGAGATCGGCTTCTGGCCAATGGGTATCCAGTACGAAGCAGGCGAATCGTTGATCCTCCGCGTTCAGGGCTTCCTCGACCAGTGCGTCGAGTGGCCAGCCCTGACTACCATGAAACCGAACAATCTGAATAAGGGGAAGCACACTATTCATTTTGGTGGCAAGTATGATTCTAACCTCATTGTTCCGGAGGTGCCGCTTTAGGATTGTTGGGAGGCCGGCGGACCTGCGGTGATGGATGGATGGATGGATGGATGGTGAGGGGTTTTCGCTTCTTGGGTGGACTGGACTTGATGGGGTTTTCTTGTGGACGGTTTGGGGGATTGGGGCTCCCTGGGAGCTCTTGTAACGAAAGGGAAAGTAAAAACAAAAACAAAGGTAGCCTTAGATAGCATAATTTGAATGGAGCGAGGTGAAGGCTATTCTGTGTCTCTAATTCATGACTCGGTGAACCGTTCATAACAGTGCATTGGGTGATCGTTAGCAACTACCCTACCTACCTAGACAAGATGATCCCCTCAACTGCCAAACGAGACGCATTCTAGACGTGGTCGATGACCTTCGTGAAGCATGACCCTGTAATTAAACGAAGAACGCCTGAAATGCGCCGCCCATGCTTCCTTTCTCCCCTCAACTGCTGAAATCCCAAATTTTCTTCAGGTGCCGCGCTGAGGCAAAGTCGCTGAATTTGCCTATGACGTGCGTAACTCAGGCGCTTCTCGATAAATTACAGTGTAGGTATTCCTTCGAGCTCCCCTTCCCTCCTGTTACATGTGCATTTTATTCGGCAGTAACCCCTCGGGGGATACCTTAGGATAGGCAGCTTCACGAAGTCAGTGCCCCGCTTCAGCGCCCTGCCCCCGACAACTCTCGTTAGGTTCATAAACAATTCCAGAGAGCAGCTCAGCAGTGGATAAGTTAGAGTAGGTAGGTGGTCAGCCTGTACTTTATCTTACCCCCCACAACTCCCGCCGCCACGATTCTTAGTGTTAGGTACCTACGCTGCACCCTCGCCCAACCAACCTAACCTCAGCGACTCCCTCGGTCTCGCTTCATCACGCAACCATGCCCTCAAGATGTGTATCAAGAAGAATCAGTACAGTTCTCGAACATTTACATAGGTACTGCGCGAGATGAAGATCCCCAGAGATGTGAAAATTATTACCGAAACCTTTTTCATGATCATGATCATGGGATTTTAATGTGTTATTCGATAGGTACTTGTTCTTTTAGTTTCTTTTGGTAGGTAGGTAGGTAGGTAGGTATGATTTAGAAGACTGTCCGAGTGGAATGTGTTGTTGATAGGTAAGTCTAAAGTGAGGGGGGAAGGTGGGGTGGGGGGTTACGAACTGGGTGGCATAAGTCTGTGCGCTACGGGCTTCCTCGCTTGTGTGAGGAGCTGTACCTTAAACATGATATCCTCTACTTTACGTTTTTAGCTCACTACTAACATAGGGTTTAAAGAAAATGTATTGTAACTAACTGAACTTTATTAGTCAAAGAAGAGTTCTTCCAACTAACAAATTTGAATTTAATATCAAGACTCTGTTAAAACTCATATTCGATGTTTTCAAGCCTGTAGCGCACGGACTTATGCCACCCAGTTCGTTAAGCGAGCTTGGGTTGTTGACTTTTACAGATCAGGATTTTTTTTATCGCACCTGAGGACAGCTCCATCCTCTTTGACGAGGGTTTTTTTTGGCCAAAATATCTGTGATGTCAAATTCCCGTGCCAGGACTCCTTTAATCTTCGTTACAAAATATCATTCTTCTCCACTGCAACCGACCTCAGTTATTTATTGACACAGATCAAGTTTTAATAGTGGTCCTTATTCCTTTGTCATTGGATAGACCATCCTTGATGAAGACTTCACGGCAGGAAGAAAATGGCCCAATATCCTTTCAAAACTCGCATTTCAAATCTTCTACTCTAATCCCACACTCAAAACCCCATCTTCCTATTTATTCGGCTGCACATGCCCAGCATTCTTCACCACCCTCATAAAACTCTCCCAATTCCTCCCCGCCTCCCTACTAGTCAACACCATCTCCTGACCCCTCGGCAACATAACCTCCTCATACTTCTTCAACACCGACCCGAACGGCTTCTCCTCCTTCACAGCATCAATGATCAGATTCGCCAGCTCACAAGCATCCCTAATCGCCGTATTCGCCCCACCACCCCTGAACGGAATCATCGCATGAGCCGCATCCCCTAGCAAAGTGACATACTTCCCCGGCAGCGTATCCGGCGGCACATACTCTAGGAGCTTAATCGGCGGGGCGAACACGCCCTCGACGCCCGTATGCGTAACGATATCAGTCAAGACCTTCGCCCAACCAGCGACCAGCTCCTCCGCCTTAGCATACAGCTGCTCCTTGGTCATGGTATCCAGCTCAGCGGAGTCCTTCTCGGGCTCATCCGTCCAGTACGCCAGGATCCAGTAGAAGGTCGCGAACTCCTTGTCGGGGGTAATGGAGCGCAGCCCAAACACGCAGCGCATATTCGGCGTGTTGGCCAATATGGCAGCCGTGCCGAGCGCACGCACAGGCTCGTAGACGTGTCGCGGGAGGTCGCCCTGTCCCGTGACGGCTATGTAGTTGCTCACTTCTGCCTTGCTGGCCTGCTCGCCGAGGAGGGCGGCGCGGACTCTGGAGCGGGAGCCGTCGGCGCCGACGAGGAGGGAGCCCCGGGCGGAGGTGCCGTCTTTGAAGAAGGCCGTGACGCCCGTGGAGTCTTCGGTGTAGTGCGTGAATTCCTTGCCCGTCGAGACGTTCAGGTGCTGCCACATGTAGTCGCGGAAGTGGCTGCGGCTTGCGCGCAGGACGTGGCCCGGTTGGCCGCGGGGGACGCCGCCGAATTTGGCGACGCGCTCGCCGGTTTTGCCGTCGACGACGCCCATTCCATCGTAGGGTTCGAGGCCGTAGGTTACGCTGACGGATTGGAGGTCGCCTATGTCGTCTGGGAGGAGCTTGAGGAGTTCGGGTATGGATCTGGAGGGTAAGGGTTACTTGTTTGTTTGTCGTATATATAAGAGTTTTGGGTTGTGAATATATGTGTATATGTACTTACTCGATCAGCGCAACTGCCCAGCCTTGACTTCGTGTATATCGCTGAGCGTCACGTTCGAAGATCTCAAATGGAATGCCCTTGCCTCTCAGAGCCTGTGCCAGGACCAAACCCCCAGGGCCGGCACCAATAATCAGGACCTTGTTGGGTTCCGTGGTCTGGGTCATCGTGTAGTATTGCAGATAGGCGTGTTTTGGGATTCGTTGGGGAGACGGGCCAGCAGATATCGTTCGATGCTGCAGTACAATGGCACCATAAAGTATGAGGATTTAAAGGACAATATAGCTTCGGTATCTGACTCAATTAGGTTCTCCATAGCGATAACCATGCAGTTTTGGATCTCTCTTGTCATTTCAGATAGCCACCGTCAAGCAGGAACCGATCTGTTGTGTCTCTCCCTCAGTGGAGTGTTCGGCTAATTTGCGTATGGAGTTCCAGGTGAGGGGCTCAACTCCAAGGTGGGTAGGCCACTGAGGTGGAGGGGCTCACCCAGATGCCCACAGCTGATGTGGCCAGACCTGAGCATCTGGTCAAGCGGGTGGGCAGCCACTTGTTGGGTGTCTTGTCCAATTCATACGGAGACTACTACCTACTTGGGGGGGCTGGAATGGTCCAGCTCCAGCTTCAGAAAATATCGCTCGGATATTCCGAGATCTGACTTTCTCTTGGGGGACGGATGGCCCTGGTAGTCTCGGAGATCCCAAGGGTCCGGCGACCGTTCCCTCATGATTAGAGTTTACTAGTGCGACTCTTTCTCTGCTAATTACTCTTTTTTGTCTCGGAAAGGCTTTATGAATGGAGCAAGTGATCAATCTCTTGATTCAAAATGAGGGGTTGGCATTAAGTAGCTTTGTGGCCCTCATCTTCTCTTCTCTGTGTACAATTCCACCATTTGAAAGCTCGAACACTGTATGGGATGGAGGGATAGGTCGAAATGTCTAGCTGAGTATGGATCTCTGGTGTCTGATCTTTGCTGGTACCGACAGGCTGGATGGGATGGGATGGGATGGGATGCTACCTACTGTACTGTATCTCACCGCTGTGCCGCTGTCCCACGTTCCCGACTTCTCTGCCGCACTACTTCTGCCTCCCAGCTGGATCTTCAGGGCGCAACGCAACGCATCGCATTGGATTATTGGATTGGGACGGAACCCCGCTATTCTACCCCGCACCCCGCAATACCAACCTGGGAGAAAGAGCGGCGGATCTCGATCTGCACTCCCGTTCTCATCCGTGTTGGTTCTCGGGCGCGGGCGCTGCTGACACGCGTTCAAGTGCGCGCCCCCCCCGTGTGGTTCCTTCCTTTCCCCAGACAGACAGTCGTCTCTCCCCAGATGCAACTTCCTCTATCCTATCCTCTCCCATCCTACCTATCCTACCTATCCAGTCCCATCCTATCTCTTATCTTATCCTACCTGTGCCATCCCTTTCGCACTATCTTTCTGCTCTGCAAATACTATTCTGCAATAAACTTCAAGGCCTACGGACCTTAGCAAGGCTGTCAGGTACTTTTCCTTGGTAGGAGCGAACCCTCCCTCGCTCATCTCTTGTGGTTGTTGGCGCATTTCACCTCGCAGCTGATGAGGCAGCCACTGCTATTTCCGTTTCGTTCCTGATGGAGCATGAAGACGTTCTGACAACGGCCCTACCCACTGGAACTGAGGCTGAGGCTGAGGCCCAGGACAACAACAGGGTGCGCCGGAGAAGAAAGAAAAGTAATCCACAAGTCCTTCATTGCCCTGGGTGCAATGCGACCTTCAATCGTGCAGCACACTTGAGACGTCACCAGCGAACGCGTACGTTCCTCTCTGCCTTGCTCTCAGCAGATTGAAGCTGTGTAGCTAACACAACCTCGTAGATCAGGGCGAGAAACCGTATATGTGCCCTCACTGCTCCCTGTCCTCGTCGCGCAAAGATGTAATTGTCCGCCATACAAGGAACTTTCATCCCGACAAGGTGCTAACAAACACCACCGCTGGATCCGAGATACCCGCCAATGCGCCAGCTGAGGCATCTGCTGGACAATATAGAGCCCGTGCCAGTAGCTCCTCTCTGCTATCAACATCGTCTGAAGGTTCTCCGTCTGGATCAACTGTAGCAACGTCGGCAGATATTGGTGAAGATCATCCTCCCTCTGGATGGAATAACGGAGAGACCCATCCAATGCCTTCTGTAAGGAACGACGAGCTCGAGAATCTACTCTTAGATGCGAACCTCCACTTCCCCGACCTTGCCGCATATGCAAGCAATGATCCCTCACTTCAGGATCTATTCCTACCAGACAATATCTTCCCTGAATTTTGTGCGCCGCCAGGGTTCACGAATTCTAGCCTGTTTCAAAGCCTACTGTCGCCTGCTGCTCAGGACACGAGGCGTGACGTTCAAAGCTCAGAGCAAAGTGGTCACCAAGCTCCGCGCACTGTACAACTCGTCCCAGAAACCGATCAACAGCAACCAGGAAGCTCTTTTGCATCTGACAATGACTGGTACGCAAAGGCACAGGCGAACTTCGCTCATTACGATGCAAGTCGAAAATTGGCACATTTCCGATTTCCTTCAAAATATGCAGTAATTCGTTATGTGGATGCGTACTTTGAGTTTATGGATCCGCAGCTACCGATCGTGCATAGACCGACATTTGATGCTGCTACAGTACCTTGTACGTATATTCAACACCGTGGCTTGAGTAGGAACTGATGCGAAAGTCGATTATAGCACCTCTTCTTATCGCAGTAATGGCGTGTGGTGCGATGTATTCGAGCGAACATGGTGCCGCTGCAATGATGCACGCAGCAAACTTGCAGCTTACCTCTGAGGTAAGACAGGATTCTTTTTATTACGAAGGTGTCAAAGTTACTACCAAACTGGAGATTGTTTACATATCCGTGTCTTTCATTTCACTCTGACGACGAAACGGACAGCAAGTTTTGCAAATGAAGCTAACAAATCTGTAGCACTGGAAAACCGACAATCACTTCCAACTTTGGCTCTTGCAAACAAATCTACTGTTAGGCTACTACGAGGTTTACGCCGGGGATTGGTTAATACCACAGAGGGCATACGCTATATTCTCTGGAAATTCTAAGGTCAGCTCAAAAGAACGGTCATGTAGACTAGCTGAGACTGACAAGATACATTCTTAGCTTGCGCCGGAAGTCGTGGGAACATTAAAGCACTTTCCACCAACGACATATCAAGACTGGGTTTACCAGGAGACCGCTAGCAGGTAGACAAGACTGATGCCCCTAGAATGTTTTGTATATTAACATTGCCTTAGGTGCATGGCGAGCACGATGGTCCTCGGAGCAGCCGTCAACTCCACTTCACAAAAGCAACACCTCACTCTCCCTGATCTCGACGCTAGATTCTCACTCCCTTCAAGCATGACTGCCTGGCTACAAGACGAATCCAGCTGGGAGAGACCCACAGAAATGCCGATTTTCTCAGATACCCTGAAGCGGATATTTGCCGGTGAACCCCCGACCATAGAAATCAGCGATTTCGCATTCATGAGCATCGTGTCCGCCGTACTCGGCCACATATGTTCCTTCGAAAACCTCGCTAGCTCACAACATCCACAACTCTACACCAGCTTCGTCAACGAGATGGGGCGATCGGTACAGATTCTAAATGAGATGTGGACCAAGCGGACAGCCAGCGGGAACAACAGCTACCGATCATCCTCGAATACCCTCACGCCGCTAGCGAGATCGACCAAGTTGCTGCTCGATTCGGTGTTCTACCATCTTTACGGAAACTCCCAATTGGCGATTATGAAGAACCTGCTTGGGTCTCCAGAAGGATTGACGCGAGCGGAAATGCTTCGGGAGATGTCTAAGAATCCATGTTCGATTCACCTGGAGAAGGCACTTGTTCGCGCGGCCGAGGCTTTGCGAGATGATTGTCGGCTGGGCTTGAGATATCTGCAGAAAATGACACCATATCGATTCGCGCCTCTATCAGCAACTGCAGTTTTTGAAGGCGGTATGTACCACCCATCTCGTTCCATTTCTTCTCAATTCAATTTCAGTTCCTCATCTACCCCGCCCTCCCGTCTCTTCGATGCCATGTTCCCAATCAATGCTATCCTCTCGTCTTATATTAACAAATCTTCCTCACCAGGTCTCCTCCTCTGCTGGTACCTCCAAACCAAGCGCTCCAACCCCACACCCACAACAGAAACTTATCCAACGCTCGACGCGCTGATCAGTGACGGCTTCGCAGAACTGGATGGTCTGCAGATGACGACTGAGGAGGAACTCACTACATTGCCGCTTCTTGCTAATGCGGAGGTGTTGCATGATCGTTCGGTGTGGCAATGTAAGTGTATTTGTTCTGCTCGTTACTATCATGAGAGGATCTCTTGCTTACTTTTACGTCAGGGCCCTACGCCGTATCGTTAAAACTCAATGGTTTTATTCAGCAATTCAAACTCGCCCCTTGAGTAATAATCACTCTCGTTTTGCGGAATCTGGATACGGTGTATGCGGCGTTCTGGTTATGGCCAGCAAGGCCGATGGTAGGGTGGGGTTTTTGTATATCCAGTGGCTAGCGGGAGGGAGAAAAAAATATGGAGAAGGATGTTGTGTCCTGTCTTGTATGATTATCGGTTGTTATTCTTAATGAATCGATTGTGTGTACCCTGAAACTGATATCTGTCTGTTTACGAAGTTATCTTTTTGTCTACTCTCAAGGCTGCGCTGGTGAGAGCTAGCGCCAATCGACGCTGCAGGTCCCTGGAACAACAGAATAAGCGAGGTGTTGACAAACACTCGGCAGCAACTGGGAAGGCCTTTTCTACAGCGAGGATCCGTACGCATTCGCAGCTTATCATTCAAACACACGCCAATTTAATATACTCTATTCAAAGCTCCCTCCTCAGAACCCAACACTCCCTAACAATGCCCTCCCCTTCCCAACACTTCCCTCCCCTTCCCATCACCCAACCCTATCCCCCACCTCAAACTTCGGCAACCAAACATCCACCACCGCCGCCCTCCCCTCCTCCCTCACCGTCCTCAACGCCCTCTCCAGCACGCCATCCACCTCCCCCACACTCTTCACCACGGCCCCAAACCCGGCCCCAGCCGCAACCGCCACGGCCGCATGATCCACCCCAGGCTCAAAAGTAACATGCAACTGATCCGCGCTCCCCACCCTACTCGCCCACCCCTCCCTATGCACCGCAACCGCACTCAACATCGGGCTCTTCCAGCCGCGATTATTCAGTATCACCGTCAAGAACGGGGCGTCATACCTCCTGGCCATCCAATGGACCGACGACGGGATGGAGAAAAGATACGTCCCATCGCCCGTGATAGCAACGACCGTCTTCTCCGGCCGAGCGAGCTTCGCGCCTACGGCGGCGCCGCCGTGCCACCCTAGTGCGGTGGCGCCGGATGTGAAGTATGAGCCGGGGGTGGCGTGCAGGCCGAGCACGTCTGTTACGGGCTTGTAGTTTGAGATGGATTCGTTGAGGAGGAGGGTGGTGGGGAAGTCGAGGAGGTTGCGTAGGCGGGAGAGGACGTAGTGCGGGGTTAGGATATCGGGGTTTTTGGGCATGGCTTCCAAGGCGGTGAAGCCTTCGATGTATGTCTTGTGGACTTTCTCCAATTCCAAAATCCGAGCCTGCACTGAGGTTTTGAGTTCAGGCGTTGATGATGTTTTGTCCGAGAGGTAAGTGTTGAGTTGGTGGAGGGCAACTCGCGAGTTGGCGCGGCAGGAGAGGTCGGTGTCGATGTGGAAGAGGGACATTTGGATCTTGAGCGGGTCGATGTCGATGTGGTAGACGTGGGCGGTGGTGGGGGGTTTGAAGGAGGTTTTTATCCAGGGGACGTCGCAGTCGATGACGAGGACGAGGTCGGCTGTTTTGAGGAGGTCGTTGCGTGGGCCTTCGCTCCAGTGGTTGCCCATATAGAGGGGGTGGTCGTGCGGGAAGTTGTGGTGACTGGGGACGGCTTCCTGGGGGGTGGTTAGTTTACACCTCTTCTTTTTTCTTCCCCTCTCTCTCTTCCTTTTTTCGATCTCTTTAAAATCAAAGGAGAAAAGTGAAGAAATAGGAAATTCATCAACCCACCAAAATAGCAACCCCCAACCCCTCCGCAAGCTGTACAAGCTCTCTCACAGCCTCCACATCCCTCCCCAAATACGTGGTAACCACAATCGGCCTCTTGGCAGCCAACAACTTCTCCCCAATCTCCGTCACACTCTCCTCCGACAGCGCCGACGGCGCAGTAGGTTTCCACCTCGTGGCATCAACATCATAGGGGCGGATCTTCTCTTCCAGAACCTCACGCGATGCCATCAAGTAGGCAGCACCTTGAGGCTCGCTTTTAGCGAATTGGCTGGCGCGTAGGATGAGCTGCTTTATGTTCTTGCCGCTGCGGATCTCGTTGTCGTAGACGGTGTAGCCGCGCATGATGCCGCGTTGGTCGATGGTGTCTTGGATGGAGTGGATGAATTCCTGTTTTTGGGAGAAGAAAGGGCGATGAGTTAGCTTCGTTCGGACAAACACAATAGTTCATATATCCCAATTTTATATTCCATTCAAACCCGATTCAATATTTCTTTTCTTTTCTTTTTTTCTTTTTTCTTTTTTTTTTTTCCCTCTCGTTTCTTCCTTCTTCTTACTCTTTTTCCCCTTTCCTAAGCGAGTGTGTGGTAGTAAACAAAACAAAAACAGAACTACTCACATTCCTACTCCCCACCATCTCCCCCTCATCCGTAACGGGCGACGTCCCCGCCAACACCAGCACCGGAATCCTCGCCCTCGCCACATTATGGATCGCCCCGGCCATGTTCAGCGTCCCCGCATCAACATGCACCAAGAACGCCTGCATCTGCCCGCTCGCCTGGAAATATCCCTGCGCGGCGCTGAGCCCGACGAATTCATGGGGCGCGGTGATGAAGCGGATGGGTTTGGGCTGGTTTTGGAGGTGTTGCTTGGAGATGGCTTCGAGGATCGCGGGGTGGTCGCTGCCGACGTTGAGGAAGAGGTGGGTTACGCCCGAGAGGGTGAGGGCTTCGAGGAGGGCGGTGGAGGTGGTGTAGTCTTCGTCGTCGGTCATTTTGGGAATCGGTTCTGATCTGCGTGCGTGCGTGCGTGCGTGTGAGATGTTTTGGGTAAGCTGTGTGTCTGTTTTTGTGTGTGAAAATGAGGCGGGGTTGGATAATCTTAAACGGAAAATTATCTGCAATAGAGGTATCGATAGAGATAAAGCTCGTGCTCATACCTCTATTGAAAGATAAGAGCTCATATCCCACCGCTTGCCGATCCTTTATTTACTCCTCCTCCAAACCAACCAATCGCAGCTCTCGGTAAAGCCGGTTTTGCGAAAGCTGAGCTGATCTGCACTGTGCTGCACCTCAGTCGGGTTTCCCAAGAGAGGTGGATTCTTGACTGTGTCACATGTCTGTAACTTGTAATCAGAGGGATTTCTAGTCCTTCCACTGGGTTACAAATAACCAATAGTCTAGTGCTGCTGGTGATGTGATCTCTGCGGCGTTACCACGTGTCGAGTAGTGTCGTCGGAACGGAAGCATAACTAACCTGCATCCTATCCTCACCTCCCGCTCGGTGGCTCGCTTGGCACTTGCCAGCCAGCCAGTCCAAGATACAGGATCCAGTACTATGTTGGCAACGCGATAGACGAGTTTCATTTTCACATGACATGAGCGAAGTGTCGGATTTTGAGACCAAGCGGCCGAGAATTCCATATCCTACAAACAGTTTGACTGGTTTTGCTATTTTCCACTCTACTACCCTTGACAAGCATAGAATTCACTAGACCACCCTTCCAAATCCTCAAACAGATTATTCATCCCATCGAAAAACGAAAGGTCGTAATCAGGTAGAAATCCCTGCGCACAAACAAACAAATCAGTCAGTCAGCCAGTTGCTCCCAAAAAAGAGACATTCTCATCAGATAGCAGAACAAGTCAATTAGACAACATACCTGAGCAGGAAGCGGCGCATTGGCCAGATTGTTATTATTATTGCTAGTATTGATAGCCGGAGCCGAAACCAACGCATCAGCAACCGCCTCACGAACAAGTCTCAAATGGCTCGCGATAATCTCAGCTGATCGTCTTGCTACGACCGATTCGTCCATGGCCTCGAGGAGGTTCACTGCCATTTCGACGGAGCTGAGGAGGGCGTCTCGTTGGGGCGATGCGGCTGTTGTGTTGGCGAGGAGGAGGAGAAGTGTTGCGGCGAACATGATGTAGGTTGTGTTCCACCACCTGTGGATGGGTTAGTATTTGCAGGCTGGCATGACGGGTGAAAGTGGAGGGGGGAAAATTGAGTGATGTCTTACCAGGAGCGGAAGAATGTCTGTACCATGAATACGTTGTGGATGGTTTGGATCGTCGCTTGTGCCGAGTCGATACATTTCAGGATCCCATCTCTGGCTTCAATCGGAGTCTTGGACCCAGCGTTCCCTGAATGAACCAGGAACGGCCGAAATAGAAGCATCCTGACGTTATGGTAGCCTTCCGGAAACATTGTCAGTAATATGCATACAAAGACGTACTTGAGCCTTTCATCACACTTACGAATAGCAAGAACAAGTCTCTGCCGTCTTGACCAATTTGGCTCCTTCAAGCCCCCTACAAAAGCTTCTGTCCTTGATAGATCCGGTCGGATGTTATCAGGTAGTGTACACACCCATTGATTCATGTCTTGCTCGATTCTAGTGGCATCTTCGTATTTGCGCTGCAGAGGCTGAGGGGAGTGGTACACCTCTACAGCTACTCTGCGCATGATTCTGCCGAATTCGACCATACATGGGATGATTGCAACTTCTGATGAGTCTCTTGGTGGCAAGCGTCTGTTGTGATATGCATCCAGACCGAGTGTGTCTGGCCGTCCGAGAGAAAGGCTCATTTCACTTTGGGAATTTGTTAACTTGATATGGGTCAAATTCAATTGAAAGTAGGCTTACATGTCCATAGCAAAGAGACCCCTGTGCCAAAAAGAAATGTTAGATGTCTGCAGCAGTTGTTCTTTGAGGAATCTTACGTACCACCATGTCCTAGATATAAATCCTGCTTGCTTCTCAGATTGTCCTGGCGATTCACGATTGTAACCTGCGGCTAGACAAGTCCGGATAGCTTGCCCCATGTACATATATGCCACTATTCGCACAATTCAGCATGGTCCCCTCAAACTCTAGAAGTAACTCGGGGTCCTACTGTGTGGCGACAGCTCATTCTGGCATATCTTGGCCTATCCCCCCATTAAAAATCTTGAATTCCTGTTCGTTCAAGGGACTACAAACCATCAACAACAAACACCGCACCGTATCCAAATCATTCGAAAACTGCCGCACATTCAAATACCTCTGCGCCTCCCCAAACAGTTTCCGACTCCACTCAAACCTCCCCATCCCATCCAGCAGATCCTCATCCCAAACACGCACCAGCGCCCCCAGCGCCTGCACCGCAAAATACAGCGCCATGAAACTCGAGTCCTCTTCCACACTACTGTCCCCATCTCGCCAGAGGCTCTGCGCGCGCATGTAGAAATCCTCTTTATCAATCACGGGCGTGACGACGTGCAGGCTCTCGAAGTACCCCTGGATGAAAATATGCGTGTGCCGTGACAGGAGCGGTCGGTCTCGTGGTGCGGTGTCTTCTGGAGAGACGGGACTTTGGCTGGAGAAGCCCGGGTTGTGGAGTGCGGAGATGAATGAGGTGCCGTTGCTGCCTTTGGGATCGTTGATACTGGCTGTAGAAGGGTCTTGGAGAGCTTCAAGAGTGGGTTGGCGTTGAGACCGGCGGTGGAGACAGCGTAGGAAGGCCATGGAGGATGTGCTGCCGTGGAATTCGATGCCTTGGGTGTAGTTGTTGATTTCGCTGCCTTCGCCTTCGACAACTACATATGCACCGGCAGTGGCTGTAGTTGAAGCACTGAGCGGACCTTCAGGATGGGCGCTTGGTGATCTGGGTGATGGGTGTAAAATCTCTGGGGATGTGGCGGGCGTGAGGGTGTCCAGGCCAAAATGGCCGTCGCCCAACCTGGCGATTGTTGTATCGCCATTAGAAGGATGTATTCGAGACGTCAACTCGTCGACCAGTCTTTGGAGGCTACGGAGATAGCTAGACAGCTGTATTAGTTACCTTACAACGGAAAGGACAAAGTGTCTCTGTCTACTCTAGACAGGACAACGAAGGACCAACCTCGCATCCCCGGGCTGGCCGTCTATCCTGACGATCTGGCCACCGGAGTAGGTACAATTCAAGGCATGTTCTACACACACATCAATAAGTCACATATTTCTTGACAGCACTCTGAGATAGGTAGCAGGTAACAGGTAGCTCATACTTCTACAGTGACAGCACGGCGTCGACTCATCGCAGCGATACTTCTTCGTCCTACACCGATCACAAGCTCTGGCAGCTCGCAGACGCTTGTGCTTCCCAATGGAAGAGGACGAGGAGCGTGAACTCTGCACGGCGGTCTGGATGCTAGCCCGACTGACAAACGATGCAGATGCAGGCGCAGGCGTATCCATAATTTTTCTTCTTGTTGTCCCAGGTCACGTTATCTGCCTGACTCAGGTCAACTTGGAAGTAGGTACCTTAGGTATAATTGGCAGGTAGGTAGGGGAGGTAATTTAGGTAGGTAGGTAGAGAGGGAAAAGGATAAGGAGGGAGGAGCACGAAACCAGCCAGCAGCGGGTCGTTGAAACGGGGCGAGAGTTCATACAGTATTGCTACCAAGGGGGCTGGGCGATGCCACAGGCTTGCAGTCTTGCAAAGTATGCTGTGGTGGTGGTGGTGGCTTGCTGGGTACCCACGTTCCAATTCCTTGGGCTCCGGGCAGGACAGGACAGGACACTAAGTACTGATCGCGGCAGAGCTATGCCATGCCGCCCAGCCGTCTGTCTGTCAATAAGTAAGTCTGGATTTCACCAATAACAGGGGACAACAGATGGCGAGGAGCCCAAGATTTCACTATCTCTATTCCATTACTGTATTATCTTCGTAAAACTACCATTATCCCGTCCAATAATATTTCAGGCCTGGTATAGATAGATAGGATAGATCGTTCATTCCGGTTCAGTTCAGAAAGCATAGTACAGTAGAGACTGTGCGTGACTTACACATTCCCTAATTTTTCCACCTGCCTGTACATAATTCCAACCAAATTCTTACCTGCCTACCTAACTTACCTATCCAAATCACCTTCCTGGGTACATTTACATTTTCCTGCTTTACCTTACCTTACCTTACCTTACCTAACCAAGAAAACCGTCCCACCCCACCCTGCCCACCTAATTTTGCCCACCTCCCAATGTGGCCACCCGCCCTCGTCCCTCGTGCCTCGTCCCTCGTCCCTCGTCCCCGTCAACTGCCCCCAGTGCCCTGCAAACCTTAAGTCGTCCCACCCGTTGAGTGGACCATACCACCCACTGCCCACCCTACCTACAAGTATGTACTCTACGCAGCGTAAATTTACTCCAGGGTCCACTCAGCCACTCCACCTGAGGACGGGTGGGTGAGGTTAGGTTAGCTACCTACAGTAAGGTTAGCGAACGTGGCGATCCGGGGTCCATTGCAGGAGAACGGAACCGGAAACAATAAATACCCAGGTAAAGTCGGATATTTTGAAATGTAAAAGTACGGAGGTATGTGCTTGGGTAAGGTAAGTTAGGTAAGTCTTGGGGAAATAGAGTTTATTCAAGATGCAGGTTGCATTGCGCCTCTAGGTTGGGGTGCGTCGGTATGGCACCTGGGCAGGCAGGCAGGAGGCAGGGTGACGGTGAGACAAGCGACCGAGACGAGATGTCTACCTACCTACCTAGGCGAGATGCAGTACTGAATGATTGACGTGACTTGGCCTTGCCTTGGAAGGGAGGGAGCTGAGTGAGGGATTGGGAGAGTCATGAACCTGGGAAGGTTCTTGAGGGTAAGGAATTTAGAAAACTCTGTACCTAATAGGAGAATGTTGTCTGTTGTAGTACTCAGACGAAGAGTCTCTAACTGACGATATATGGTAGTCACGTATACAACACATTTCATAGTAGATATCATACCACAGCTGCTGTCTAGTCCATTGTCCAAAGAGTCCATCTTAGGCCTAGACAACCACCAAGATTCTAGATCCGAATATCTCCCAACAGGCGCCGTGCATGAAATTAAGTTGGTCCCTCATTCCCAGAGGCTTTCCTCATCGAGCTGGATACTTCACCACCCCCAGCTCGGCTTTCCCGAGCTTTCTTTCTGCACGGGGCACCATACACTCTAACTTTCAACTCCAAATACAATTTCAAATCAAATCAATCACCTTTTTCCTCTCCCGTTTGTTCATTCAAACAACAAAAAAACCTGGGCATTCGCAACCAGCCACGCACCACCCCCGCTCTACTTGCCCACTAAGTACCTACCTACGGTCCACCATCCCAAAAGAATAATCACCCATCACCCGGAATACTCGGGGCTGGTCCTTCCTTGTCTAGAAGAATCCGGCATTTCCCACCGCTTGCGCAAGCCCGTTTTGTGTAACTTGCTCTCGGGGCGTGTGATAGGCGCGTCCAGGTCCAGGAAGCGGTGGCTCAAAGCCCTAGTCCTCTTTCCCCAGACTATTTTTCCCCAGACTCTCGATTCTCACCTGACGAACTAGCCCCAGGATTTTGTCCTTTTAGTCTCGCCTTGCCCCTGCCCTGGAATCTCGAATAAACAGACCTCGCAGTACTTTTCCAAAGTGCTTATTCGGTTCTTCATTTTCAGATATTCTTTTGTATACTCTCTAGTCTACAGTCAACCTCAGTGCGAACAGTTCTTCTATCTATACCTGCTCATATCATTAGCGAGCCAGGTTCAATATGACGGAGGATCAAAATCAGGTCGCCCCTGGGACTCCAGAGGTCGAGGAAGAGGAGGAGATCAAGGTCCATGCCCAAACCTGGATCGTTGTTTTTGTACGTATGAATTGGTTCAAGCGACAAGAAAAAACGGCTAATTCTTCTCTAGTGCATCAATTTGCTCTACTGCTGCCAGCTTCTTGCGGTAGTTGGCTCTGGTTTCCTCACCCAGTCAATCACCAAGTTTTTCGGAGACTCATCACAAGGCGTATGGTTCAGTCAAGTCCTGACCATCCTCACCGTTGCGTTGAGCCCGCCCGTTTCCCAAGCCGTGGACTACTGGGGCCGGAAATGGATCGTCGTCGTCCTGAGCTCCATGGGCTGCTTTGGATGCATCATCGCATCCAGAGCACAAAGCACAGGAACGGTGATCGCTGGCTTCACCATCACCGGTCTCAGTCTCGGCTGTCAGTGCGTCCTGATGGCTATCGTCTCTGAGATCCTTCCACGGAAGCAACGCCCTTTAGCTCAGGCCACTATCAACGCAACGGCAGGCCTAGGCGGCGTTTTGGGTGTCGTGATAGGTGGTTTGCTGGTCCGACACGGTGACCTGGGACATTTCCGCATCTACTTCTATGTGACTGCCGCATGCTACGCTGTAGCTACCATTGGAACGGCTCTTTGCTACCACCCGCCACCTCGGGAGAAGCTTAGCATGACGAATGCTGAGAAGCTCCGAAGTATGGACTGGATCGGAATCTCTCTGTGCGGAATAGGGCTGGTATTGTTCTCCATTGCCTTGTCGTGGTCCCGAAACCCATATCCATGGACAGATGCACACATCCTCGCGCCATTCATTCTTGGTTGTGTCATGTTGATCGGGCTCGGCATCTATGAGTGGAAGATTAAGAAGGACGGCATGCTACATCACGACCTCTTCCGAGACAGAAACTTTGCCATAGTCATTCTGTGCATCTTCGCGGATGGCCTGATCTTCTTCACCGTCAATTCGTACTACGCTTTCCAGGTCTCGGTCTTTACGGGAGCGGACCTGTTGATTTCCGGTCTCCAATTCGCCATGCTATTCTTCATAGCATCACCAATGTCCTTTATCGCTGGTGCGTATTCAGCCCGGGCAAAGGATGTCAGGAACCCCATCGTGCTGGGCTTTATCTGTTTCGTGATATTCAACATCCTCTTGGCCACCACAACGCCGTCGTCGCCCCACGGTGTTTTCTGGGGCTTTCCAGTCTTCATTGGACTCGGCCTCGGGCTCTGTCTACCGGCAATGATGGTGACTGCACAGCTGAGCACACCCCCGGACCTGATCGCACTGGCAACTGGTCTGATGGTAGGGGTTCGGTCTGTGGGAGGTACCATCGCGCTCGCAATCAACAACGCTATCTTCAATAGCGCTCTGTCGACGGAGATGCCCAAGAAGATAGCCGCTGCTACTCTGCCCCTGGGACTTCCTGCGTCCTCCCTCGGGCAACTGATCCCGGCTCTTGCGAATGGTGACAATGCTGCGCTTGCCCAGGTTCCAGGTGCGACCCCGGAAATCCTCGGTGCGGCCGGCGAGGCACTCGTGGAGGCCTACCATATTGCGTTCAGAAATTGCTGGATCGCAGCTGCTTGCTTCTGCGCCGTAGCTGTTGTCGGTAAGTCCTCACCACAAATATTTTTTTCTTATCATGTCAAGTCGTGTATTTTAACTGACGGGTTGGTGTAGGTGGCTGTTTCGTTAATGTGCCTGCCTCGGAATTCAATGCCCATATCGACGCCCCGGCCGAGTCCGAGGTGGTCGAACTCCAGAAAGCGATCGAATCGAAGCATGGCTACATTGAGGAGGTTGAGGTGGCTCGTAAGAACGAAGGATTGATTTCCGAGAAGAACTAAGGATCGGCACGCGATCGAAGAGTAGCCAGCAGCTGTTTTTGTACAAATGAGGTTGGAGAAAGGATCCGAGACTGAGCAGTTATTGAAAGGAGTGACAGAGGATAAGAACTCTTTTTGTGCCAGTATAGCAAAGTAATCAGATTATCGCGCGTCGGCCGTGCAATTTCCCGGTGCAATCGGGTGCTATTGCGAGAGTGAGACTTCTTGTACATCAATCGTTCCGCCATGAATTACAGACCAGGGAATGTCTTTCGTAACTGGTCCTTAAAGATGCAGTGATCTTTGAACAGAGCGTTGTGTTTTCATAGAACCCAGCATGAGCAAATACATGGTCGCCCTCCAATCAACCACCATTGAATTTGTTGCTCCGCGATGTCCGAGATTGTTGTTCTTCACGTCTCATGCATAACAACAATACAATATCTTCCTCCATGCAGTGTCCCACCTGAATAACTGTTGTTGTACAGCAATGTGGATTTGAACTAAGCGGGTATACAAAACTGTTACATACTTGGGTGTATGGCTGGCTATATAGTTGGACAAATAAACTTGATACGCTAAATCAGAGTAATAAAACGAACGTCAAACAGCAAAGAAAATAGAACTCAGCCTGTCCTTGGCTTCCTCTCCAACTTCTCCCACTTAGTACTAGTATAAAACTCAAGCACATTCGGATCCATAGGAATCTGCTGCCTATTAAAGCCCGTCAATCTCAAGCCCTCGAGGTGGGTAGCTCTCGAAAGCGCGACATAAAGCTGGCCAGACTCGAAAATATCTTTCGATGAAACCCCGACAAACTCCAGAGTCATGCCCTGACTCTTGTGAATCGATAATGCCCACGCCAGGGCGAGCGGGATTTGAGTTCTGGTGGCAATGTACTGCTCGAAAGGATCGTTGCCGCCTCTTAGTCCAGACGAGGCGACGGCCGAGATGAGCTTAGTACGACCGTTGTTGAAGCGAACGACTGGCCGGAGCTGTGTATTACGATTCCTAGAAAAGTTCTGACCTTGGAACCTAATCATCGACTCTTTGCGGACTTCTTTGTATTTCCCAGTCAACTCCTCAATTTTGAGGAGCTCACTCGTATCCGGGCCGAAGCCAATGACAACTCCTTGCGATCCGTTTACTAGGCCTAGTTCCTGGTCGAGATTGTGCAGCAAGACCACTTGAGCTCCAACCGCAAGTGTCAAATCTTGTGGGAAGCGATGATCCCGTAGCGAGTCTTTGCATTCCCTGACTTTGAAAGGATCGGGTGGAAGAGCTCGACCGTCACTCTTCAGGATGAGCTTATCAGCTGCATCATCTGAAAGCCAAGTTCTTGGTTGCGAAGTAAGTTTTCGTAAGTGCTCTTCGTTGAACGACTTGACCTGAGCCACTCTGGACATCAAACGAACCTGGAAAGCATCCTTGGGCAGGACTTTCGGACGTTCAAGGTCTTGCCACTCTGCAGAAGAAAGTGGGCTACCATTTCGGACTTTATTCAGGATATCTTGAAACCGGGTATCTTTCTGACGATGGATCTGCTCAAGTTTGATGTGTCGAAGTTTTAGATCCTTCCACACGTCAGACTTGAATGCCCATTTGTCTCCCCATTGAGGCGCCGGTCGCTTTGACGCTCCCTCATCAGAGCCCTCCTTGGCAGGGCACTTCTGAGATTCGCAGATAGGCGCATCTTTTCTCGTGATAGCGTGACCGCAGTGCATACAGTATTGGAAGGGCTTGACTGGCGGTAATTGATGAGAATCTCCAAGAAATATGACTTGCTTCCCGCCAAATGGAAGTTTGTTGCCCATGGCTTTTTGGAATAGTTTGTTGAGACGTTCCAGAAAGTGATTCTCGACCATGGAGATTTCCTTGTTCGGGCTTGTCAGCTTTGGGACTTTTCTATGCCTTATTTAGGAGGCTACCTCGATAACAAGAGTATCCAAATCATTGATCGTCTTGATCGTTCCGATTCGTGGCTTCAAAAGATCATGAAGGCTTTTTCGAAAAGAATCAGGATTCCACTGGTCAACCTTCCGTCAGCATACTCACCATCCCGAAGGCCTTGTATCACTTACACCGGCGAAAGAAAATGTGGTTCTTCCTCCTAACGGAATGGCCGCAATTCCAGTTGGGGCCACTACTTGCACCTTGCCTCCCTTCTTCCTCTTTTGTATCCTTCTCAATATCTCTTTCAATGTAACAGTCTTTCCACTTCCTGCAGCTCCAGTCATGAAGATATTGTTCTTACGCAATGCAAGATTGACGACTTTGTCTTGTTCGGGGGTAAGTTCGATCACTGTTCGGCGGATTCGGCGGAATCTGTTTGCCGGGGTGCTTTCACTTGGTTGATGCGTCTCAACTCGAATCTCTCCTCTGCAGTGAGGACAGGGTCTCCGTGAGGATCGTCCACCCTAGGCTTTTTGTACTTCATGTCTGCTTCGTCGTCGGAGATTTCAATGTAATTTGCAGGACGTTTGAAAGATGGCATTGGAGAGGAAGAGGGAGGCGGCGTGCTGTAGCTACAAGATTGCTCCAAAGATGAAGGCTCGTGTTTGTGTAGAGGAGAGGAGAATTCGTTTTTCGTCTCGTACTTCAGAACAGGTCCTGGCAGAGCTTGAATACAGGGCATATTTCGCGAGTTCTGTGGCAACATTTTCTCCAGCGGTTCTCCTTTGATCATCCTTCCCTCATGCCTCTCATATCTCTCCGCCGGTGCCCGCGGAATCGGTTCATTTGCATGTGTCGAGTACGTCCTAGGTGGTGGAGCATAAGCAGCTTCCAGTCTTGGTCTCGCCTTCGGTGCTGTCTGTTGCAAGAATGTTGAAGCTCCAAGCTTGACAAAAAGCTTCCGCTGCCACTCTGACCAGGCTAGTTCGGCATCATATGCCCTCGTGAAGGCTTGGACTTTGCTCTTGGGAACTCCTTCTATCTGCTGCTGGCATTCTTCTTCGCTGTAATAGACTCCTGGAGTCTTGCCTCGAAATACCACAAAGGCCACGGGCTTACAAGTTGGGTCCATGACGAAGATTATCGAGCTATTGAAGCTAGTAACGGATGATCTAAGTGCAGATTCAATGTATTCATCGAGGTGTTTGCAGTTCTTGAATGTTTGGCTCTGGTGTTGAAGATAAATTTCAGGGCAGACGCGCTGACGCGAATCACTAAACGCGCTATGGATGCACCGACCATGCGCTAAACCTTAACCTTATTTTATGAGGGTCCAGTGCATCTGATCCACTTTCTTCATCTCAAGTTGGAAATGGAAGTCAACAAATCCAACATGCGCTACGAACAACACCACCTGAACTGCCTTCGAGAGCCACCTCTTCAGTGAGTCCGCTGGGCGAGATCAATGCGTTGTCCAATCACTAGACTTCGAGCTGGCTATGTACGAAGCAACCTGCTTTAACATTAATATTGAATCTGGGTGATGCGAATCTTGTCGAGTTCTGAAACTCATCATGAACAGATGTGTGAAGCGAGTGCAGGTCAACTCGGGGGTCACTACCTATTCTGAGTACCAGCCATTTGTCTCATCATTTTCCCATGCAATCGTCTGCTCTAGATGCTTCGCAGTACTTATCACTAGCTTTCCAAGCCTACTACAGCCGCGATGGTGCTCTGCTAGCACCCACCAACCTCGCCGCCGCCATCCCTGCTCTTCGTCCAAACACAGCACCACTGGTCAAGCCGCTCCCTCCAGGATAATTTCCATAGAAGAGCCCTCCAACCATCTCCCCCACGCAAAAGAGGCCCTTGACCTCCTTGCCAGACTGCGAGATAACAGCCGTGCTCGTTGGATTTATCGCGAGCCCTCCAAACGTGAATGTGATTCCACAACACACCTTGACGACCATGAATGGGCCTCGACTGACAGGAAGTGCCCAATTTGACTTCGGTAATGCAAGCTTCACCTTCGAGCTCTGAGTTGACAGCCCGTCTTTGACAGCAGGATTCCATTTCATAGCTGTTGGTCTTTCCTTTTCCGCAGATTCAACAGCAGCATTATACTCCTTCACCGTCTCCACGAACCTCGCTGGATTCTCAAGTCCCTTCTTCACGCAGTTTTCCGCTAACTTCTCCAGCGTCTCACCCCAAATCTTCTCCACCACCGCATCCCTATACTCCTCATCCCTCAGCCACGAAATCGCCCTCTGATCCCAAACCTGAAACGCCACCCCTTCAGGCTGCCCATGAATCGCCCTTCCAAACTTCGCATACGTAAAGTTCCGCAAATCAACACCCTCATCGACGAACCTCTCCCCGCGAATATTCAGCATCAGACCAAGCGGATACCCACTCTTCGTGAACTCGTTGGAGATCTCGCGGTCTCCAGAGTTGGCTGGCGCATTGGCGTCCCAGCAGGTACTGTGGCAGCCTGACCAGTTGCCCTCTTGTTTGGCATTGACGTCTCGGATGGCGAACTCGAGGACTTCGCCGGTGTTGAATGGTGTACCGCGGACGCGCGCGAGATCCCAGCCTGGCCCGAGGTATTGAGAGCGCATGCGAGGATTGGCTTCGAAGCCTCCAGCAGCAAGAATCACTGCTTTTGCTTCAATGAGTGTGTCGATACTGTCGACCTCGACGACGACGCCTGATACCGAGCCATTTGCGGGATCTGTAATGATGCGTTTTGCTGCTGTGGAGTAGTAGATTTCAATGCCCTGACGTAGAGCAGCATTTTGGTGGTCTCGGATGAGACCTTTCCCTCCCTCCTCGGTTTTCAGGCACATGCCGCCCCAAAACTTGAAGCGGCCATTAACTTCGTAGGCTTGTCGATTGAATGAGAGCTGGAAGCGGATTCCTTGTTTGGCAAGCCATTTGACAGCGGAGTTCGATTCGGAGATCAGGACTTCGCTGAGTGAGGGGTCTGTCCGTCCTGAGGTTATGCGGTCCATGTCGGCGCGGAAGTCGGCTGCTGTGTATGGCTCTAGGTCGATGAGTGAGGCCGTTGAGGAATCGACATTGTTGACTAAGGGCAGAAGATCAGATTTTCCGGCGTGGACGGTTCGAAAAGCACCGGCTGTGAAGTAGCTGTTCCCGCCAGCCCATTCTTCAGGACATTTGTCGATGAGAACAACACGTTGTACACCAGCTTCGGCTGCTTGTGTTGCAGCTGTAAAACCAGCATTGCCGCTGCCAATGACAAGGACGTCGACAGGAGATACGAAAGGTGGAAGAGCGGTCATGGTGCAAAGGACGGCGGATTGATACAAAAGAGAAAATAGTGATGAACACTCGAACCCTATGCCATGAAACGGACATGAAAGTCAAAATGAACGGCGGATGACAGCAAAAGGACTGTCAGCTTCGGAAATGCGCCAAGAACGCTCAACAATATATATATATATATATATATATATATACATCAGAAAGGGTATGTAAGGTAGGATCCAGTCCCCAGCTCAAAAAAGGTTCATGGTTGATTTTCAAATGACAACTTGGTCGCAGCAGGGGAGGAAGTGGTGTTAAATATGTAGATGAGAGCCTGGCACTGGTGAGAAAAGTGAAGTCGTCACTACCAAACGCGGGGTACGCGAGTCATGATTCGCAAGAGATCAACAGCCCCACGAATCGTCGCCTCTATGAGGGGGATCGTGTATGACAGGTGAGGACATTCCGCCTCGACGCAGTCAACTTCCTCTCTTATTAGTGCACTAAGCAAGTGCTGGCAATTTTCATGTTGGAAATCTTCTCGAATGCCTATTATGTATCTTGTTCAAAGTATTGAACTCGCTTGCCAATTTTTCACAACAGGTTGGTCAGTATCAGAGCATAATTGTAATAAAATCTTCAAGAGAATAAATACCAAATAACTTTCAGGTCCGAAATGAGCCCAATAGCTAACAACAAAGAACGTGACATAGCCTAATAAAAGCATTCTCAAAGCGGCTCCAACGCCTCTTTTTCTCTAAGCTTCATTTCTGAACACCTCCCAACAACCCGATCCTCATGCATGTGCAGCATCTTATGAAACTGCAAACTCATAATCGCTACCGGCTTCTCAAGCTCTACCGTACCACAAAAAACCAAATCACATGTATTCTCCAGTCTCCGGACAATCATGGCAATGACCCACCCTGAACCTTCATCCGCGTCTTTCAATATCAGCTCTTACACGAAAACGTTATCACCAGCCTAAAGAAGCGCGTCTTTCCCATGCGATGATCATGTATACGCATGCCATTCAAGCTGTGGGAGATAGTCTCCCTGCTCCTTGGGAGAAAGACAGCGAAGAGCATGGTACTGAGTACTTTGCCATCGACCGCTCATCAATACATGTGAACTCGCATGGTTTGTTGAGATCCACTTCAGGGTGTTGAATATAGCTTCCGTGTGGGGCAGCCAGATCTTTCATCCGGCAAACGAGGTCGGCTTTCGTTTCAGGGAATGACGTGCGTCCGTCTAGAGCTGGAAAGAGTGGGAAAGCATTGTCGTGCATGCGTCTCGTTTGAGGTAAACGTCTCCTTGTGAAGCTGCCGTCATGGAGTTTCCGCATTCGTAGAATCTAGATTCGCTTTTTCTATCCCTTGGGTAGAATAGTGATGTTCCTCTTGGATTCAAGAACGAAATGGAGTTCGTCGTTTTAACACGCCCAGTGCCATTGTTGGCTCGAAGTCGCTCCATATTCCTCATAAACTAGCAAGCCCCTATCCAAAAGGCAGTTGTTGATAGGTTAAAATATGACGCATTCGTTACACCAATCCACGGCATGCTGTTAGTTGACAGCTTTTTGGCACCATCGAGGCTTGAAGGCTGGAATGCTTTCCGCCGCTGTAGCTTCTGGAAGATCCTCAGCCGCATCGGACAATAAGATCCAAAACTCGATCCCTGCCTTTGGCAATTTGAACATTGTTTATCGGAGGTAAGGCTGAAAGCTGCACGAGGCTAAGCACTACAGTAATGAGCCGCTCGAGCCACCTGCATGTTTATGTGTATTTTCCGTGGCTAGTCACTCGTTTTGAAACAGAATGCCGTGTCTCGGCAAACTTTATGATCTTTGCCCAGCCTTCTTCAATGTCCGAAGTCCGTAGCTCAGCTCCGACAGCAGGATGACGGTTCCAAAAATTATTATTGAATGTTTAATGTCTGCAATAAGGTCAACAATTCGGAAACTTGTTCCATGCTTGTCTCGTCGCTTTTTTGCAGTGGCAGTATTGTCGAGTTTGTTGACCTGGTTTCCAAGTTATGCTGGTTTGTCTGCCGGAGCCGAAGCAATCCCAGAGCATACTGTCGATATTCATCTGCATGCTCGTAGAAACCAGTCCTGTCCATCGATCCGTCATTGCTTATATCTGTGCAACTGTACTGTTTGTCGGAGCGAGTGGCCCAGAACAGCGACCAGGTATGTAACATGTTTTTGGTCTGTTCTTCATATGATGGAATGTTGAACAATGAGCGTGGTTGTTGGAATATCCACAGGACTAGGCCTATGTTCTCCCGTCAGTTCTTGAGGGTAGATTAACAAGTAAGGACTATTACCACTTATTATACTGAAGAGATTCACACTATCCAAGTTCAAAAATGTCGAATATCCCTCTTCGCTCAACATATTGGTACGTACAAGTTCAACAGCCTTCCACAGTGGAAGAGTCGCTCGAAGACTTCCTGGCGGGCATAGAACTTGCAGTTTCTGGTAGCAGGACTTCGCAGTTTCGGCTCGAAAGCATTCTCGTGGACTTAGAAATCCACATTGAAGTTCTTCAAGAGCGAATCTAGACGGTGTGTTGTTAAAAAAAACATATGAAGTGTTGACCAGAAAGATGAACGTGGAAATTCTAGAGAGACACAGGTCAGCGAACGTTCTCAGACCCCAATAGGTTCATATACCGGATCGACTCTTCCTTTGCGATATACCGCTTCCAATTAAAGTCATTTCCCAGCTCTTCTGGGGTATGATGCATCTGACCCAGTCCGGAACTTTTCACAGTCTGATTTGATGTGAGCTACCTTCAAATATTTACGACAACCCGGCTTACGTTGACCATAGTACTGAATCTATCCCGCCTTGCTCTCGCGCTTGCCTCGCTGTCTCCTTCCCAGTTCTGGAGGCAACAAATGAGGAAGGTCGTTTGAAGCCCAGTCGGCCTAGGAATATCTCGACTCGATCCGTTTAAATTGGAGCATTGATCGGTATTCTCAAAGTCCTCGAAAGCAATTCGTTCGGCAAGATCAAAATATCGCCTAGCAAGATCTTTATCCTTGCTAGCAGGAGAAGCTACTGCCCCAAGAAGCACCATCGCGATTACAAGCGGCGCAGGCGCAGTGATCAAGTTGAAAGTGGAGAAATGGATAATCGGGCAATGCGGATACCAAAAGTTCCAAAACCATTCAATGAGTCGCCTGATGTTTGGGGGACTAAAGAATTGCAAGCACTGCCTACTTTGGAGCGACATTGCGGGGGACGCAGATGCTAGCTCAGCCAGCTGTCCAGGAAGACCGATTTTTCGAAATCTCATAAGTATCTCTCGCGATTTCGGGAAGAGTGGGTCTATAATCCAATCGACCATATCTATGGCAGTGAGATGGTCCAAGGTCCCGATGGGCCTGCCAACGGTAAGTGTGTTGATATTCCAGAACTCATTTCGAGCTCCAGATGCAAGGCTGTCGAATTGCAGCCATGAAGAGGTAGCTGATGTATAGTCCACTATCTGCTGTACTGCTGGTACCCCTATTTCAGTGAAAGACGTGTCAGAGAGCATTGATAGCGCATCCGAAGGCATCTCGATCATAAAATTTTCGGGTAGAAACTGCTGCCATTGACCGCCGGGGGACGAATATTGAAACCCCGTAGCTATTCCTTTGGAAGAAGTGAAGTTACGAAGGAAAGCCAGAACGGAGGTGCTTTTGACAGCAGTAGATTGTGAATGGGTGAGCCACTGTGAGCTGTTGGATGCATTTGGTAGCTCTGATATAAATTCCGGAGCCGATTCAATGCCAGTGACAGAAACTCCAGAGGTTTTGATGGGCACAATGTCACCGTCTTCGACATCCGGTCCAGCAGATTCCGCAGAAGTGCCTGCAAAGCCTTTTCCGGTTGGGGCTCGAGTGTAGGTACATATTGAGCCCCTACTGGTACAATCAGAGCAAGGTTGTCTCTGATCACACCCCCTTTTACTTAGAGCACAGGAATCACAAGATCTGGTTTTCCGACCTCGTCGGGCTGGTTGGGGGATCTGGGCGCCTCTTGAAATTCGAGCCCTACATTTCTTATAGTGCAGTCGACGAACGTCGCTAGAGGAGAACCATGACTTTAGCAATTTAGACTCTTGATTGGGTCATGCGGAACTAACCTTCGAGCGAAGTTTCGTTTACAGAACTCGCAGGTGTGATCTTTCAGATGCTTAAAGTCAGCCTCGGGTGATTTGGGTTCAGCCGTGTGTGAAAGAGGGGGAATGGTTCTGGTCAAAGCGCTCACCCGCCATCTCTTCATTCCCGTGCCTGGAAGCCTCCAAAACTCTAGGATGGTGTCGAAGCGTGGGCCTAGGATGAGCCCTTTAATAACAGTCACATCTGCAGCTCACTGGCGTCTCGATAACCACTGCTGGGCGATGAAGTTGACAGTATTTTCAGATCATGCTTTGGGTTGAGATAAGGTTTAGGGGAACTGGGAAGGATTCCGTGCACTAAGCCCATTCTCCTCCCCGACCTGCGGGACGGAAAATCGATACGCCGATGGCATGTTTACTCTTCTTTATGGCACCACTGTGAGACATGATCTGAGTCTGGGATGGACGACCACATAGAGCAGAAAAGATTAAGTAATTTCAATGCAGAAACCATCATCAAACCCTTATGAGACAGAACGAACACTGAAAGCCACTTAAGCCCGTCCAATCCCCTCGCTTAACTTCTGGTCTTGGCAGTTTTGGTTGTAGAATCTGGTACAGACACCATTTCTAGACAAGGTGGTTTGTAAAGTTATTGGAACATCGTGAAATAGTCAAGACGACGTTTTTAGAGGATATTTCAGATCGGATGATAGAGTCATCAAATGCATAAGAGCAAAAGTGGTCCTTTCGAAACAGCCAAGACATTCCGTCAGGGTGCAAGACTGAGACATCGACATTGCTACAGCCTCACCTGATGCACTAACCAATGTTTAACTCGGCCAACATGATCATTAGAAGGTTCAAAGTAATGCGGTTCATTCACTAAACGATAAATGTGCACTTCTCGCATGCCTCTCATGCTGAGGTATGTGTCAAAATCCCCAAACAGCAGTGCCTCAGCCAGCCATGCCTCCCTACCGAGCACCAGCATTCTTGCTATCTTTATGTTCCAGTAGCAGTTCAATGAGAGTTTCCTGTCATATGAAAGCTTATCAGCATATTTCTGTACTATTTATCAGAATTTCAAGCTGGAAGTGAGCTCATAAGAATAAATCTTACCCAACAATTTGTTGTCATGCATTGTCTGCCAACACCTCCCAGATATTCGACCAACTCTTGTTGCGATGGGAGTAGCAGAGAGAGGCCGATAATTTCAACGCCAATCTGATACATCCATCTCAATTCTCGCCACTTCATCGGACCGGTCGTCGAAGCTCTGAAATCGTCCAACTGTAACGGGGTCAGCGGGCTGCATGGACTTGCATGCAATGGAGATGTCGAAAGGTGGAAAGATACATACGGCTGCATCAACTTCATCGTACATTATAGCCATTTGCAGTTGTGTGTCTGATCTGTTCCACTCGAGTTGAGTCTGATCTTCCGATTCTTCAGCGCCAGAGCCTCTTCCACACCGGTCGTGTAAGCATATGTCAGTAGCGCACGGTTTTGAGGGGTTCACATGGGAAGTAGCTTTAAACGAATGGGTCTGATGTCAACCATGGCATTCGAGCTATCAATATCGGTTGAAAATAAGTTGCTATTTAAAAGCCGGCTCTTTCTGAATTTGAGTCTGAAGTCAGTATCGGGAAGTTGTCTGGTGGGGTATTTGATATCAATCTGAAGTCACAAAATCAGGCATGAAGTTTATGTTTAGGTTAATTTTGCCATGGTCTGGTTATAAAATCTTTCATAAAATTCTCGACGTTCTACACTCCGTCAGAGTTATCTTCCTGCATATGAAACGGCAACTCCTCTCCCCACTCCCTCACCCCTCCTTCCTCAGCTCCACCGCCGTCACTCCCAATCCCATCCACACCCATATCCACGATCTCCTCTCCCGACTCAGGCTCATCCATCTCATCAATCCTCGCCGGCGGATCCTCGAATACCAAGCTCGTCCTCTCCAAGGCCCTCCTTCTCCTCACCCTCCTCGCGCTCGATCCCACCTGGTTAGCATCCAGAAAATTGAAAGGTTGCACATCTTCGTCATCAGTGTCGCTGCCGATACTTTCAGAGAGCGTTCTCTTGAATACGCTGCTAGAACTGCGTCGTTTCGCTAGTTTTTCGGCACGCATTTTGAGAAGCCATTCTTTGTTAGCTAATTCCTCTTCATCCTCTTCTTCATCATGGTCATTGTCGGCGACGGCGGTTCCAAATGACATGTTTTGGAAGTTTGCAATAGAAGGAGAATCTTGGCTTTGCTCAGCTTGGGCCTCACTTTCTTCGGCATCGCTGTAGCTGCTCGGCCAGACAGTCTCATAATTCCTCAAGCTCCCTCTATCACCTTCTTGGACTTCTTCAATCGTGAAGCCAAATTCGATCGACACAGATTCCATGTCTGGAATACTTTCTTCGACCTCCACATCTTCTGGGACTGGCGACAATGAACGCGTAGATGAAGGAGATGATGCGTCTGATTGAGCTGACAAAGGAGGAGATATCACGACCTCTCTCGGCGACATCGAATTGAAGCTAAACGCAAAAGTCGGAGTCGTCTCACGAGACTGTGGTCGAAACGGAATACTTCCCCAGGGCTTCCCTGAAGCCGAACTTTGAGAGAAGTCAAACACGTTGGCTTCGTCTGGCTCAACAGACTCTATTGTTTTGGACTCCACATTCACCATATTCTCCGTGGTGACAAATCCGACAAAGCTGTAAGCTCGATTCTCTGGGAGTAGGTCCCAAATCTCTAGTGGTACTCGTAACAGAAGTAGGGTCGAGAAACTGCCGAACACTCCCTCGATTTTGATATCCTTGGCTTCAGGCGGAAGTTGGCGTAGAAGACACTCCTTCCATGCTTCAATGTCGAGTTCATGTTTATCTAGTCTGATCGAGAGAAGAACCTGGGGATATTGATTAACTTCGTCAACTGGCCTTTTTCGTTTTCTTGCATGCTCGTTCGCACTTGAATACATCCGAGGAGACGATGGACCCACTGACCCTGTTGACCGATGAATAGGCGTACTGCTCGATGCCTCAAATTCCCTTGCATTGGACTTCAGCGGAGCTAGAATGATACTCCTTCTCGGCTCAGTCTCGCATATAATACTATAAATGGGAGTGCGTCTCGGCTGTCGTTCGAAAAGCAGTCTCCCAGCATGGTCTTCTTTTCTTTTCCCATTATCATCCTTCACGAAAGACGGAGTCCAGCATTTCAGTCGTGTGAGGATCTTAGTGTGAAGTTCGGCCACAGAGAATGGCTTTCTTTTGGAAGCTGCAGCAAGTACTTCAGCCAAAGCATTGCTAAACGAATGTTCGCCGACTTCTGGAGCGATGGTCTCGTATCCACATGCTGCAATGACTTCTGTGACGCCCTTGTGTCGTTGATTGGAAGATAAGGCAGAGGTTGCTGCGGAATTGCAACAATCGTACAAGAGGAGGACATCAGCGTCGGCTTCTTCAAACATAGATTGGATACCGCCAGATGGGAGTGATGGTGAATCAACCTTGCGATTGCTTTGTCAAATTAGCATATATTCCATGGCGGTTGGTATTGAGGACCCACGCAATCCAGACTGGAGCCTCGTTCGCTTGATTGCTCGACCTAGCATGCCCGGCATAATACAGGATGAGCAGCGTATCTTCCCCATCATGTTCCAAAAAGTCAAACACTCTCCTTTTAAGAGCTTTATCCGGCTTCTCATTCGGGATATGAAAGATGTCCACTCCATAATTAAACAAGTCACCTAGAAATCCATACATCAGTAGCTTCTCAACCAATTTCGAGGTTTGAGATACGTGAATACAAGAGGAACAACCTACCAAACACCCCCCTCAAATCCTCCACCTCCCTCTCAACCCCCAAATCATCCCCCTCCCACCTCACCAACAGCACCCAAACCTTCCCATACCTAACCTCATGTCTCTTCGCCCAGCCCGCGTTCACCGCAGTCTGGAGATCAGCCGCCAGATAAGCGATGTCGGGGATGTGTGCTCCGGAAAGAGAAATATCGTGGGTTCTGGGCGCGAGGCGGATGAAGCCGTCGCTGTGGATGTCGTGCTGGATGGGTGTTAGGGGTTTCGATATATAGGGTGAGGGGATGGAGACGGGAATGGGGTTTAGGATGAGGGGAGAGGAGATGAGACGGACTTTGTTACCGAGGCGGGTACGGGATGGGGCGGTGGTGTTGGTGGGGATTGTGCTGGTGGTTGTTTGGTTCATTGTGGGGTGTTTGAGAGTGATCACGGCATAAGTTCAATAATGATATAGAATTTTGAAGAGGTGGATTGGATCCAATTGTGAATTTCTCAGGGGATGATTCATGATGGACGAGGTGCGATAAGGTGTAAGAAGGTTGGGAAGACATGAGGCTGTGATCGGTGAGCGATTTGGGGGCGGCTGACAAAGTTGTCCTGCAAAGTGCCACGTGATCGATCAAGTCATCTTCTGTTTGGAAAAGTGAAGCTGAGATATTATAGATAACATTAATTGTTATGTACATTACTTTGTTTGTTCAGTATGGAATTCATACCATAACCTAAGCGAGTCTCCTGTAGCATCTCTGAAGCCAAAGCCCCCAGAGGAAAGCCTATCTCAACTTTCCAAAGTGCAAACTCACCAAAGCAAATTGTCCGAAGTCAAGAACAGAATCGGAATATATGAACTTCTGTCTCTATTCTCTCTACTTCTCCCCATGTATATTCTGCTAAGTAGGTAGCTATGTTACGCCATATTATGCACCTCCCCCCAACTCCATCTCACATCTCCATCTTACACCCTCAACCTCATCCTTAATCTCCAGCTCATGTACGCCATATCCCTCTCCCTCCACGCACTTATTTATACCATGCCCTGCACAAACATTCTCAATACACCTGCAATGCCCCTTCAAAATGCCCCAGATATCTCTGTACACCTTCCCCATCCACCTCCACCTACGCCAAGTAAATGCCACAACTAAAGCCAGTACAACCAATTACCTATCACAACCACACCATACCAAAGCCGTATAATGCAGGTACCCACCCACCCAACCTATCCCCAAACGCCTCAAAATCTCAAACCCTCAAGATCTCAAATCCGAGCGCCGAGTCCACAAGAAAAGTAAAAAAAGAACATGACCAGTGGAAAAAAAAACCTCAAACCCCCCTCAACCCCAACCTCTCACTAGAAATAAAGACCACTCAATGTCCTTAAAAATCTCCACCATTTCCGCCCTCCCACCTACCTCACAACGCACGACTTCCCAAGCCCCTCTCCCTCGCCTCCCTAACCCTCCTCTCCCTCTCCCCCCAACTCCTAAGCACCCTCTCCCTCGCAAGCACATAATCCACCGGCTCGGGATAATCACCGAAAGCAATCATCCTCTCCATCCCTCTCTCAATCCCCATTCCTCTTTCCACACCCATCCCCCTTCCATTCGAAGTCGTATATCTGACACCACCGCTACCTGACCCTGAGCCAGAAGAGTGACGATCCATTCTCTCGCCGCCGAGGGGAGGGGAAGATGGCTGCTGTGGTGGGGAGGTTACTGGTCTGGATCGGGATCGGAGATCTGGTGAGAGGTAGTGTTGGGGTGGGGAGGAGGGATTATACAACTGTTGTTTTGGTTGTTGCTGTTGCTGGAATTGTGGAGAAGTGCGTAGATTTGGGCTTTGATAGCCACTTCCGTACGCAGAGTTCGGATTCGGTGCATTATCTGGTGGGTATGGAGAAGTGTAGGAAGCGAATGATGGGGAGGGTATGTCGGGTTCGGGGTACAGATAGGGACTTGTGTTTGGGTTTGGACTTGGATTGTTTGGGTTGGGTGGTAAGGAGGGGGCGAATGTGGGTGCGGTGGGGTTGAATGATGGTCTGCGTGGGGATTGGGGTTGTGGGTGTGGTGGAGAGCTGGAATCTATTAGTCTCCTCCCAAATTGTATGAGCAAAGAAGGAGAGGTCTGCGGCAATAAAAGGAAACATTTGAAGAATCAAGAGGGTATGACTCCTGGAAGGAAAGCTAAGAACTCACTTCTCCTCCAACCCCCACTCATCCAACCTCTCAATCAACGCCGCCCTCGCAAACTCCAACCTATTCCTGTTCTCCTTTCCCGGCTCTCCACTTGTTTCTCTCCCCATTCCCATCCCACCATCCCGTACCGACCCCCTCAAATCCGGTTCCGTCTCCGCCTTACTCGACCTCCTACTCCTCTGCACCACCCCACCCACCTGGATATCGCTCATCGGTAAAGACTGTCCAGATTGACCAGAAGGATCACGAGTCATCGGCTGGCTCTGACTCTGATTAACATGGCCATATCCATACCCTCTCCTCCCATCTCCAACGCCGATACCTAGACCTGTACCCGGATCCGAATCCAGATCCATGTTCGAGAATTCCGACCGTCCAGGAACATACGGACCGTCAACGAATCCAGGACGTCGATGGACCCTAACGCCAGGATACGAGAGACTTAGAAGATCTGTCTCGTTCTCACCATCCCCATTGCCAACTCCACGGCGCACACCCCCAAGATCAGGGCTAAATCCAACTCCAAATCCTGTATTTCCATAAGCATCGACATTCGACCGCGAAGTCATTAAGCTCACAGGCAAAGATTCAGATTGTGTTTCGCGTGCATGATAATTGATAGGACGTGTGGGGCCAAGCTTTGTATTTGCAGTTGCGTTGTTGAGCTCCAGGGGCGGGAAGCCTTCTCTTCTAGGATAGATATTCCCATTTCCGTTCTCCTGCGTTGCGAAATACTGCTCTCCATCTCCACGAGCAGGCGTGAGGTTCGGCGACGGAGGATAAGGCGGCATGAGGACTGGGGAGGTTTGGTGCGCTGATGAATGAGGTATCTTCTGCAGTGATTCCATAGCTGAGAGATGGTGCCGTTCTTGTCTTTCTCGGACGCTGGGCTCGTGATCGGGTTCGGGAGTATCATCAACGACAGCAGTCTCCCCCTCTCCCTCTTCCTCAGCAGCAGTCCCACCAACAGCAGAACGTACCAAGTCCCTCAGCCCCTCGACCGTATCTCTGGTAGGTCCAGCAACAGCAGCAGCATAGCTAGCCAGACCAGTCATCATCCTACCTCTTTGGCTCAGACTCTGACTCTGATTCTCCTTCTTCGCTTCTCCATCCCTCTCCCAGTCATCAACCCGCTCAAGCGGCTTGAGCGAACTGGACCTCCGACTCCGATCCTGAATCATACCTCCCCCTCTAGGACTCAACGGACTATTCTGTCTCATCCGCGCAAGACTGACTTCCGCACCAGATTGTCCACTTAACGTTCCCGTTCCTGCTCCACTAGAAAATGAGAGCCGGCCACGAGATGTTCCTCGCGAAGTAGGAGTACTGCTGCCGCCTTGGAGGAAACCATGTGCTTGGTCATGACTGACATGTGGTGTTATCGCACCAGCACTCACAGCGCGGTAGTCGAGATTTCCATTCTTGTTCTTGATTGAAGGGAGGGTGCGGTACAGCGGACTTGGAATCGGTCGAGCTCTTGGACGTTGATGTTGATGTCTTGGCTGTACAAGTTCCCACTGTGCATCCACACTCACCGGTCTCTGACTGTCAAGCCTCACATACTGCGGTACTGGTTGGGAAGTCGGTGGTGACTGGATGCCAGTAGGAACAGCAATAATCCCCGCTTCCTCCCTATCACTTTCATACCCCGGATCTTCAGGCATAGGGAGCGGGAAATGCTGCTTGTAGATAGCGTCCATGCGCTTGCTGTACTCGTCATCCTTATCCCTCACAGGCGATTCGAATTGCGCTTTTTCAGGCTCCATGCCCCACGTCGAGATGCCACCTTTCAGGTTCAAACCATCATATCTTCCCGGTGTCTCAGGTCCAGCATCACTCGACGAACTCGTGCGATCGAAGATACTTGTTTGGAATACCTCCCTACCACTCCCATTACCAGCGACAATAACACTCGAGCTCTCAGGAGTGCGGCGATCGATTTCCGTTCTGATGGACACGATTCGTTGGGCTAGACTGTCATCTGCTTCTTGCAGGATTTCTTTCTGAGCGGCAGAGAGGCGCTTAGAGAGGTGTTTGCTCAGATGTTCAAAGAGTTTGTTGCCGTGGATTTCGTACAGTCTGTAGTCCTCTACTAGACCCGCGTGAGTCTTCCGTGAGATTCGCTCATTGGCCATGTCATAGCTGCAGCAGAAGAGACGGATTGCGCGGTCTAGCCAAAGGAGGAGGGAGCCGTCCGCGGCGAGGGTGTCTGCGAAAAAGCCTTGGACGACGCTGTGAAGGCGGATGACATCAACGTTGTCTGCTAGCATATCTCTGCTGCGCTTTGAGCTTTGAGAATGTTGTGATGATTGGACTGGTGCCTCTTTGTCAGAGTCTTGCTCATGGTCGTTGCGATCGATGAGGGCGAATGTGTTGAGGATTTTGAAGGTGTTGTTCAGTGAATTGCCTGACACAGGTTCGAAGGCTTTGACGGAAACGTTTGAAGGAAGTGCTTTCAAGCCTAGGGAAATCATCTCGACTGGGATATGCTGGCTGAAAAAACACAGGATATTGATCAAGTTTAGCGCTTCTGTTGCACCTCGACTTTTCAACTGCTCCACTACCGCAATATACGTGCCTAGACCTCTGAGTCTTGGTTCCGACGAATAAGTTCTCGCGAACTTTGAAAGCGGTTCGTCAGTCGTCTTCAGTCGTCGAGCAACTGCATGGATAACCACAGGCAGGAAACCCATCGACTGAACAAGTTCCATCGAGTACCTCAGATCATCCTTCGCAAATGGTTCTGTCCTCCCTAGCTCAAGAAGAAGTAATCTCTGAGCCTCTCTCGCAGAAAGAAGCGGTAGTCTGATCATCTGTGGATTCATGAAATGATGATCCCCGATGACTGATTTCTCGGTCGAGGTATATATGATACTCGTATTCGTGCTATCAGGGATGAACTTCCTCAGCATCGAGTGCGTAAAATGTATCCCATCGAGGACCATAAGCCAATCATGGCGATCGTTCAGCCATTTCCTAACCATCTTGATGAACTGTTCTGGATCATCCACAGAAGCGGCATCTTCGGTACCGACAAGGTGTTTGAGCGCTGCCTTGCGTGCGATATCCCAGAAGCCTGCTGCAAGTTCCGTTTCGCTCTTAGCTCGCAACCAGAAGATCCCACCAGGGAAATCGTCCTTGTGATTATACACATACTGTCGTGCTAGATGAGTCTTACCTCCACCAGGGAGAGATTGCAGCAGAACAGCAGATGTACCATCAGCTCTTCTCTTCTTGTCAAACAACATCTTGTGCATCTGTTCCAACTCAGCTTCCCTACCTACAAAAAGAGAGTTTGGACGGAAGCCGGATGGTTTGATAAAGTATGGTGCATCTTGTGCTGGGTCATCAGGTGCGATACTGATGGTTGATTTCGCAATGACCATTGAACTATGTACAGAGCCCGGATCTACAAGAAAGAAAATCAGCCCTGATCCACCAATTTGAGCAATTTTGAGCAAAAAGAAATCCTTGCAAAGTAACATAGAAATGAGTGAAAGAGATGCGTCAACGAGCAAGAATAACGCCTCGCCAACCCTTCAACCGTCCTTGAATGGACCTTGCAACATGCTTGGTGGCTGAGTTGGATATGGACTCGACCTACCAGGTGTATTCGGGGTACTCGTCAGATGCGGAGTACCAGGTAACAGTCCAGACTACAACAGTCAGCAAAATTCAATCAAGGGCCACCAAGAATTCTTACCATCCTCTGGAGCTGCGCAATCTCATCCTCCCTCTTCTGCTTCCTGAACATCCTCTCAGCCTCCCACCTCGTCTGGATAAACTCCGGACACTCCTGAACCCACGACCTCAGCGTAACAGAAACATTCGTAAATCCCGGCGCATTTTTGCTCCCGAATTTGCACATCCCCGAATGCGTAGCTTCGATACCAAAATATTGGACATCGGGTAGTTGAGGACTGGCGGCTGTCTGGTCAACGATGAGATGTTTGGTGCCTTTGAGATCTGTAGGATGGCCTTCGTGGACCATGCATATGCGCAACCTGTTAGGGTAGAGATCTAAGAAACGGAGGTTGATATTCTGGAGGATTTCGTTGTTACTTTGCAGGGTTTTGACGAGTTGGGAGTGGGTCTCGAAAAGCTTCTTTGGGACCATGGCATTGACCATGCCCTGGAGTATCAAACCCCACTTCGCGGGGTCGGCTCCAGTATGTGGAGTTCCTAGGAAGATGACACCGAATGTTGAAACGAATATCGATCGTAGATCATCGTCATGGTTGCCTTGAAGGTCGAAAGATAGTTCGAGTGCACGCTTGACTAGTATTCCTCCCAAGCTGTGTGCTACCCATATGATGGGATGTTCTCCAACCTCTTCACTCTTCCGCTCGAGAGCTAGATTAGCAAGAAGTGTTTGTGCATGTTGATGTATCATGTCCGAACTATTTTCCGTCAGCACTTCTCCATACAATGTCAATTAACTAGACATACCTTGGACCTCCCTTCGAGCTACCGAATGTATATACGTCTGCATTGTATCCATATACCAATATGCGCGCTTGGTAATTCCTCAACGAAGCTGGCAGAAGCTGGCTAGGCCAGAAGACACCATTTGGAGCCGTCCATGTGTTTCTTGGGTTGCCATTCAGACCGTGGACGAGGACAATATCGACTTTGGCATCGGGGTGGGAGTAGACTTCTGTGACTTCGTAGCGTTTGATATCGTCGAGATTGATTGCGGAGCCCTGCAGGTACAACGATTAACCTTGACTCGTCTTATGCAAGGTAGGAAGGGGTAATTGTTGAAATGGGTAAGCTGCAGGAGAGAACATACCATGCTTGCACCTCTGCCTGGTCTCCGATACTCGAAGCTTGCTTGCTCTTATTCTCTTCTTGTCTGATGCTTGTCTGATGCTTGTCTGATGCTTGTCTCCGTTCCCTTTCCGCTGCAGATCAGGTCGGCATGCAGCTTACTTATATATTTTCGTATGCTCCAGTTCGCCCGTCCGGTGTAGCGGTCATGGTCGTCCTGGTACACAGAGGTTGCGGTTGTACTGACCGCCGAATATCAAGGGCAGCTCGAGGGCATCCAGTCCAGATACAGAGGAACGTAGTAGAAGATTGGTTGATCGGTAGAGAAGAGACAGACAGAGGGAAAGTTAAGACGTCTGCCTGACTGGAGTCTACCTAGCTAGCTTGGTACGTACTTGCTATGCTATGCTGTGGTCTCGGTGTACAGACTAGAGTTGAGGGTGCTGTGCAATACTCTGTGGCACGCGCAAAGCAGTTAGTCACACGGGGACTTGCAACGGTCAGTGCGCCACTGGGAGTCACGGCAGGGCACCAGCATGGCAGACCAGATGGGAGACACGAGGAGAAAGAGCGATGAAGGGCGCCCTGAGATGAGGGTGTGAGTGAGGAGAGGAGAGGAGAGGAGATGAGAGGGAGAGGGAAAGGCGAGTCCTGTTTGGAGTCAGCTGCAATTGGGCTGCGCATCCTGTCTCACTTGGTTAGATGGACGATCTCGCTCCACTGTGGGATCTCTGCAGCTGGTGAAGCGCAAGGGGTTTAGGGGGTGGCTAGGAGCTTTTTAGGGCTGGGGAGACGGGTGGCTTGGCCCAGAATAGGAGCTCACAGGGGTCCGCTACAGGGTACGGAAGTACCTAGGCAATGCACTACCCGGGTAACGAAGTAAGGGTCCGGCAGGAGCCTTGTGGGCATGCGCCTCGCCGGGCGACTGACTCGACTCTGGGGGTAAGACATCTTACCTTATTGCAATGGACCTCGTGGATAGGACTGGACAGAGCAAAACTTTAAGTGATGACGGATGAGAAAATGGATGATGAGATGGGAGACCACACGTGATATCATTGGATGATATGTCGTGCCAGAGTGCAATCTGGCTTGAATAGAAGTATATCTAGGCTTCCACTTCCTACCTTCAGCTGCCCCTTTGAGGCTCATCTCATACATATCGCCCCCAATATGCAGTCTCGAAGAGCCTCATTTGTACCGCATTTAGACACCACGTCACGTCACCTATCGGCATCAATCCAGGAAGTCACTTACTCATCCTCGAGTTGAGAAATATGAATAAATGCAAGCTTGCAGTGGAAACGATGACTGCATCGCCGACAACTTGTATGGCTGTAGCCCTATTGGTTCTGGCTGGGAAAAGTGCGGTTGGCATGAGCTTCAGTACCGGTAGGAAGGCATCTAATCTTGTCCGACTATATACAAGCCTTACCTAAAGAAGAAGGAAAGAGGAAGGAAATTTAAACAAAAGTGACAAGTCATCCTCACACAGCACCCTCCACGAGACGGAGGATATAAATTAGCCTCGCAACGTTTCTGTGACCAATATATCACCTCGTGAAATAAGCTGTTCCACTGTGACACGGTGATATCTAGACCGTTTACTGTACCACATCACCGTCCTGTACTTTGTTCCCAGTGGGGGGTCGTGTGACTCAGGAGTCCGATGGCAAGTCACATGTAGGACTCAACCTACCATTCCCCAGGTTTTGCAACATCATCAACAACATCACCATCTGCATCTCTTTGCTAGCTACCTTGATTCCCATTTAACCTTACTTTTCATAAGTGACACGGAGAGCGCGGTAAGTGGGGTCGGTACTGCAAGTGCCGGCCGGGGCTAGAGTGTTGTATGACTCCGTGTCACGCTGGGTAAGCGTACTTTTTGATCTTGATATCACAACATCGACGAAACGGGAAAGATGGACGTAGACAGCAGACCAAGAGAGGAAATAAGGGCAAGAGAAGTTTCTTCGCCTTGGAATACCTCGACATGCTCTCGTTGCATTGCCTTCGCCCGGTATAGAAAAAAATGGTTGCGAGGGTAGTTCAGACTAGGTAGAAAGGAAGGCTTCGGTGACGTTAAACGGGTGACATTCTGGGACAACAATGAATAGGATCTGTTCCCGGTAGAAATATTGATAATAGCCAAGGCTTTCTCGATGGCATGTTACTTCCAGGTAGCCGTTGTACTGTACTTCACAGGACCATTAGATGACGCTCCATCTTGTTGAGAAGTGGAAGTAATGTGCAAGTGAGAGATACGAAATAGGGAAGTGAATGAAAGCAACAGATACTCGTAGACAGAGACTTGGTGTCAAGAGAAACAGTGAAATGGAACACAGAAATTCAACTTGATTTTGAGCATTTTGTAGTATGAAGAGACTTTCGGGTGTGCTGTACTATTCTGTGATTCAGGCCAGCGAATATCCCACTTTAGCTAGAGCTATACTCTCGTACGTTTCTTATCTGGTGAACGTGTGCCCTCTTCTGACTCCGCGTCTCAGGGCTCTCTCGTCGTCGAGGCGGACGATGACTGTTGCAGGTTGACTTTGGGCGTTGACAAAGGCTGACTATTAAGACGTGGTTTGGAGTGAAAGCGCTCATTTCTGAGTCCGAGGGTTCCAGCAGCGTGTGTAGAATACTGGTGAGGTTTCACACTCGGAGAGGAGGCTTCACCTGGTGCTGGACCCCAACTTACGGACACGGCATGTGGAAAGTTTGCATAATCGAGGCTTGCGTATACCACGACTGTGGCATGGGAACATCGCCACCGTAAATCGCCCTGTCCCAGATCCAAGACCTCGGTGCCTATTTGCCCGGATCCTATCAACTCTTCGAAAGCATAAGCACGTACTCACGTGTGCTATGCCCAAATTGAATCATATCCTTATCCCTCAACTCCAAGTACCGACTCGGTGGAATCTCTTCCTTGTTCAACGCCGTCCCATTCGCCGAATCTAAATCGATCAAATATGGTCTGACCCTCCCCGTCTTATCCCCAAACTCATTCTTCTTCTCAATATACCTGAACTGAATGACCGCATGCTGTTTACTCACACTCGGGTGTTCGGCTGGTAAGTCCACAACCGCAACCTCCCTTCCCACCAACCAGCAACTCCTCAGACTAAGATCAATGGTCTCCAAGATCTCAGGACCTTTGAAGACAAATAGCTTCCAGTCGTCTTTGGAAGGAGGTTTCCTAGCCTCGGCAGGCTCGTGGTACTTGAGTGCAATGGCACTCCCATCAGCCTGTGTGACCGAATTCGACGCCGCAGCCAACAAGCCCGTAGGCGCAAAATTAGGCTTTTGCTTGTCCTTCTCCTCTGCAACCACCACGGCACCTGCACCTACGCCTTCCGGTCCACCATTGGCCTGGAAAGACGAAGCTTGCGACGGCAGTGGTCCCTTAGCCTTCCGACTGACATGTCCAAGTCCTTGTGTCGCCGAGGCTGAACCCTCTCTATCCTTGTCTTTGTCCTTGCCACTGCTGCTTCGATACGGCGACCTCTCCCTCGTACTTCTGTGCTTGGAGTCGCGATCGCGGTCACTTCTGCGTGATGATTCATGTGCAGGGCTTCGTGAGCGAGATCGAGATCGAGATCGTGTTCGGCGGCGTTTGCTGTCCCTCTCCCTATCACCACCATGTCTGTCCCTCCCACCCTCCTCGTTCCGTCTACCGGCTTCTCCAACAGCCTTCTCCCTCCTCTCCCTTCTTCTTCGGCGACGTCGCTCTTCTTCCGAATCGTAGGACGCCGAGCGGCTCTTCTCCCTCCTTTCCCTGTCTCTCCCGCTATGCCTATCCATGCTGGTGAAGCCTGCCGTCACAGAACCTGGCTGCCTCGATTCGCTGCTTCGATTCCAGGTAAGCTTAGTCCGCCTCGTCAAGCTAAGCTTGGTCGGCGGTTGCAGCTGCGTTTAGATGTTTGCGGACGCGCCTGAAGTGGGTAAGGGGCAAGGCAGAGTTGATGTGTGACGTGGTGGTTGGTGGTTGAGCTGTGTTTTGGTACCTACGGCACTGTTGCTGGGAGCTTCGTAACAGCGCCAATCAGAAATTTGGGCGTCTAAGATTTAACCTTAACTCAGCGTCTTGGCGTTTCTCACAGGGTCGTTAGACGCTGTTGACATGCAGCTTCGACGAGGAGATTTTGATTCGACAGGTCATTGTGCATTAATGCATTGGAACTGTTGCAAAGAATGAAAGACAACTGATAGGTTCGATACTACCGCGCGCGTTAATTTGTTGTGTTTGGTAGGGTCTTGCATTTGTGAGATCACGTGTATGGATCTCCTTTCCGTGGGTGTGGAGCCTGTGTAAAGAGCAACTATAAACATATTTTCTTGATGACGCTCTCTAGGTAAGGAAGTGAATCAAACATCATATCTCACGATTATGCTTTTTTCGGATTCTCAAGAGTTTGCAGCAAAGAAAAGACATTTATATAGCTTCCACTCTTCTGATGGATGCCAACACCGGAAGCCATCCTTTACCACAAATACCTAGCTAACAGCAGAGGCCTTTTTGAAAGTTGAGTTGAACATCCCTCAACTTCTGAAGAACTCAGGCCTTTCCTTTTAATTCTTGCATCGGTCCCTCGCTATGTCATTCTGAACTATCGACTCTTCGCGATATCGATGCTGTCCGTTTCCAGCTAAGGGACTAAAGAGAAGATGACCTCCACAATCCTTTGAAGCTGAGATCTCTTTAGTAAACTTAATTCCCTGAACCTTAATCATCCCTTGTAAAATACTTATGGTAGGCCAGCAAAACTTTGACCTACCTGCTTAGCGAGAATCCTCGATTGGTTCTGAGAAGTCAATATCAGAATGCGGCCTTCAACATAACCTCCATGATGAATTTTCCACTTTGTACAAGGCATTCTTCCAGACTCTCTGTTAAGTATGTTTCACATGTAACTATTCACCAAAAGAATTCCTCAAAATTTGATCAAGAAATTTTCAATCGCTGCCCCTGTCAACAATGCTCGGTTAGCTCTCACAGCGGCTGTACCTGAATTCACAGCCACAAATTTCATCCCGTCACTTCCCACCGTCTCTTCTCATCCAAAGCCATCGTCACCTCTCGTCAGCAAGTCTCCTCATTCATCACCAACTGCGCTTCGTATCACATCCAAGTATGGCTGCGGCGTCGAGGCTTGTAGTTGACAGCATTAATGGTGTGATGACATGGCCAGGTCGCATGCAGGGGGACCTGTTGGAACCGCCCGGCGGTTCCAGACGAAAATCTATGGCGTCTCACGCGCGAGGAACCCATTGACGCGACCACCGTCCTATCCAATGTGCTTCCGCGCATCTCCTTTCTATACCGCAAAGAATGCCCGGGTGATATCTCGATCGAATGGCACAGCCTGGAGTGAAACGTCCCGTTGGACTGGCACCGCATAAATCACGGTGCAGGGAAATGCGGGGACGACTGACTGTGATCCGCTTGCACTTGCTGTCCACGTCTCTCATATATGTCGCCCCCATACCCATTTTTAGTTTTCTTCGTCTTATTTTTGCTCTTTGAGCTATTCATATGTTGCGGCTTTGAGTTTCGAGGGACGTTCTATGTTTGAGAGTGCCCTCAGATGTGATCATTACAGCCTGTTCAGCCTCCTTACTCGCTCGCTTGTGCACCGAAAAATATATGGCCGTGGTTTCTGGCTGAGAGGGACCAACAGACGTCTGGAGAAGTCATCCCCAATGAACCCGCCATCAGTCGAAACCATACCAGCAATGCCCCATGTTGTATCACAATGGCAATCCGACCAGTCCCCAGCACGAGATATGGAATACCGGCAATCAACGAAGCTGGAAAAAGCTACATCGACGGAATTCCTTCGGCCAGTCCAAATATCTATTCGCCGGTCCAAGAGAGCCGGAGGAGTTCGACCAGCTCCAAGCCTGAAATTTCTCTCCCCTCGAGAAGATGAGCGTTGGGAATATAGTTCTGGTCGAGGAGACTGGGAGCAGACAGCATGGGAGCAATCGGGTGCAGGTCGGACGCCATCATCATCAGTAGAGTCGGTGTTTGAGATGTACACTTCTGGCCCTTACGACTCGCCCAATTCATCAACCAACTCCTCTTTCATTGCAGAGTTGGAGGATACTGCTCTGGTTACGAGACCATCCAGGAGATCAGCACCACCAAGTTCCAACAAGATAGTATATATATCGCCTTCGAGCATGGAATTTCAAACGACCGAACTGAGTGTAAGCTGAAATGCAAGACTATGTGTTGCATCCCACTGACTAATTTCCAGGCCCGAGCTGTCATCAAAGTTGTCGATGAAACAATTGCTGCAATAGAAGACAGCAACCGAAAACTGCTTTCGCGAGCTGTAGCGGCTGAAGAAGCAGCTAAAGCCCTATTAGAGCAGAATTCGCAACTCCAGCTCAAAATTGAGCGTTGTACCAGAAAAAGCCGTCCAAAAACAGCTCCATCATCACCAGTGTCAAGAACTAGGCAGAAGCGAAACCAAGATCCTCAAAGTGCGACACCCCTCTCAGTCTTCAATGCCACAATCGACGAGCAGCTTGTGACTCCTAGGCCAGTAAAGAACCGTTCTCAAAGCGCTCCGGAAAGGCCACCTCCTCCGTACCCAGATATGCAAACCTCATTGTGGACCCAAGCGCCACTTTCTGCACCTGCACAGACAGAATTGATGCCTAGTCCTTTCAACAACAGTTCCAACCACCATAGCTTCCCAATTCAAAGGCAGGAGCAACAGCCATCCACATACTACCGTCGTCCGCCATCTTTACCCACAACCCCACGCCCTCCTCAATTCCAGTCCCAGTCTCAAATTCAACCTCCATCAAACCTCCTCTCTCCATTCCGCTCTCCAGGTTCCCAGGCTCCACCTCGTCCACCACCCCTCCTAATTCATCGAGAAATTCCGCGTTACGAAACGCGCCACAAACTTACACCAGCGGCATCGACTCCACACCTCCGTAGTATCAGGCTGGACACCCAGTTTAAGAATAAACCGCTACCACCTCTTGGGCCTATGAGTCCAAGTGTACTGAGTGGATTGGTTGAGATTGGCACCACGAATCGTGTCGATGATGGGCGAGGTGAGGTCAAGAGTGATGGCGTTGGGAGGCGGAGGAGAGGGTTGAGTGATTTGTTCAAGAAGGCGAAGGAAAGTCCAATTTGGAAATGAGGGAACATATATAGCAGTGGTCTTTCAGGTTAAAAGTGATCGAGATGCGCTACCTTGGTCTGGATAACAAATCTTGGAGTTGTGGTAGGCGTCTGCGAGGAGGGTATGAAATTGCTGGTGTTGATGGTGCATGCATTGGCTTTGTTTACTTCATGCCTGACGAGCAATGTTTAGAAACGAAGAATGTCGAATAATGAATATGTTTACGTTATGAATGACCACAAGACTTCTTCCCCAATGGACCACATCTAACCCGTGTGAATGTCGCTTTCTTGCTTTACCACATCTCGCGACCGTGGTGGAGACTAAGCAATATTTATTTTCCAATTTCATCCATATCCGCGCTCGCGACTTTCACTGACGAGGTGGGACGCACTTTTTTTCGATGTTATGAAAATAATTCGGCACGTTCTCCCAATCTCGCAAACCACCTTTTCTCCACTCTATGTATCGAGCAACCATCTTCAGGTCCATTTCTCGTCCTTGAATCCAAGTCCAAATCCAATTTCTGCCACATATCATGCAGGCACATCCACTTTAAGCAACACTCTTCGGTCCTGCCCGCGACCCTGGGAACGAGGGATCCAGAGCCGCGCTGTCTGTCGTGAAGGAAGTCGATCAAAAGTATCCGCCAGAGACATATGCAACGTTGGAGATAGGGGTATGTCCTTCCGCTCTCTTTCATGGCATTCTTCTTGAAAATCGATCAATTCGGGTTAAAAATGAGGTGGGACAAGGAATGGGAAGTTGACTTGGAGGTCTTTCGATATAGGAGTACACGCTCAAAATGGACCTCAATTGAATTCGCTACTTGTACGAGTTTACCGGTTCATTATCAGGAGTGGTATAGATTGTTACTGTATCATTTCTTTGAGCCGGAGGAGGTGGATAATGAGAGTCGTATGAATTTGGTACGCTGCCGTCATGTCTTATCGGCTCCCTCCTCCCATTTCCCCTCCCCCACTAAGTTCTTCTCGCTCTCCAGAAATACAGTAAAGCGCGCACAGTGAAAACAGTAATGCTGATACCACGACAGGGTATCAAACTCGAATCCCTCCGTGCGATGACCCAGAAACAGCTGGATAAAGTGTTGGAACAGAATAAAGCACAAGACAAGCTGGCTGACAGGCTACAGGCTGAGTATCCTCTCCTCCGAAACTCGATGTCCTTCTGTTCTATCATCAGCCTCCAGATCGGCATTTATAGGGTCATTGGAATGTGTATTTCCCTCAACATCGATATCGACATTGACATCGACATCCAAACCTTCCACACCAGATGCAGGCATGGAGAATTTCATCAAAATCGCGTAAGTATCCAATCCTGAGTCTCTGCCTCTAGGAAGAGTCTCAGCCTTCTGTCACGTTCTCATACCAATGCTTCGAACCCACTCTGAGCCGACCACTGACTGAAAGCCCTCTGACACAGATCACAGCCGCTCTCAGCCTCGGACCTAGTTATGCCGAGATCAAACGCTACAAAAGCCGGGAAGCTGATGAATCGAGAGATGCGTATCAAGAAATATTGAGATATATGCTGGGCTGTGAGAGGGAGTGGAGTACTCAATGTAGGTTGGTACTCATGATAGGGGGTTGGCGGGGTAGCGGGGGTCCAAGTTGAGCTAAGGCGGCGATTAGATTTTCGTAATTTAAAGAGAAGAGTACAAGGTTATTGGGAGACTCTGGTGTTAGCACGAAAAGAGAGAGGTTTTGGGAAAGCTGTGATCGGATTGTTTTATGGATTCGGTTTTGTGCGGGATAAGCAAGGCGTCGCGGAAAAATAACCTTGGCTTGGGCTCGCTTATTTACGGGATGTAAACAAAGCCCGGAAATTTGACATTCCCATCAAAGTTTGGAAAAAAGAATAGAATGAAAAAAGATAGAAGCAAACAGAAGAGAGTTTAAAGTGTTCTAATGGTCGCGATGTATACGCCTATTACAAACATGACAAAGGCTGAGTTCATTCACCAGTCAATCTCAGCCTTGCCAAGTGAGCGTCCCTGCCAGGCTCTTACTCGGATTCTCATCACCGAGTCTCTTCGACAATCGGCAATGCTCTCCCAGCCTCAACATCGATTCACTTATTTAGAACATCCATCGCATACCCACATAACATAATGGACTACATCTATCGCATAATTCCACTCCTTGAGACGCTCGTCGTCTTCGCTGCCTGGATTATCGATATCCTCCTCAAGCCCGCCGAGCACTCAACGAGATTTTAGGAGTGAAACCTCCAGTTTCATGGGACAGTGAACCTTTTTGAAGTAGCAGATGGATCTACGAAGCCCGCCAGCCCTCAACATCCAAAACCACACATACTCAACCAGGAACAAGAGCAGACTTGAGCCGAGTGCGTGGATCTCGCGAGACTTGTGAGTATTATTGCCCACTTATACTAACTAGTGGTAGATGTCACAAAACATTCAACTGGCATGGTTCTACGTAGCTCCCAGGTCTCAAATTCCTCGCAAAAGTCTACAAGCGCAGAATCGAAATGGGGAACTATCCCGACGATGGAGATGCTACTCAAGATATGAAGCAAGAGAATGTAGATAGATTTGTTGCAGCGGGATATTCTTGTACTGTTGATGATAGCTGGGTAAGAGTAAACTGTTTCATTGGGCTTGGATTGGTGATCCATGAGACCACCTGTTGAGCTAGTTGTGTCGCGTAAGAGGTAATTTATGGCCTGACTGTGAAGCAGTTTGACAAGATGTCTGCTTGGCCAGAGAAGCGGGTGGACAAAGCGGAGTCTTGACGAGGACTCCGCATGCCCGGAAGAATTGAGCTTAGGGTGCGTCATATCTTATGAGATTATGGCACAGGTCTGAGGCTGCAGGACATTCACATGGCTCTTACGTTGTTGTTTCTGCCCGGAAATGATAAACCTAGAATGATATATTCCCATCAGCATCTTCAAAATCGTTGAACGGACGAGAGTTCACCCTGATGCTGTCCTAGGGCCTGAAAGTGTAATCAAACCTAAAGCAAGATTTCGCTTTCCCCACAGCGTCCCATAGTGCAGTGTGACAAATGACTATACATTGGCTTATCGAATCATCAGAAACTATTATCCTATCGCATGCGATGTGAATGGTCAATCCTATCAGTAAAAGAGATTGGTAGCCTTAGACTCTCACGTGTGATACTGATTCACGTCCCCAACGAGCCGCCCAGCTGCATATAAAGCTTTCATTTTTTCCAATCAGCCTTTTCCCTTCAACACTAAACAACAAAATGTCCGGTAAGGGATCACGTGGCAACAGCAAGGAACTGGACTCTGATCCAGGTAGGCTACACCCACCCTCACCTAATCCTTCTGGAACTTCTGGTTACCTCTAACTTGCGTCTGGAATAGTTGATTCAGTCAGAAAGGCAGCAGCGGCTATTGAGGAGGCAGCAGAATGGAACGCGAAATGTCAAGGAACGATCAAAGAGGGCAACAGAATGCTGTCGGAAATGCGAGCCACCATGAACACTTCGCCTCGCGCCCCAGATCCCGACGCCTTTGTCGATTACGTTTCTGGGATCCTTCGAACTGAGACATTCGATCCACTCGAATGGAAGGTGGGGATATCTTCGTGGTGCTCTATGTTAACTGGACATGCTTAACAATTTTTGTTCAGGAGGCTATGACAAGTTTAGCTCGAGATTATTTCCAGGTGTTGTGCAACCAATTACGTGACCCTGGTAGCAAGTACAACGCGGATCCTGTTTGCGCAGCTACGCTCAAGGAGATTGCCCGACTCACTCTGGGTCTTTTTTTCAGTATCGAACCAAGCGATACAGACGATCTGGTAGGTACCAATTATCGGCACGATATGTGGCATTGTTGAAGCTGATCGCTCTGTAACAACAGAGGACAATCCTTGAGCTGAACATCCGCAAATTCGACGCACAGCTGATCGCCATCAATGAGAGCAGAGAGGAGCGCGTTCAGTTGGTGTCTGATCTTGGAATTCTTGCTCACGCTTTCTCTCCCGAAGAAGAGCTTGACACGATCTTGAGGAATGTGGCAGTTGCTCAGAAGGCTTATGAGGTATATGGTCTCCAGTTTTGATGGTATTAGTAAAACATACTAACTTACTAAAAGATCGAATACAAAAAGACTTGTGACATTGAGTCCGAGACTTTCAAGGAGTGGCGCAAGAATATTCGCGATATTCTGGACAAGGCAAAGGGCGAAAAGCTCGAGGATCAGATCAAAAGTGGTCTTGGTGGCGGGGAATATCAAGGTTGTCTGCCCGAAGAAGGTGAGAAAGAAAATTAGGCCACCTTCACTAAGGGTCATATGAATGGTCCATTGGGTCAATGGCTGGTGATCAAAGATCAAAAGACAACTTTCTGTGATCTGACACAGCTTTATATCATTCTTCTTCGGCAACTGTCAAATTCTTATATTTCGCATGCCTCGACCGTCTAAAGGTAGGTCAAGAGTAGGTATATATACGTAAGGAAGAGCTTCTAGAGCTCTCTATGCCTTATAAATCAAGCTCTATTCTAGAGCCTTCGATATTCACGTGACTGAGGATCACATGAAATCTAACAGCAACGAAGGTAGATTACAAATAAAAGTCCTTTGCCAATACCGCCTTCTCTCTTCATTCAAGCAGTTTACATACCAGACTCGGCAACATGCACTCCTTATCAAGAGTTATGCTCGGTTGGCAATTGAGGGCATGAAGTACTCTTTCTCTTGAGAGCTTTTGTTCTTATTTTTTGTAGTACTTTATAGCTCTCTCTATGTTGTTTCCATCGTAGTCTTATAGTCCTCCATTATTGTCATCTCTTGTACTTTTCTTTTACTTCTTATTGGCCTTCCTTTCAAAGCCATGCCTTGAATTTTCTCTAACTTGTATAGAGAAGAGATCAATCGTGAGTCTCGAAATACAGCGCTTATAAATATCACTACTCTGATCAGAAGCTCGAACTTAAGGTCTTCTTAGTTTGCAGGTACCCTGGGCATTTGAGGCCACGCAGGCTCAGCTAATCGACCCTACTGGGGTACTCTTCGATGTTCATATCAAATACTGCTTTGTCAGGGTTCTTGTTATCGATATCAAGGTAGCTAGCTATACACACGGGCGCGGACAATTCGCTTGTCGTAGACAGTTCGATTTACCCTAGTCTCGAGTAGGCGAAGCAGGAAGTGATTATCATCTGCTGCTAAGCCCTTTTATTGGCCACTCTTTTGACACTCAGGCTCTCCATCCGATTCCGCAGATCATTTATCATTATAGGGGACCTTATTTTGAGAGTTGTCCCAGCGCAGTCTATGTTACAAAAGGAAAACTGCACAATCAAGAATTGCTGAAATAATCCGAAAGCACAAGAGGCGATAAAAGTAGTTGGCCTGGATCAAGAGTCGAAGAAGAGGTAAATAAGTAGAAATTCAGCAAAGCGGTAGTAGAAAGGGAAGTTGAGGGAGGGGAGAGAGAGAGGGTCAGTTCGCAGGAAGTGCTCACTACATGCAGCTCTTTACGTTTGTATTGCATTCGTTATGTCCGTATTACTTGTATCTTTGAACTTTGCTCGTATTCTGAAAGAACGGGGTTTGTATGGTGTCGCGGTGGTCGCTTTAAAGCCTCAATGAAATAATTGTACACAAGGCCTGAAAAATTACGTTAGTAGTAGAACACGATAGAACAGAATCTCAAAAATCGAAAAAGGATAAGTAAAGTACTTTTTGAGTTGTTTCGGGGTCCCATATTCCCTTTCTAGCAGAAGTGTGTTTGTTGCTCGAACTCTCTTGATAGATAATGGCCAACTACATCTTTATGTGAGGGGACTAATATAGTGAATCCCCAGACGCTAATAAGTTTTCAAGACTGATTTTTTTCCCCAGGGCAATGGTATTCACTCCTTTGCTTCGTCTCATCGTATTTACACCAGCTTGACGTCGTCTCTATTCATCTGATTCTCCCAATTTACATCTATCACCTCATCGAAGCCCCAGCAGAGTCAACTATCTTCTTCGAGACAAGATTCCTCAATTATTTTATCGTATTCTATGCACCGAAAACGTTCTGCTCATAGGCAAATTACACATGAATGTGAACCCAGCGGCAAGAGACCTCACCTTCGTCTTGGCCAAGCCATTCTTTATCTTCAAGGAGAGCGAAATTCCTTCAAACCGGGTGTTAATTTTCACTTCTCCAGAGCAAGATAGACAGCAGAGCACACTGGGGAGGGGTGCTATGGGTGGAAAGAAGACCACCCTGGGCAAGAGGTCGACCACGGATTCGGACAATGAGCACGCGCCGCCATGCCGAAAAAAAGAGCATAGGGATTCCACTTCGTCTGAGTTCTTGATAAGGGTCCGTTTACTGTCACTAACAATCACCAGGATATAGGCGCAGCCTCCCAAGCCTCCCAAGCCTGCCAAACGCACCAAAGCGAGGACTGGTCCATCTCCGCCCCCACTCCCAAAGATGACCCCGACCCAATTCACGGTAGCAGTAAGCAACATGAGAGACGACAAGCGAACACCAATTATTAATGATCTTTCATCTTTAATGACAGAAGAGCAGAGTTTTCCCGCTATGTCGGTAAGCGCAATCGAGAAGCTTCGCGAGACATTCACAGATTTCGTGCAGGTTCAGCCATGCCTACGAGGACAATATCCCGCTATTCGCCAACATCAAGACTTGAAGGCAGACTCTCTCCAGATGTCCCCTTTAGACGATGACTCCACAGTCAATGTTGAAGAGAGCGACGATAAATGCAGCAGGTTGGATTGGGTACGCCGTCCTGATACTATCAGGAAGGCTTTCGACCACTGGGCCGAGCAGTTTGGGGACCGAGGTCCGGAACTGTTGGAAATTGGTGGACCCGGACAAAGAAGATCCTGGATTGCCGTCCTTTCCTGCTTGCTGCCGAGTATACCACGGACTTTCTATGCGAGGTAGGACACGCCATGATCTTGGCTGAGCGCCTCATGGCGTTTGGAACCCAGGGCTACGGGCACGTGGTCCAGGCTCTGGAACTTAGGAACACATCCTCAGACGAGTTTTCAGATGAAGATGGGTATCATTTTGACGATTTGGAAGGAAAGGAAAAACGGTTACAGAGGCAAGAATCTCTTCGATCCGCACAAACACTACTCGAAAAGGTCGGCAACGGCCTGGCAGCTCAAGAAGGCATCAGACGTTCTGGGGAGCAAATCATCCAGGCATTTGACAAGATCTTAGCGATCATTTACAGCGCTCGGCACGAAGAGAAAGACGGAGGTGACTCTGTCAGAATTTGGCGCGAGAGGGTGGTCGAAGAGGTAACCAAAAAGCCCACGATCATGAAGAACCCCTTCACATCTGACTTCCTCATCGCGGTGGAAGAAGTGATGGAATACAGTCATGCTATCGTACAGCTCGCGGGCTCTGTAGACTCCTTAGAGGAGTTGCAATCCGCGGAAGACATTGATTACATTAACATGGACTTCAAAGACACCTCTGGAACACAGTGGGATGAGACGGAAGACACTCCGGAAACAGGTGCCAGGTTTGCGTCAAGTCTCTGTACCGCCCCTATGACACCAAAGCATCAAGCATTGACCAACGAGACCCACTCTCAGGCTACGACGGGTTGCAAAAGTGGTAATGCTGCTTCAGATCTCGTGGGCAATAACACCAAACCAGGCGGCGGCGAACAGAAGGCAGAGGAGAAGTCACACGATGTCAGCTCATCAGCTCCAGAGAATGGCGCAAGTACAGAGCTTGCCGAAGCAGTCCAGACATCGCGCAACGAGTTGGAAGAACACAACATTGTCAAAGAAGACGCCCTCAAGCGAGGTATCAGTAACTGGTATAATGCCAGTAAAAAACCCAACGAAGCCGAAGCTCTGGATACTCCAGCTATCACCAAATTGTGCCTTGATATTATTGAGAGCCATTTCTATCCTCTTGGGATAGTCAAGCAAGCAATGAATGTGTTATCACTGAAACATTTTCGTGAAGACAAGAGCAATGGAGACACGACCGGAATATCAGACATTGAGTTGTGTTCTCCATAACTTCGCAGACGAGAAAAAAACAACATTTATCATACTTGAATCTATTTTATTTATATTATCTGATCCAGATAGCTTATTCCTTTATATAGCTTATCTTAATCAGATTATTATATTTCATTAATCTTAACTGCTTAAGTTTACTTACCTGATCTTATATACTTTATCTAGTTTACTTCATCTAGTTCCTTTGATCTTATTCACTTAATCTTATTCACTTAATCTTATTCACTTAATCTTATTTAATTAATCTTATTCACTTTAACTAGTTTACTTTATCTGGTCTATTTTATCTGGTTCACTTTACCTAGTTTATATTATCTAGCTCACTTCATCTGGTTCCCTTTATCTTATAATAACTGTTTCATAATGCACTAATCTTAGGTTCTTAGTACTTTCTTGAATTTTGTAAGATCATCTCGCAAGATCTATATCCTTGAGTTGTTGCCATTAGCTATAGGCATAATATGTAGCTCTATGATTCTTAGCACAGCGGCTCTTAATTTGGCAGGAGGAGCATCTATGATTGTTCGGTCATGACTCGGATAATGCTATTAAGACTTCGAAAGCCGTGGCCTTGGATCGGGATAAGCGGGTAGGAATAGAGCCATCCCGATGCCGAGGACATCAACGGCGGCTGCACACTTTGCACCGTATCCGCGGTCTGTTTACAAGGCATCTCTATTTTGCTTCTTGTAACAGTTAGCTAGTAGCATCATAGAAATAGTAGGAAGCTTGCCTTGATTGAAATGATCCATTGGCAGCTATCAGGATGTAGACCCAATAGTTCGTCGTACTTCAGAGACTTTAGCTTGTTCAATTGAGAACCTTGTCCAGTTGCCTGTACTACAATTACCCTACTTGTTGGGGTAGATCCGATGTCCAATACTTTATTGGGCGACGGCACTTGAATATCGGGCTTTGAACTCTTCTTGCTGTCTGCATATTCGATCTCAACTGATGGATCAAATTGTAGAGGGATCGATGGGCGACGAACTCAAAGATTTTGCCCTAGGTAGTGCATCTAAAGACGTCACAAACGTAGTTTGGAAAGCATTGATAAGACAGATACAAAGCTGCCTAGTGGTCAGTCCACGTGATTAGGCGTGGTACAGGTAGAGAGGTATCCGTATAGGGTCACACATCTCTAGTTCTTCATTCTGCCAGTTGCATCGTTAAGCCCTGTACCGGTTTGATATTCACTTGAAATGACTCGTGATCTGCCCCGAACCAATACTCCTCATATGTCCTCAAAGCGAGTGGTAACTTTGAGGGCATGGAGGTGTTTTGGAAGTTCTCTTATCCGCCAAAGAAACGGACGAAATATGGTGTCCACGCCTGCCTTTGGCGCCGATGCATGCTTCAATATCGTAAGTGAATCTCAGCAATACGACTGAGTCTGCATACTGCTCTGGTGAAAAATTGCTGGATACGACGTAGAGAAGCGTCAGAAATGTGCGTGCAGACAAACCTCTACATTCTGATGACCTTCGACGGAAGATCTCTTCAAGGTTCGTTCGCAGCCAAAGATATGCGCCATCGATTTGCCCATGTTTATCCAGAAGGAGAAGCTGCCTGTAAATTAGTACTATCATATGAACAAATGCATCACTTCATATCGGTATATGTACCATTCCTAAATTCCTCTTGATGACTAGGTACATAGTTCTGTGTTCTCGTGGCTCAATTATCGGGCACCCCAAATCACTCGTTTGGTGGAAGTGAATGTCACTTGATCGATTTGTGACTTTAAGGCTCACTTCTGACACCTCTAACTTCCCAGCACATCCTATGCCAATCAAATGTATACCTGTCGATTCCATACTACTCACAGGAGCGAAGCGGTTTTCAAGCCGTTGTGGTCCCTGCTGCCGATCCGTTTCACAACCCCTTCCCATCCTACGACTGAAGGCTCTGTCCTGCGACTTTACCTGAACGACCGAACGCTGTACCGCCGGCGCGGACGGCCGTCAATGACAGACCATCTTCCTCCTACCCCTGATCCTTCAACGCTACCCGAACACCTACCTCCACATAGCGTCGGGGCGGACTATGTTGCAAGGGTAGGGACTCTCGACTGGTCAAAGGCACACCCAACAAACGTTGAATATGATGAAGAGGCGGAGGTCGAGGTAGAAAATGCGTCGGTGAGGAGACCGGTCTGAGCATGCCCCTTGGCAGCTAAAGTGGAGGAGGAAGAAAGAACCATGCTTCTATCTGAGCGAATGGATCTGGTTGGAAAGAAAGACAAACTGGCTGGGTGAATGGGATTACTGCACGACAGAGTCACAGAAAGCTTCGAGCTGGGGAAACTGGTCGCAGATCGCCCTTGGGATTATGAAGAGCTAGTTACTCACAAAATAGACGACCAAATAGCAGATAACCTTGGTATCTTACTTCGACCCGTTACTGGGTGGCATGCCACTGAGCTCAAGTTCTTGAACCACTGGACACAGATTCTTGCGCTGCTAGGGTCGAAATTGGAAGAGGCTATCGATGCAGTAGATGCAGAAAATCTAACAAGAGGTTCCTTGGAGGACATCACAGAGTGGGATGCAAATAGCACCGCACACAGAGAGAATGGGGATGAGGATCAAGAGGAGGACGAAGGTTAAGATCAATTTTCTTTTCGCAGCGGGTTTATGGTGGACGCCCACATTACAGGGTCGACCTACTACCCGTAGTGCATAAATTATAACGACGCAAATCGTCCGAATGTAGAATACTGTCAGATAGAGAGCTAGTGGTGTCGAGTTCAGTCCTCGCACCTAGCTGCAGAGCCTGAAGCAACAGTGACCGCGGCCTGAACTTCGCTTAGCGGAACCAGCGAACCAGCAAGACCCAGCTTGCCCCATCTTCAAAAGTTCTTTCCTTGTCAACAAAAGAAAATATGAAGCTCTTCTGTTTATGATAATTGATATTGCCTATTTAAATAATGATCGTATGAAGTTTGCAGTGCTAAAATATAATGTGCCGTTGTACACTTGTGAAGTGATAGTGGCGATGTCACCAGGCCAGCCCTCCTGCACCAAGGAAGAACCCCCCCCCTTCTAACAGAGACTTTGCAAGCTCACCAGGCAGGGAACAGAGGATTTGCAAGCCATCGGACAAGTTCTTTGGAGCCTGAAGGGACTGGCGCTAAGGGAAACTGCCCCGCTGAAGGGCAACGAAATGGGAATTTCGGCACCTGAGCTAAAAAAATTCCTCCTCTTTTTCAAAAGATAGAGAAAGGAATAAAAAAGATAATCGCCCGACGAGAGGCTCGAACTCTCAACCTTGGGCTTATAATGAAGAGATTCTTCTTAAAAGGCCCCTTAGAAAGTCAGTTGGGTGATCTGAAAGATGTTGTTGGATGTTGGTGAACATACACGCGCTAACCCTGCAATGTGTGTTAGTTCGAATTCAGGTGTGTTTGAATGTGTTGTAACTCACAATTGTGCCAGCCGGGCTGAGCTGTTAAGCTGATTTGTGGAAGAAAAGTCGTTATTTAATTACATACGTACAAGACAAAATTCCGGCGTTGTGGGAATCACTCAGGTGGATAGCTCGAAAAGTCCCCGCCTGAGCCACTAAGCGACCCTATTGTGAGGCTGTCTGTTGTAAGCGAGGCCTGGAAAGGATTTTATTGCGTAAGACAATCCCTGGAATGTGGTGCAAGGTGGGTCAGTAAAAGCCATAGGGGCCAAGAGTGGGGATGTGAGTATCACGTTGCGCTGCCGTGCACGTGAAGTCTTGCTCACTTCAAAAGTTTGAGCTTCTCTCAAAACATTCAGCTTGAGGAATACGAATAATTTACAGGTAATCGGAGCCTCAATCCGATATGCTACTTACCATGATATCATGGTTCTTTTGGCCCTGGAATTCTCGATACCGGCGAAGGTTCAGCTCGCTAGCCAGATCAGACTCAGAACCTCAAAAGTATGACTTGTATTATTCATCCCTAGGAGCCGCTCAATTACAGATTGTTTCCGTGATCCTTCAATCTTTATGTTGATTGATAACAGCTTCATAATTCTGGAACAAGAGCAAAAACAGTTAAGTTCGGGCCTTGCTGACTCGGCACATTCCTCTTACTCCTATTTTTCATCTAACCCTGTTGAAGAGCATCTAATCTATGTCACATCGACTAAATATCACAAAACAACATTTCTCGGCTCCCCTTTCGCCCACGCCTCAATGTTCTCCCCCACCGTCCTCCTCAACTTCTCAATACTACTCTTCGCCCACCACGCAATATGGGGGCTCAGTACCAATCTCCCATCAAACTCGCTCCCCTCCTCTCTCCACTCATGCGCCGTCCTAACAAGCACATTCTCCATCCCTGCCGGCTCCTCAATGTAAACATCCGTAGCCGCTGCATGGATCTTCTTCTCCTTCAATGCTTGCACGAGAGCATTTTCATCGACGATACCTCCCCGCGCAACATTGACAAGTAGAGCATCTTCTCGCATGAGCTCAAACTCTGGAGTTGAAATCAGATTCAATGATTCCGGCGAGAGCGGTAGAGTCAGAAAGATAGTGGTGCTGGTCTGAAGACAGTCCTTGAAGGAGATGCGGCCTTCTCTAATGGAGGTACTAGTTTTGCGTTCTGCGAATTGAACTTTTGAACCCAGAGCTCGAAAGATGGTCGCTACTCTGTTTCCTGTGAACTATCAGCTCAATGTTCCAAAACCTCAATGGCACGTGCAGATATATTGTCCGCAATTGAATTCATTTCAATAAATCCAAATCATGGATTTCAACTCACCAAGTTCACCACCCCCAATAATACCCACAACCTCCTCCCGACAAGTCCCCGGACACTCCCCAAACTCACTCTTCAAACTCCCCGTCTTCCCCCACTCCCCACCATCAACCGTCAATCCATGCATTCTCACAACTTTCCTCCTCGCAGCAAAGAATAGGGCAATAGTATGTTCAGCCACACTCTCGTTACTCGCAGCAGGGACATTGCACACTGTGACACCGTACTTCTTGCATGCAGCAAGATCGATCATATCGGTGCCGATAGCGAGCACGGCGATGAGTTTGAGATCCGGGCATGCTTTTAACGTCTCCTCTGTGATTGGGATACGAGTTGTGATTGCGATGTTGGCTGGGTTGGGAGTACTGAGATGGGATATCACTGTGGGTGTTGCGAAGGGGACTGAGGGGTAGCTGGTGTAAGTGTGATTGAAGGAGGGGCTGAAGATAGGAGCTGGAGTGTGAATCCCATCCAGACGGACGATATGAAGGGGTTTGGTAGGATCCATTATGCTTTCTCAGGAGAGAGTTGCTCTAGATTCAAAATCTGGCAGATCATCTCGAGAGTAGGAGAAGAACCGTCCCGATGTCTTAGCAAAGGCGTGATCACGTGTGCTAGCTCTCCACTTGATTCTGTGTATTAGAGTGGTGAATCTATAGACAATACAGGTCTAGAAACTACAAGCAAGAAACGCCTCCACTATGCATCCCCGTCTATATGTACATGATCTACAAGTATCTCTTCTCTTCCTTCTCCTCATACGACTGGACTTGGTCTCCAACATGGAAATCAAACCAGTCGTTGAAGCCCATTCCACACTCACCACCCTTCTTCATCTCTTGAACATCTTTCTTGACGTTCTTCAACGAGGCGAGTGTACCTAGACATGTCAGCAGATTCCTAGCATAAGATGAAGAAACATACCATCAAACACTTTCTCGCCTCTCCTCATGACCCGAACTTTAGCATTCTTCGCAATCGTACCATTCCTCACTTTACATCCAGCAACTGCCTTGTGCTGTCGTCCCTTGACATTGATCTCGAAAACATGAGCAATCTCCGCCTCACCCAATACACGTTGAGTGACCAGTGGCGGGAGATGTTTACTCAATTCCGCCGTCACATCATCCACTAAGCGATAGATAATGTTGTGATCGATAATGCTGACTTTGGACTGTTCAGCCAGTCTAGCAATATTGGGCTCGACCGTTGTGTTGAAATTGATCAAATGTCCCTTGGCTCCAGCCGCATGCTCAACATCGAATTCCGAAAGTTGTCCAACACCAGAACGGAGGATAATTGGTTGAACTTCCTTGTTGCCAAGCACAGAAATGCTGTCAATGACAGCTTCCACAGATCCACTCACATCGCCCTTGACGATAAAGTAAATCTGCTTCGGTCCAGTTGCCTTAGCACTTTCGGCAGTCTTCGGAACTACTGCATCGGTGTCTTTCGTAGCTTCCAGAGCAGCAGCCTCTGCCTTCTCACGCTCCCGCTTCTCCTGCTCAGCTTTACGATTCTCATTGATAGCTTCCATGTCTTCAGCCATCTTGTCACGCTCTTCCTTCTCGAGTCTGTAGTCCACAACACTCTTGGCTTTACCCTCGTCGGAAGCTTGCAGGACTTCATCGCCCGCAAGTGGTTGCTCTCTCCATCCATCAATCTCAACAGGCATTCCTGGTCCAGCTTCTTGAATCTCTACACCTGCCTCGTTTCGAAGACAACGGATTCTTGCCCAAGTCTTGCCGGCAACAATGAAATCTCCTGGTCGCATGGTACCTCTTCGCACAAGTACTGTAGCAACCTTACCCATAGACTTAATACTTGCTTCCAAGATCCAACCTTCTGCTTGACCATCCGTCTCAGCTCGCATATCAAGAATTTCGGACAAAGTGACAGCAGCTTCTTCTAGTTCTCCCATACCCTGACCAGTCTTCCCACTGACACAAACAACCTGAGTGTCACCGCCAAAGTCTTCAACATCCACACCATGACGGGCAAGATCTTGCTTGACACGGTCAATGTTTGAATCTTCCTTGTCGATTTTGTTGATAGCGACAATCATTGGAACTTTTGCAGCCTTGGCGTGATTGATGGCTTCGATTGTCTGTGGCTTGACACTATCATCTGCTGCGACCACCAAGATAACAATATCGGTGACATTTGCACCCCGCTGACGCATGCTCAAGAATGCAGCATGGCCTGGCGTGTCCAGGAAGGTAATGACCTTGCCGGATGGCATAGGCACGGAGAAAGCTCCGATGTGCTGGGTAATTCCACCATGTTCAGTAGCAGCAACGGAGGACTTCCTAAGGTAGTCCAGCAATGTTGTCTTTCCATGGTCAACATGACCCATGATTGTCACCACAGGAGGCCTCTGAGGTAGTGATGACGGATCTGCAGCCGGCTCTCTCGCTTTCAGATCTTCCGACTCTCCGCGATCGATAATCGGTTCATAGTTGTACTCTTGGGCGATCAAACCAGCATTTTCGGCGTTCAAAACATAATCATGGCTCGTTTCCTCAAATCCAAGTTCTTCCATCTTACACACAAACTCCTCAACCCTGACTCTGAGAGCCACAGCCAAGTTTGATACGCTGATATACTCTGGCAAAAGAATTGGAGTTGGAGCCGCTGCTTTGGCTGCTCGCTTTTCGGCCTTCTCACGTTTTCGCTGCGCTTTCTCTTCAGCTCGTTCAAGGGCAGCATTCATTTCCGCTTCTTCTTCCTCATAGTTGGCGAACTGCTCTCGTCGCTTGGCCTTATCTCTACCTTTTCCTTTTGGTACAGCTTCGTAACTTGGTTCTTGAGATTGTCGTCCACGTACTTTTCTTTTCCTTTCCTTTCCTGATCCTCGACTCTCATCCTCCTCTGCAGCATATTCTATTTTCTTGGCAAATTTCTCGACAGGTCTAGAATTCATTTCGAAGCCTCGCAATTTTTCTTGTTCGACAGATGGAACCATAGGCCTGAATTTGACTGTGTGATCGGGTTCCGGTCTGTTGCCTGGTTCTCTATACCGCTGTACCTCTTCAAGCACTGGAGATTTCTCTACGGAGCCACGAGACATGTCTAGACGTCGGCCACCAGCGGGGTGTGCAGGGTATCTCGCTTCGTATGAAGGTCTCTCTGAAAAGTTCCGGTTCTCTGGTCTTGAAGAAACTGGCGTGTATCTTCCGTGTCTAGCCTCCTCTACTCTCTGTGCCCTCTCTTCCGCGAAATTGTTCCATCGAGATCTTGGGCGATCCTCCTCAGCAGCTCGAGCCGCAGTCGCAGTATCCCTTTGTGGCCTCAGTTGAGGCCATTTTGACCGATCTTCAGCAGCGGATAGGTTTTTCCATTCCGAATCGCCCAGCATATGCCTTATTTTTGGACCTCCCGACTCGCTCCTGACTCCATTCGAATATGCTGCACGGTTTGCTTCAAATTTCTCCAGGGCTTTCCGTCTGGCAATATCCCGTTGCGCCGCTTGAATCCTTTCGGCTTCCGTTCGGGGGACGAGTCTTCCAGCACGAGTGCTTTCTGGTCCAGCTCCTCTGCCCTGGGTGACTTTTCTAGCTTGCGACTGTGAATCTCGCGCAAGCATCATCTCTCGAGCTTTCTTCTCGTGCGGATCGAGTTCATACGCCTCTGATCTCAGATTCTCAACAGGCTCTCTGGCTTCTGGTATCGAGTCTTGGGCGGACTCCCTACTTTGCACTTGAGGAGTAGAGGCTTCCAACGTATCAGCCACAGGTCGCGGTGTAGTGCTTCCTGCCCCAGGTATCGACCCCGCTTCTGATTTACCCCAAATCGGTGCTACTGAGGGTATTCCGGCTCCAGCACCTGGACGCCCCCAGCTCGCAGTTGGTCCCAATCCTCCTGCAGGTCGTCCCCATGTTGGCTGTGGCACTCGATTGCCATTATCTTCCCGCAAGGCAGTTGCCTCCGCAGGAGGTTTCGATACCGGCCGAGAGGATTGGAGAAATCGACGTGGAACATGTGAAGGTTGTCGAGCTTGACCCAGTCTATGGGCGCAAAAGGCACACAAGGACTGGTTTCCTGTTTCCTATATTCAATTAGCTTCCAATACATCGATCTCGATTATAGAGTATATACAAACCTTCATTAAACTGCGGCCCCTCATGGTTTCTTGGATGGCAAAGAACACATTCCAGGAAGAAAGGACGATGCAAGAGCATTTGAAATTCTCTACGGGAGCCGGGATTTTTCGGATGCGCAGATCTTGATAACAGTTATCGGATCTCGAGCTTCCACAAATTATATCAACATACAATTGGAGCGCATTATGCCTCCAAAAACGAAATCCAAGGCGCGAGCCTTCAAAACAATATCCTCGAGTCCGAAATTCTCTCCTTCAAGCTGTCTCGAGCCTCCCACTCCTTTCAAACGAGCCCCAGCGACCCTCGAACCATTCCTCTCCACGCTCGACACATCACATATCTACATCACGCATATTGACACGAAACCCAAAGATTTCAAGCAAAAGATATTCTTGGTACCGGTTCTTATGAATGTGGTGATCATTGGCCTCATACTATGGAGAATAAAGACAATTGGGCCCTTCTACATGAAGATCTGCTTCTCCTTGATGGGAAACCCAAACGAGACGACGGTGGATACAACGCGCATGTCTTTTAATGATGCCTTCTTGGTGATCTTGAACAGAGCTATGATCTTCATTGGAGATTTGCTGATATATGTGTTCATTTGGCCATGGCCCCGGGAGTTCTTTGGTGGGAGGACAATTAGCAATCCAGTTGCATGGAGATTCGCAGTCGGATTCAGACCACAAGAGATTATTGTACGGAGGAGTAGGAAATGGGATCGCGCTATTGTAGATGTGCTGGAGCAAGGGAGTGGACAAGACGAGCTATTTGACATTGTGAGGAGGGCTGTTGATCCGATCTGGATGGCTGAGAAGACAGGCTACTTAATGCTCAACAAGGAATGGGATTTGGATTGGAGGTCTATAATAACTGCGACAAAGATGGTGGATAAGAAGACTTTGTCGATACAGGATTTCAAAACTACAATACTGCTGCACAATGAGCAGTTCGGCTGGATGGTCATTGAGACTGCTGCGGCTGGGGGAAGTGCTGCCGAAGAGGAGGGAAGGAGGAAGATTGTGGCTTTCAAAGACGAGTTGACTGCCCTTGGAAAGGAGAATCTATTCTTTAGGTGGATCGAACTGGTTCAGTACGAATCCTCGCGTCCTGGAGGCTTTTCCCCAGAGCGGCAAGTTGAGACCATGGCCAAGGCGAAAGATATGTTCGAGTCCCAGGGCGTGGATTTCGACAAGTTCTGGGCCAAAGTAGGAGGCATGGAAGGCATGCCCGGAATGGATCAGATGTAGAGAATGAACATCGCATGATCAGTAAATACCTGTCAAGATTGTGAATGAGCGGGTGTGGGGAACGGTTGACTGGAGACACAAGTGGATTTTACTGTGGTCAATTATGCCTCGATGTTGATTGAAATTGGTCCTTGGGATAGATAGTCCTGTTTTTCCTATCATCTCTGCTCCATGCTCCCCTCTTCAGCCCATAAGTTGAGCTAAGCCTCTGGAAGTATAAGCAGTACCGCTATGCTTTTATGGTTGTAACATGGAAAGTCGCTCCAGTGTTCCGATGTGTCTGCTCCAGAGTACCCTGCATGCCCATCAGTACACCTGTCATGGCCACTCTGGATTCAGACACTGAGATCCATAAGTCGCTGTGGCGAAAATGAGAGACGGCTTATTCTGTCACCACCCCAGAAACTCCACCTGGCTTTTGGCCCCAACAGACAGTTCTGTACATGGTGTCAGATCTTCCTACTCAAAACTTCCGGGTATACTTACACATCTTGATATGCATGGATATTTTTGTTCCTCAAATCTCTCCTTATATGCGCACACAGCACCTCGACCTCTTCATTCCTCCACTAATCAGTTGTTAACACAAGCACATACACGATCGTCCAGTAAAGAAGTTCATAGACTTACCCCAAGGAATTTCGTCATCAAGAACATCGCCCATCCATTAATCCCCTCATCCCAACCCAACCTATTATAAGCCCCAATCTCCTTCATTTTCCTATTCGCAGTCCACGGTCCAATTGGCCACTTGAACGTTTTCCTCTGCACGTTTACAAATCCAGCATTCTCCATGAGATCTTTACTTTCCTCCGCAATCTTGAAGCTCTTCCCAAACTTCTCGCCACATTCCCACGCCAGCGGTCCCCAACTCTCCAGCGACGTTCCTTTGATGGAATCATCTTCCGACTTGGGTATCACCGAAATCTCCGCCTGTTCAAACCAGCCCCCAGGTTTCAAGTGGTCAAGTATAGAGGAATATAGTGCGGGATAGTTGGCTACAGAGCCGTATATACAGCGCGCATGTATGAAATCAAATGTGTTTTTCGAGAACGTCCAAGGCAGTGTGAAATCGTCTATCTGGAACTCGAGATTTGGGGGGACATCGGTTGGTTGAATGGGCGAGAGGTCTGTCGCTACGACTGACGCCGAGGGATATAGGTCCGCTACATCGATTGCCCAGATCCCAGTGCCAGTTCCGAGATCAAGGATCCGCTGTGGGTGGTCTCCTATAGGAGCGAGGAAGAGCTTTCCATCTAGAGAAAGGTTGAAAATGTGGTGAAAGAGATCGAGGTTTTCTTGGGCTGTATCGTCGTTTGGACCCCTGGCGCAAGCACATGTCAACATATTGATTCTCTAGCAATATCGGAAGAAGCTTGTTTACCAGTACGTGCCAGCGCGATAGCTGTGGTACCGTCGCCCATTCTCGTACACATGTTTTGTGATCGCAGAGTACAGCGACGTTGTTTCCGAGGCAGCATCGCTGTCGCCGCCGTACGACGAGTCGTTATCGTCGAAGTCATCCACCCGTAGTGGTACATCTGCCGGAGCTGGAGGTGGAGGTAAATTTGCTTGTTGCGGTTGCGGGGTCACATCGGGGTGATCGCTCGCATCAGCCATGGCCTAGATCTCCCTAGATATGTCGGACGCTGTGCCGCTGCAGGGTAAGAGATTCAAGCTTGTATTATGTGATAATTCATCAAAATGAAGATATTAGAAGTGGCAGAAAGGGTATCTTGATGTCGAAAGGAGTTGAAGGATGCCTTGTCCATGAGTAGGAGCAGCCAACCAACCTTCTTCATACCCTGCTCGGACTCGGAAAGTCAAAAACGCTCGTTCCTCAATGCCGGCGTGGAATTTAGTGAGCGTTTTAGTGGGTGCGAAAATAGCTTCACCGTTAGAGACACGTTTAGTAATTACATAGTCCCTTTCCCACAATTGTCCCGGAGAGAGCATGTAAGCAACGACATGCATAATCTTTGTGCGACCTGAGACTTCTTCCAGGCGAAGATCTTGGTCCATGACAAAAATATCACAGCCGACGCTCAGAGCAACCTGAGTTGTAGGAGAAGGAATCTGAGTGGCCCAAGCGATTCCATGCCAGCGATCAACTAAGTGGCTCAATAGTGCCAAATAGTCGATACGAATCAAATGATTGGCAACGATTCAGGAATGTCATGACTGGCTCTCATGCGGTCTTGAGCGACAGTCTCCATTTTTTTACAATCTCAGATGTCAAGTATCACTTCGAAGGATGACAGCTTCAAGTCATAAGGCCGTTAATTCTGCGAAAGCACCTGGCATGCCTAACACGGGAGGCTTGTTCTAGTTACCCTTAACCTTAACTCTCACCCCCTTGGAATCCCACTTCGGATAAGGTACGAGATATGCGTGCTTCATTTGAACATCCGATAGGTCTGTCTCATGCAGCTCAAAAGTAAATCGACTAAATACCACGGCCAGGGTGATATAAAGTTCGGCTTGAGCAAGGCTACCAGTTTGTCAGCAATTCTGCCCAACATACCACCTATCGAATGTACACTCACTTGATTCCAGCACAGGCTCTTGTTCCCTTTCCAAATGGCACGAAATACCGTTCCAGACTTGGATTGTTAATCCATCGTTCCGGGATAAATTCTTTGGGGTTCGGGAAAATGGATTCGTTCATGAGAATATGAACATTGGTCATGGAGACGGGCGTGTTGGGTGGGATAACCCAGTCTCCATATTTGATCGCAGTGTCTGGCGCTAGGCGCGGATCACGAGTCACAATACCATGAGCAAGCCTAATACCCTCATGAACACATCCGTTCAGATATGGCAGTTGCTCCAGTTTATGCCAGTCCAGTGGTTTGGTGGAAGTCGATCCAGCTGCAGCCAATTCTGTTCGCAGATTCTGGAGGATTTCAGGTGTTTTGCTGATGTGGAAACTGGCTACTGTAAGAGCCCACGAGGTGGTGACGAGTCCCGCAGCTATAATGAGCTGTGCTTCGTCTCCTAGACGTGCATCTGACTTCTCTTCCGTCGGGAGATCGCTGTTCAACAACTCGTGGAAAATTGTTGGGTGGTCAACATGCTTGTGAGCATCATTCAGACCATCTCGGAGCTCTCTCACTTGGCCTGCTAAATCCTGTGTCGCAGATTTCAGTATTTGTTCCATGAATCTGATCTGAAGGGGTTGCAACCGACCTTTCTTAACCCAACGACAGGTAGGATTTCAGGTTGCATCTTTTTCACCACCCATTCTGGCATAACATCCAGTACCGGAAATACCCACGAGAAATGCAAGGCAAAATGTCCGACTGTGTAGATAGCCACAAGAGCCTCATGGAAAGTATGTGTAAAATCAGGACTGTCCAAGTGATCATAGCTCCTTGCAAAAGAGTATTCGGTAATGATGTCTGTCGTAAGGGCCATCAACGCACGGCTCAGAGGCAATACTTGCCCATCCTGATACCTTGCCACCTTTCGACAAAACTTCTCGACCTTGTTCAGAATCACGGGCTGGAAATCCTCTATCTTCTTCACCGAGAACATAGGGCTCATGGCCTTCCTGCGCAAACGATGGCGCTCATGGTCCGAGGTGGAGAAACTGTCACTCGCATAACCGAATCGTCCCGAAAAATAAAGATACTTGTCTCTTTTACCAGCACGATTGTAAAGGTGCTCATAATAATCGGGATCATCGACATGCAACTCCGTAGGCGTGATACGGATTATTGGTCCTGTTCTCGTGTTACCAAATGACCTGACAGCCAGCCACCAACCGTTTTATGCCCGATGCACGTGGAAGCTGGGATTCTTATGTACTTACCATATTTTTTGTGTAACTCCTGGATTTTAAACGTAAACTGCCCCTGGAGTATCACATCGTAGTAGAATTCGTACCAGTTTGTGAGCGCAGCAAGTTTAGGTCCGGGAAAAGCCGCCAGTGGGCTGAGGAACAGCCTGTCAAATGTGACGGCCACACCATAGATGATGAAGCCATAGAACAGAACGAGGGCCAACTTCAGCGGAAGATCCGTCGCTGAGTTCAGGTCTATCATCGCCATAGCGAGCAGGGAAAGAAATTAGAGTAGCGCGGGAGATAGTTAGGCTTCCGTGTCTTGGAGGGGATCGTCAGGAGATGTGACTTTATAATTGGTATTTGACGATTCGTGATGCCCAGCCGCGCTAGGCGGAGTTTGGGGGTTGGGACACAGCCAGCGGGTCTCTGATAAGGAGGGGCTTTTAATGCCTTAGGCCTCAAACATGAACCCACACGAGGAGAGCTTTTCTTCCTATTATTGATGGAGATTTAGTATCAAGATGGTATTGTTTGCATAAGTTTAACAGGTAAGCAAGGTTCTTATTTGAACTGGGTGAATGGACCAAACCAGGACGGACAGCTCCCGTGACAGAGGAAGGGAAGGATGAATGCTGCGCTTCACCTCCCTCCTTCCATTAGATACAAAGATGAACAGTTTCAGCAGCTGGTTTTCCTGTTTTGGCTGATTGATTTGTATGGAAATGCTATCTAGTTCTTTCGGATCATAGGGTGGACCACATTCAAATTAAGGGTCACGCAATCCTAAACTACTTCGCTAAGTAAGCGAGGAAGTGTCAACAATCAACATTCATTATACAGAATAATGGATGGTCGCATGGCGACGACCACATCAAATCAATGCAAATAAGTCCACTGTATCTCTGATTTTAACAGGGGTTTCAAATGCGCAATTTTGTGATTCTTGACTTGCATGAGAGAAATTTTGCGTTTTACTTCAGTCAGTATATTTAGCAGTGGGAAGGAATTCGTCAAGATGGCTTCTCATTCAACTATCAGCCCGTTGTAGAAGGGCTCAGTTAAATCATCGTAAGGAGATCACGCAGTCTTTTATTCTGATTAAAGGCTCTTGGTTAAAACATGCCGTGAGACTTCAGACACACGCAATAATAGGTGATGGAAGCGAATTGAATTCCAACTTATGGAAACCTAGTCTGAATTGCCAAACAAGTGAAGAAAATTATGAGCACTGTTAGAAAAGCCAAAAGAAAAGAGAATCCTACAGTCGCAGCAGGTAATACCTCTATAGTTCTCATAGTCTCCTTGGCCTAGTTACATTACTTTTCCTTCCACCAAGTTGCCCTGACCCCATGCTATATTCCGCAGCAAGTCGCTCAGTAACCACTCCCGGACTCTTGTCATCAAGCACCAAAGCAATGTCACAACTCCCTCGCCACTACAAGTTATCAATCCACAAGTATGTTCTGCCCAGCGCATCTCTCCTGGGTCTCGCACGCCCCCGATTATACAGTTGATCGTCTATCGTGCAGTATGCTCATAGATCTCTGGATCCTTTGGTGAGACTCCTCACGGGACTTCAGAATACGACGACATCTTCGACAAGTAGCTCTGCATGTTATCGGGTTTGGGCATCTATCGACATGGCCTTGACACATTCGATCGGTGGGGTCGCGTTTGAGGACGGCATGACCAGGACACTTTCGGGGCTGTGGTTCTGCTGCTTGTTTGGAGCTTTTGTTTCCCATGGTTAGATGTAGCGAGACTGGTTTAATGCCAGTGTAGAATATTGTTTACGATGAGGATTTCCGAGGCTGTAAGATGATCTGAGTTTTTGGTCAAGATTAGTGGAGAGGTCAGTAGTGGAGCTGTGGTTCTTTCAAGAACGAAACTGATTGAAGAAAATAAACTGATTACACGTTGCCTCAAATATTTGACGTGTAGAGGACACGAGTCAAAACTTAGAGTCGCGGCTTATGCCGTCGATGGGGCTGGTCAGTTTACTTGAGAATGTGAATCACCAATAGAAGGGTGCTAAATCCACGACGAGACGGCTAAAGTTCATAGAATAAGGTAAAAGCGTGCTACGAACCTCGAAATTGAATTTTCACAATCGTAAATATTCTTCTTAATTACAAGTCCATTTTTTCAGTTGACCCAGGTAGGCGGATGGCAACTAAGCGATGTCAACTAAAACGAGCGGGGCATCTCACCCTGTTTATGACTCTACTTCACCACGCTCCAGGTCAGCACGTCATAATCCCGTTAGCTCATTCACCGTATGTCATTATAAGACGAGTTACATATCTATATTTTTGTGTCAGTGAAATTCATTCTTTAAAAGTGCGCGCTGCTTAGATGCGGGGTAATTGGTGAGCAGCGGGCCAAGTTGACTACGCGTCCTCTCGGTTTGAGACTGGTACGCATCGTCCTTTCAGTCGCCATTGGTACTTACATTCGTCACAATATATTCCATGAGGACATGAAGGTCCAGTTGGACAGTAATTGATATGTGCCTCATGACTGCGGCTGTCGCTTGGACCCGCTCCTTGGTGATGCAAGAAATAATGACCCTTGCACGCAAGCATCATGGTTCTGTAGTCATAGTCCTTCTGGACATTCTTCGAGGAGAGACTGCCCATTGTTTCGATGTGTAGTCTACTTGGTTCAATTACAGTGGGTGTCAGACGTATCCCACAGTAAGATCGTCACATATATGCAGCAGAATCGCCTTGTTTCGGCAGCAAAGACAAAGGCCACGGAAATCTTAACAAAGCAAGAACAATGAGCGCTGAATGGTGAATTTTATTGTCAGCGGGTAACAAGAAACTCATTTTACTACTATCCCCCCCCCTAAACAAACGTTAAAGGTGGACTTTTGTGGGCTGAACACCTGGAAGGCGTATTCTAACTGGTAGACGACCCTAGAGATACTCAGGGCACGAGCTAAATTCTGGTCAATTGTAAAAGTAAGGGTGGCCGTAGAAGGTTCGAGATAGAGTTGAAGCCCTGCTCAAGGCTCAGTCTTAGTATCCTTATTGGATAGACGCCCTAGCTGACTACCCACACGAGGTCCAGTTTTCATGAGGTTTAACGTTTGTTTAGGGGGGGGGATAGTAAGCCCGCTGTTCTCTCAACAAGTAACGGGGCCCACGTGTGACGGCTGTAGTCTTCCCACGTGAGGTGGTAGAGCTGAATGTTTTACGGACGCAAACTCGGTCGGGAGCTTGTCAACACGCAGACAAGTGTTACAGACCTTCATAACCAGGAGCATCATAACATTCGAATATCGAAAGTCTTCATTATATTTTTGATGCCCATCAAAGTTCTTTGAGAATTTGAGTTCGTGCTGGGATCCATGGGGCAAGGCAGTGAACCCTGGTGACAAGCAGCCACAATCCTTCTGGTGTAACATCAAATGCAACCTTTCGGCCTCAGCTCATGGAGGGTTTCTCGTCCGAACCTTTATTCTTCCATCTATGCATTCTCTTCGTTTATCTATACACTGACGAGTAATCTCTCATACAATCATACTTGCTGATTCACGACTGTAAAATGAGGGCATCGATATTGACGTTGTCTTTGGGCGCGGTTGCCTTGATTTCCGCACTTCCGATAGCAAAGCCAGGAACTGGATCTTTGATCCCGAGGCTTGATTTGGTGGGAGGTACGGCTGCGACATACACAGTTGGTACTGGGACCGATACGCGAGGTTTGTCCTCACGAGCTATCGAACAAGAAACTCGGGGTTTAGGTGAGAGACATGTCTCTGATACAGTAGACTTCTCATCCCATCACACCCTCCATCTAACGATCAGAATTCTCACATTTGGATGCATGCGAAATGCTTCCACATCCAATTCCAGCCCTGTTTGAGGGGTGTTCATAAGCTAACATACATAGTATCAGATGGTGCTAAATCAAGGGACCTTGTCAAGGACGCCTTCGGAAGAGGAGCATACGGTATTGATGCTGCTCGTCCGGTCGACTCATCGCCGAATAGTACAGAATGAATGGATGGAAGGGGGGAGCGGAAACTTGACAGGGATCGTTTGAAAGGTAGAAAAACTCAAGTGGAGTATGCACTTGGGCGGTTCAGTTGGCTTAGGAGATTTTGACAGGAGAACAGGAAGTGTAGTAAAGTTGATGAGCAAATGTAGATCGAGATTGTGCAACACAGGAGAAGCTGCTTCTTGGGCCGCTAGTGGACATAAAATAATGACCGAACAAGCGAATGTAAATAATGGTCAAACTGAAAGATCAGCTAAACATGCACCACATTCGAAGACCCTCGGGAGGCCGATCAGTGAACGTCAAATCCACAGGGTTTTGTTTAAGCCATGACTGACAACCTCGAAAGGCTCCGATCTTGAAGCGTGACAAACATTGCCGTAGGTTATGAGGAATATTCCCTCAGCCATCAAGCACACTGTAAGTTGTGGTCTCAACGCGGAGTGCTGCATGCAACGATGTTGCGTGGTGCAAGTGAAATTGGAGCTGAATGCCTGAGGCCAGGAGCGGCCGAGACTTGAAATATCTCTGGCAGTCTCTTTCACTAAAATCACCTTGCAGCAACTGCTTATGCTACCAGTCTCCTAGCGATGTCACTTTCCAAGCAAGCCTTTGATTCCCTCGATTGGATTTCCCTTCGAGCCTGACATCCACTAAGCATGCACAAGGGCACCGGTAATCTGACGCGTACAGTTTGCGAACCGCGTCGAGAAGACTCCCAACGCCCTGCCTCCTCCAACTTTTCGAAGCCCTCGCATTGAGTAATACGAAGCCAACGAGAAGAAGTCCCGATGGGAGTGTGGCCTCCGAATGTCCGATTCAACACTGGAGAGAGGTGTCTGCGTCTATCACGAATACGGAAGCTGGCTGAGAATGCCTCTGGAACAGCGGGGGCCAAGGGCTCAACAACGCGCGCAGACTCCCCGGAGCTGGCATGGTCGGCCCGCGAGAAGTAGAGCCATGATATGGAGAGTCATTTGCTCCTGGCTGCCAGGCAAACTCGATATGGACATTGTTAAATGAAAGGGACATTGGCGGACCTGGATACCATACCCATTCGGCGGGTCTGTGAGAAAGGTGAGCAAATCACGACCATAAGATCAGTAGAATTGTGCTGTATATACTCGGCAATATGCTGTACGGACGCATGTGCTCCTGCATTTTCGTGCTGCTTTCATTCCGATGCTTTTCATAAGTGCTTTTAAATACATTGAACCCACAACTGTCTTCTTGTTTCCATGCCATAGTATGCCTCTTCCTTACTTTACACATCATATCTTGATCTCCTCTCCAAGTACCAAGGAGATTATGTCAGCCCCAACCATGCGAGGTATGAACTCCAGGTCCCTGGGCTTCGGAACTGTCCAGCTCAGGTATTCTAGCCGCCCTGCTCGTTGGTAGTTCGTACATGTGTGGGTATTGCGGCATATTTGGAGTCGGTACAGTGCTTGTTGGATATGGAGATCCTGAAGGGAAGGTTCCTGTACTCATTATACTTTGGGGCGATGCTTGTCGGACAGGCTCGTTCGAAGGTGCAAGTTCATATGAAGGTGCAGTTGAGTTGGTTTGACCGCTCTCTCTTGCATATGGGGAACTTTCTCTCGTTGTCAGTACGTGATACTGTGTCTCTTCTTTCTTCATGGGCAGGCCTTGGTACAACTCCGTGGGATTGGTTCTAGTTCCCATGGCCGGCTGTTCATATTGAGCAACCAGCTGATCAGCAGGAGTGTTGAGGAAGTGATTTGAATCTGTCTGCTTCTTGCGCCGACGATGGCAGCAGAACCCAAGCAACAGGATTGCGACTACGGCGACAACACCTGCTGCAACTCCGATCGCAATCATGGCACCTGTGGACAGACCCCCATCTTGGCCTGTCGATGCTGCTCCAGTGATATTGGATGAAGCTATGCTCGTGCTCGATGCCGAGGGCGAATTCAGAAAAGAAGCTCCTGCTCCTGTGGCCGGGATGGTCGAGCCTCCTGCTGGAATTGTTGTTGAAGGCGGATCTTTCGTCGTTTGACTCGTGGGTGTTTGCTTGGAACTTGATGTTGGCTTAGCTGACGTCGTGGGGATGTCCGGAGCTTCAGGGCTCGCAGTATCGGCTGCAATGGTAACAGCAGTAGCTGTATTCTCCTTGAAAGCGTCTCCAGTATACAGAAAGTCAATGGACACATCTGGGTTGTCCCCTGGCCAACGATAAACGACAGACTCCCCAATCGATGTACTGCCACAGCCGTATTGGTAATATCCATCGGGAAAGCTGTTCTTGTAGCAGAGATTTGTGCTTAACGCAGAGGGTATTAGCATAAATATCTGAAAAGTGGCAGGGCAGAATCACTCTTACCAAGTGAATACTCCAGGAACAGTTTCGCCATCAGGAAAATCATCCCTCAAGTCTATACACGATGTATACACAGCATCACAGGATGCTCCTCCACTAGAACAGCACCCGACAACTTTGATATCTGTGAACCAAGCACAATACGATTTCGACCCGCAATATGCCAGTACATAATCTGGACCTTGCCTGCTAGTTTATCAGTCCTATCAACAACCAGGGATGAGTACAACGCACGCGCCACATAGATTGGCTGGATGGACACCTCTTCCGATCAACTTGTGTGCTTCTTTCGTCGGTGCTGGAGTCCAATTGGCCGTGGCAGTTGCAGAGATGGTTTCGTACGGCCCTATCCACCCGAGTCCCAGAACGGCGGTGGTCCACAGCAACAAGAGTAAAATGTTGCAAGTCATGTCTTTCAAATATCGACTCAAGGCAATCAGTTTTCAAAGGGGGGAGAATAGAAGGATCTCGTGAAAGGTTGACCCGCCTCTAGTATTTAAAGCCGGCTGTCAATGTAACGCGGATTCACGAGACATCCAGAAGTTTGCACTACTGCATGTACCCATAGTCCCCGGAACAAGCGATATTGTCAGGAGAAAGTTCACTTGTTGGCAGCGAACCATAGGTAGGACAAGAGTGGTGGGTATTGACATCGTGCAGATGGGAAACCCCACTGCGCCCGAAGCGGAAAGTTATTCCTTGATGTTCTTGACGATCCCCTTTGTTTTCCCATTTTCCGAGAGCCTCATGGTACTACAAGAACTTGGATTAGTTCTGTGTGCAAGACTGAGTCTCAAGGGCTGCGGTCCTCAACTGACAAGCCGGTAGATTTTTCGACCCCGAGGACTTTAACGTTGCAGGTCGGGTCGCATACATGATTTGGCCTATGTTGATCAGCAGTTCAATGAGGCTGTGGGATCAAATCCTGGCATGATTGCTTTCACAGCAGCTCGGGAAGTCGCATGTCCACGGGACGTTGTCTTACTTAAAGGCAATTTGTGGCTTGGCTGGCCATGCTTGGAATTGTTGTGTCACATGGAATAGTTTGAAGAGCCCCAATCCGATATTTCGAACGCATCTTTGCGCCCGATTGTTCTACGCCATGTCTATTTGGGGCTTCATAGATGCGGCTCGACCTTCGAGGCTGAGCGACAAGAGTGTTGGTTTTGCTGGCGACTTAGGATGTTCACGAGTTCCATTTATATGAGCCTTCCGTCAACGTACAAGTGCTTTTTCCTTTGTGTGATAGCGCTGGACTTGTACACCAAAGCGTGTCTCAATGCTTGCCAGTGGCTGAGCTGCATTATTCTCAGGGCATTAAGTCTGGGATCTGGTCTCCACAGGTGAGGCTATCGAAAACCTGCATTTGAAAGTCACGTCCAACGCGGGGAACTTTGAAGCCACCAGGTGGCTTCTAAAGAAGCACATTCAGCTGTACCATTGGCTCGACCACTGCTCGACCTGGACCACAATCTTTTTGTATGTCTCTACAAGGCTGCAGACGCGAGAATGATTTGCTAGAATGTGCCATCACAGGTCAATAGCAACTCAAGCTCAAGATTTAGATCAACGACTACTCGTGATGTTTGAGCGAAGAAAGAATAGCGATTGAGGTTGCTGTCCTTGATCTTAATCAGACCATTCCCTTGCAAACACTAACGAAGGAACTGAGATTTTTAGATTTATAGGAACGATAAATTCGGAACTTCGGTATTCAATCAGGAGACTCGAGAGGCTAAGAAGACTCAACAAATTTGAGTAGATTAACCCAGCCCAGCCGTTCTATCAATTGATTTAGTCCAAAGATCGATCTAAATTCATATCAGAGATGTTGACTCTAGATTACCACCTTCGAAGATCAGTTCAGGCTTGATTGCGTCGGCAAAGGAAGCATCGTCAAATTGGCCGCTGGCATCGACAGACATGCCAAGCCCAACTCGCTTCCAGCAGCCAACAATATCTGGATGGGGCACGACAACCAAGAACCACACTTTGGCAGAAGCTACGGCTTCCTCCTTGCTGTCATTCTCTCCTCCACCTTTTGGCTCGTCTAGGTGCTTCAAATCAGCCCCAATGATTTCCAAGGCTTTACATTGAGTCAAATTGGCGGGGTCTATTTCCATATCAGCAAGCATCCACCCAATTCTATTTCCACGACCCAGGACTGAGCTTGGCCTTGCGTTGTGAGACTCATTGTAGTAAACTTGGGAAACGTTGGCAGTGTCCGAATTTTGCTTGGAAGCCCGGACAGGATGGGAATGTGATTTTTGCAGGTAGACGTAGATACATCGACATCGAAGGACAAGCTCTCGGTCAGAGGATGTGCCCACACCCCAGTCCAGTCTGTTGCGAAGCAGTGGTGGCGGTAACATGGGCCAACATTTGTTGTATCCTGTCATAGCCGCCCATGACCAGCTTGGAGCCCCGGTTTGGTGGCTTTGCACGTCGCTCATGTTGATACGGCTTCCCCAATTTGTCCACAAGAGGCCTCTCGCCAAATCTTCTTTCCACAGACCATACATATAGCTCAGTCCGGTATATTCTCTGATCTGCTCGGCAACGCCAAGAATCGCTGGAAGCATATCACCTGGATTCGTCAAATTCCTTCGCGAATATTGCTCGACAAGACTGTACCAAAAATCTGGTGCTTTCTCAGCGGACTCAGGATCAGTTTCCAGATTGTCCAAAGCTCGTTTCAGTCTGTCGGGTCCAAATTTGTAGAAGCCTTCTGTGGCAACGCTATCTCCAATCCGGGCACTGCTCTCGCGCTGGTGGCCTGTACGGCATTCGAAAAGGATCTCTGACTTCGCCATATGTATTACTCGGGTGGAGAGTAGCCGCTCTTGGAGACACCAGGCTCGGGACTCTAATATCGACTTCTCATATATGGAGCGTGCTGTTGGGATCTTCAGACGCAAGAAAAGGTTTTCAGATCCCGGGAGCTGGACAGAGGGTACGTCTCGCCGATGCAGCATTCCAGAGAAACTATTCTTTGAATCCAGCGCTGCAATCGTGACGTATGAGTTCTTGTAGTATTCATGCATCTTCGCACTCTCATGCTCCCAATCCGAAAGTTGGTCTTGAATGATACAGAGGGAGTCGATCCAGAGGTATCTGATGCCTAGTAACCTAGATATTTTGACGGCGTCTCGAAAGTTCGCTGGCAATTCATCGCACGGAATATTTTTCATATGCTGTTCGATACTCGCGGTTGTCGTGATTAGGGCCCGTTCAATCCCCCAACAGTGGCTGAGAACCGCGTACCTTCCAGATATATCTCTCGCTTCACGTAGGTTGACGTTGTCACCGTCCTTACCTACATCCAGAACACGGGTTGGTAGATATCCTTGTTCCGTTTGATGACATTTGACATGGCTCTTCTGGCAATCCGAGATCCAGGGTAGCGCGACGCATGTCACTGCTTCCACGGGGTCTTCGAATATTGATTTGCCATAAACCCCGTGGTCCGAATGGTCTGGAGTGTCTGAAGAACTTAGCCTCGTTCAATAAGAGTCTTGAAAGGCCTCTTACATCTGCTTCGAAAAAGCTCAAAATATAGATCTTCCGCATCAGGAACCAGAGCTCCATTCCGCAAATCCTGAACATACTCTACACGAATCTTGAGCTCGTTAGTACAGATACATCGAATGCTAACTATTCCATCCCGATATTCCTTTAGACTTTGAACAATCAGGCAGCAGAGCGGACAATCGTGTGCCGTCTTTAAGGAAGCTTGGTAGGTTTCGTGGTGTCGCACTTTGACAACTTCTGAGCTATTTGACCCAAGAGATTTGGAAATTACACTACAGTGATCGCAAAGTTGATCATCGTCGTCTTTAGGCATGCTGACCGCAGACAATAATATTGACATGTTTTGATCTGGAAGTTGAGGCATGGGCAGGCTGCCATCACACAGCCACCATTTTACCAGTCAGCTGATGTACACGTGTACTTGCAGCCGGAAAATGGATTGAGATCTTGTCAGACTTTCGCACCCAGGTATGCAGTACAGTAGGATGAAAAGTGGTTCATACAATGTCGCAAATCTAAGCAATTACGTTGAACAACACAACTGTGGTCAGCCAGAATCGTGAAGGGGCGCATCCTAGCATGTTGGATGGAAATTACCAGCAATACAGCACTCGCCGAAAAGGCCTTTTCACGTCTGAAAGCCCTTACCGTCAGAAATACCTAGTCCCCAAAATCCAAGCCTGGACTTCTGTCTTGACGCCAGTTGGAACAAGCGAGGTTTTTGGTGTGCCGGTTACAGTGTCTCGGTGTGTGGCCAGACAGACGAACAAAGTCGAGCAATTTAGGCTCTAATAAATGAAATTATTGGCCTCAAACATAACAGGAATCTCGACTTTGAAGTTCTCAATAGAGAAAAGGGAATGTCCTCAAAACAGAAAAATTCGCAAAGTAGGCCTCAGTGCACTGAGGGGAACCTTCTTGCTCACTCTTGTCTCCTCGCTCATCTTTGCTCAGCAGTCGCAACACACAACGCGTGCAACTGCCATTGACCCTCGAGTTGCCTGCTCCTTTGAAATATTTCAGTTTAACTAAGATGCACGCTTGTTAGATCGCAGCTTGTAAGCGACTTGATATTCTGAGATTGATCTCTCGGAGAATCAGAGAGTTATTGGGAGAAAATGTTTGACACTTGGCTTGGGACCAAGAACGTCAGGACGAGAGGTATCTGAACCAAGAGCTTCGGACAAAGGAGATCGCGATGTTTAAAATCAAGCGCAGTATATCAATCTCGTTCTCAAGACGTACCATACAAGTCTAGGTCAATCCTTTACTACCTCCAACAGTTGCAGACCCTCAGGAGCGTGTGGGCAATATGTTCAGCGGGGCAGTCCACTGACAACCTTGGTTCACTCGCTTGGGTTGTGGGTCAAGGTCGCAGTACATCAATTTTTCACACTTAAATATTACTAAATAAGACAAGATTCTGTCATCCAATACGATCGAGGCACTTTGGCGGAGTGGTTAACGCGATGGCCTGCTATTACAAAAGTAAAGACAGCCATTTCCTTCGGGAGCGAGTGTTCGAATCACTCAGGTGTCGCGTCATAATTTTGAATTTTTTTCCTTTTAGAAACCTAAAAACCTTTGAAAGAAAGGTCGGATGGTTGCAAGATTTTGTGGTCGTCCTCAGACCAAGGTTTTTCGGGGGGCAGTCTGTTGCCCCGATAGGCGAGTTTCTTCATCAAATTTGGGGCTGACAGAGTAGGGTGGCTCGGGTGCCTAGGTGAGTAGCTGTGCCGCTGGTGGAGCTGCCCTGTGGTGCTACCACTGGGACTTTCACGAAGCTTCACTAACACTTTTAATATTGCAGAAATGCCATACTGAATTTATACTTCCCATGGCCAATATCTTGAGCCCTAGAATTATACTCGCACAGACGCTTTTCCAAGAATCTCAGTGAGGTGCGCAGCTTGAGAAAATCGCAGACAGCTTGTGCTTGCGCTCCAAGAGTCCTACTTTGACGGCCTCCCGTGACTGAGTTGCCGCACCTAATCAATATTTGTGTCCCGAATTGGGTTTGTGAGAACTGATGACTTGATGCCAGCTCGTTTGCGGCTTTCAAGTATGAAATATTGAAGCTGCAACCATGCCTCAGCGAGTAGTCTCCTAGACATGGAGAATGGTAAGCATAAATGCGCAAGCACCAACTAGCAAAGCAGCCTGACACCTGCCAATGGGCACCATCTGGATAACATCATACTTTTAATACCGACTATTTCTACTGGTTGGTAAGTAAACTTTTTTTCTATTGCTCTACAAAGAATTTGTTGACCTCGGCTAGCAGATCTGGACCTCCGCTCCCGGGCACAGATTCGCCAAAATATTGGTCAATAACTATGTTTTGTCTCGGAGCACGCGGAGATGTATACATGGAATGCCAGTAGTCATTGAATCTATGCCAGACTCCTTGAGGTCGGCAGTCATTTACAAACTTCATCAAAACTTTTGGATTCGGGCGCCATACTGTAATGGGATGACGTACCCCAGCCAGCAGAATACCATTGGCGAAGAACGCACTTCCAGGAGTGAAAGCTGCAATATCGTTATGTCGGAGACTTGTCTGGAGATTTTGGATTGTGTCGAATCCTCGGAGGTTCCTCGGCCATGTTGGCGTAAGGAGGAGGTGATCGGGCACAATTGTATACATATGGAGCGAGAAGAGGGATCTTGCGTCCATGACGATGGTATCTCTCGCTGCATTGAAATGAATGACAGGCCCATTCTCTATTCGTAGAGACTGAGGATTGAGGCGCTGGTACTCTCCTCGTGATTCACGAGATGCACCGAGCATTCCGACAAACCCAGAAGGTCCACTAGGAGTCGTCAGAGAACATTCAAATCAGCAAGAACTCGCTTACTTACTACCCACCTCCGGCTGCATAACAAGTCCAAGTCCAGCTCACATAGGCATATGGTCCTCCGAGCGTACGAAAGGCCTTGGAACCCGTTTCTCGTGCTGCTACGTATGGGACATATGTTGGATTCGTAGCGCGAATGACAACTGTGATTCGTCGTGGTCCTCTAATTGCGGCAACTTTTTGCCAGATAATTGTTCGTACTTCTGCCGGCAAGTTTCCAAACCCAAGAAACGTTTGAAGCGCCATGAGAAGTGATATTTGAGCTAAGTTGACAATTGTAATTTTGTACTGCTTCCTGACAGTTTCTAACCCATGACTAAACTCTAGGGTAAGTCTTTGAACGCTGGAGTAACAAAGACAGAAAATTGTAAACTGTTTCCTATGGACTTCGTAGCGTTCCGGTTGCGGTCAACCGTCAGCCTTTTTTCTCTTTGTACTTCTGCTACCTTTTCCAGGGTTAAGTTGACACCAGTCAGTAGGACAAGTGCAGTTCTGGTTATGGACAGACGAGTTCGGAAACCTGTTTCCATTTTGGAACTGCTCAAGTCTTTTTCCATAGATTCTCACAACGTTATGCCGACCTTGCTAGGCCAGCTCTGATGCCTTTAACACCTCCCTACTGTACAAAGCGATTACCCGTATTTCACTCCTAGGGAAGATATTTATTTGAAACGCAATGGATTACATGGATAAGGCGAGGTATGCACCGTATTGATGTGTTTGGATGGGAAAGACCACGTGAGATCGGCCACATTTCGGGGGACTGTCTTCAGGAGTAGGATGTGTAGTAAGCCGGGAAAAGCTTTGGGGAAGAAAAGGCAGACAATACTTCTCTGGCTTGCATACAAATGCAACAGCCTGACTACTCGAAACTTTTCGGATACGGGCTTGCAGATTTGGTCGTTCATGCCCATACGATTTCTCTCCGTTCTGGAAGTCTTGAGGAACGTCAAATGATGGGCCAAAGAAATGTAATCTTCTCCTGGGCCGAACTCGGGTTAGGGGTATTATATTTGATGAAACTGATTATTTTCCGCAAGAAGAGCGTCTGGAGGTAAGAAACAATGATGTCAAACAGTCTCACTCCGCTCCGTTTGCCTGGTTGTTGTTTGTCTCGCTTAACCTCATCTGCACCTTCCCTTCCAAAAATTTGCCTCCTCCTTCTACCCAGATAAGAACTTTCCGGCATCATTTCCTGGGAAATAGAGAGTCGTAAGAAGTCTCCATCTGCACTCATACAGTCTTTACTGACAGTTGGCAGGTTGGTGTAGTGGTATCATGTCTGATTCCAGTTCTTGACTGAGTTTCCAGAAGGTCACCCGTTCAATCCGGGTACGACTCAAAAAAAAGTTTTTTATTTTTGGGCATCGTATTTATTGCTTCAGTAAACAATGTCTACCTGTGACAGCAAGATATGCCTCCGGAAGTGAATAATTTAGGGTACACAGCATTACAATCGTAAACGAAAGAGGCATCAAAGTATTGTCTCCATTGGATTAAGAGACTCAGGTGTACGTTAAACCGATAGCTTTTGAGACAGCTGCTCCGCTTTCCGGCCTTCCTGGACAAGTCTTTCCCTATGCCTCAAATGCTCGGCTTGAACACCTCGGGTGTTGAGAAATGTAAACAAAACTTGGAAACACTGGCGAAGTGCAGGAAACTTCGGACGGATGGATTATTTGGTAACGATGTGTACCGAACCAAGCTCAATGTAATAGCCTAAAGTGACATAAATGTAATTGCCGTACCGACTTTTGAATAGAAGTTCTCCATTGGTACAGCCTTTTGGGAAGCAGGTTGGGATGAAGCCCAACCCGTTGTTGATGCGATACAGAACAATGCCTTGGTTTACCCAACATTCAACTTGAGTATGTATTCACTTAATAATAAGATCATCCATTAAGAGTTCACTCTACCAATGTCAAAATCAAACGAAGGCCTGTCAAGAATGCCGACCTGGAGATTCCAAGCAATATGATCGTCACATGATCTCCCCGCGTCCAGAAAGCGGGATGACGAACAATGCATGCAGGGGTCCTCTCCAAATCAACAACACCACAAAAGCTGCAGTCCACCTCATCAAAATGGCCGGATTCCTACGTGGAAAGCAGACTGGTATCCAGAACGATTTATCTGCTGGTATTCTACCAGAATTATTCGCACCAGATGACCAGGCGCGATATGGAATCAACTCGCAGATTGGGTGAGCTTCAAGCCCAACGGACCCCGCGGAAGCTTACTGCTAACCCAACTTCCAACCCAGGTCCTTAGCATACGATCCTGTACAATCTCTCCTCGCGATAGGCACGAACGAGTCGACTTTTGGAAGTGGACAAATCTACGTCTTTGGCCAGAAGCGCGTACAAGTCAGCTTCACATTACCCCGCCGAGCCTCTGTCAAGACCTTGCAGTTCTGTTCCGATCGTCTTGTCAGTCTCGATTCGAAGAACGAAATAATAATATGGGATCTGGTACATCAGAAGAAGCTGGCAGCATACACGCCGCCTGGGATAGTGACTACATTGGTCACAGATCCCATGCTGGATTGGGCGTTGATTGGGCTACAAAACGGAGAGATAATCGCATATGACCTGGACAGGGAGAAGCTTGCCCCTCTACGACTGCCGAATTTCTGGAGAGAAAGAAGTCCAAGATCTAGGTTACTGTCTATTGTGTCCATGCAATTGCACCCGCGAGATATTGGCCAGCTCTTGATCGGATACAATGAGGGCGCTGTCATATACTCTTTCAAGCAGAATAAACCCATCAAGTACTTTCAGTATGAAGTACCTGTAGGAGCGCCTGGTGGAAATGCGGACCCTCTGTCACACAACACCGTACGAAAGCCACAGCTGGTACATGTTTTCTGGCATCCGACTGGAACATTTGTAGGAACGGCATACAATGACGAAAGTCTCGTCTTCTGGGATCCCAAGGACGGTCGAGTCATCATGGCTAGGACACTATCTGACTCCCACGTCGACAAGCCTGGACAACAATCTACTAGCTTTGGAAATACACCTGGAACCTTTGCTATAAAAGAGCCGTTCTCCAAAATTGCTTGGTGTTGTAAGGCCAATCCAGACGATACCGGTATTCTCATCGCAGGAGGTATGCCAAACACAGTGACGGAGAAGGGCCTTTCGTTTCTAGAACTGGGTCCGACACCTGTGTATTCTACTTCTACATGGCAAATCCTTTCTACACACCTGGAAGCAAAGAAAATACATCTGCTGCCAACGCCTCCGGGGGCAGAAGTTGTTGACTTTTGTCTCATACCCCGTACCTCGCCACATTTTGCCGGCGCCCAAGATCCTATTGCTGTTATTGCGCTTCTTTCCTCAGGAGAGCTCATCACATTATCGTTCCCGAGCGGATATCCCATATCGCCTACCAATCAATTGCATCCTTCCGTCTCTTTTGTCCATCCTTTCGTTACTTCCATGTCAATGACCCCCGTCGATCGCACAAGGTGGCTTGGTATGGTTGAGAACCGTCAACAGGGTCCCTTACTCGTACGTGGTGGTGCAGAAGGTATCAAATATCTGAGGCGATACGAGGCGCGCAACATCATCCAGATGGCACATGGAGATGGCACTGTTCGTATATGGGATGCTGGTCACGATGATGAAGTTGAGAATAGCAGTACGCTACAGGTAGATATTGCAAGAGCCCTTGACCGCTTTGACGATGTCAACATCACTTCGCTCAGCATGGGAGCCAGTACAGGGGAGTTAGCCGTTGGTACTTCTGCTGGTGAGGTAGTGATCTATCGATGGGGCGCCAACAAGCTTTTCGGGCGAGATGCACCAAATCCCACTCAAATAATTCCCGGCAGCATTACAGACATCTCTTCTCGAGCAGAGTCATCGCTGAAGGAAGGTCTACAGCCGTTTGTCCTATACGACATGGCAAAAGGCCTCATAACTGCAATCAAAATGTCTGATGTTGGCTTCGTAGCTATGGGTTCTGGAGGAGGTTTCTTGTCAATCATCGATCTCCGCGGCCCTGCTGTTATCTTCAGCGCCGCCATGACGGACTTTGTCAAGTCAGACAAGCGAAGCAGTTTCATGAAGAAAGGAAGCAGCCAAACCTCTGCTAAGCCTGACTGGGCAGTAGCCATTGAATTTGGGGTTATGACCTTGGAAGGAGACAATTACTCTAGTATTGCTTGCTTTGTGGGAACAAACCTCGGAAAAGTTATTACTTTCAAGATCCTTCCGCAACAGGACGGACGGTACACTGCTCAGTTTGCAGGTGTATCTGCTTTGGCGGACCGAATCGTCTCAATATCGCCAATTGTAGCAGATACTGGAAGGCTAACCCCTGCGACCGGAGCCGCTGTTGGAGCTCTTCGAACTGGCCAACAGACTCATGGCACGCTTGTAGTTGGTAAGTTAATATCGAGCATTCAGTCTTATATTTACTAATGTGTCTCTAGTCACGCAAACAGAAGTCCGCATCTTCAAGCCAGCAACAGCCAAGGGAGCACACAAGACCTTCGACGACGTTTTCTGCGACGCCGCCAACGTGGTAGTGTTTGAAGATCGCGGCCACGCCCTGGTAGGTGTTTTCGGCGACGGCACAACGAAGGCTTATTCCTTGCCTGGCCTAAAAGAAATCGGCGTAGCACCTCTCACAATGCTTGACAAAACGAGGACCACCAACTCAATTGTCACTTCTTCTGGCGATATCTTTGGCTGGACGGGGCCATCAGAAATAGCCATGCTTAGCGTCTGGGGTACCGGCCACGGCCTCCCTAAATCCAATGATAAGATCTTCAACCCTGAAGCCTTGATCCCACCTCGGCCGACAATATCCAATCTTCAATGGATCGCAGGCACGCAATACGTGAGTCCCACTGATTTGGATCTTCTCATCGGCGGACCAGACCGCCCACCAAGTAAGCGCATGATGGCCGCCGCAGCAGCAGAAGATAGAGCGCGCTCTGGAGGCCAGGGCTCAAGTCGTGCAGCACCTGGCACGGTATCGACGGAGGGCTGGGGCGACTACATGACTAGACAGCTGAATGAGCGGACGGAGAAACTAAACATCATGGGTGATAGCACGGATAAGATGTTAGAGAATAGTCAGGGCTGGGCGGATGATGTGAATAAGTATGTTTCGAAGCAGAAGCGGAATATGGTTCTGGGTGGTATTACTGGGAAGTGGTTTTAGAGAGCTTGAAGGATTTTTTCTGGAGCTATGGGCTAGGGAATGGCGTTTGATATGAGGAACCGGCGTTTGGTGGGAAGAGATACTGCCATACTGGTAGTGCTCATTCACGAAGGAGTTCCCCGTGCCTTAATTAACAAAATGAAGCCTGAAGGCGCTGATTTCCGCTAGCCTGTCATCGCTGTTTAAATGACCTCTAAACCAACAAGTCGTACTGGGCATGCTCTCAGTACACTGTAGTGTTCGAATGCGGCTAGTCCATTCGCACCACTGTGAATCAGCCACGCTGCACGGGTGCGTAGGCAAGGTACCCACCAGGGCAGCTGGATCAGCAGACTCAGGGGCTCGCGAAAAATAGGCGAGGGTGGGGAAGAAGAGGGGAAGAACAATCGGGTCACACAGGGACGGGAGCTAGAGAAGAGAGGCTTGCGATCTAAAGTCCGTTGGTATTCGGGCGAGAGATTTTATGGGCTTGAAGAGGGCGTGGTATATAAAGAATGATTTTCCTGTGCTGGATTGGGGATATTACTTTGTGTTTGGGGTGTTAATTTAATTCAACACAGATTCAATTCTCGTTGACTTTTCCTGGGCTTGGAGTAAGAGACTTGAAGAAGGTTTTATCTCGCTTTGACATATCTCGGTCTCGATTAGGATTCAACGTCAAAATAAATCTGTTACTACCTTACCTTTCGAGATCACGAGGTATTTACGAGACGATGGCAACCTCTCGAAGGCCGACATTTGTGTTTGTTCCAGGAGCAGTAAGTGGCATCTGTCCGTTCGAGGACTTCCATTCCCCATACAAAACACATTTACTCCAAGCGGTCGAGTTGCACTGACTCTCCTCTCCAACTTTATAGTGGCACAAACCAAGCTGCTGGTCAAAAGTAACCGCCCTGCTTAACACCCACGGCTACAAATCCCTAACACCAACCCTCCCATCCACACTCGGCGACGCATCCGCCATGTTCAAAGATGATCTACTTGCCGTCCGTGAGGCTATCACGTCGGAGACCACGCAGGGAAGAGATGTCGTGGTTGTCGTCTGGTCGTATGGAAGTCTCCCCGGCGCGAGCGCCATTAGAGGATTGACCAAGAAACCATCACATCTAGATGTCAGCAAAGGAGCAGGAGACACAACTGAGAGTAGTCTCAAAAACGGCCAAGGCCATGTCATCGGCCTCTGCTTAATCGCAACCGGCTTCTGCGCCACAGGGACATCCTTCCTCGGCAGCACAGGCGGGTCTCCTCCCCCGTTCTGGAAGATCTCAGATTCCGGGTTCGCGGAATTCACTCTCGACGACGAGGGGGTTCGAGAGTTATTCTATCATGATTTGCCTGTTGAGGAGGGGAGGGAGTGGGTTGCGGAGGTGACGAGGCAGAGTGTGAGGGCGTTGAGGGATGGTGGGGAGGATGTTTATGCGGGGTGGAGGGATGTGGATTGTTGGTTTTTGGGGACGAGGGAGGATAGGGGGTTGCCGTTTGAGGTTCAGGGGATGGTGGTGGAGATGGCGAGGGAGCAGGGCGGGAGTGTGGTTATGAGGGAGGTGGGGAGTGGGCATGCGCCGATGTTGAGTAGGCCGGAGGAGACGGTGGAGTTTTTGTTGGAGGCGGTGGGGGCGTTTGGTGCTTGATTTGATTTGGTATGGGTGATAGCTTGGATGATTTGTGTGAGCTCGAAGATGTGACGTTGGAGGGGAGTGTGAATACATGTAAGATAGCTTCGTTGGTGTGACTCCTCTCCAGTTAGGCTTATTGAGCAGATATCTCGGACTCGTTCTTGGTTTTGAGTTGGTGAAGGGCAGCTACATCAGACGCTTAGCCTTCACTGCACTTGGCTGTATATACATTTGAAAGATCTGATATGTGCATCCTCCAGCAACTTGTCCCGCCAAATCGTTGGCGTTTGACATCACTGGAGAGAATTGAAGATGGGTTGGCGACCCGCCAGTTATACATTCCCTTCCTGCCCCACTCCCTCCTTCCTCCTCCTCTTCGCTAATCTATCCCACCACGACCTCCCCCTCCCACTCTCCCTCTGTGCTGGCTTGTCCATCCTTCCTGTTGGCGTAATCGGCGACATGACATGCGTGACCGTCTTCGGCGGATCTGAGGATTTCTCAGACACATTTCCACTATTGATTTCCTCACTCGAGATCTCGATCTGTGGCGGTGTCGTAGAGACAGAAGTTCTGCTTTTGTCTTTATCTTTATGATCTCTGAGGCTGCTGAGGGAAAGGGAGGAGCGGCTCCGTCGTTGGTGGATCTGTGCTTTGCGGATATTGATTGCTTGGGTTGCTTCGGTGGCTGAGAATGTGCGCTTTTTGCGGAAGTCTCCTAACAACATTTAGTAAAGAAGTATGAAAAAAGCTGTGTGTCACTTATTTGGCTAAGCTTACCGGGATTGTTTCCGTTGTCTGGCTTTGGGGCTTCATCTAGAAGAAGAGCTGGGTTACGAAATACCCAGGCTAATAATTTGTGCCACTTAGAACGCCAGAATTCCATGCCAGAGGTTGTGTTGAGTGAACCGATCAGCAGGAAGAATGGGACGCATACGGCAACCATGGTGATTGTGAAGTCTTTGAAACCCTCGGATGGCATATTTGACATGCCGAAGACGGAGGTGACGAAAGTAAGAGGGAGGAAGAAGATCGAGACCTGTTTTGGGTCAATGGGTCGCTCGGTCTTGGTACGGAATTGGGGCTTACCAGTGTAAGGAGTTTGATGTTATGGCCTTGCAGAATGGTGACGCCAGAGAGCTCGACACTTTTCCTACTTTCTAGTACTGAAGTGCCCGAGAACAGTTGATCCCGTAGAGTTCTGATTTCTTTCCTCCGATCATCATTCTCCTCGTACAAATTGAGCATGTTTTTGATTTCCCTTTCAAATTCCGGTTTAAGATTTGCCATTTTCTTCAGGTAGTAAATGTTTCGATGGGAATCTTGGTCGATCATTGGCCACATGCTCTTATGTTTTCCTTGCCAAACATCATCTGTAAATGTTTCCTCGTATGCATGTATTATAGCTTTAATGCTATCATTCATCAATCCCAGGGTTTGAAAGGCCCAGAAATATCGCCTTGAATATGTGAACTCAGCGTCCTCGAATAGCAGCTTATCCCTCAAATCTCCGTTGAACATGAAATCGGCCTGTCAAGTTAGCCTTAGAAGTAGTCTTTGGCACGTTTGAGGTGACTTGGACGATCCTCGTGGGCTTTTGGAATTTGTGTCACGTAGTGGTCGGATGCTCTTACCGGTGGTATCACAAGAGTGGTGATCTTCTTCTGGATATCCCTAAATCTCTTTTGGGCATCCCTGAATTCGGCAAGCAGTGTGTGTAGGAAAGCCTCGGGACCATTCACATAGTGTTTTGTGGAGTCATGACTGTCCATACTGTGTTTGTGGTCCGGGTAACATTGTATATTCAACACCTGCCACGGAGCCCATGGATCGTATACAAACCCATGTTGGGTCTTCGCTTTGCGAGCCGGATTTCTTAACTTCCTGATAGGATTGCCTCCTAAAGACAATGCGACGACAGAACTACATCGAGATATTGGAATATGGCCTTCGCCTTTTCTTTTTATCTTCTCGGCTGAATCCGATCGTTGCCATGGCATCGGTTGAATCTCGTCACCAACGATTGTGAAGTAGTCGAACTCGAATACAAAGGTTCGTTGGCGTCGGTGGTCGGGTGAGTAGGCTCGGCCATGGATGTGCGCCTACGGTTGTCAGTCAAGAGCCATAGCAAGGCGGGTGTTGCGCGTACGGTCGTTATGTTTTCTTCCACCAGATAATCGAAAAGCTCGTCCATATCAAAATCTTTGTTGTTGACGAGATGCAGAGCTCCCAGCATAACTGGAGAAGGCTCGCGAACAATTGTGATACGGCCTACTGCAGGTCTCTGGGAATCTGGATTCGCATTCAAATCCTACTCTTGATCAGCGAAGTTTCTTCCTTCGCAAATGATTTCCTACCTGGATAGCCTGCCATACAGCAGAGTCAATTGAGGTCGTGCCGTCCTTCACAACCTCTCGCCGTGATAATGGAGCTCCATCTGTTGAAACGTCAAAAACCGAATAGTGTGATAGATGCCATCTCTCGTCCTCCGGGTACTCTGGGAAGAGTGAAGGGTAAAGCAATCGCTTGTTATGAACCACCGTGTCTAGCAGAATACCCCCATGCTCCTTGAATGTATATGTCTTTAAATGATTCCGCAGATCTTCGTAGTCGTATGTATAGGACGGCAATGGGGCTTGAACGTAGAGCTCGTCATCGTTGTCACTGTCGTCGCTGTCCCCAGTCAACAGGCTGCTGTGAATCGTGACGGGCCTCTCTCCATCAAGTTCTGTGAATGATCGTCTATGTCGTTTGGGGAGTATAACTGAGAGTCCTGGGGACGTAGGCGTCTGTGCTGTGGGTGGAAATGGCGAACTCGGTCTTGGGAAAGTCGATGATCGAGTTAGCATCACATTGGAGGTTGGTGCATGGGAATTCGCCAACCCTGGGGACGTGGGTTCCGGGGAAGTAAGAATCTGGTGTTGTCCAGCTGCTGCTGTCTTGGCCAGAGCTTCATGGACTTGTCGAAAGGTTGTGAGGTAAGCTTGATGCTGCTCATCAAGCCTTTTGAGCAATTCCTCTGTAGTTACCACACCAGTCATATTGGCTTGTGTCGCGGCGCACAAGCATATAGGACTGTATGACAATGGAGATAATCCATTTAGACGATTGGAAAATAAAAAGAAGAGGGGAAGAGTGGGAGAGGGCGCAACAACGGAGTTTCTATGGACTTGGTGTTCGAGCTTGGCCGAGCCTCAAGCCTTGCTCTGTAATTCTGCCCAGTCTGCAAGTGCCTGTAGTGTGACCTATGCGGTGTATGAAGTGTCAATCACATTGCGTGCTCAACTTACTGTAACTGGTTGATCTGCTCTGCCCTGGATTTGGTGGTGTCATACATGGATATGTCCCTCTCTGCGCCTCATTTTGGCCCCTCAAACCCTTCAAGCAGCTGCCTGGTCGTGCCATAGCGGATGCGAAGCAGTAGCAATAATCGAGCGCTGGGCTGCACAGTCTCGGGCACCAAGCCTTGGATAATTGATCTCAAGACCTGTCAGAGCCTCTTGGCCATAGGCTTCGTCATATGGAACCAATCCGTGGTGAACGTGTAGCCATGATTTGCACTTTTCGATCCAAGTCGGTGAGGAACGGATAAAGCTGACGCCAAGGTCTGCAGTGCGGATCCACCTCCACCTCCACCATTTTCGGTAGAATGCCAGCCACGTGACCCAAACTTTGACTTTCATTCATCTCCCTGATGGAAGTCTGCAACTGCTCAGGTATTGGTATCAGAAGTGGCTGTTGTATCTGTGGTCGCACGTTGTTGATGGTGGGATGAAGCGACAAAACAGGGGTGTCGTCCTTTCTTCGCTTGTGCAGCTCTTCCATTGTTTACTTCATCGGCCATTTCCGTGTCTTCGATCTAGGTCATGGCTCGTTGCTCTGTGCAATTCTCCTATCACTGAGAACAGATTCGGTGAGAAATTACGTCGATGTTTCAGTGAGTATACTCTATACCGGGCATCTCGGTACTGCGACTACGTTTGGTACATGTTAGTCTTCCGGCGAGGTAGGAATGACCTGGTGGCCCCTTCACTAAACCTCTAACCCAATGTTTGCCGCTTCTTCCCTCTTTCCTGCCATCTTAATGTTTTCCCAATCTTCATAATTCTTCAAATATCAACTATCAACTATCAACTATCAGTTATCAGTCTCAATAACTGTCGTATCCCGCATCAGCCATGACCGATATTCCAGGCTTTGGGGGCGAAGCACCTGACCAAAGGATCAGGAACAAGCTTCCACATATTAGCAATTGGCTGGTTACAAAACAGAACCCCCCACGTAAGTCGAGAAGTTTGAAATGCTTGAGTTACTTGAAGCTGACTCGTTTGTCAGGGCTGGGTATTGGACTTGACTACAGACGATGCGCCGCCCTTCATAACTACATCCTAAAGTTTGTCGAAGAATCGATGATTGTGATAAACGTTCCAGGCTCAAGATGTTATGTTACGTGGTTCGACGATCTACCAGAATGGAGACAGAAGACTTTAAAAGAAAAGGGAATGAAACCCGGCACCATCAGATTCCTCAAAACCGCTTCACATAACCGGAAGCTAATTTTCTTCCACGGCAAGACGGGATTGAGTACATATGAAGACATGTTGGCAAGCATGAATCACTACAAGAAAGGAAGTTTCATCCTCTATGGTACGGATTTAGGTAAGCGTATTCTTGTGTGGTGATTCTCTCCATCGTGCTCCGCAAACTGTGGAATTGGTGTACTAAGTAGTCATAGCAGGGGACAAACATCCACACTCTGGGAAAGTCTTGTACAACCAGACAACTTGCAAAGCTTTGATCATACCAGAAAATGCCGACATCAGATTCTTCGGTAAATTCAATCTTTGGCGACCTTTGGAAGTCATTCTGAGTGCTTGGATTGAAATGATCCATGTCGGCAAGATGACAGTGAGCATGCAATCACTTTCATTTTTTTCCCTTCTTGGGCTGTTTTTCATTGGCTATCGCAGTCTCGAGTCGATCAGGTACTTCGATGCTTGCCATTGTTCTGACTTTCACAGTCCCGGTATTCGCCTGACCTCGTGATGCCCGGAGGTCAATTGGGAGCTGTGATGTTGAACAAATGGACGAATTACAGTTTTGGACAGGAACAGATGATCGAAGCAGCGGACGCATTCCAACTTCTCCTCAAACAGATACGGTGCAGGATGATTGTAGATGCCGGTGTTGCTCTGGGATCTGGTTTTGACCGAGGGCCTCTGTTTGACAGGGCTGACCTTCATGCAGCCAAGATCCCGAAACATTGCTTTGCGGAACTCTTTCTCCTGAAAATCCGTACCCCGCCAGATGGATTACTATATATTGCGCCAGGTATCAGGGCACCTTACAAAGAGATGACTACTCTGTTCCAGCAACAGCTTCTAAGTCCGACCGCATCCACAAACATCCCTTCGATTATGTTGTTTCCAGCCGATGAGATCAGAAATTCCGACCAGCTTGAGCAAAGTGAGGATCAGTACCCGGAGAATGTACATGACACAACAGCTTCTCATTCGTCTGTAGGAAATTGCGACCAGGTAGATTCTATGGCGTTGAAGGGGATTCCACTGCCAGCTGGCGTATATTCAGCGGAAGCCAGATTCGAAGAGGACAATGCGGAAAGAAGGCTTTAAACTCATTCTGCCTTTTCTTTTGAAACAATCTCGACGCCTTCGTAAGAGCGATGGCAGCCGCATTTCCAGACACAGTTACGGAGATCTATACCAGCATGGATTCAAGTCGTGTGGGGGAGATAGGAGGCGCCCTCAGAGGCTTGTCAAGTTGCTGGAAAACTGGACAATGATGGTGAAAGACGGCCAATGGAATGTGGATAAGAACGGTGTAGCTGGTGGGATCGATGTTTTTCGGCAAGCCACATCACCCCAGCTTGCACCTCTGTATACCATTGATGCAGAATGGTAGTCATTTGTCCCGACTACCTGATGGTGACGGGATTGAAGTTGGCTGAGAATCTGGAGTCACTGAATAGTCCTCCAGTGGAGTGACTACCGTGATATTGAGTCAGTGATCCTCTTTTGTCACTATGGCATGGGCATGGGACTTGACGAGGAGCCAGGTTAGCAGATGATGTTCTCAACCAGTTGCCTTCATACCACCCTCGACCGGCACGCATATTCGCCTTGCACCTTTTGTGCTTGGTTATCATGACAAACAACTTTAGTTGAAGTTCCTAATAATGACTCAGCTCAATATCCTTATCACAGTACATTCTGAGCTGCAGCCTACAGCCCCTCGTAACCCTCAACGTCTAAGCTTTCTCGATTTCCAGATTGCGCCTCCTAGATTTGTCGAACTAATGTCCTTCTACCTTCCGTTCGTATGTCAAACGGTCAGAAGGTCAGAGAGTCAGAAAGTCACTGTAGATACTCGGTTCGTAATTGTCCATAAGCGACAGCCGCCGATCCCCCTCACAACACCAGCAAATTTTCACCGCCGTGCTCCCCTCACTACCTTCGAAACCCGAGCCGCGACTACAATCCGACGAATGAACCCCTCCACCTCGTACTCCATGGGGCGGGTAAGCTTTTCTGTCACGTTATTGTTGGCGCAACGGTGTTTGATGTGTCGGCAACTAGGCAAAAACAAGCTTTCTCGAGTGAGGGGAACGAGATCCGTCGCACCGTCGGCCGATCAGCGCGCGGGAGAGGGACATGCTTTACCTGTCCAGCTCTCCTATTGTCGCTTGCAGTTCCGGATTTCGCTTTGTTTTTTTTTTATTTTGTTGTAGCATGCCATTATTGTTTCAAAGTAAAGTTTGATGGTGCATCCTGTTTTCCTTTTTTTGATGGGATAGCCGACATGAGGCTGTGAGGATCGGGGATTTGTCTGATGCCGTTTTCTGACAAAAAGGAATTTGGCACGATGAGCATTTATCAATTCTTTTTTGGCTTCATAATATAATCTTTCTGTCTTGGAGCAAAATGCCTGTCTTTGGGGTTTTGGAGAACTCCACTGTCCCTGGTATCTGCTCAAGGAGAAGTCTCCAGGACCTTGTTGACTTTCGCTTGTGCATCAGCTCGAACAAACACGACCCAGTAACAGCCGGCCAAGACTATCTTCAAAACCTCCATCAAAGCTATCGCCGATGGATGCACGTTCAAATTCGGCGAAGCTATCGGAACGTCAATAGACTTCTGCCCCCCAAGCGAGCATCCTACCGGTAGATCAACTTTTGACGTCAAAAGAAGGTACAACCTCTCTGATTGGTACATATTACGACGCACCAATCAGAAATCTCTGTAGGTCTCCAACCTTCACACAAGCAAGTCCCCAGTACCCCTAAAACCATGGACAAGAGTCGTCAAGATGAAATTAGATTCTCCAAGGCACAGATCGACATTGTCATCTTTCCGGTTCTGATAAAGTTCACCTCAGCCCTGTAGCAAGGCGACTGCCGACAGCACTGGATCGCCACTTCGGTACAACATTGTAGTCAGAAATGAGCTTTGCATGCCTTTTCTTCCCTAGGTCTGGAGCACCTTGCATCCCTTTTCTAGTTAGTGACTACAGAACGGGGTGTCCGACCCCCCTTTGAGCCTATCAATAACATCTCTGTCTCAATCTTCTTCTTACATACCTAGTAGAGGAGGCGGGCAAGCCAGACTGTCAAACTCTAGAAGCAAGGACAAGATCGACGATGACTACACGCTAGATGAAGCCAAACTTTGCGCATAACATCACTGGCATACCACATATATTCTGTCTCGTTTCCCTCCTCCAATAGCAGCACTTTCATCCCGCAGTTTTTCAAAAGTTGCATACGCTTCCCCGTCGCAGCCAGGAAATGCCACCGACTGCCAAAGATTATTCATTGCGTACTTCACGGCGGATGAAGTCTAACACCAGAACCGAAAACTGGGGAGGCAGATCGTCCTAAATCGAAGGATCACGCATCCATACGTCTACATCCAAGCCGCGGCGGCTATTCAAATCTTATTCCGCGTGGGTTGCAGCTGCAACTATTGGTATGACGAAGAGGCGTCAGCTCCCTGAAATGCTTGCCCAAAAGCTTGAGTATATTAATAAGAGCTTGTCTCATGCCAGCAAAGGATTGGGATTTGCAATTGAAGCCAGAGCGTCGATGATATATGTTTTCAAAATGCGTGCATTGTACAACTCTCCTGCGGATATGACCCTTACAACCACCCCCGAGATGGATTCTCCTCCTCTCTTCGAAGCGAAGTACAAGAAGCCAAGGGCTAGTAGGCCGAAAGTTAGGAGTGGATGTTTCACGTGCAAGTAAGCCATGAACACTTCGACCAATACCCACATTTGCATCACTCTCTTTTCAACTTCACTCAAACTCAATCCAGAGTATGATCACTCGGCCTTGATAGTTTTGAAGATCCATTCATGTTCATAGGTGTTCGCTTCGAACCCTACGAGGTCTTTCGTGCCCACACCCTTTTCACGCTGCTCTCAAACACTTGACGGTTACTGACAAGTTCAACAGAAAGCGCCGTGTCAAATGCGACGAAAACAAACCCCAATGTCACCGCTGCTGCAAATTCGGCCGCGTCTGCTCAGGCTACAAACCCGAGAAGAACGAGAGCACCTCTCCCTCACCCCGTCCCGAAACTCGGGCTATCCTCCCTAAATCCACAAACAGCCCTCCTCCCACCACCGCACTCAGCACTGAAATTTCCGAATTGATGTTCCAAGCCACCGAAGAATTCCTCACCTTCCGTCTCTTCTGTACCGATACATCACCGGAGCTGTCAGGTGCGTTCGAGTCTACGAGGTGGAATCGCATTGCCCTACAAGAGAGCCATCAGTACGCATTTCTCAGACACGCAATAGTCACAATCGGTAGCCTGAGCAAGAACATCAAAGAAACTCTGAATAAGAATGATATCCCACCATCCACTGGTCCAGAGCTATGGAACAACCCACCCGTTTGGCTTAGAGGAAACAATGATTTCGCCTTGAGACAATACAACAAATTTCTGCGCGGCTCGCGACAAGCGCTCGTCACCGGGCCTGAAGGTCAAAGACTCGCCCTCATAGTCTGCCTACTCATAATCTGTATCGAGACGCTACAATGGCATCACCTTCAAGTCCTCTCTCATATCTACAGCGGCGTGCAACTTCTTGACTCTTTCCTCGCCAGCCAGGAAGTCGCCATGCAAGCGGGATTCCCACCATACATCATAGAAAGCGAAATCATCGTGCAGTTCCGCATGCTCGAAGTGGAAGCCAAGATGCTGTTCGATCCATTCCCAGCTTCAAATCACCATATTCAGAATCTCGAAGGCCAGGTTCTGACTTCTTCCATGCCGGAATCATTCTCTAGTGTCAATGAAGCAAAATACTACCTCGATCTCATCACTCGTCGAATACGACACTTCATCGCCTCATCCCGACCAGTCAAGCCCTCAAAAACTAATTCTGGGCATGTGGATACCTCTTGCATCGACCCTGAATTACTCAGTCTCACACCTCCAGGTCTCCGTAGCACGTTCGACAACCCTTCCCCTCCATCCGTCCTTACAAGGGACCTCAATTTCTATACCTCCCTCACACACCTCACATCTCTCCTATCTACCTGGCAATCAAGCTTCACGCCTCTCTTCCAGTCTGCCACCGACCCGTCGTCTCCAGCCTACCTCCCAACTCTTCTCCTGGCGATCTCCTCCGAAGCCTTAACCATCAACCTTGACACCGTATTCAGCACCTCAACATCACTCCTCCTTGCATACGATACCCACTTCTCCTCTTTCACCCGCATCGTCGCTCTCTCCTCCACAATCCTGCACCACCCTTCTTGTGCTTCTTTCCTCTCGCAAAACAATAACATAACATCGTCCACCGGCCTAATTGGCCCACTCCGTCTCGTCGCCGAGAAGTGCCGCAACCGCACACTTCGCCATGAAGCTATATCTCTCCTTCGTCTCCGACCCTGGCGCGAAGGGGTCTGGTGGTCCTGCAGCAGCGCACAACTTGGTGCGTGGCTCGCTGCTGTAGAGGAAGAAGATGTGGATGAGAGAGAGGAAGTGATGCCGGAGTGGGCGAGGGCGAGGTTGTTGGAGGTGGGTATTTGGGAGGAGGGGGTGGTGACGACTGTCAAGGTTGTAGGTGTTCGGGGGGAAGGGAACGACGCGGCGGTCAGGGTTGGAGAGTGGGTTTGGAGGGTTTGCGGGGAGGAGGAGGGGGTGGGTGTTGTGGTTGGTGGGTGGGAGAGAGATGTGGGGAGGTTGGTGAGTGTTGGTAGTGGGTTTGAGGAGGTTGGTGAGTGTTGGTAGTGGGTTTGAGGGGTGCGGATTTGTGTTGGAGTGAGGCTTCTTTTATTTTGGAATGGTGGAAGGGACTCGGATGGATTGTTACACTTAGCCTGATATATATTGCATTTTTACCCAATAGTGTACATTTAGTACCATCGATGCCATGTGGACTTCTTCTAAGCGAAGTGTACAACATCTCACTATCAGCCCCCTGAAATTGCCCCAACATCACTTTTTCTGGGGAATATCTTGCCTATCTACTGTAAGGAGTTCCTGCTTTCGAAAAGGGTAATCTCAAGGCTGCGCAACTGGTATCGGCATTCAAGTGAAAGGGCGAGGTGGACATGGAATCTCGCTTCGCATTCCGACCGCAAAAGTCAACAAGCCAGGCCTCGCTCCACCTGGTATTAGTCATGCAAAACCCAACTTGGCGTAAGAGAGCCATTTACGAACCCGCATTGTTTTGAAAGTTATGAAAACTGTGGGTTACGCTTCGCGTACTCTCTTCAAATCGGAAGGGTTGGGAGTGAGGGTTGGGGAGGGGAGGTCGGACACGATCCACAGGTGAAGGGACGAGTCAGAAAAGAGCATGAGAGTGTGGTAACGTGCATGCATTGTAATCATCATTTATTCCGTGTCATCTGCATTGTCCACTCTTCATCCATCCATAAGGCATTCGTCGAAACTCCATCCCTCCCTTAACGAAATCTAAACGAAGTATGCTGCTTGCTGCTTGTAAAGTCATGGGGTATAGAAATCAGTGAGCCATAACAGCGTCAGCTTGAACAGGAACAGCACCGTTTGCGTGGGGCTTCTCGACACCATCCATTTCCATATCGGCGTCACCCTCACCAGCGCCCTCTTCTTCCTCCTCGAGCTCCTCATCCTCACTTCCGCTGCTCTCGGCCTCAAGATCCTCGCTTCCGTCATCAGATTCCTCAATCGCGGCATCACCCTCGGCTCCAGCCATCTCAGAATCGTCAACCATGGCATCTGGATCAGCAGCAGCCGCCTCGCCACCCTCTACAGCTTCTTCCTCCTCATCCTCGGCCTCCTCTGCACCATATCGATCTCCATCAGCGACTAAGTCGGCCTCGGGTTGCTCAGGTGGGAATTCGGCTGGGGCAGATGCCTCGGAATCCCTAAATAAACTGTTAGTTTATGACAGGCGTTCACTGCTGCTGCCTAACATACCATTTGATAGCGAATCGGGTGACTCTTGGCTTCTCTGCCAGTACGTTGCGGCGCACCTTCTCCAGAATGGGCTTGGCTGGGGGATCGGCATTGAGCTCCTCAGAATCATACTCATTGTTGACGTAGTATCCGACGCGAACAAATTCCCTGCCATCGTAGGCGCAGGTTAGGAGTATAACAGTAACACCAAGGATTTCGGCATCAGGAATGCGGCTTGTATTGGGTGGATCTGCCTCGAAAATGAACTTGTTTACGCCAACTGGGATAGGGCCGACAAGGAGGGAGTCGAGTTCTTGATCATGTTCATCGCTGGTATTGTTAGATGGTTTTTGGTTTTGGGAATGTGTAATGCGTACGAGGTAGCAGATCCAACGTAGGTCAATTTCCATTCAAGATCTGCGAAGAGGTCTTAGCACTCGGTTTTCTTGTGCACATGCAGTGCAACCTACCCTTCTGGAGTGGTTCTAGGCATTCAAAGGTGATCTCAAATTCGTAAGAGTCACCAAACTTGGCTGGGTTGTTGAGGACGTTGACGCCCAAGAGAGATACGACAGACATCTTGAAGATCGGGTCTTGTTGTTATCGGTGCGATGTTGATAGTTGTTGTGTGTAGTTGTAAAGAAGACCAAAAGTAGCTCAAGCTTGGGCAGTGCAAAAGCCTTAAATAGGGTATTCGGAGAAGGGGTGGATAGAGGGGTGTTTTTGTTTGAGAAGGACGCGAGAAGGATGAAGTTGCTGGTCAAGAGATCGCGTCCTGACCGCGCTTTCCAGCCTTGGCAGCCGAAATTCAATAAAGAGAGTCACGTGTGTGCTAAGACGCTTCTGGTTTGGGCAGATTTCTCTTTGAAGGATGATGCTTCAAGGCTGGGAAGACAATTCGATTCTCCTCCAACTCGACACAACATCACCAAGACCATCGCGAAGTCTTGACATCTTTGTTTCTTTCGCGTCGCCAGTACTACATCATCCAAAGCGCACTTCTGCCACTCCCTTTCATTTAGAGGTCCTTCCTCCCTTTGCGCAAAGAACTCATCAGAAAGCTGACACGCGACTATCCAGAATCCTTCAAATCCTTCCGTTCTTTTCAAGTTCCCATCAACAAATATACAATCTTTACAATGGCGGAGGAAGATGCAGAGATAGCTCTCTTGCATCAAATGCAGGCGGGGCAAGATAGCATGGCTTGGGAAGATGAGGGCGCAAATGGAGCCGCAGAGGGCGAGCTACCTTCAAATACTGAGCATACAAACGATCAAGATGTCAAAAGAGAAAATGTTGCAGATGACCAAGTTCTTCGTGCTTTATCTCCTTCAGGATCTGCTGCGGAATCAGATGGTGGCGAATATGACCCAGCTTCTCTTTCTTCACTTCCTGCAATCTCTGTCGCCGCAGGTGAAGTAGAATCGAGATCAAGCTCGAGAGGCTCAACTCGGAAACCGAAAACTGTGGGAGGATTTATTGCCGACGATTCAGATGAAGAGTACGATGCAGCAACACCAGTGCAGGCCGCGGGAGGCTTACAGCCAGCAGCAATTAACAGCTCTTCTCGAGCACTTTCCCCTTCTCCACTCCACAACTCTGTCACTCCGCAAGATTTGCCAACAACTCCCGAGGATCAAGGTGATTCAACGGCTGCGCAATCTTCATTCAATCTTCCCGTGAACACAAGTGTTACTGGAGCTACTTCTGTACCAGCTCCAGCAGCACAGGTACTGACCTCTGCAGCTCCGGCACAAGATGTGTCTCTTCCAAAGGCTCGCCTTCCTCATGACAGAATTGGTATACTTGAGGATCGCATAAAGGAGGATCCACGAGGAGATATGCAAGCTTGGATGGCATTGATCGATGAACATCGGAAGCGTAATAAGCTTGATGATGCGCGTGCAGTATATGAACGGTTCTTGAAAGTATTTCCTCAAGCTGTAAGTGATCCGGTTTCCTTGGAAGAAATATCCACTGATATAGGAAAGGCCGAAATCTGGGCCGCATATGCCGAAATGGAATTGGAAAACGATAACTTCACTGCCGCCGAAAACATATTTGGTAGATCTCTGCTGACTGTCGCCGATGTCCAACTTTGGCTTGTGTATCTGAACTATATTCGACGGAGGAATGATCTTATGAACGATGCCACGGGAACTGCGCGAGCCACAGTTTCTCAATCCTACGATTTTGTCCTGGCTAACATCGGCATTGACAAAGACTCTGGCAAATTATGGCAAGAGTATATCCAATTTGTTCGGGGAGCCCCAGGTCAGATTGGAGGGAGCAGCTGGCAGGACCAACAGAAGATGGACCAGCTTCGTAAAGCTTACCAGCGTGCCGTCAATGTCCCGATGTCTTCGTTGAACGGCTTATGGAAAGAGTATGATCAGTTCGAGATGAGTCTTAACAAGATAACTGTAAGTTGTAGAAACACCAGCCCATCTGTGCCTTGCTAACGTTGTATAGGGTCGTAAATTTTTGCAAGAGAAGTCCCCGTCGTATATGTCTGCACGAAGCGCGAATACAGCTTTGGAGACCATCACTCGTGGACTCGTAAGAACGACCCTCCCTAAATTACCTCCTGCTCCTGGATTTGAGGGCGACCAAGAATATCAAATGCAGGTCCAATTATGGAAGGGCTGGATCTCGTGGGAGCAAGAAGATCCTTTGGTACTGAAAGATGAAGAACCCGAAACTTACAAGCAGCGAGTCTTGTACGTTTACAAGCAAGCAGTCATGGCCTTGAGGTTCTGGCCAGAGATCTGGGTCGATGCGGCAGATTGGTGCTTTAACAATGGCATGGAGAAGGATGGAGACACGTTCTTGAATGACGGTTTCCAGGCCAATCCGGAGAGTTGCTTGATGGCCTTCAAGAAAGCAGATCGTCTCGAGTCAACACTATCAACAGGCGATTCTGACAAGAGCTTGGCAGAGCGTGGTGCGATTGTGCGTGCGCCTTTCGACAAGCTCTTGGATACGCTGTACGAAATGGCAAAACAAGTCAAGACTCAAGAGGCTGCGGAGTTGAAAAAGGTCGAGGAGACTCCTTATGTTGACGACATTGATGCTTCCATCAGAGCTATCACCAAAGCAGACGACGATGAAGACAACGATGCCGACACACAGTATCAAGAGGCTGCCAAAGCTGCTCGACGCAAGGTTGTCCAAGAGAGCTATGCACAGCAGACCGAGCTTCTTTCTCGTACAATCTCATTTACGTGGATTGCGCTTATGAGAGCCATGCGTCGCGTCCAAGGAAAGGGATCTCCCAAAGACTCAGGGAAAGATGCTGTTGGAGGGTCAAGAAAAGTTTTTGCCGATGCCCGAGGACGCGGAAAGCTCACAAGCGATGTTTATGTTGCGGCTGCTTTGATTGAGCACCACGTCTATAAAGATCCGGCCGGCACGAAAATCTTCGAGCGAGGAGCCAAACTCTTTCCCGAAGATGCAGGCTTTACTTTGGAATACCTCAAGCATTTACTGTCAATCGGAGATACTACAAGTAAGTCCCTACCTTCCTTTGCAGGTTTGAGATACTAATTTCATTTAGATGCGCGAGTCACATTTCAAACAGTAGTGAGCCGGTTGACCCAGAAGCCAGAAATGGCAGCCAAGGCAAAGGCACTCTACGCATATTTTCACAAGTACGAATCACAGTACGGGGAGTTGTCACAGATTGCCAAGCTGGAGCAAAGGATGGCAGAGATTTATCCTGACGATCCGAAGTTGTCTCAATTCGCTGCAAGATATAGTGGAGAGGGCTTCGAACCCACTGGCATTCGTTTAATCGTCTCACCAGCGACACAGGCACGCCCAAAGGGAGTTATGCAATCTATCGAACAACCACAGCCTGTTATGCAGGTCAGCCCTCGGCCTCAATACGCTCAGGAGGCAAGTCGAAGTCCCAGACCGCACTACATCCAAACAACAAATTCACCAAAGCGGCCCTTCCAAGGCGATGATCAGGACAATGACCTAAATCGACCTCGTAAGCTTGCTCGTGGCGAGTCTCCGCTAAAAGGTGCAGCTGGACGTCGACTCGATCAACAGAAGCGTCTCCAGCAAGGCACCCCATCTTGGAATGCTCCCCCATTCGTAGTACCTCGAGATATCACATTCTTGCTTAGCATCATCCCGAGAGCTGAGCTCTACTCAGCCACCAAGTTTAAACCAGAGGCTCTGGTGCGACTCCTCCAGAACGCAATAGTGCCGGACTACAACACGTGGAAGCAAGCAAAAGAGGAGTCTCAAGCACCGCCTCCACAACGATATGGTAATAATCCTTCCTATATCGCAATCCCAAAGCCCCAGAAACAACCACAGACACAGCAGGTCCAAGCAGTATACACTCCAGTGGAATGGAATGGCAACAGTAATGCCTACCACAATCCAGACTATCGTGGCTCTCCTATTCCTAACTATGGCGGTCCCAAGGGCTGGCAGGGTTATGGAGGAAGGGCTCCTGAATATTCATCCCAGCCAAGTATTCAACCGACGTACGTAACATCAGAGCAAGTTAGATCTGGTGACTATTACGGAGTTGAGTTTGGAACTGGTAATAGGACGCCTGCTGCCCCTCCTCGCTTGTTGCCTGCGGTTAGCTGGTATTGATTGAAGCTGGTTGGAATATTCTTGCTAACTTTGGTTCGCAATCAGGATATTACGGTCGATAAGACAATCACGTCAATTTGAATCTTTCGAATAGCTGTCCAGCTACATTTCGATTCTTCCTCCGTCAGCCGACGATTGCAATGTACTATATTAACACATACCAGGGCAGGGTGAAGATAATGGCAGGGATTGACATGCAAGGGCAAGCTTTTTGGAATAATGCTTGCTTGTATTATAGGGGTGGTCAGCGCGATGAGGTGGGATTTATGAATGGAGACGCGGGAAACGCATTGGGAAGGGGGTTTACTTCAACTCCTTACGTCCCGTCTATTTCCGCATGCATGACAAATTTTAAATGGCTGAAGTCCACGTGGCAATGGAGCATACTGTTTACAGCGTACCAAAAACAGTCTTGATGATCGATGCATGGCGTTCTGGTTGGTAGTCATGATGCAGGGAAAGCAAAATGTATCATAGAGGCCCTGCAGAAAGGGATGGATCTGCCGCGAGGTGTAATAATTCAATCCAGCTTTTTGCTACTGGATGTTTTTCCTGTCGTTCATTGCTCTCCATCGTACTTATTTTACGTCCTTATCGTCTTACTCTTGTTCTGATCTTTCACCTGCTTTCTAGCTGCTTTGCTTGTCGTTTGCGTTGCCGTCCTCGTTTAATTTGATCTGAAATGCCTGCTTGATCGCTTGTGATTTGGCTTTGCTTGCTGGCTAATTTTCATCCAATACCAAACAAATTGTTATCTCCAGAGCAAGCTGCACTTGAAACTGTTTCATTCCAGCTCTGTAATGGAAGAAGGGAACGATCTTAGCGTGTAGAATCTCCTACTACTCGGTCAATGCTGGAGCTCGTGTTCAGCCTCGGATACTGAAGTATCAAGTCGAGAGAGGATTTGGGATGTTTCAGTCAGTCGGCTGATCAATCCGAGGACGTTGCCTTTGATTCATGTATGGCCGTTTCCAGATATGGTACATTACGGCCAACCTTGACTCCACAAGGTTGGCTCATCTATTGGGTCTCGCGTGAGCAGATGTATGTACACATTTATTTATCTTGCTGTTTCATCGCTGCCTCCAACGCCACGTTGCCACACGCAATACAATTCAAACCATCTGCTCCAAAAACGTCCCAACAGCAAAACCTCTGAGTATGGATATTAGACGCGTCATGTCTCTGGCTTGTTTCAAAGTCGAGGCCCCGCAGCAGAAGTCTGCTTCTTCTTCTGGCAAGTGATTGAGCGACTTGGAAGACGAAGCTAATGCCGACACTGTCCACTTTGGGAAGCTCGGCATGTATCAAAGCGACTCTTCGTTCTTTGGATACTGTAGCAATTTGGGGTTGAGAATGGATCATATCTTGCTATGTCCGGAACACTCTGCGCTGCTGGGCTAGGTAGAGGTGTGTTTACAGCAATTCTGCAACAGCAAGGAACGTGTAAACACCGCGGTAGACATGCTCAAGTGCGCTATGGGACAATGTAATTGTATTTGGATTGGATTAAAGTCTATAGTTCTATCACAAGGCCTCAAGTACAAGGCCCGCCTCGTCCTACCTATCCCTTAACCTTCCTTCGTCCCAACCATCTGCATCCTCGCCTACTCTCTCACGTGATCGTGACATCCCCACTTATTCCCCATTTCGGCGCAACGTCAACAAAACAGGCAGGAACCCAAAAACGTGCACTAGCGCCAAGGCTGCATGCAAAACCTTCGTCCCTTTCTCCTTCGCACAGTCTCTCCTTTTCTCCTCCTCAACCGCAATCCCCACCTTCTTCTCTCCCCATATTCCGTGACATCTTGTACCGATCTCGTCGATCTCGCATCGAACATCTCTTCGCAGTCCTTTGAGTAAGTCATTTACCCCCTTCTCCTCCTCGTTGCCATAGATTCATGGCTGTTGAGCGACTTGTCTGGTTGGTGATGGCTCCAGCCTCTCTTTCGATCTTGATCTTGGTTTGCTTCAACGCGTAGCAAGAGTTTTGAGCTCCTGGGGCTGGGGACACAAGCACGTAAAGGACAGCCTGCTAACCACCGATTGATCGCAGGTCTGTGTCCCAAAATCGCGTTGTCCTTATCGTGTAAGCACAGCAAAGCACTGAATACCCACCGTAAGTTTCCCATCCATCTTCCCTCACTCCAACCTTGCCTAACCCCTATCCACCTTCGGCTCTACCATGGCAAACATTGCTTCTCGAACTCTTTTGAAGAGAATCTTGTCAAGCTGTCAGTGGAGGAGCCCCATACTCAGCGACACTGTTGAACCCTCTGCTTGACACTGTGCTAACATTTTGCCTTGACAGAAGTCTACCCAGACAGGAGTCCAAGTAACCATGGCCGGAGGTGCAGGTCGCCAGCGTGCTGGTGACGGCAACGGTCGTGGTAACAATAGTCAATACCAAGGCGGACCACCCCAACAATATCACCAGTATCAACCGCAAGGTCCTATCAATGCTTCGACCATGCCGCCGCCAAAGCCCCGCTCCGGTGGTTTTGACGGTCCTGGCGAGCATAGCAGAAACTCAAGTGGCTTTCAAGGTCCCACTCCTGGATTTCAAGGCCCAAACCAAGGTAACTCCCTTCGAACACCTCTTCTGACAACCTGAATCTTTACTGACTGGCTTCGAGGTGGCTCCAATCAAGGTACTCCCCTCGGTACTCCTTTGTTGTCCCCGCGAATCCCGCAATTGCAGATGCAGAGTGGAATGTCTCAAGGTTCTCCTAGAGGCTCCCCGATGCTGATGCAAGCAGGATACGTAGGTCAACCAGGCACACCGGGTCGCAACACACCACAAGGTAGCCAGCCAAACACTCCGGGCCGTAACAACTCCCAGCAGGGTACTCCTCAGCAGTCAATGCAGCGAGGTCCACCACAGCAGTACCAAGCTCAACCTCAGCAGCAAATGATGCAGCAAGGTCCTTCTCAACCACAAGGCTCTGGCGGTCCTCAAGTTCAACGTGGCCCAAACCCATTCGGTCCCAGCATGGGCTTCGATCCTGCTCGTCCTATTGCTCCCAAGGAGAAGGTCATCACCAATACTCGTATTGAGCTCCCGCCTGATGCTTATCAGCTTGAGGGCCCCGAGGTATGTTTTTCACTTTCTGTATTTGAAGGAAGTTTTTTCATTATTTACCCTTCGGTCGTTGTGATTGAGATGTATAAAGAGACTCTTCTCCAGTAGATGAAGTCAATACATCTCGGAGTGTTTGGGGTATGAAGTTGTGTCAGATCTTGTTGGACTTATGGAGCCTGCTCATTGGATTTGGTCTGCTTGGCTTCAGCTGCTGCGGTCTCCTGCTCCATGCTCCAACTTCTTCAACTTCAATCAACTTCATTCTTCTTCATTCACTATTCCATCGCAACCATCACTCTCTTCTCCCCTTTTCTTCTCCACCGTTCCTTCCCAATTCAATCCAACAACCAATCCATTCGCAGAGTACCCCGCACGCTACCTTAGTGGCTGTTTGAAGCATTCCCATCGTTCTCTTCCTCCTCCCAACGCCTATAAAAACCCCCTGATTTCCCACTAACTCCTCCTCTTCCAAACAACAACACAACAAATCTTCCACTTCTTTCTTTGCCTTCCAAACTTTTACACAAAACATCAACACAATAAGAAATAATCATATCAAAGTCTCTCTCATCCAGTTGAATTTTCAGCTGTTAATTTTGAGTTCTTCACCAAACATCACTCTTCTTTCATATCTATCTCCTCATTTCTACTACCTTCATCTCAACATCCCCTTACCCCCATCGTCAATATGGACGTTTTTCAGACCTACCGACCTACATTCGATGCTGACGACCAACCGCAGTACAAATTTGAGAGCGAGTTGCCTTACCGTCCGGGCTACAACACTACTGGTAGAGCTGTCAACATCCAGGTCAACCAATACAAGGTCCTTGATTGGATCAAAGGTGATATTCATCAATATGATGTAAGTTCAATCTATTCTGTCTCCACCTCACCTTCTCTTCTGCCCATACAGATTTAGCTTTGCCTTACCTCATCTCCGCCGGAATACACTCACATCAATCCAATGCTAACTTGGGCCTTAGATCAACATAGGCAATGGCGCTGAAAAGCGTGGCAAGATCATGGCTGTCTGGAAGTCTCGAGCTGTTCAGGACCGTCTTCGCCAAGTCTTTCCCCCAGGTGCCCGCATTCTCTGGGATGGTAACAAGCTTGCCTGGTGAGTCCTGTAGTCCTCTAATCATCTCTTCACTTTCTAACTTTCACAGGTCCAAGTACCGTATTGGAGAGCAACGCATCAAAGTCAACTTTGATGTTGAGAAGGGTCGTGCTCCTCGCCCTGACAAGCCGGCTGATGAAGTCTATGTGATCATTCGTCCAACCACCCAGATTCGTATGGCTGTGATCGGTAGCTATCTCAACAAGCAAATTCCTTTCGATAAGTCCGTCTTGGAAGCTATCAGTAAGGCATCCCGACCCCCTGTATTAATCACCAGCTGACCTTAAATAGCCTTCCTTGACCACTGCATGCGCCAAGGTCCTTCTGAGCAATACACCATGATCAAGCGTAGCTTCTTCAGCCGTGGTACCACCAGTCATCAGTTGGACAATGTTGTCGTTGCTATGAAGGGTGTCTATGCTTCCATCCGCCTTTGCAGCGTAAGAACGCCCCCATCCCCTATTATCTGCATGACTGACCAATATCTCCAGCCCGCTGCTTCCATTGGGGCTCCCGGTACTGGCTTAGCCGTAAACGTTGATGTTGCCAATGGCACTTTCTGGGCTGCCCAGGATGTTCATCAAGCTGCTCGCAACTACTGCAGCCAGCGCAATCGGGCCTTGTCCTATACGGTTTTCCGTGATCTGCTCCTCCCAGTTAAGGATGGAAAGGGCGGATGGACCAAGTCCGAGGACTTCAAGAACTTGTCTAAGTTTGTCAAGTTGAAGTTTATTGTCAAGCACCGTGGCAAGGGTGATGGTAAGCGATTCCCATAGGTGTTCAGGACCTATGACTAACTTTTGAATAGACAAGAAGGAGTACTCCATCAAGAAGTTTACCTTTGAGAAGGGCGAGGCATTCTCTAAGACTGGTGCTCATGCCAAGAACAGTCACTTCAAGTTGAGAGATCGCAACACTGGCAATGAGCATGAGGTTACGGTCTTTGAGTACTTCAAGCGAACCTATAACATCGAGCTCCAATACTGGTGGCTTCCGTTGATTGTCACCGACCGTGCTGGCATGTTTCCCATGGAACTTTGCACCCTGTCTCCCAATCAGCGATACAACTTCAAGCTGTCTCCTGAACAGGTAAGAAATTTCCCACCAACTGCACAATACAGCGATTAACAAGCCCAGACCTCCAACATGATCAAATTCGCCGTTACTCGCCCAAGACATCGCGTTGAATCCATCATCCATGGAATTAATATGTTGCAGTGGAACCAGGATCCGTACCTTCAGGAATACGGTGTCAAGGTTGATCCCAATATGACAGTTGTACGTAGAATTACTCGATGGTATTGAAAACTACTAACCCTTCACAGACACAAGCTCGGGTTCTCCCAAATCCCGAAATCCAATTTGACAGAGCTAAGCTCAACCCTGGTACTCAAGGACGCTGGGATCTTCGTGGTAAGAAGTTCCTACTTCCTAACCCTGAGCCTCTCAACTCTTGGGGATTCGTCATTCTAGGTGGTTGCACCTCCGACCAGGTCGTTCGCAATTTCGCCAATGTTTTCATCTCCACCTACGTCGGACACGGCGGCCGAGTTGCAAACAAGAACCCCGTAATTTACCAGCAGTCTCGTAACGAAGACATTCCAACTTTGGTCGCCAATGCTCGAAAAGCCACTGGTGATCAAGCCAAGGCTATTCCTCAGATCTTGTTCTATGTTCTGCCTGGTCGCGACTCATTCATGTATGAGCGCCTGAAGAAGAACTCTGAATGTCGATTTGCCTTGATGTCACAATGTAAGTCTTTCAAATCTCCGCAAATTGTATCATCGTTGACCATTAATAGGCCTCAATGTTGCTCATGTCAACAAGGCTCAGCCACAGTACTGCTCTAACGTCGCCATGAAGGTCAATGCCAAGCTGGGTGGCACAACCTCTAAGATTGTTACTCCCAAGGGATTCTTCACCAGACCAACTATGATCATTGGTATGTGTCAACATCATCCACTTCTCATCCCCTCTGCTAATATGTTGAAGGTGCCGATGTCTCTCACCCAGCTCCTGGTAGTCCACAGGCTTCCATGGCTGCTGTCACTATGTCCTTTGATAGAGACTGTTGCCGCTATGCTGCCGCCGTCCAAACCAACGGATATCGTGTTGAGATGATCACCAAGGACAACCTTGATCAGATGATCGTTCCCTATGTCAAGAAGTGGGTAGAGCGCGTCGGCGGTGGCAATTTGCCTCAACACATCTACTACTTCCGTGATGGTGTCTCCGAGGGTCAATACTCCCACGTCATCAATCGGGAGCTCGCTGATATGAAGGCTGTCCTTGGCAAGGTTTACCATGAGGCCGTCAATAATGTGAGTCTGCCCATCTCCCCAACGAAAGCTTTTCTAACACCAATCAGATCAAGTGGACTGTTGCTGTCTGCACCAAGCGTCATCACATCCGCTTCTTCCCCAGAGATGGCGACTCTCAAGCTGCCGACCGAAATGCCAATGCCCTTCCAGGTACTTTGGTAGAGAAGGACATCACTCACCCCTATGAGTATGACTTCTACCTTTGCTCCCATGCCGCTATCCAGGGTACTGCTCGTCCCGTTCATTACCATGTCTTGAAGGATGAGGCAAACGTTCCGGTGAGCGATTTCCAGAAGATGGTTTACCAATTCTCTTATCAGTACATGCGCTCAACGACTCCTGTCTCGCTTTGTAAGTTTTTTTTACCTCTTCCAAACTGGTTTATTCTAACATGATTCAGTTCCCGCCATCTACTACGCCCACTTGGCATCGAACCGCGCTCGTGCCCACGAGTCGGCTCCTGCATCTGACGGTCCTCGCGGCGGTCAAAAGTTCGAGGAGCGTCGTGCGGAAGCTGCTCGACAGGGTACTAACGATGGTACATCCCAGACCGGATCCTCCATGCCCAGCGAGGCTGCTCCACTCTTGCCAATTGGCAATCCTGACCAACAAGACATCATGTGGAAGATTCGCAGCGGTATGTGGTACATCTAAGTTATTCACCGTCTGACTTGGAGAGTGTTTGCATTCGCGAATGCTCCATCATTTCTTCGTTTCTTGCTTTGTTTTATTTCCTACATCTTCCTGATCGTTTGATCCCTGGCTGTCAGTACATCTTCCCTTGCCTGCGAATCTCGATTCCCTCTTCATTCGAGGGCCGAATATGGCGGATTGATGGGTGCTTGGCTGCAGACTTGTATTATATTCCCTTCGTATCATGGGCTTTGATAGAGGCATATGGAAGTTGGATGCCTGGGCGGAACTTTATGGGAGATGATTGATGATGATGACTGACGACGATGAATACTGAACTGGAAATCCAGCTCTACGATGATTAGATACAGACTTGATGAACAATGCGATGAATTTACAAAGAAATGGTCGATGACTGAGTGACTTTCAATTTGATGGTGTTTATTTTGAGCATACATAACTTGATGTTTTGTCACTTGAACTTGATACAAATCTTGAGTTATGAATATGCGGATCTAGATACCGAATCATTCAAAGACTTTAACCTCTCGACTACAGACAGAAGAATATATCTTTCCATTCCTTGGTCTTGTAATCTGCTCTCCTCGTTTTAATTCCTTTAGATCAGAACTACCCAATCAGTTCATCACCTAAACTACGCTTGACCACAAGTAGACACAAAAAGACAAGATCGTCATGTCTTCATATCTATTACTGACAATGTCCGTAAGACTAGCTTCTCGGCGTTGAAACTTGGAAGTTATCTGAGTTGCGAAGTAGCATATCAGCAAAATTGAAATGAGGAAGTGAAAATCGAAGATCTCAAATAGGATATGGCAAAGAGAGAGCTACTGTTTGTTACGGCGAACTAAAGAATGAGAGGAGGAGCAAGGCCGGAGAGTATGAAATGAGAGATTAGGATATTGGATGGCGACTGGAGACGGGAGATCTGGTTGTCCGGCTGAGTCTTGAGCTTTTTAACATATGTTTGAGAGGTTTATGCACGTTTCTGTTAAACAGGTGGGTGTATATACGAAGAATCTGGGAATGTTAGAAGACGAATGGAAGATCGGAGATATTGGGACTATTGAGACCTGGGGGTTTGTTGAGATGTTGAATATTGAGTAATGCAGGAGGACGCGCAAATTGAGAAGGAAGAGCTTTAGTCTGTAGGTATAGGGCTGTGCTCAAGTTCAACAAGGTAGCTGAGAGGGGTATTGAAAGATCTGGGTATTCATTCATCATCACAGTAATTCAGTAGCTGTATCTATCTACCCTCTGCTAAATCTCGCTTTCAAGCAGTAACAGGCTTAGCATTTGCCCCAGTCCTGAAATCCTTCCCACTTTTCGGACTTCCAGCTGCTGCCTTCTCCGCCTTTGCCTTTGCAAACTTCTCCCTCGCCAGCTGAATCGCGCTCTTCTGTGGTCCTTTCGCCGCCTCCTTTGCAGCATTCTTAGCCATCTTTCTATCCTTCCTGTTCTTCTTGCCCATTCCTGGCGCTGAGACCTTCGGTTTCTCCTTCTCGTCTTCATCCTCTGCAGCTTCGTCATCGATACCGTGGGTTTGGGATTGGATTTGAGTTTCTGGATGCGTGACAGGCAGAGAGCGCATTTTCTCGAGGGATTCCTCTTTCACTTTCTTGACCCAGTCGCTGCGGCGTCGCTTGAAGAGATCGAGTGACCAGTTGCGGACCACGATTCGACCGGTCCAGCTATCGCGGAGTTGGTTCTCGTGGGAGAGCAGGATGGAGGCTATGCGCTCGGTGAGTGAAAAGAGCGGTGTTGAGGGAACGGTGAGAGATGTGGGGGAGGCGGTGCTGGAGAGGAGGGCATCGAGGACGTGGGAGCCGGTTGGGGAGAGGGCGAGGGTGAGTGTTGGTGGTGTCTCTTCTTCATCTGAAGAGCCGGATGGGAAGAGGAGTGTATTAGTAAGTTTGCGCCGGAATGGCATCGTGTTTGAAGGGGTGGGGAGGAGTGCCGATTGAATGATGTGAGAGGTTGTGGTGTATATCGAGATGGCGAGGAGGATTTGAGGAGGGAGGGAAAGTAAGGATTTTTGGATTAGGAGTGCTGGTGAGCCGGGGATGGCGAGCATAGATTGGGCGAGGAGGGAGCCATGGAGTTGGGAGGGTGTGGATTTGTTTTGTTGTGTTGGTTCGGCTGTTTCCTGGCCTGGTTGAGTGCTAAGTATCAAAGCTGCGACGTCATCCAGACACGCCATCTTGAGGAGCACGTTTGAGGTCTTTGGATCGTAAGAAGCAGCTATTGCGTCTACGAGAGCCTTGGTGTCCGCACCTCTGGCGTGGCATCTCTCGAGGAGCGTCTTGAGGATTACGGTCCTGTTTCGTTGGACTAGTCCTTCGATTTGAGGGATGATGGCAGTAATTGCTTCTTCGAGATCTTCTTTGCTCAGACGATTCAGGACACGGATGGCAACGTAAGAGGAGATTTCGTTCCTGGCTACGGCTGCGATCCGGTCTTTGAAGATAGTACGGTAGATTTGCTTGAATAGCCTGCCAGGTGCAAATGTGCAGATTGTCTCGAGCAGACGGGATCCAATGGCGTCGTAGAGGATACCATTAATGAATGTTTGCGATTGGCTTTTCTCATCTGTGATATCGTCTGGGAGGAGGGCGGAGATGATGGTTTTCTCAGAGGCATTGATGCCTTTCTTGGAGTTTGAGTTTGTGAGTTCTAGCTCGAGGAGGAGTTGTAGGGTTGGGTTGCCAGTTGGGTGGGTGGCTAAAATGTGGATGAAGGTTGTGTCCATTGTGGCGATTGTGTCAGAAATGATCTTTTCGATGGCAAATTGGAAGGATGATGGGACGGCACGCTTGTTGAGTGAGAGTTCTGTGGGTGTGGTATCGAGACCTGTAATCGAGATCTTCTCTTTCTTCTTGCTTTGCATGAGTGTTCTTGTGGATGCCTTCTCGAGCGCTCGTCCGGAAAGAATAACGAGCAGAACTCGGAGAGTGTGGGATGCGAATCGATCCGTGAGGAGGAAAGTCATTTGTCCTTCCAATTCGTCGAGGGTTTGTAGAAACAGATCTTCCATAGAAAGCAATTCCTCTTCATCCTCTCCCTTCATGTCCGTATCCACATCTGCCTCAGAGGCCTTCTTCTTTTTCGACTTCGTATCTGCAGTGAGTTCTTCCGTGACGATTGGCGCAGACTGAATAAAAAGAGTCTCGCAACAATGACTCGCAAACCGATGCTGAATCAAATGCGGATAATTATCGCTGAACTTCCCAAACAGCTTCTTCTTCTGCTCCACCGTACTCAGCAGGATCAATCTCTCCATTAATCTCGAACATGACTGACTGCATGCGATTTTCAGCTCCTTACCCTCAGCTTCTCGGTATACGTTTGCAAGGAAGAGCGAGCGTTCTTCGTCGGAGGGGAAGTCGTTCTGTTCGAGTAGTTCGTCGGCTCGGCGGAAGTATTCCTGTTCCTGGTCTTCGAGCATACCATAGAACGGACGCTCTGTAGCTCCTCCCTCCTCTCCGGCTTCTGCAATTCCATCTCCCATAGGGACAGCATTGTCTGTGCCGATGAACTCGACCTCAAGTTCTTGTGCCGGGTCTTGCGACTTCTGCCTCTTGTGGTGGTCCTGGATTTCATCTTCTCCCTTTTCCCTCTTGCGCTTTAGCTTCTTCTCGTCTCTTCTCCCTCTACTGTGTTTGTTTTCCTTCGGCATTGTGTCGATGGTCCAGAATTCCTTCTTGTGCTGGAGGCGATTGACTGTGCGCAGTCGCGAACTTTTTTTGTTCGGGACAGTTTGAGCGGCCGCATGGAGGCGGTGAGTTGCGGCATTATCTAACCAACAGCCAACTCCAAGACCCTGGTTTTCCCCACTACGGTCGAAATCGCTCGTCATTTAGAGGCGTTCTTACATAAACTTTCATGAAAGAAAACTTAGAGTATTTCTTAGTGTATTTCATAAGTCATCAGATGGGGCGGCCTTTTGTTTAGATTCCTTTTGTGTTGTAGATTTTTCTATTTCTGTATATTTGTATCTTTTAGAATGGGTTCCAACGGCATTTCTTTACCGAGGCAGAATGGTGACAAAAACTCTCCCCTCAATCGAGCGGATGAGGTGGACGATGTGAGCAATAGTCCTTTAAATATACCCCATTCTTGGCGAAGGTTATACAAAACTCTCATGACATATACATACTGATACAGTTCAGTTGCTCAACGCCGTTCAGTCTCTCATAATTCCTTTTATCAGATCTGCAGACCAGGATGCAGCTTTCAAGCATACGAGTCATGGCCTGGCTACTCAAGGTGGCGGCCCTCGAACAGTTATTCTTGAGCATCACAGACCAGAGAAACTGGCTCAGCTTATGAGTGTCGATCTCCCAAGAAATGGAAAAGGAAAGGAAGGACTTCTGGCTACTGTCGAGCAAGTGCTTCAATACAGTGTAAATACTTGGGACCAGGGATTTCTGGATAAGTTGTATGCTAGCACCAATGCTGTATGTCCCTCAATACCCTCTTGTTGGAGACAGGACTGACATCCAGAAGGTTGGCGTTATTTCTGAGCTCTTGCTTGCCGTTTTGAACACGAATGTAAGTGTTTACGCTCGATACTGAAGCCAACAAGCTGAATTGTTCAGGTTCATGTATATCAAGTATCTCCTGCACTCACAGTGATCGAGAAGACGACAGCCAAAGCATTTGCAAACCTGTTTGGATTCAATGGTCCACATGCTGGTGGCATTAGCACGCAAGGCGGCAGTGCCTCCAACACCACGTCCATCATCATCGCCAGAAACAACCTGTATCCTGAAACCAAGACATCTGGTAATGGAAACCACAAATTCGTTCTCTTCACCTCAGCTCATGGACACTACTCACTTGAGAAAGCTGCTCAAATGTGCGGTCTTGGAAGTGAAAATGTCTGGTCCGTCCCTGTTGACAGTCGAGGTCGCATGATCCCATCAGAACTAGAAAAGCTTGTCGCAAAAGCAAAGAATGAGAGCCGGACGCCATTTTACGTCAACGCCACAGCAGGGACAACTGTCCTGGGATCCTACGATCCCTTTGAAGATATATCCGCTGTATGCAAGAACCACAATCTATGGCTCCATATTGACGGCAGTTGGGGTGGTCCTGTGATCTTCTCATCAACCCACAAACACAAAATGAACGGCTCCGAACTCGCGGATTCTCTCGCGGTCAACCCACATAAAATGATGGGTGTGCCCATGACTTGCTCGTTCCTTCTTTGCCCCGACTTGAGGAAATTTCATAAAGCGAATACTCTCCCAGCAGGATATCTCTTCCACGAATCTGATGCCAGCGGCGAAGTGTGGGACCTAGCTGATTTGACACTGCAATGCGGTCGACGTGGCGATAGCTTCAAACTCGCGCTGAGCTGGATATATTATGGATCTTCGGGCTTCGAAGCACAGATCGACTCTGCATTCGAGATCGCGTCGTACTTTGCTACGAAGATCCAGCGCAACGACAATTTCGTCTTGGTTTCTGAGAACCCACCGCCGTGTTTGCAGGTGTGCTTTTATTTTCTGAAGGCTGCGAAGGATGGGGACTTGAAGTTAAATGATGACAAGGACGAGAACACGAGGGTGACGAGTGAGACTGTACGAAGATTGATACCAAGGGGCTTTATGGTGGACTATGCGCCTGGAGGGCGGGGAAGTTTCTTTCGGGTAGTGGTCAATAGGGACACGAGGAGGGAGACTATTGATGGGCTGGTCGCGGCTATTGAGGATGTTGGAGGCAGTTTGTGAGAGAAGGGGCTTGAAATAGGAGGAGTAGATGTCCCCCTCCCTTCTAGAAGTTGGATTTGGTTAGACAGCATTTGCATAGATAGATATAGACGACACAATTCACAAATGCGTCCGCACTTTCAATTGTTCTCCTAGCGTACTCAGGCCGGTTAGGCGATCCGGGCTACCGATACAGAGAACGCCCCCCTCCAGACTTCGCGTATGCCTTTGGTCTCTAGCTTTCCATACTCTGGACTTTACTCGCAAACCACCAATTAGCTGGGACGCAGTCTGCATACCTTCGAAGCGAGGTTTGGCGACAGGCGACTTCCAACCTTGTCAACAAATCCAGAACCCTGAACGCGAGATGACATAACAGGAATGGAGCTCATGGTTCGTCATTGTGTCCGCATTTCTATTTCCCTTGTCATATACCCATACCCGAGCCAATCAGATACTGTTTACGTCGGCACTTAGTGCTGACACGAGGGTTTTGTGGGGAATTGAAGATGAGGCGATGACTGTAATTACTACCTTAGTCTACCTACTAGTTGGGCATGCAATGCGACGTACGGCTATCGAGCTATTATTGAAATGAGCTTGCTTCATACTGTACTGGGAAGTCTATGAGTCGCATTTAGGAGTACTCCAGATGTGAAGCTATCGTGTTCTTGGTCAAGTTCTGGTAAAGCTGAGTTGGGGTAACCGAAATCCCTGCAAGCTGAAATGAATTCTCAACTTGTAAATAGTTGCCTTGTTCTCAGATATAAGCAAACCTACATTTGTTGTACCTGATGTGGAGAAATTTACTTTTACCACCATCCATCGGTGGACTTCTGGAGACAACAGCAATATGGAAAGCTACTCGAGGACATGATTCCACCTTCTGGGCAGATCGACAACATGCGCTTCTGAAGAGACAGACCTCACCAGATGTTATGGCAAAACCCTTCAGGAGCACTGCCATAACATATTATATCCCACCTAGGTATGATGAAGAGTAGTCACTAATTTCTGATATCAGAAAAAAGTCCAGAAGGACCCTTGAAGCAGCTAAGAATGCAGCGCACGGAAGGGACCACCTGGAATTGAGACTCGCTTAGCCTTATCCACTCTCCGTGCCAACTAAACATCTGGGATGTCGGGCCTAACTAAGTTGAACTAACAAAGGCTATTCCGAAACAACCATTTTTGGCCCGACGGAATGGACATCATTCGCTGCCCTCCATTCTGCCCAGAGAAGCTGACGGGTCATTATCGATGCCGACGGGGATCTGGTCGCTCCCCGTCTCAGGGTGCACAGAGTCTCACAGGGTGATGCGAGTAACAAAACCTACGCCCGTGCTACGTTTTCTTATATATTTACTTACCCAGCTTTCGTCCTCTTCTAGATATTGCAGACAGACTTTCAGAAGAATCTGAAGTCATTCTGCTGCTCTTACAAGCAAAACCTTCATGATGGCTGAACCCTTCTCTATCTTTGGCTTCAGCTTGCCAACCTTTGGGATCCTCATTGGTTGCCTCGCAGTCTCTTTCTACTTCGCATACCAGAAAGCGCTTCCAAAGCCCATCCCAGGGATCCCCTACAATAAGGAAGCAACGAGCTCTCTCCTCGGCGAAGTGATACCCATGGTAAAGCATGTCAACAAGACGAAAGAGATCATGGATTGGATGGTGGAGCACAACATCAAGCACAATTCGCCGATCGTACAGGTGTTCACGAGACCATTTGCCCGCCCATGGGTTCTGGTTGCTGATTACAAAGAGGCGCAAGATGTGTTGTTGAGACGAACGAAGGAGTTCGACAGAGCGAACTTCTTCGGCGATATCTTCTTAGGCCTGCTTCCTAAGCATCACATTTCAATGAAGTCTCATGACGAAGAGTTTAAGAAGCATCGAAGATGGCTGATGGACCTGTAAGTCAATCCAATTTCTTCATTTCGTCATTCACGTTGTAGAGACAACGTGTTCCAACCTTGGAGGCGTGAGATGCTTCCAGAATTGGGATCCATACTAACAGTTTGGTTAGAATGACGCCCGGTTTTCTCAATGGGATCGCGGCTCCTCACATTTATACTGCCTGTGACGACATGCTAGACGTGTGGCAGGAGAAGGCGAGACTTGCCCAAGGCCATGCCTTCGAGGCACCAAGTGATGTGTACCATGCTGCCCTCGATGCAGTTTGGTCGCTTGTATTTGGTGCAGATATTTCCAACAGCACCACCAAGTCTGCTTTCAGAAGTTTGTCGTCCATGCAGAGCCTTCAACTTCCGACCGGCATCAACCAAGAAGTAAAGATACCAGAAGCGCCACTACCAACTAGCATGGCAGCCATTGTCTCGCTTGTTGACACTCTAGCCATCACCATCACATCTCCTCATCCAGTTTTCGTTCATTGGTTGATTCGCCAACTCCCAAGCTATCGCAGAAATGCCAAAGTCAGAGATGATCTCATTCGAGATGAAGTTGAGAAGACAAGGATCAGGTTTGAGGGAAAGAGGGAAAAGGATGTCGATGTCAGATGCGCGATGGACGACATCATGAGAAGAGAATTGAGCGCATGCGAAAAGGAAGGAAGAGCACCGATGTATCATTCACGTGCCATGTATGACGAAGTACGACTGATGATTCCTCACAGCAAACCAAGATGCTGACTTGTTTAGATCTTCGGACTTGTCGTTGCTGCACACGATACGACCTCCACAACCTTAACCTGGGCGTTGAAGTTCCTTGCAGATTACCCTGAAGTTCAGGATAAACTACGAACTGAGCTTTTCTCTGGCCATGCCACCGCGGTTTCCGAAAAGAGGAAGCCGACAGCTGCAGAGATCGCCAAAATCAGCATTCCATACCTTGACGCAACACAAGAAGAAATTGTCCGCTGTTCTCTTACAGAAGCAGGCGTCGTCCGTACGGCCACCGCAGATGTCGAGCTTCTGGGAAAGATCATTCCTAAAGGAACGGATGTGTTCTTCATGGGCAACGGCCCCAGCATCTTCTCGCCAGCCTTCCAGATTGATGACTCGCTTCGAAGTCCAACAGCCTTGTCGGCCAAGGAACGAATTGGGTCATGGGATCCGTCCGATATGGCGAAGTTCCATCCCGAGAGATGGCTCGTGGATGGCGAGAAGGGAGGAAAGGAGTTCAGTGGTGCGGCGGGTCCGCTACTCACGTTTGGAATGGGACCGAGAGGCTGCTATGGAAGACGACTGGCGTATGTTGAGATGAAAATCTTCCTGACGCTGATTGTGTGGACGTTTGAGTTGCAGAAGTGTCCTGCGGAACTTTCGGGTTATGGCTCAGTTGATAAGTTGACACATGCACCACAGCAGTGTTATGTGAGGCTGAAGAAGGTTTCTTAGTGGGTCAGACTGGGTGCTTCAAACATGTCTTACGATTTATGATCCAGCTGTTGTGGAAAAGTGAGTGTGGCTTGAGGTTTTGTTACAGAACGCAATGGCTGAATCAACTATACATTGGATCCACTATCCCTCGTTGACACTTGCACATTCTCGCTTATTTTGCCGACGACAGGGTGACACTGCACGTCAACTTACTATTGGCAAGCGACTTTTAAGCTTGCAATAGAACACTCAAGGATCGAATGTGACGGTGACAGAGAAGTCTAGTGAGGTTAATCTATTGTTCCATCATCTACTAACAATCCTACCGCACATTTATACAGAGAATGTGCAGTTGCGTGCATGGGTGAGCCTGCCTGGCTCGCTAAGTAAATGGCACAAACCATCCTCTGCCAGCAGCGCCAGGGACGGTAATGTTCAATCTACCTGTAAAGTAGATCCTGAATGAATATACGGATAGTTTATGTTGACTTTCTTCACCACCTTCTTATTCGAGATTTTCCGGACGACATATGTCACAATGGTACCTGGCAAAGTGTTCGCCTTTTCAACAAATTCCCTTGAAAGTACTACGGATACTGTGAGAACTGGAGCTCATTGTCCAGATTTTAAGCTCCACTGAACCTGGACCATCCCATTACAACAAATACCTAAATCCCTTTTCTCTACCACCGACAATTTCCTCATCACCAGTCCTAACCGCCTCCGCCTTGTCCATCTTGCGATTTTCATATCGTAGCCAGAAGCGGAGTACCATCGCCGTTGCGGCACAAAGACCACAGAAGAGCGAAAGCGTGATACCAGCAGTGATATAGCGGGGCTTTGCGGAATTTGGATACAGGTAACTGGTGAAGAGGTGAGTGCAATTGGCGAGGGAATTGACCATGGCAAGCGCAGCGGCTCGTTTCGACTGCGTCATGTCAGCCACTTTGCAAGTTTGAAAAGTTGTGGGGCTCTTACCTTTGGTCTTGGGATCGTGCTTGAAACCCAGGAAAGAGTAACGTTAAATGCGGAATACACGCCCATTGTCATCAAGAACATGCTGGCATAGCGTCCAGCAGTGTGCGTCAGCGTGATGCAAAGTATATTACCCAGCATGGATATGGAGAGCGGCAAGGCGATGTGGAAAGCTCGTTCGTTTGTTTTCCCAGAGTGTAGAGAATTGCCGAGTGACGTGAAGAAAGCTAGTGCATAAGGGGGCGCTGTGAGTAAGAGAGTGGTGACCTTGTTGTATCCGAGTGTGCTGACGATTGAAGGGAAAAAGTACGTCTAGCGTTGCAGCCTGTCAGAATGTGATCTTGGCATAATTAAGGTAGAAGACTTACATATGCCATGCCCACGAGCAGAGAGAATTGTAATAGGATCAACATGTACACTTTAGGGTCCTTGAGTGCTTGGATAGCACCAACCCAGATCGACTCTCCATCTTCGCCGTCTTCTTGACCAGCAGCTTCGTCAGCTATTCTCCAGATGGCATATTCGCGCTCCTCATCAGTGAGCCATTTCGCCTCTGTCCACAAAATGAAGTCAGCCAACGTTCTGTTTCCACATTGGGAAACGGGTCCAAATGGAGCAGATTGAATGAGGAAAACTTACTTTTGGGGTAATTAGGAAGAATAAGCACTGCAATCAATGCAACTACAACCGTAACGCATCCTTCTAGTATGAAGAGCCATCTCCCTAAGTAATGAATCAATCAGCTGCTGATAGAGCCAGAAATATTTGGATCATATCGAAGTGGTTGTCGTGTGGAAAGTCTTTGCCAAGGAGAACTTACATGCTCGAAGTCCTAGCACGCCTTCCATGCCTCCCAAGACACCAGCAGCAATGAGTCCACCAAAACAGTTCGACAGCGTGTTTCCTGCATAAAGGATGGCGATCCGAAAAGGTAGCTCAGACCGAACGTACCAAGATGTGAGCATCAAGAGAGCGCCAGGACTAGATCCGTCAGTTCCATTCTCGCTCTCATCTTAGTATGCACTTACAAGAACGGGGCTTCAGCAAAGCCTAGAAAGAAGCGAATAGCGATTACACTGCCGTAGGAATGGACAGCAGCCATGCAGGCCGAGACTGTTCCCCATACCACAGCAGCCACACCAAGATAAATTCCCGGTCGTGGGAACCGTGATAGGATGACATTGCTGGGAAACTGGAACAGCAAGTACCCGACGTACATGATCATGAGAGCAGTGTTGTATTGATGATCAGTAAGTCCGATGTCGTCTTCGAGACCGCCAAGACGGGCGTTTGTGAAGTTGTTGCGGTCAAGGATACTGATTTTGATCTGTCAGATTTGTCTTGATGTGGGGTTTGGGGTACAGGAAGTGAAGATAACTGACTTGAGGAGGAACAAAATGATCAACATAGGCATCAAGCGCATGTCAATCTTTCTGACCATCGCTTTCTTGAATGTGGCCAGCTGCTCTGGACTTTTGTTCTGTAGAGAAAGGGGCAGATTGGATATTATTGGGATCTCTTTTCGATCATCGTGATCGTGGATGTTTTCAATGGTGGCCAATTCGGCTTTGCCTGAGTATGCCATGGCAGCGATAGGAGCTTGGATGCGTCGAATTGATAGTCGAAGCCGTGTGGTGCTGGTAGACGAAAGTCCAAATGTTGCTTGTAATCTTGTATCTCGATATTGAAACCTGATTTGGTCTGATCATAATAGTGAAACTCCAGAGGCAAAGAGGAGTTATATGTTCATGGAACAGCATTTCTTCGATACGTTCATCTCTTGAGACAGGTGGGTATGTTTCCGAAATCGAAGCTGCACCTGCCCAAAGCCACATTCATCTGCGGGGTGACGACGAAAAATGATTGCCATGGTTCTCCAGGAGGTGGTGGAAAATGTTGGGGACCCCAGACATCGAGTCATGTTGGTGCGGGGGATTGACATGCTGGTGGTGCATTGGCGTCGGAAATGCGCTTGATCCGAGGCTCGATGGCTCGGAAATGCATCCAAAACCAGGCTCGGAAATTGGCGAGCGTGGTGTTGTGCACGGCTACCAGGGACGGTATTTGCTTTGATAAATCTGTGAATTTGGACGTTAATCTTCTTTGGTCAAGACTCTGACATCTTGGAGTATTATGAGGCTTGGAATTTGCCCAGGTGCGGACCCATTTTGCCTCTCGCTAAACTTGTCACCTTGCCTTCAAAACTAGTATTCCAGTTCACGTAGAAAGCTGCCCTATCTTCGGAGATTCCGATATATTCTCTAGCTTGAGATTTAGATGTGATGAACCACGTCCGAAGTTTGTCTGAGAGTGATAGATGAACAAGTGCTGATTGGTCTAACAATGTTGTATTCATTTATCCAAATCGTCCCCCATAATGAGAAGCCCAATGACTATAACAAAATATCCAAAGAGAAGCACATTCAAACTGCCACAAACTCGCTCACATCTCTACAACGTTACAATCAGGAAATTATGGTGCCTAGGATACCCACAACCTCTTCCCGAACCCCCTCCTCAGTGCCACCGACATTCACAGGAATCACATCCAACTCCTCCATTCCTGGCGCTTCCAAGACTTCCAGCTGGCTCTCGACCATCTTATCAGTCATGAAATGACCTTCCCTCTTCCGCACTCTGCTTTCCAAGATGTCCTTTCCCGCTTCTAACAGGACAAAAACGGCCCTCGTGACGCGACTATTCCGTAATTCAGCCCTGTAGGCTTGCTTCAGTGCTGAACACGTCACGATGATTGACTGTTGTTTCTCGGCACGCATGCGAAGTAGAGCGGTTGCCTTTAGCGTCTCGAGCCACTCCCATCGATCTTCGTCAGTGAGTGGAATTCCAGAGGCCATCTTTGAAATGGAAGTTTGTGAATGGAGCGAATCACCCTCGATCCATGGAATGTTCAGTTGTTGAGAGACGGCTTTGGCGATCGTGGATTTCCCTGAACCGCATGGACCAGCTATGAATATGACATTCTTAGAGGGAGTTTCGGAGATCGAGCTAGCCCATGAAGTGGCTCTGAATCTCTGAACAAATTGTTCGACAAGGTGCTGGTCTAGTTTTGGAGCAGCTGCTAATGAGGGCGACAGGAATCGAGCGTATGAAGTATCATACACAAGACCTGTCCGAGGCTTATCATTGTCATACTTGCTGGCGAAAAATTCCAAAAGCTTGATGGGAGGATTGGCAATGGGGTCTGGGTTCGACTTCTGGAGAATCTGGATCCATTCTTGTTGACTCGGTTCTGAAAATTCGAGGCCGGCATGGTGAAGGGCGGGAAGCAAGTCTCGTGTCCAGTGAAAGGCTTGGTGGTTCACGACATTCATTACACCGGCACCTGCTGTTGATAGCGAGATATCGGAGACGGAAGAGGCGACCACGTCTACAGGTAGCCAGAGTGGTGACTCGTCGAGTCTCGGGATTGCGCCGATAGTCAAACCAGCTTGGATCATTAGTGGAATTGCTTCAGTAGCATTCCAGATCCCATGAGTTGTGTCAGCAATAATCTGTCCAACTCTGAGAACTCGAGCTTTGATACCATAAAACTTTGCAGCCGACATGCAGATATGTTCAGTGACGAGCTTCGACTGAGCGTAACCCATGTTTTGCGCAAAATCGAGCGACTCTGGCAGCGCTTCTGGCACGAAGCCACCTTTTGTAGCTGCTACTGCGCTGACTGACGAGCAGAAGTTGAATGTAGCTGGCTCCTTCTGTTTGGCTTTCAAGCATAACGCAAGGAGGTTGTATGCACCAGCAATGCAATCCGCTTCGAAACTGCTCAATGCCAGATTGAAGTTCACTGACCAGGCACAGTGGATAACTCCCGTGACCTCAGAACATATTTTGTTGTAAACCTCGGATTTCAGGCCGAGGTCTTGCTGACTGAAATTGGCTGGGATGGCTCTTAACCTGTTCCGAGCCTCGAGCGGAAGGAGGTGGTAAAGACCACGCTCGCGGAGCGAAGTGACTACCCGAAGGTGGGCCTGAGATGATGTTTGAGCACGAACTAGGCAGTAGATTTTCTTCACATCTGGAATGAGGGCGAGTTGCGATGCTAGATGGGCACCAAGAGAACCAGTCGCTCCTGTGAGAACCTAATCAAATTGTTAGAAAGTCTTAATTGCGAGTCGGAATACGGAACTCACGATGTATTGGCCACTCTTGGAAGTCTCAACAGGGACGTGTCTATCGAATTTGGAGTACCTCTTAATTAATTGTTCCATCTGAGATGTCGTCGAACAGACATTGGAAGTCCCTCCTGTCCGTAGTCGGTAGAGTTCGTTCGCCAAGAGATTGATGGACGGAAAGTCAAAGATGATATTTGATGCCAGTTTCTTCCCACTGGTATCAATATTCTTGCCGAGCACAGATCGAAGCTGAATCGCTTGCAGAGAGTCGATTCCAATGGAGAAGAAGTCGGTCGTGTCTCCAAGAAGGTCTATTGTTGTTGGAGGCAGAAGCTTCTTCATCTCGCTTCGCAGATATTCCCGCAATTCAGCCTCGGTCAAGCAAAGCTCCCCGGACGATACTTCTGCGTCACTATAGATATTCTCGATCTGTGTAGCGAAGGTTCGATAGAACGCTGGCCGAATGACTGTTCCTTTGTCTGTTCTAGGATACTCTGTGTCGTGGGGTAGAATTCTGACCATGTCGAAACTCAGCTGGGCGTAAGCTGGCATCAGCTCGTTTGCCTTTGACAATACTGGAATCAGGATTGCGTCGATCTCGGAATCGGATTTTCCGATTGTCAAAGGAGAAGGTATGATTATCATCCCGATCCGCGCCTTCCCACTGCCAAAAACCACGGCGTCCGAGATGTACTTGTTATCTCGAAGTGACTGCTCGAATGCAATTGGTGTGACCTTCTCCCCGTTCATCAGCACGATTCTGTCGTCAGATCTTGCAAGATACTTCCATGCGTCTGGGATAGTCGGGTGCGGTGTGAAAAGGTCTTTGGTGGCATAGGATCCATCTGCCCGGTTTGATGCCACCTTGGATGGCAAGCCGTCTAGAGCAACAAGCTCGTATACATCTGCACCCCTGGGTTCGAATTTGACAAAGTTCTTGAAGGCTGCTGGAAGTCGGACGTAGTCCCAAGCTTTGTCCCCAGTCTCTCGAGCAGAGGTCATCAGTTGACCCGTTTCGGTACTTTGACGTCTGTCAGTATTTCGTGTAATATTTGGGGGCGGAGTTGCACTCACGTTCCATAATGACTGACGAGATTTACACCCTTCTCTACTAATCGGTCACCCAATGAATCTGGACATGCTGATCCCCCAAACATGACCACTTCCAGCTTCGCTAATTCAGCAATTCCTTCCTCACTTTCTCCAAGAAGCTTTAAAGCGTATGGCACGCCATAGAACACCTGAAAATGATATCGACGAAGAATTCTCAACAAGTACTGTTGAGTGAGTGGTAGATCGGCATTATACATGTAGATCTGTTTTCTGGAATGAATGGCTCGGAAAACGCTGCTGATGCCGTGGGCATGGTAGAGGGGAAGTGTGATGAACCCTTTCAAGTTTAAGTTCGACGAATAATTCTTTAGGGCTGCCCGGTGAGTTTGAAAAATAGGTTTTGGTAAGCCAGTGGAGCCACTGGAGTGGATAACCCAGGAGATCTTGGCTGACTCGACTTCAAGGTCGAACTTCTGGTCAAAACGCGTGTTCTCGGCTGTGTCGCTACCCGGAAACTCGAAGCTTTTCCTGTCGGAGATTTCGTGGATTTGGAGTGTTGGCTGGTCGTGTTGGACTTGTTCTGCGACTTGTCGAAAAGATTTATGAATGAGAATGTGCGTCGATAAAGTAGCCTGAAGAAGGGACGAGTACGCCAGAGTTGACAGTCTTGTGGAAAGAAACAAGACTGTGTGTCCCAGCTTGGTCAATGCTAGAATACTAATCAAGTATTCCAGATTGGAGGGACCGAGAAGACCGACAACAACCTCGGGATCGGATGAACATTTCCTCTGTGGAATCAAAGATCCATATAAATGAGCAACACGAGATGCGAATACATCTAATTGGCGATATGTGTAGTCAACGTATTCGGTGCCTTTCGACGGATACGACAGGATGAATTCCTCTGCTGCGTTCTCCGATCGATTTCGTATCAGCTCATCTATGGTCCGTGGGATATTCTGAGCAGCAAGGTTCGCTTGATTGGTCACAGTCGTCCCAAGACTGTGGGCTTTGTTCTTGTTTGTCAACACTGAAAGAGGTAGGAGTGGAGATGTAGCTGACGGCGCCATTGTGAGTCGATCCTGCAAGCTGTTGGGGTATCAAGTGAAGATGCAACTCAACCAGCTTGCCCCAAGGTCGAACTCCTTATGGATATATATTCCAAATCAAAGTTAAAAAGGACACAGATTGAGCGAAATGTATACAGAGTCAGTCTAGTCTATGTCAAATGGAATCTTCACGATCGGAGACCAGGGTCAGGTTGTTTGGCGAGCAGGCAGGTGGGGAGATGGCGGGGCAAACGCATTTCCGAGAGTTTTGTCCTTGACTCGGAAACTTGGGCCATGCTCGGAAACATTCTGGCCACCCACCAGACGGAAATACCTTGGAGGAGTTATATCTCGTATCCTTGCTCCAAGCCTCCAAATACATCGGGCCATGTAAGTGCCTTGATGAAAAGTCAGCAATTTCTCAACGACTTGCAACCGAAGCTCGGCTGATGAATTCACTTACACAAGAGTCGAATTCAGACCAGCCCATCATAGCACCTTGAATTCCAGGGAGATACATATTGCCAGAAACTAAATCATAGGACGGATCTCCACTAATCGCTAGTTGATGGGGATCATAAAACTGGGACTGGATGAGATTGAGACCCAAATGTCGTGAAGTGTCGTTGGCGAGAGCGTCAGAAAACTGGGCAGAATCCATTGCAAGATTATCAGAAGTTATTATCTCCTCAGTTGGCCCAAGAGAAATGGATTGATCAGCAGACTGCGACGGATGACCATTCCCTGGACGCTGTTGAATGGAAGAATCAAGCCTAGTAGACTCTGTATATTGAGGGCCGAGATGCTGCAAAACCTCTTTCTTCAGTTCCTCCAGAATGATGTTGTACTTCGCGAACGGCGAAGCTTTTGTCGTTGTCTCTTCGATACTCTGCTGACACTTCCGCGCCGCTTCAAACACATGTGTATCGGGAGGGGTAGAGGAACCTGATTGCCTAGGGAGGAGGCATTGCTGTAGTGTGTACACATAAAGTGTGGAAATGGCGCAAAAGGATATGTAATGAGTAAACCAGAAAGAATGCCGCATTCTTTTTTCCTCGATCAAGTCTGTGACAGTATCCACAACAATCATAGCTGCCGAAATGCACTCCTTAAGACTGTTACTGGGCTCATCTGATGGCGGTTCTGTACGTTTGGCCAAGTCTGCAAAATTACTCAACAAAGAAGGTCGATTAGCGAGAATGAGTGCATGGGCGTATGCCAAACTCAAAACAGTACTCTGGCGCTGATAAATAGAAATCAACATCGAGGGATCGACCTTTGAAGGATTGAGAAATGCTGGCAGCGATGTCTTCCAAGCCTTCAGCTCACCAGTCCACCGTTCGGCAGACTGTTGCCATGCCCCTTCGTCAATGCGATTTGTCGGGTAGAGATCACTGGATATGCCTCCGATAATCTTTGCAAGCCTGTAATTATGGTCAATGATTAAGTACCTAAGCTTCATGCTCAGTCACAAGTTAGGGATTAGAACGGACCTTGCGTGAAAGATTGGGCCATCGTCGACGGAATGGACGTGTTTCGACTTTTGCCCACTCTTGTGACCAGAATCAGAACAAATTCCAGACCGCTCCGGTAGAGGTTGGTCAATATCCTCGTCTCTGAAGATCCTCGGACGCCCTAAGATTACGCTCAAGTATCGATCAAGAGTGTACGCGCTCCAGAAAACTCTCTTCCGGTATTCAAGAAGAACGCTGAGCTGGTTCGGGGCTGATGGCTGATACAATTGGCGCCTGTGAAGCCCAAGAGCGATGATCAACTGTGCCGTTGTCCCAAAAATATACCAAGCACGATTTACTCGAGAGGATGCTAGAAGGTATATACACTGAGACAATCTTGCCTGCACAGCCTCCAGCGTGACTTTTCCAGTCTCATTGGTCAACAGTCGCTCGGCAGCTGCATAGTATATACTGCTGCAAGTAGATGAGCCATCATGAGCTATGATAGTTAGGGGAGTGAATGAGCTACCTATTTTCCAGATCTCTTTCTAGATCATCGCCATTGTAGAGTTTTGCAGTCGCAAGTATCAAAATAATCAAAGCTTGTCTTGCTTTGGAGACTGGAACTACCCCGCTATTTTCGTTTTCCAATGAGCTGTGTATACTTTGGAGCCACGTCTCGACAGTCTCTCGATGCAGGAATCTGTAAGTCGGCATAGCAAAGTCAAAGTACTGTTGCAGCAAGTACATCGACTCATCTTTACTCGGGAAATTGAAGTCGGCTTGCTGCTCTGGAACCCAACCATCACCGTAAGAGAATATGGAGGTCTGCGAGGATTGCTCAGCATTGCTGGAGCGTGATTCGATAAAATCTTGCTGTAACCTTTTCTGCGATCGGGCTAAGAATGCAATACCAGAAGTTGGTCCAATATAGTCATTCTCTAATCTGCTCTCATCGACTCCTTGCCAGCTGTGTTCTGGGTTTCGTTGCTCTGAAGCCGGAAGAGAAGGAACACGCTCATGTCCGTTATCAACATTGCCTCGAAGCTGATCTCGTGACTGATTGTCTGGACTCGGGAACGCGGTGACTCTGCTCGCACTTGGACTCGTGATTTGAGATCCAGGCTGGGGAGGAGCAGGTTTCCCTCGTCGATGTTCGGCATTGTATTGGCATCGGAGGTTGTGGGAAATACAGCGGGGACATGGTTGAGTGCCTGCACATCGTAATTTCTTCCTGTGACAATGTTACCCCTACCTAATTCGGACATTCAGTCGTCCTCCGTCAAACAAGCAAACGAAACTTTCGGATATAGGAAATATCATACTCTTTGCACGTATCACAGGCTCTACTGACTTTCTTGCGCTCATAATTTCTTGGCCTAGATACTCGTGTTCTCTTCGTCGTTGTACCAACAGGTTCATCCAGTTGTCCATTACCCCGGACTTGCCCGATTCCTGAGACAGGCGAAGCAGAAGCAGACAATTCCATCATGCGGATGAGGAGTGGTTAGGGGCTGTGGGGACTCCAGATTTGCAACTCGGAAACAAAACATAAGGCTGTGGGGAAAGCTGGTTCATACAAGTACGGTTTGATTGTAACAAAGAGGCACCCGAGAAGTTAGGTACTGACTGTGTGAATGATTTCATCGGAAATGGGTCGAACAAATGGAATGTGGTTCTCCGACTTGATGCTTTGAAAGGAGGTTGGACTTGCCAATGCGAGGTTGTCGGAAATGGGATTTTGCTCGGAAACCATGTCGGAAACGAGACGTTGCGCATCCCTTGATGGGATAAATCTTCACCCACAGCATATCGGCAACGATATGCAGGACATTACTTTTGAGATGCAGTAAAATTATGTACATTCGGATCAAGGTTGAAAGAAATAGTGGAGTAGGAAGCTATATGAAGTAGTGTCTCCCCTCGCAAATCTGCCTTATCATGCTGCTGATCGACTAGATCCAGTCGGAATAATCTACAAAAGTACTATCAAAATGGCACTCAACAGGACCTTCACACTCAATACATCGGCGAAGATACCAGCTGTCGGTTTCGGAACATGGCAAGCTGCGCCAAAAGAGGTGGAAAAGGCTGTTGAGGTGGCTCTACGGACGGGATATCGACACATCGATTGTGCTGCAATATACAGAAATGAGCAGGAAGTCGGAAATGGCATCAAAAACAGCGGAGTCCAGAGAAATGACATCTTCATCACGGGTAAGCTGTGGAATACGAAGCATCGGCCTGAAGATGTAGAAAGCGCTTTGGACAAGACACTTGGGGACCTGGGAGTCGACTATGTTGATTTGTACTTGATGCATTGGCCTTGGTAAGTTTTGATAGTGGAATATAACAAAGATGCTTCATACTTATTATCTCATAGTGCATTCAAGCCTGGCGACAAATTCTTCCCTCTGGATAGCAATGGTGTCTTCCAACTCGACGATGTCGATGCATCAGTAACATGGAAAGCAATGGAGGCTCTCCTCAAGACCGGCAAAACTCGTGCCATCGGTGTGTCCAATTTTAACATTCGTCGCTTGGAATCTCTGTTATCTACGGCAACTGTTGTTCCAGCTGTAAATCAAATCGAGATCCATCCATACCTGCAACAGCCAGATCTCTTCTCATTCTGCAAGCAGCACGGAATCGTCCTCACAGCGTACTCGCCTTTGGGAAATAATCAAACAGGCGAGCCACGGACTGTTGATGATTCAAAAGTGCACGAAGTTGCGAAGAAATTGGGGAAGGATCCCGGTCAGGTGCTTGTGAGCTGGGGAGTTCAGAGAGGTCATGTGGTTCTACCAAAGAGCGTCACGCCGTCGAGGATTGAGAGCAATTTTCAGGATTTTGTCATTCCGGAAGAACAGATGCAGGAATTGGCTGCTCTGGAGAGACACAAGAGGTTCAATTTCCCTGCAAGATGGGGATTTGACATTTTTGATGAGGCGGGTGAGGACTTTGTGAAGAAGGCGGCTTTGGATGCAGCGGAGGAGAATAAGACCAAGTTCACTGTGTGAGTGGAAGAGTGTAATATTTTCTCATCTTGAATTGCTCTGTAGACTCTGTTGAGATCTTACAAAATTCGATAGATGGCACTGTGCATGATGTGGAGGGGTGCCCGTGATACTGGTTGATATGGATTCCACGTCAAAACAGATTCATATAATTCAAGGCGTTGATCTTCGGACAAAATTGCCATGAAGCAGTGTGGTTTGCATCTTTTGAATAAATAAGATAGAATCCCGATGATGTAGTGCTCTTATTCGTGCCACTGGGGGTTTTGCGGAAGGGATCTCTACCTAAAAAATGTCTCGCTGCATAAACCAAGGGTGCCTGCCTCCCATCTCCTCCTGCCTCTTAATGTACAGTGCCCTTCATCCATTGATGTAGCCCCTAGTAAGAAATGCCCTTTAATGGATGTTCTAGTAATGAATGAAAATAGTTCGCTCCTATTCTTAATTCTCATACCTTCTCTTCAGCAATCTCTGAAAATAGGGTCATCACAACTGCTGCAATGCCTCCGATGTCAATCTGAATTACCAACTAGCAGGTCCAAAAGTACCACCTTCCGGAACCGTCTTGCGTACTGCGGTGTACGATGCATCCTATTTGATCGTGTCAGCCATTCCTTGTCCAGTCCCCGATCTTCTCACCTCCAGAGCCTCTGCTCGCCACCGTTGCAAAGTCACATTTGGGGAAAGCAAAAAGGAAACTTACAACGGTGTTGTAGATATCTACATTACCCCACCACTGCGGAATATCCACACCAGGTAACGTGATGGCGAAGAAAATAATAATAGTTGCGATCACAAGACCGGAGTCCAAACCGGCAGCCGTGATGTAGTTATACGTGTGCCACCACCCTGGATAACGAGATCGGATGCTGTAGTTGAATAACAGGCCGAAGAAGACCCAAGTTGAAAAGGAAAGGGGCGTTGCTCTATTTTGGAAGAATTGAGTTAGCAAACTTCCATGCTCTGGAGTGTTGAGGTAGAGATGAGTGAAGACTTACGGCGGAAGCCACGCCATGGCCCCCAGCATGACAGGTGCATTGAGCATCCTCAAAGGCGTACGTGGGAAGCTTCTTACGATAACGTAGAAGAGAACTGGTAACAGAGCACCGAGCAACCAGTACCACTGGATGGCACGGTAAATACTTCCAGGTCCGAACATGCGCTGTGGGCCGATGACACCTATTCAAAATCAGCATCATGCCTATTTGTGAAAGTAAGACCTGGCATATGAAGCCAATACCATACCCCAAACAATGCTAGAAGAAAAGAATGTCTTTCCGTTTGGACAGGTGAAGTGCGCCGCTTGCGTTCTGAACCACGTCAGTCTTGAGCTCCAATATTTGCAAGGAACGAGAGGAGGGGAGGATTGGGGATCTCTCACGGTGTGCAAACGCCGTCAATCGCGCCCAATGTCCAGTTCATGACAGCTATTTGTACAAAGCAAGCCCATATTGAGGCGACAATCTGGCACCAGAAGACCGTTTTTGGTGGGATTTTCATATAATGAGCAAGCTTGGTGGGTCAGTCGAGCTCGGCAGAATTCAGAAGAGGAGAGACTGACTTTGAGATCGCCGCAGTAGGTCTGACTGTTTACTTGTCAACTTGGGGCCGTGGCATCGGAGACGGAAGACTTACGCTTGACCAAGAGTAATGGTGCTGTACACTTTGAATAGCATAACACCGATCTTGAATTCGTTAGAATAAGCCATCTAGAAGATATGCGATACCTACAGGTTCCCCTGGAATCATGAAGCCAGCTAGAAATGGTGACAGAACGTTGAGTGATAGCATGATGTTCGTCGTGGCCAGAAGCATACAAGTCGGTATCTTTGATCAAGGTTAGCGTCTCTACCCAACCTCTTCCCAGAGCCCACTCACGATGAAAGCCAGCGCCAATATGTTTGATACGAAGAATGCCCACCCTAACAGATTAAAGTCAGTCCACACTTCACTGTCCCACTCGGGTGGAACCGTCAACTCACAAGGTAGCTGTGAATCAAAGCACAACACAGTCGCCAATCCCAACCCCATCGAAATCGCAAACAGCGCACCATACCACCAATCCGGAGCCTCATTATACTTCTTCATTAGAGTCATATGAATATCTGGCTCTTGGTTTCTCGCGGCCTTGAATCTATACCAAATCTCCTTCCCATGGAACATCGCCGTATGCACGATCGCTGCCAGCAAAGCTGCGAAGCTCAAACCATAATTCAGCGCAAATGTCGGTGCTAGGAACATAGGACTGTATGCTTTGTAGGCTGTGAGATTGAACTTATAGTCTTGAGTTAGAATGCGCGATACGTTGTAGGCAGACTGGGTGTTGTCATAGGTGGAGGATGTGGACATGGGAAGGTAGTCGGAGTAGAAGGCGTTCGTGTAGGAAATGCCGATTGCGGAGATTATGACGAAGATTATGAGGCCGATTAGGGTGTTGAAGAGAGCGTGAACGGGAGCGAGAAGAGGATCGAGGAGGTAAGCTGATACGTAGCTATGAGGTGATGAGTGACGGGATCTGTAATCTTTTGATGGGGTACGTACGTCCAATCGAATGTGATTGGAATCAGTGAAAGCCCTGTGAAGCCACCAAACAGCTGGTTAAGTACCACACTATTCGGTTTGATCCCTGTAACAGTTTTCAGCTATTCAAAGCCCATTTTAGTAAGAGTATCTGATATGCAGGAGACTTACAAGTGATGAAAGCGAAGACAGATAACCCCTGCCACAACACACCAGGCACCCAGTACCAAACAAATGATCCTATCGTAACATACAAGAAGAATCTATAGGTCGAGATTTTCCATCCATTGGTGTGAGTCTGGTCGGGCTTGCTTTTGTCATGCAGAGCGTAGAAGAGTGAAGTATTTGAGAATTGGCCAGGCCACATCATTGCTGACGGCCTGGAATCAGTGTAAGCGAGTCTTCCCCAAAAACAAATTGAAAGAACAGGGTGTGAGGACTGACCAGACCAGAAAGCGGCGAAAGAGACCAGCGAGAGAAATTCCAATCAATTGACTGCTCAAGGTGAAGAGGAGTTGAAACCCCCAGCCCATGTCGATGTTGTATAATGCTGTGGTGGATTAGCGAACGAACGGTCTTTGCAGAAGGGAGCGTGATCTGACTTACGCTTTGCGGCGAGAGCGAGGAGCGCATCTGTCGCATATGCGTATCCAATTGATACGCTGTAATAGTGACATATGTTAGTAACTTTCATTTCATTCTTCAGCTCTATTATCGGAATAAGTCGCTTACTTGGACATCAACTAAAAGAAGGTTAGCAATGTCGGCATCCAGGCTTCTGGCTGTTCCCACTTACTGTAATCACAACATGCTCCTTGATCGTGAAAGGCCCGGTGTTGAAAGTCCACTTTATTCCGAAAGTATGGAAGACTTTCATAGGAACAACGCGAGCCCAAAGGCAGCCAATTGGATAGACAAGTCTATAGACAATATTAGCTCAGGTTCCAATGCTTCACACCAGTGAACTTACAATTGCACCACAATGGAAGGGAAATTAATCGCCGGGTTTCTGTGTCTTGTCAGTCCAATCGGCTTCTTCCAGTCTTGGTAATAGGATGTACAGACCTCATGCTCAGAAACATATTCAACCCACTCCCCAACGTCACAAATATCATCCCCAAAATCCACGCCCTCACCGTATTCGCGACCTCCCCACCATCCGTCATCCTCACGGCAGCTCTAACCTCCTCATACGGCGAGTCCTCCGCGAAGGTAACTTCCACCTCATGAATCTTCTCAGCATCGTGTGTTCGGGCCGCTGAGTTGAGGGCATCGAGTGTTGATTGAGGGAGGTTGGGATCCCATTGGTGCGACGCTTGAAAGGCGGGGAGGTCGTCTACTGGGGGTTTGGCTGCTGCAGAAGATTTTATGGAAGAGGATTTCTTTGTATCGATGTTTTGCGCCGGATGCTTCTCATCTTGCGCGGAGGTTTGAGAGCTACTGGATAGAACCTCTATTGCCTCGCTGGCTGTATTGTCAGGGGACGATGGCCATGGGGCTCGAAATCTTGTCATGTTGCTTTTCTTGTGTGCGTAAAATCGAGGAGTCTGAGAAGCAGTTGACTGTATCAAGTAGAATAGATAGAAGGAAGCACTCGAGATTGAGTGGCATTATGGGAATGGGGGATCGTTTCCAATATGCTCTCGATGGCAACTCCGAGCTCCATCTCCTGTTATCAGGAAAGTGGGATTCCAGGGACAAGGAAGGTAACGTGGTACTGCATACCTGCAGGTTTGTACGCAGATATACAGATACCCCGAGGTCCGTACAATTGACAAACTCTCTCCTCAGATACCTGCCCTTTCAAATCCCAGAGATACGGTATCCCACCAGTAGCAATGGACATTTCGTCCACTTGTCGGAATCCGAAAAACTTTCAAACGAACTCTGTACCGAATCTTTTAAGTGACAAACAACACACAACGCCGCGTCCGTAAGTTGGGAAGAGAGCTGCCGAGCCCAAGTTGCCGATAAGCATTCGTGACTTTGAAGCTTGATAGAGGAGGACAGCGGGGCGATAGGAAAAAGGGGGAAGGTTCAGTAAGCGAACGAATCAAGCTTCAGGGAAGAGCATCCCCGTCGCCCTCATGGCCAGCGGTTCCCCGCAATGCACTATGACCTGCCACATGAGGCCTCGCTCGGCATCTGACTGACAACGTATCTGCGTCTCGCGTTACATTGTATTTTGGATCTCGGAATCCCACTCTCGTGAGTATTAGACGTGCTGATTCCGAGGGTGTTGTGAACTGGGGTTCGACTGAACCGTGATTGGTAAGCAGTCTGTTTGTTCCCCAACTTCTAGGAACCAGCGGTGTGGTCTTCTTGATTTGTTCACGAGACTTCGCCTTCCTGTCAACTCGTCATGCGTCAAAAACAGAAAGTCGAGACCATCCGAAAGGATCTCGAGAATTTCGAGCTCAATCCCAGCTCTTCCAACAGAGAAACTTACACCTCAAAAAAGCAAAATGGACAAAATAAGCAAGAGAGTGAGGAGGAGCAAGAGCAAGAAGACATGCCCCAGCGCATCTCTCGTATCCGCGCTGACCTCAATGATCTTACCCAAGTCCATAACATCTCGATCTCACCTCTCCGCTATGACCGCCTCCATGAATACTACACCACCGAGCTTTCCCTACTATCAAAAACGAACTTCAAAGGGTTAGATCGGCAAAGTAAGGTCGATTACCTTCTTCTAAAGAATTTACTGAGCAAGGGACTGAGACAGTTGGATTTTGAGAAGGAGCGAGATAAGGGCATGAAGCTGTTGTTAGGGAAGTGGGCGGGAGTTTTGGTAGGATTTTGTGAGGAGAGACAGGCTGTGAGGAGGGTGGAGGGAGAGAACGCTGCGAGAGGGGTTTGGGAAGCTGGGAAGGAGATTGATGGATTGAAGGAAGATGTGGTTGCTGGGAGGATCAATAGTGGGAGTGGCAAGGGTAGTGAGACTTCGAAATCGAGTGCGTATCGTGCTGCAAATACGATTCAGAAACTACGGGAGCATCTGAGAGAATGGTTTGCGTTTTACAAAGGGTATGATCCGTTGTTCACGTGGTGGGTGAAAGAACCATACGGGAGGCTTGATAAGGTAATGGATGAGTACGCCAAGGTAATCAGAGAAGTTGTTGTGGGAATCAAACCTGGCGATACCGACGCTATTGTCGGAGAGCCCATTGGACGCGAAGGACTCCTAGCTGATCTAAAAGCTGAGATGATTCCTTACAGTCCTGAAGAACTCATCAGCATCGGCGAGAAAGAGTACACATGGTGCTTGAAAGAGATGAAGAAAGCCGCCTCAGAACTCGGCTACGAGAACTGGAAAGGCGCCCTCGAGTACGTCAAAACACTCTACGTGCCTCCAGGTGAACAAACACAGCTTGTTCGTTTCCTCGCCGAAGAAGCAATCGAATACGTCAAGAAGAACGATCTTGTCACCGTCCCGAGAGTAGCGGAGGAGAGCTGGCGGATGTTCATGATGAGTCCGCAGGATCAGAAAGTCAACCCTTTCTTCCTAGGCGGCGACGATATTATCGTTTCGTACCCCGATGATTCGATGGGCCACGAGGAGAAAATGATGAGCATGCGCGGGAATAACATACATTTCTCGCGCTCGACTGTCTTCCATGAGATGATTCCTGGGCACCACCTACAATTCCACATGATCGCGCGGTATAAAGCATATCGTCAGATATTCGATACAGCATTCTGGATGGAAGGGTGGGCGTTGTATTGGGAGATGATTTTGTGGGACAAGAAGTTTCCAAAGACGCCTGAGAATAGGATTGGCATGTTGTTCTGGCGTATGCATCGCTGCGCGAGGATCATTTTTTCGGTGAAATTCCATTTGGGGCTTATGACACCCCAGGAATGTATTGATATGCTGGTGGATATGGTGGGACATGAGAGGGAGAATGCGGAGGGCGAGGTTAGGAGGAGCTTTAATGGGGATTATACGCCATTGTACCAGGCGGGGTACATGCTGGGTGCATTGCAGTTGTATTCGTTAAGGGAGGATGTGCTAGGTGGAAGAGTGTTGACGGAGAAGCAGTTTCATGATAGGGTTATGAGGGAAAACGAGATGCCAATTGAGATGTTGAGGGCGTTAATAAAGAGGCAGGATTTGAAAGAGGACTTTGAGACATCTTGGAGGTTTTACAGGGAGCATTAATGCACTGGTCACGATGAGTAGTAGGGAAGAAGAAAAGTACCATCCGTCTAACAATATGCTCTCCAGTACCGACTAAGCCAAATATAACGGACAGCAGTCGGAAGTTGTATTTCGTTTCACTCTACTAACAACTGGGAACCAAAACAATGGAGCGCTGACACCGGCTAAGCGAGACCGAGGAGGGGGAACATTTGTATGGTAAGAATTCTGTCGTCGCTAGTCTAGCATCGCCGCAAAGAAGAGCTTTACATCATAGTAAGTATTCATAAGATACCTTGATGTTATCTCACGGGCAGATGGAAATTGCCGTACAGTAATTAGAATTTAGAGAATTGATGCCCAACTCGTTTGCCAAGATCTACCCCTCCCAAAGTCATCGAGACGTTGACTGCCCGAGATCGACAATTCAATTGTACAGAGGCTGCGACAACATCCTTCTCCTTCTCAGCAAAGACATTCCCAAAGACTGCCTCTTGATTCCTCTTCGAGCCGAACATTGACTTCGGCAAAACGTCGACAATGACAGTAGCGTGAAGCACCAGCTGCAAATCATGCCGGGATGCAAGCAATCATTCGCAAAAGATTTCTCATGCATATGCCACTTCACAAGCATACTTTCTTGCAAGCCAATATGGGCACGCAGCCGATGGGATGTCTCGGATGAGTTGCATTGAATAAAAGTCTATCATATGCAATGCAGCCTGCAAAGCCATCGCTGTACCCCTCACTTCAAAAAATACAGCATCGCATGAACAAACACGGAAAATTAGCGAATAGAAACTCCTTCGGCATCTCCTTACTCTCACTAACAACGAACAGGAAAGGGCAGCTCCGGCTCGGGTCTGCGACCTCGCCGTTGAACTGTTCACGCCGTCTTGACCTTAATGATGGGCTGGATGGCATCAATGGAAGACGTCGTGATCGACATCTTAACTGTAGCTTTCGGTAGTGGGGTTGCTTGGGTTGCTTTTGAGTTGCCGAGGCTTCCTGGATGGATTGATTGGGCATCAGACCTTCTGACGTGAGGCTGACAGGTCCCAAGAGCCCCCAAGAGCGGTGGTTGGGTGGTATGCTGATACCTAGCTGGGGTGTTGATAAGATTACCGTAGCTTGAGATATATTTATTGTGACATTTGAGAGTTGATGAGAGGAGATATATCGGAAAGTAAAGAGGGGAAAGAGTGAACTCGGAAAGAGGTCAAGCCTAAATCATTGATGCCCATTTTCAACAGTCAACGCCCAAAACACCAGAACCCGGTACATTCGATAACGTCCCGTCCGCCTCCTTTGAAGCTAATGCAGGAGAACACACGCAGTTCTGAATCCCCCAATGACGCCGTCCAGCACCGTTCCAGACGGTAGGGTATCTGAAACAGGCAGTCGGGAGGCTGCTCACGATGATTAATTTTCGGATGAAGACGAGGAGTCAAGTGCCGCTGGGCATTAGTCCGTCACTTTCTGCTCGGTGATGTGAGGACTATTGGATAGAGCCACATGGCCAATGATGTCGGACCTGGAATGACAGATTCCCACGAAAATTCCAACAATAGCAAGAATCCAGATACCACCAGAAGCCACTACGGTAAGAACAAAAAGTAAGGTGAGGGGCAAGGCAGGTGATAGGGCGAATAGTCGTATCAGCTATCAATTTGGAAGCAATATTGCTTTGCCCTACTTTGTACGAGGCACGAACGCACAAAAGCAAGACATTTCTTCGTATTTTGGTCTGTGTGTCCAGATATCCTTTCTCTTCTTTTCCCTCCTCTTCTCCCTTTTTTGCTCGTTCCTTTTCTCCGCCTTTCTCCCGCTCGACAAAGCCATTGTTCTGAAGGCATAAACATCATCATCATCGAATAAAAGTGCGTTTCAGGACGAGACCAGCCAAACCCCCACCAGATCCCCAACCCCTTCTCTCTTCTCTCCCATATCATATCATATATATCCACCCCTCTGGCCCACAAGAAAGGAACATCGCCAATTCGAAGCAATACCAAGTCCTTGATCCACAAAAGCCAGAGCCCTGCGGGTCGAACTTGCCTCCTTTCGCTCAACTGAAGGGGCCCTTCCGAACTCACGGACCTCGAGCAATCCAGCCCCTTGGCTTTTTGAGGATCATCCCTGGACTGCATACTTATACCAACTGACCGACGACCATATATTTGCGCCGCTATCGCAATTCAACTGAACGACATACGAAACCCTCCCCTCGCCCGGGACCGTCAACAAACACCCTCAACCGAACACTTGTTTCGATCGCCGTGACTTTGTTTTGCCCCAGAGAATTTAAAGTGTGTGCAGAGCGACAGGATACTTACCGCACGCGACTGGACTGACCGACTTGATAAGACTGGTGCAGGGATTGAGGTCAGGCACTGCACCGCACCCACCACATCGCAACACAGACAAAAGGGGCGAGGAAAGGGTGTAAGATAGGAGATCAGGAGGCATTGGAAAAAAGATTACGAGTGACGATCGGGAGAGGAACGAGAACCCGAACGGCACAGAAGGCGAAGGAAGCAATACTGTGAGGCAGGCGAGACAACGCGAGCCCGAGGAGGCACAAAGCCCATCACATTCTCATCACACTCTCCGACGGCGCGTTGACGCCTCCAGCGATCCTTCAACTTTCATAAGAGCCTAAATTCAGGAGCGATTCTTCAACCTGCGGTGTATAAGCATTACTATCCACAGACTTTCCACTGCCAACACCCCTCGACGACTCCACAACACGAACAGCTCGACAAATACTACACATAATGTCGACCTCCTCAGCAGACTACCCGCACCGCATAACAATCACCATCTGCGGCGACGGTGGCTGCGGTAAATCCTCCATAACTCTCCGCCTCGTCCGATCACAATGGACGCACGAATACGACCCCACAATCGAAGACTCCTACACGCTGACGCGCAAAGTTGACGGCCAGACCTATCACCTCTCTCTAACCGACACCGCCGGCCAAGAAGAATACCGCGGAATGTGGGCATCCTCGAACTTACGCTCCGACGCCTTCCTCCTCGTCTACGACATCACGAATATGAACTCACTCGGCGTATTGCAGGAGTTCAACGATCTGATTGATATTGAGGCTGAGACGAGGATAGATGCTTGGGAACGAGATCGATATCAGTCTTCGTCCAAAAAGAAGAAGGGTAGCGCTCAGGATATGAGTGGTGGACCTGTCAAGCCGATTAAGATCGTTGCGGGCAATAAATGCGATTTGCAGGAATCTAGACAGGTTCCTGCGCAAGTTGGGCTGGAATGGGCGCGCAAGCATGGATGTGGATTCATGGAGACGAGCGCGAGGAATACGGTGAATATCGAGGAGACTTTCGCGCTTATCATCAGGAGAGTGGTTGAGGCGAGGAGGTTGGCGCAGGGCAGTGGTGGGTTGACGGTTGATGTTGCACCGAGGAGGGAGGAGAGTTTGGGAAGCAATGCTGCGCTGGGAACGAGGAGGGCGGTTACGGCACCGCTAAGTCCGTTACCTGGTGGTCCGGAGAAGGTGTTGAGTCTGGAGGCGAATGAGAAGAGTGGTGCTTCGCGATGGAAGGGCTTTTGGAGGAAGTTTGCCTGTTGGAAGAGGTGATGAACCATTACTCCTTGGCCCGGCAATATCTCGAGACGAAAAGAGCGGCACGGTGCTGTTTGATCTGATTGACGAAGAAAGAGAGAAGAATAGCTGTATACCCTGAGTATGGAAGAGACTGGTGCGCCGGCACGTTGGGGATGGTTTCACATGTATATAATTATCACTGTTGCCTTGCTGGCCCATGGCAGCTGGTAAATGTGGGAATATGGTATGAGGTGGCCGGATGGGCATTGGGAGGGCATGGGTCAAGATGAGGAGAGAAGAGGAAGGGAGACATGGTATGACTTGATACGATACGATATGATATCCAGATTATGACAAGATTATGGGCAACAAGGAGGATAAGCAGCTTAGGACAAAGAGATGTATCGATAATAAATGGGATGGTCGCTAGGCTCTTAGGCTGATAGACAGTCATGGGATACATGGGAACGAGAAAGGGATTCTGGTGATTAAGTAGAGAAGAGATAGCAAGAGCTCGGAACTCAAATGGGAATGAAATGATATCACGGCCGCCTACTATCTTGCTGTAATGGTTAAGTGATGTTGTCGCATATAGCAGCACGGGTTCTTCTACTTGGAACATGCGACGATTTTCCGTTCTGCAAATTCAAATACCAACATAGCGTGAAGTGCAATGAAAGTCGTCTTGTCCGGTTGATCTGTTGATCAATCTGAGGAGCGTATAGGAATACAATTGTACCAGCAGATCGATGTTAGCAAAGGTTGAATTAAGATACCTTTGTGAAGTTCAACAACACTCGGATGTGTTGAGCTCTCGATTGAGTTCTGCTGTCTATCTTGAATTATTATTCTGCTGTGCTGCGAAGACTTTTTGGGCTGTTCATTGGAGCCGAGAACCTTGATGTTGATGTTTTGGTCAAGTAAGCGAAGCGGACCCACTTTTGGCATGAGCGGATTCAAAGAGCCTTATCAACGTATTGAGAGTTCTTCTTTAATTGTAAAGATAAATATTACACTAGGATTATCTGTATATACCAAGCCCCTTGTCGATTCAATGCCGTGAAACCCGGTCTCAAAGTGTGAACTCTCCCCTGATACCAAGCCTCACACAGATCGGGCTTCACGAAGTACAGCGCCATGACTGCGCCCACGATGAGAGATGTAGGGCATCAAATATTTAGTATTACGATGGTAAATTAACGCAATGAACAGGGTAATCATGCATCGGTCCCGGGAACTTAGGCGTTTTTAAAGGACGTGTAGACGATCCCGGATGTGGCAGCAATGGATGAGTGAGCTTATGTAATCGCAAAATATTTTATGTCTCTCTTCATGACAAGCAGATAATATAATCACGTCTAGCCTTATCACATGCCAGGCGCAACATAAGGTCTCGTCCCCTCCGTACAGATCAAAATCACAATACTCTCCTCATCCAACCCCAACACTCCCTTCATCTTCTCATTCCGTTCCCCATTTACAGTCTCAAGCACTGCTCTCAACCCCGCCAAACCAGCAACGCCACATGGCCCAGCCATTACTCCATACCCTTCCAACTCTCGCAATGCACAATGCACCTCCCCATCCCCAACAGTAACACTAGCATCAACACCATCTCTCAGAATCGGCCATGCAGCAGTAGAGATAGTGCCGCATTCAAGACCGGTCATGATCGTTGATGTGGTAGTCACAGTAACGGAGGTACCGGCTTGAAGGCTGGTGTGGAGAGAGGCAGCGGCGTGGGGCTCAACTGTTAGGACTGCTGTTTGGTTTGGAGCTGGAGCTTGGAGTGAGTTTGAGTGTGTTAAACATGAGGCTGGAAGTTTGGGGGCCTTGTAGTGCGTTACGATTGCTTGAGCAAGAGATCCTACGCCTACGGGTGCTACGACGAGACTTGGAACCCGACCTTCGAGTTGGGAGTCGATTTCGTATAGCATGGTCCGGTAGCCTTGAACTGTCCACTACTCAGGTGTCAATTGCGTACAACAAAATCAAAAAATATGTAATTGCAAAGGGTGGAAGTGAAAGATACATATTATATACCTTCGGCACGTCCTCGTACCCCTCAAAAGCTGTCCCCTCAATCAACATTCCCCCTTTATTCTCCTCCCCCCAGCAATGAGCAACCTTAACGCTGTCATCATAGCATACCTCCACAACCCTCACGTCCACACATTCTCCTTCCCCCGCAATACTCCTCACAATACTCTCACCCAGACCTTTCGTCACGAATATCTTCACTTCCTTCACACCAAGCAATACTCCCATCCTCGCTACCGCACGCCCATGATTCCCGTCCGTCGCAGCACATAGTTTGATACCCTGCTGCGTGACAGCAGTGCGGAGATCGTCTAGAGAAGCGGAGGATGGGAGACAAGCTCTCTGGATAATGGCTTGGCGGATGGCCCAAGAGACGCCGAGAAGTTTGAAAGAAGGGAGTCCGAGGCGAGATGTCTCGGCTTTGACATAGACGCTTTTGAGGCCGAGTTCTTTGGTGATGGCGGGCAGAGGAATAAGTGATGTGGGTGCGAAGTTGGGGAGACTGTTGTAAAAGGCTGTGATATCTAATGCATTTGAAGGAGGGGAACTGGATGCCCAGGTGCGGGCCGATGGGTTGGTGTAGAACTGATTGATTGGGGAGGCTGCCATGTTGAATGTTGTATTGCTTGTTCGGAGTCTGAGATTTGTAGGCTGTATCAAGGAGCCAGAAAATCGTTAGAGGTTGGAATAGAGTTTTGGGGCGACCCTGAAATTGTAGAACAACGGCTTTTCAACTGGTGCGGGATGGAGGCCCCATGACCAATTTGGTTGGGAGGCTCTCTGCAAGTCAGATCAGCTGTAATAATGCGTGGGGGTCATACCGAACGTAACCGCATGTTAACCAAATGTAAGTTGATTTGTGAGATATTAGCTGGAAGATTTCAGATAATTGTTCATAAAAGTAGCAAACTTATTTTCTTCTTACTCATCAGTGAAACTAGACATTGCAAAGTCCAAAATCAACGCTGAGAGGAACTTGTCGAGTACGTCCAAGCCCATTCATCCTCGGCGTCAGCGCCAAAATATTGAGCTTCCAAGCTTATTGAAAAAGAAATTCGGTGCAGAATAAGAATGGAAAGACCAGTCGCTATCCCATGTATTGATGTAGTATTGGTCTGTGCTGACCTGTACCCCGCATCGCTTGGTTTGTTTACTTTCCTGTCACGAACCTCCAATCTTAGCATATTCGATTCAAAGTTGACCGTTCGGACCGATACATCGCAGGTCGTCAAAAATAAGCTTCAATTATTGGAATTCGCTCGGGTGGTCCAGTAATCAGGTGACTTTAGCGCAAGATCTGTCGTTAACTCGTTGATATCGAAGTTGTCGTAAGTCCATCATACCACGATCTTAGCGCCAAATAATAAGTTGATACCAGGAGTAGTTCAGGTTTCTATCCCATGATCATTATCTCCGACTGCGACGACTCCTCCTGTCACTGCTTGAACTTGAACTTCTTTGTCTCCTCCGACTCATCGTACTACCACTGCCGTACGACATGCTTCTTCTTGATGAGTGCGTCCGTCGCGAATCCCCGTCACAAAGTCCAATAAACCAGGCCGGAATTGTTGCGAGCCATATCAAGAACTTCTTCCAAATTCCTGTGGGGGCTGCCGCTGCTTGGTCCTCGTTTATTTCTGAGCTTCTCCGACTGCTTGAGTAGTAGGAGAGACTACTACTTCTCGATCCTCTCCTATTTCTGTTCCTCGACCGAAAGCCCAGTAGCGCTCCTAAGCCTATAATCCGCGAGAATCTTAGCCAAAACCCGGGTCGTCGTTTTTCTCTGCTAGAATATATCTCGCGAGTCCGTCGCCTAATTGGACTCGGCTCCTTCTTAAACCATGCCCATGGAGGCCACTTCTTTCGCTTTGCAGGCGCAGGACGCGATCCGTACCAGTATCGCTCCTCGACCACCTCTCGCGTTCTCCTGGGTGGTGTGCGACCTGCTCCAGATAAGCTTCCCCATACTCTGGCGAACAAGCTCTTCGGTGGGGTAGGACGGCTGTAGGAGTCCCGACGAGACCGCCGCCGGCGAGGTGGTGAGTACTCCTCTATCACTACCACCTCATCGTCGCTATCTGGATGGAACCAGGGGTGTCTTCGCGGAGGAGGGGGCCGCCGTGGGAAGCGTGAGCCTCTTCGAGATCGTGAACGAGATCTTTCTTCGATGACAACCACCTCTGAAGATCCATAGCGCCTCCTCCTCCCTTCTTCGACGATGATGCTACGGTCCCGACTTCTTTGGTCTCCAGATTTACGACGCAATCCAAGTACGAGCGTTAAAGCAGTCATAGCTCCCACGATGCTTGACTTCGAACGAGTGTCTCTACGACGGCCAGCAATTGTGGGACTACCCTAGCGGCTGTATCTCTCTTCCTCGATGATCGTTTCCCTGGGCCTGCGTGTTGACTCTGCGCGGCTAGTACTGAACACGATACCAAATATGAATGGCATCAGGGCGATCACCAGCAGAGCTCCAGCCGCGTATTTAAGTCCTCGCCAGGTCGCCTTGAGACATTTCACCGAGATTGTGGCAACATTGATGCGGAAAGCCAGGACAAGTGAAACTGCAACTACAGCCGCAGTGATAGGAACTATTATAACATTAGCTCGCGACAGCTAGTAGACAAAAATAGATTACAAGTGATCTCAGAGATATAGCCCAAACCAAGTTGGCCCTCGCCATTTCGCACATAATCTGCAATGTCCAGTTGAAAAAAGGTGGTCAGGAAGCTTAGTGGCAACTGGTGGGTATTAAAGATTAGCAATATCTTGGAGATTTGTCAGCGAGACTGGTTGATGCTTACGAAGAATACTGTAATGACGGTGAAAAGCATCAAAGTCTGGCCTTGTCGTGCAGTTTCTTGAGCTTGTTGTCGTTGAGATCGAGCTTCTGACACATTTGCTATTCTCTAATTATTGGCACATCCAGAAAGACGTGAGAATCAGGCTTACCCTGCTTTTGCTTCAGATCTAGTAGATCATTCAACTAGTGACCTTTCAGTAGGAGTTTACAGATGAATATCGTGTCTGTCTCACCGAAAGATAAGTCTTCTCGGCTTGTTTGTCAAGAGCTTTTACAGTCTCAATGTGTCTGCGGACGTTTCCAACCAGGCCATGTTGAGTTCGAGATGCCTGCCGAGCGTCTTTCGCGTCTTCCTCTGATTCTGCCGGTTCATGAACCTTGCCCTCTTTGATCGCTCGTATGATGGCGTCCATCTCGACCAGCACTTTTTCTTGATCAACAAGAACAGTAGAGATGATGTGCAGCTCATCCCGAATATCCTTAATCTCCTTGATCAAGTCTGTCTCTTTCGAAATGTTGAATAGCATATCAAGGTCGGCAGCGAAATGGTCGCCGGTGGCAAGCCGTTTCGATAGTTCCGTGAACTCATCAAACATCTTGGACTCCTCGTTGGTCTGTAAACTGTGAGAAAAATTGGAGCGGTGGGGCTCCTATATGACTTACCACATTCCCAATGGAGACTTCGAAAAATTCCGAGAACCGCAATTTATCATTTGCAAAATCTGGGTGCTCAAACATGGTACCGATACATTTGCTTGCAATCAATTCAGCCAGATCAAGAGTACTTTCAAGTGGCCGACGGTCTGTTCTTGCCACATGTCGTAGTACAGTCTCAACGATGTCGGAGGCGTTACTGGGGTCCGGATCACGGTCTCCTTGTTTCTTAGCTTTGTCCCAGCGCTGCGGGAAGCTCGTGACTATCGTGTCTGTTCATGTTAGATCTTTCACGGCGAGTGAGGGGCCAGAGATGCATACCGTTGTCCAAGATCCAAAGCCAAAGTTGGTCCACCATCAGAACCAGTTTGTCATCACCCGGCCAGGTCCGTTCGAAGTACCTCGTTACGACTTGGTCCTTATCACGAGCCTCCGTAGTGGGAAGGGTATAGTAATAATACTCTGGAATAGGGTGTGCGGATTAGCAGGCTGGATTTCCTTGGGAATAGGTCTTGATTTATTTGACGGGCTCCAATATGCCAGGATAACTTACGGTCCAATGTTCTTCTGAAGTGCATTGGGGCAGTCTCATGGAACATATAACTCAAAACCAATTTATCGTCTGCTGATCGACTGGTTTGCGCAAGCTCAGCGATCTTCTCAATCCGTCTTTTCCTTCTTCGCTCTTCTTCCGGCCGAGTGACAGCAGCGCTCTTCGACCGGCCAACATTTCTGGTATCTGGATCTCTTTGGCCTGCCCAATCGGCTATCCATTCCGGCTCATCTTTCATGTTGGTCTTTTCATTTTTGAACCGGCTATTTCTGCTTCTCCGTGTCCTTCGGTCACTCGAAGTTGCAGTTGATGATTCGGTGACAGTGTAGTAACTTGAGGAATCATAGTCTGTTGCAGAATCCGATGTTTCCCCTTCATCGTAATCCGGATTTCGAGCCCTTTCCAGCTCTTTCAAAGCTTGACTAAGACCCTTCAACTTTGCTGTTGATGACGGTGAGGCATCACCAATACAGCTCTTCATTGCCTCGATGATTACATTTGTCATCTTGTCTCGTGCTTTAGTAGTTTCCCACTTCGTGACAGAAAGGTTACTAATTGTTGGAGGCAGACTGTCGAATGGGGTAACATACATGAAAGTATGGTAGAACCATCATCATATTATCCTTATCAGTCTTGTCGATTGGGATCTGTTGACAGACTGGTCTGATGAACCTTCGATGTGCGACGGATGCCGAAGACATTTGGTATTGGTGCCTCGACCATATTTCTTCACCGAACAGATGTTTGCACTTTTTCTGAAAGTAGGCAGCTTTTTCAACGGGCCTGCAGTCTTTGTAGATCCGAGTGATGAGGTTCTAGAATAACAGAATTCAGTGTCAATTCTCGGATTCAGTAGAGAAGCTCTCACATTGACCCACTGCAAGAAAGTCAGCAAAATTGTAGGTCAAAACTGTAGGACAAAACTTTGGATCAAGATCTTGGTTCCCAAGACATGAATCCTAAGACATGTCTACGATCCGAGATTCTAGATTGTAAGCAAAGCATTGGGGGAAAATAACATACAACAGGATTATTGCCCGGGATATGTAGCCAACGAAAATTCTTGCCATTCGGATCTAGCCCAGCAGCTGCCTGGAGCCCAGTCTTGATCGCCTCTGGATTGTGATCGTAAAGTACGCTCTGTACAGGTGGTCGAACTATGGCGGAGTTTTCATATCTATCAAAGGAAAAGGACACAATAGTAGACTTGAACCCAAAACCCAAGTCGATCTTGCTATCCACTGGCATCAACGGAGTTGCGTCGATCTCGGATGGTGCCTGTGGTATATGTGCATCCAATGATGGGCCTTGACTGAACAACTGGCCACCCTTCTCCAACAGCAGCGCAACGACCTTCGTGCTGCTATGTGAGTTTGCAATCTCAACCGGAGTCTTGCTGGATACCGTTTCTTTTTCGCTGATATTTGCTCCTCTCTCAACAAGCAATCGCGCAACTTTCGAGCTATCATACAAAGCCGCCTCAAAAAGGGCGGACTGCAGCAGATTCTGGTGTTCAAACCCGTTTTCCGCCCACTTCTCGAGGATCAAAAGTGCAACATTGGCCTTATCATACTTCACACTTTCAAGCAAAGCTGTGCGACCGGTTGGTGAATCGTTATTGATAACACGACTGTCGATGCCCCCTTCCAATAAAACTCGAGCAGTTTCCTCGTATCCGAGTCTCGCAGGACCAAACAAGGCGGAGTTGCCAGCAACATTCAGAGTATTTACCTCAGCGTGATGCTGAATCAGCAGCTCCACGACTCGATAGTTGCCGTTCGAAGCTGCAAGAAACAAAGGCGTCTCTTCATTATTGTCACGAACTGAAACCTTGGCTCCGTTGTGTATGAGAAGTTTAACGATATCTTCACTGTCTTCCGAAGGCGGTCGGTCACAAGCTTGCATCAATGGTGTTCGGTTATTGCTGGACTTGTCGTCAACTGGTGTAGCTGCGATGCGTAAAAGGGTTTCTACCGCCGCGAGACTTTTCTTAGCAGCTAGATGTAATGGCGTGTTGCCTTTCTTGTCTTTCATCTGCACAACCGCTCCGTGATCCAAGAGGCATTTGATTGCTACCTCATCTCCACTTCGAGCGGCAAGGTGTAGTGCGGTACTGCCTGCTCCATATTGTCAGAAGTGATAAAAGGCTTTGTCATATCTAAGTTGTAGGTATAATTAATGGGACCCTAGTCCATGCAAATACTTTAAGAGTGGAACTCACCTTGCTCGTCTTTATCGTCAACACCAATTGCGGTACGATGCAGGAGAAGTTGGACGACCTCATCTCGTCCATTCAAAGATGCCAGATGCAGTGCTGTTCTTTTCCAACTGTCAGTCACTTTCCATCTGGCACCATTGTCCAGTAACAGCTGGACTATCACAGCATAGCCGCCTTCCGCTGCAAGGAGAAATGGGGTCCTTCGCCGCTGTGGCTCGACGAACTCGGTACCAGCCTCTTGCTCAAGAAGAAGAGTGGCCAAGATATCTTCATGACCAAAACGTGCGGCTTTGAGTAATGTTTCTTCGTTACTGTCTTTGATTCTACTCGTGAACTTTTTCTCCACAAATCGTGGGCGTGAATTCCCAGGCTCGTATTGCCAGGTGCCTTGCTTGCCATCGAGTAAAAGCCACTTCCTCACTGGAATTGCTGAAGGTGCAGATATAGCCGGAGTCTCAAGAGCAGCAACTGCTGCACTGGGCGGTATATCTGGTACAGAAGGGTCTTGTGGAGCAGCTTCTGGAATGGATTGGTCTACCCGAATGCTGTCGGGCTCCGCTAAGCCATGCGTCGGTGAGCCTTCTTCTGAATGACGAAGACGTGATCCTTCTTCCTGAAAAGAAGCAGTGTCCAACGGACGGTTTTCTGGCTCGGTTACAAAATCTCTTGCTGCGACATGCTCTGAGCCCGAGGCAATTGGTTGCACATTATCTGGTTGGGTTTTGCCCTCTGTCACTGTCATTGTGGATGCGTCAGAGCACGGCAATGGAAGTGTACTACCGGAGACTGAGGTTGGCGCAAGAACTACAGCGTGCGTGCAGTCAGTCACTGATACTTCGTGGAAGCGACTGAATTACAGATTTGTTGCGCGAAGTTTCCATCTACGGGTCAAGGGCAAGAAAAGCACGTAACGATAGATAGCTTCTTTGGAAAGATATCATCGGTGGGTGACAAGTGCTGGCCTGCTGGCCAACCTCGAGGCTGTGGTTTTGGCCCCCTTTGACTCGAGCTGCATCCATGCTGAGGGCGCGGGATGAGCAGCTGAACGATGCATCCACCCCGGGAAGTTGGCTGGATACCAGCCCGTCCAACAAGGGCATTGTTCTCTGATTGGTAAAGGTTTCGAGTCTCTGCTCCGTCTCTGTAAAGGATTCCTTTTTGGGCAACGCAATGGCTGCAAGTATGTCTCAAACGTTGCGCTCCGATATGCTGGCTTTCCGCTGTCAACTTGAAAATGGCTTCATGCGCCGGGAAATGATGCGTTCGTGTGAAAGTGGAAATAAACGTGATAACACAAGTATAATATTACATATTAGTTGGCTATGAAGCATTTCCTGCTTGACAGCAGCATCGTATTTCAGACAGAGATGAGGGGAAGAACCATGGCATTGGTGAGGAAAAGTGGAAGTTGAAGAGCTATTATGTATGCCTCGCCAGCAGGGAGGGAGCCCGGCTGGTGCAAGCCCAAGGTTGAGAGTTCCAATTGCGACGTGCAACAAACATGGCTGCGGATTCTCAGCCACGTGATTTTGCGATCACGCGACGACGATAAGCGTTTCTGTGTAGGTAGGTACGGAGTAGGTAGGTAGGTAAGGCAGCGCTGGAAACGGTTCTTAAATTTCATAGGTTTGTTCCCAAGAGGCTTACAATCGGGCATTATACTCGTGAGGACGTGCAGAATCCTGCTTTTGTCTATTCATTGAACCTAGTGAAGCGATCCTCAAGTTGCGTTCTGGAAGTCTTTATGCTCTCTCATTCTGGGATACTTTAATTCAGCCGTGCCCTGTTCTGGAGTTTTAATATCTGCTTTGGTCACGGCCGTGCAAGTTGCTTTAACGCCTATTCGTGAAGCGGCCGTCATACGCAATGACATCCAAGTGCCTTGCCTGGCTCTCGTTTCAATAAGTCCAATTTACTCCTCGAAAATTTGTAGTCTGAAAAGACTGCATCTGAACAGTGTGATTTCTCACCATCTAACCACTTCATCTGCGTAGATCGATGCTGGAATTACGTGCCGAATCGATACTTGGTCGGACTGAGCTGCTGGAGCTGCGCCTACGGCGTGATCTCTGATCGTTCGGGCTCAGTGGATTGAGACCTGATTGGCGAGCAAAGAGATTGAGAATGTCTGTCAATGAGATGACCCCCGTAAGGCGACCTGAGATACGGGCTCCTGGAAGTGCGGCCGCCGAAACGGCTGGGAAAGTCGTAGCAACACTTGGTGATGCTGGAGTAGATACTGCGGGAGAGGATAGAAGTGCGCTGGAAATTGAAGAGCTTGCCATGGATGGGGTTGGTAGAGGTGTTGCTGATGGAGATGGAGATGCTGCTTCCACGACCCACATTCGATGGGATCGAGTTGCAACAAGCTTGGCGACTGTATGTGCAAGTGTAGAGAAAGGAGTGACGTGGAAGACTATATTGATGTTAGACGAGAATGTGAACAAGTAACAGTATGGCTGCTTACCTGGGAACGAGTCTTTTCCATCTCCAATGCCGCGCTCGCTTAGGATCACAGAAATGAAGTGGATACAGCTTGACTTCAATAACGGCAAGCTGCTGCTGTTTGTGAGAAGTTTAACATCTGCAGTAGAAATGTTGCCAACAACATTTAATGCGTTGTCTACCACCGCGACACTTGTGAGTCCTTCATTACTCATTAGCTGGAGCGCGTCCGTCAAAGACCGGTCACCACTGGACATGTCAGCACTGTGAAATATTGCCATCCCGAGACACGTACTTTATGGAGATAGTTTGTGGAGTTCCGACACCAAGATCCCTCAGAATCACAGGGTACAAGGCGTCAATAGCAGGGAAGCTAGTTGCGTTGTCCCATAAAAACTTGACCACCTTCAACTGACTAAGTATTCCAACTACTTCCTTCGTACCGTCTTTGCAAACGAGAATTCGGTGTACGCCACTAGCAAAGTGCTCCATTGCCTTTGTCAGATCTTCCGACTCTGCTAGGGTTATGAGAGGACTCTTCTTTGCCAATGTTTGCATGTCTCGAACTGGGATTAATGCTCCTTCTCTAGCCTTCTTGGCTAGGGCGTCAAATATTTCCAATTGCTCCCCTTCTGGGCTTGCAAGGCCAACAACTACCAAAAGATACGCATTGAGGTCACTGTAGTCGAAGGTGCCGCATGCACTCGAGTCCTCGGATGTCTCACGGAGTAGGATAACGTTTGGGGGTCCGAGTTCGATTAAAAGCTTCAGAAACGTCAGGTACGGTTTCAGGTAAGGGAATGATGTCCAACCTTTGTAGCCTGCTCCACGCCATTATCTAATTGTGCCCATCTAACTTCTTCCTTGTTTACAAGCTCACCAACGCGTATTTGTCGCCAATCCCTGCCAGCAAATCTCGGGTCCGCGGACTTTGCAACTGGCGGATGGTTTAGGAGTTCCTGAACTGCGGACTGAGGGAAGGATGGATGTCGCTGAGATCTAGGTGAATGGCGCATATTCTCTGCAAAGCTGGAGCGATGGTTGATTGTTTGACCATTATGCGGGGGGCTGGCTGCCCCTCCTCCACGCTCAGGACCTGGGGATTGGGCGGGGTCTGCCATTCTTGCTGTGGTTATCCTTACGGAGGCAAGACCGATGAGAAGGAAAGTAGACTTGTGCGAATGAGATAGAGTTGTTTATCAATCGAAGACTGATGCGGCGGTGGAATTTTGAAGAAGGAAGCCAGGGAGCAATATCGCGGGGTCCAATGCACGGACCCCATTTGTTGAATCACATCTACGGTCTGTACCTACCTACAAGTTTGTATGACTTATCACAAAGATCACTGTGGCAAAATGGATTGCAGAAATCATGCTCCACGAGAAGCCGCCATTGGCATGCTAGATAGCATGAAGATCTGAGTATTGAAAATAGCTCCTGTTTTAGCGGTACGTACGGAGGTACACGGTACTAAATTACCCCCCCCCCCCCCCCCCCCCCCCCCTACCCCCCGGTTTCAGTGTCAGTCTTGTGCTGCTCAGGATACACATGCTGCATTGTGAAGTACCATAACTTGTAAGGAGTCAGATTGATCGGAACATGCGGCTTCGAGAGGTCAGATTTTCTCATTAGTCCTTTGATCATAAGGTATAAGCCTCTTAAAATTCCACCAGCAATGCGTTGACAAGATGCCAGACAATGAAAGACTATTTACTTCGAATCTTTAGCGGCATTGATTGGCGCAGGTATGTGCGCTATTCCCTACTCGGCTACTACGTTGGCTTCAGCAAGGGGAACTTGAAGAAGCCCTTTTCCTTCCTTACCTTATTTTGTTGGCGGTGGACCAGAGAGACATGGCAAATTTGGCTTATTCAATTGCTAATGACCAAGAGCGATTGGATCAATCAATAGAAGGTGCTGTACATAAAGCAGATACTTACGGTTTGCCCTGTAGCCCACGCGAATAAGTCGTTTGTCTCCTAGCGCCAAAAAGTGAAGGGCATGAACATTTTATTCGCGCCAGAACAACAAATGTTTGACCCCACTACAACCCCTCTACACACCACGTCAACAAGAATATCTTGGACTCGGTTAAACCTCTTTGTCATATAAATTTCTACATCTCTGCGGTGTGTTAGATACAAAGACTGGGAAATCGGGGCACAGCTCTATCACTCTCCACGAAAGCCGCTACACCGCGCCGACAGTGTGCAAAACAAAGGTACGACAACAGCGATCACCCAACTCCTTTGACGCTGGCAACAGCTCTCGCGCAAGCCAAGTCTTTGTTTCTGACACTCTCCAGCAACGGGCTACGAATCCACGGTTTCCGGATCGCGCACCAATTTCTATTCCACGCGAGGGGCATTGCTTCCAGATCGCACAACGCCCTCATACGCGCCACATACCTCCGACTCTTCGTATCAGAGCCCATTAAATTTCCGAACAATGTCGGTCCTCCCAGCAGACGTGCATAATGAGCTTGCGCAGCTCCTTGATGCGCTGCAATCATCCGACAATAGTGTCCGGTCTCAAGCGGAGGAGCATTTGGCCAACAACTGGACTGCCTCGAAGCCGCAAGTGCTCCTAATGGGCCTTGTTGAACAAATTCAGGGCTCCAATGACCCAACCGTGAGAACCTTCGTTCAATGCATTCCGTGAGACAACTTACTAACCTGGTGTGTTCTCCAGACCCGTTCATTTGCTTCGGTCATTTTCCGTCGTATAGCCTCCAAGGCTCGCAAGCTTCCAAATGACTCGACGGTGGAGACTTTTCTTTCTTTAGAGGCAACAGACGGATACGTTATTCGACAAAAACTCCTCGAAGCCTTGGGTACGGAAACTACAAACAGCGTCCGGAACAAGATCGGTGACGCAGTTGCGGAAATTGCCAGGGAATACTCAGATAACAGTATGTTTGTTAGAAGGATTTACACCGAGGGATGGAGACTGACACGAGGCAGAACAACAATGGCCCGAAATTCTAGGGGTTCTCTTCACACTTAGCATATCAAAGGAAGTCGGGCAACGTGAGATTGCATACAGAATCTTCTCTACCACTCCTGGTATCATTGAGAAACAACACGAGGACACGGTTCTTGCAGCCTTTACATCTGGATTCAAGGACAGCGATGCCGGAGTATGTTATCATTATAGCCTTCTGCCAACGACAGATGCTAACATCGGATAGGTTTGCCTTTCTGCCATGGAAGCTTTTGCATCTTTCTTCAGAAGCATCAACAAGAAATCGCAACAAAAGTACTACGCTCTTATTCCGGAAGTTCTTAGCATTCTTCCTCCACTTAAAGAGAAACAGGAGTCCGAAGAGTTGAGCAGAGCGATTGTGTCACTAATCGATCTCGCCGAGGTTGCACCAAAAATGTTTCGACCTCTCTTCCACAACTTGGTCCTCTTCAGCATCTCGGTTATTCAAGATAAGGAGCTTACGGACCAAGCCCGTCAAAATGCGCTTGAGTTGATGGCTACTTTTGCAGACTACGCTCCAGCAATGGTCAAGAAGGATGAGACATACACAACCGATATGATCACACAATGTCTCAGTTTGATGACAGACATTGGCGTGGATGATGACGATGCGGCAGAGTGGAACGCGTCCGACGATATGGATCCAGAGGAAAGTGACCTGAATCACATCGCAGGAGAGCAATGCATGGATCGATTGGCAAACAAGCTCGGTGGACAGACTATCCTAGCACCTACATTCAGTTGGCTTCCAAGAATGATGAATTCGGATGCATGGAGAGATAGACATGCAGCTTTGATGGCCATCTCGGCTATCTCAGAGGGCTGCAGAGACTTGATGATTGGAGAACTCAACCAGGTGTTGGAATTGGTAGTCCCTGCACTGAGAGATCCGCACTCCCGAGTTCGATGGGCCGGATGTAATGCTCTTGGGCAAATGAGCACCGACTTTGCCGGTACCATGCAAGAAAAGTACCACCAAGTCGTTGTTCCAGCTATCGTCCCAGTTCTCGATTCCCCAGAGCCTCGCGTTCAAGCTCACGCAGCTGCCGCATTGGTCAACTTCTGCGAAGAGGCCGAGAAGAACATCTTGGAGCCATATCTCGATGACCTTCTTACCCACCTCTTCCAACTGCTACAAAGTCCTAAACGCTACGTCCAGGAACAAGCTTTGTCTACCATTGCGACTATTGCCGACTCGGCAGAAGCTGCTTTCTCCAAGTATTATGATACTCTCATGCCCTTGCTGTTCAACGTTTTACAGCAGGAAAATACAAAGGAACTTCGCTTACTCCGAGCCAAAGCCATGGAATGCGCCACTCTCATCGCTCTTGCTGTTGGCAAAGAGCGACTAGGAAACGATGCCATGAACTTGGTTCAAACCTTAGCTACTATCCAGCAAGGAATTGTCGATGCCGATGATCCCCAAGCACAATATCTCATGCATTGCTGGGGTCGCATGTGCAGAGTTCTTGGCGCAGACTTCTTGCCATTCCTTCCGAGCGTTATGCCACCACTCATGGAGCTTGCTAGCGCTAAAGCTGATATCCAGCTCTTAGACGATGATGAGCAAGTCGAACAGGTCCAGCAAGAGGAGGGCTGGGAGCTTGTGCCCCTTAAGGGCAAAGTTATCGGTATCAAGACAAGCACTCTTGACGATAAGCATATGGCCATCGAATTATTGGTTGTTTACGCCCAAGTCCTCGAGGGCGCGTTTGCTCCATACGTTCCTGAGGTTATGGAGAAGATCGCATTGCCAGGTCTTGCTTTCTTTTTCCATGATCCTGTCCGTGTCGTCTCTGCTAAGTGCGTGCCACAATTGTTGAACTCGTACAAGAAAGCATTCGGCAATCCATCAAATCAGCTCAGTGGTCTTTGGAACGGCACGATTATCAAACTCCTCGAAGTTCTCAGCGCGGAGCCAGCTATTGATACTCTTGCTGAGATGTACCAATGCTTCTACGAGTCTGTTGAGGTTATGGGCAAGGATTGTCTTACTCCTCAACACATGGAAACGTTCATCGATTCGGCATTTTCAGCACTGGAAGACTACAAGGATCGTGTTGCTGCACGAGCAGAAGAGAGATTGGAAGGACAGCAGGAGGAAGGCGAAGAGGAGTCCGAAGATATAATGTTTGCCATTGAAGATGATCAAACCCTGTTGTCTGATATGAACAAGGCTTATCACTGCATCTTCAAGAATCACGGCGTTGCATTCCTCAAGGCTTGGGAGCGTCTTCATGCTACTTACGAGCAGTTCCTAAAGAGCCAGGATCCTACGCAGCGACAGTGGGGTCTTTGTATTATGGATGACGTTCTTGAGTTCTGTGGCGACCAGAGCTGGAACTATAAGGAGTACATTATCGAGCCTCTGGTCGCTGGTTGCCGAGACTCTGCACCTGCTAACCGCCAAGCCGCTGCATATGGCATTGGTGTCGCCGCTCACAAAGGAGGTCCACAATGGTCGGAGTTCTTGGCTCCAGCTGTTGACCTCCTCTTCCAAGTTACACAATTCCCCAATGCTCGTGGAGATGACGATGTCTACGCAACAGAAAATGCGTGCGCAGCTATCGCTAAGGTTCTCCATTTCAACCCTTCAAGTCTGCCCAACCAACAGCAAATTGTTGTTCAATGGATCGATACTTTACCCGTCGTTAACGACGAAGAGGCTGCGCCATATGCGTATCTTTACCTTGCCCAGCTGATTGAGCAGTAAGTCAATACTTCCCCTCTCTGCGGCTATTACTAATTGCTACAGACAAAACCCCGCTGTTATTACCCAGGCTGGAAAGGTCTTCGGCTTTATTGTTCAAGCTTTGGAAGCCGAGACGGTTCAAGGTCAGAATGCAACGCAAATAGTTGCGGCTGCAAAGATGTTGCTCCAGACAGCTGGCTTGGATCCAGCCCAAGTCTTGCTGCAGTTCTCACCCGAGACGCAACAAACAGTGCGTGCTTATTTTGGTTGAGTGGGAAAATAAATGCTAGCCGGGCTGGACGGAGTTGTTGGTGGACTGGTGGATATGACAGGAAGGGACAAGAATGATGATAGAACGATTTGATACCACACTCGCACACCTTGTCATTCCTTTTGTGTGTTTTTCTTTTGGAGGATGACCAGGGGGCAGGTCATCATTTAGCATAGCGAGAGTTTGAGGCTATCGTCTGATATGAGATTGCTTGTGGGTGGCGTGGCGAATCATTTGCAGCTGGCGCAGGGCCAATCTGAGCGAGACCCTTTACCGCAGAATTCGCAATTAATCATCCGGACCTTTCCCATCCCCACGTTCTCAGTACTTATAAGAGCCCAACGCCGTGCTTGAAAGAAATTGAAGGGAGCGCAGTGGACCTTTAGTGACAGCAACATGTCGTGGATTTCTTTCTCAGCCGCAGCTCTATAGGTAGATCAGGGCTCGCAGTTTATGCAGCACACGAGATAGATGGAAATCTCTTGAATACGATGTTTGTGTCGGAGACGGGCTCGTTTGAGAGCCGAAAGAGTGGGGAAGCTTTGCGCGCCAGCTGAGCTGTGCGGGATTCTTGTCTGTACCTATGTCTCAAATCAATCCGACAACCTCACAGACATCTCTCCTCCACTTTTTACCTCACTCAGAGACATCCACTCTCACAATATCATTTGATCGCGCCGCAACACCTGACAAGAAGATATCTCTGATCCAGCGACGTCGATATACCGCCTTTCGAATCGTACGAAGCGCGACCCGAGCGTTCCCAGCGTCCCGACAGAGAGCTGCTGTACCACGTCTGGGAGCCAGGGATCCCTACCATTGTCCTATCATAAACCTCACCAAGCAAATCTCCAGAGGGACAAGGCGAGCCCGCCTCTTCCACTATCGCACCCTTCCCCTCGACATCTAATACCGAACTTCTCCGGTTGTAGCGAGTACTCCGCAGACTTGTTTGCAACCTCTCGCGATTTGGTAGCTCCTGTGGTTGCGCCCTCGGACCGTTGAAGGACAACATACCCGTTCTTTGAACAGCCCCCGCCACCAGCCATCTCAACAGCCTCAATTTGGCAACAAAATACGCGCATCATAGCGGCAGCTGGTATTGAGCTACCTGGAACTGTCATCTTTGGAGTGGGGGAAAGGTCGCTTCGACCTGGAACGATCGCAGGGTTGAGAGCAGCTACAATCAACTGCGACGCCACCATTCATGATACCAGACACCTTGACATCGTCCTTCTGCCGACACTCTGATGAATTCGCTCTACGGGTTCAATATACCAACGGTTGAGGAAGACAGTCCGGAGTGAGTACGGACAGATGTTGGGATTATGAACAACTTCTTTTCTAGCCCGTTCTCCCAAGAGGACCTGCAGCAGCGGCTTGCACAGCGACGACGAAATGGCCCCTCACGAACATCGAGTATGACAATGGTGCCGCCGGCCGCCTCGCCGGATAACGAGGGCCAGGTTGATATGGGGATGATGCCTGTTGGTGGGGAAACTTTGGACGACATCATAATGCAGAACAACAACGAGATGCAGCGGCGGCAGAGCATACCGCAAGCGTACAATCCGCAGGACATGGACCGCCGAGGGTCAATGATGGAATTCGGGACAGCGAACGGCTCTCTGAATGGTTATCAGTTTGTGCCTCAGACAACGGGGCCTGGTGATCCGCAAGGACATATGCGGAGACACTCGGAAGATGAATTGTCGATGGGTGGCGGATATGTGGATATGTCTTCTGGTATGAATATGTCTGGCCAACAGATGGGCTTCTCATCTTCCATGCCGATGCAAGACAATCTGACCATCAACACGAACTCCCAATACGCCCCCATGACTACGGAAATGATGCAGAATATGATGGGATTTTCGCCAATGGGAATGGAAGGCATGTCAGAGGAAGACTCGAATGCTATGAACATGTTTTCACCGTCAAACTACCAGCAGAATTTCGGGAATGGTAATATGGATGGGATGCAAGGCAATTATATGATGCCACCGAGCATGTCAGATGGGCTGCCAACTCAGGCTCCAAGTATGAGCGGTGCAGAGGAGCTCAACAACATGGTTCCCCCCATACCAAGTCAAGTCGGCGCGGAGAATCCTACGGTCGGCTCACCTTCAAACATGGGAATGAATCAGAATGCGCTTTCTTATAACTCACCAGTTTCGGGCAGACCACCCGAACTTTCCAATCACAACTCTTCTTACAGCATACCACAACCCCCAACGCCAGTGTCAGGTCCGGATGCACAACAAGAGTTAGAAATTGGGCCAAAGCCAGAGCCGAAGTCATCCGGCTATCACGGAATTTACTCGTCTAGTGGATTCGATATGCTGGGAGCTTTGATGAAAGTAGCGACGAGAAAGAATCCCGAAATCGACATTGGCAAGGTCGATATGTCATGTGCTTTTGTTGTATGCGATATTACACTTTACGACTGCCCAATCATCTATGTCTCAGACATTTTCGAGCGTTTGACTGGATACACAAAGCATGAAGTCAAGGGTCAGAATTGCCGATTTCTCCAGTCGCCAGAAGGCAAGGTCGAGGCCGGAGCTCGGAGAGAATTTGTGGATAATGACTCTGTCTATTATCTCCGAAACAGGATACACGAGAAGAAGGAAGCCCAACGTAGTTTGATCAATTATCGTAAAGGAGGCCAGCCATTCATGAACTTGCTAACAATGATACCCATCACTGGAGAGGATGATAAGGAGATCAGATATTTTGTGGGATTTCAGGTCGATCTTGTGGAGAAGCCTACAGCCGTGGAGACGAAGAACTCGAGTGGTTTGTACACGGTGGATTATTCGCAAGGAGCTTTGCCGAGATACGTTTGGAACCCTCCGGAAGCGAGTCGGCCTATGGATGGTGGCCAGACGATCAGTCGGGATGATGTGTCTACAGTGTTGAGCTCTATCAACAGCAGCTCGGAATCGGAATTGACTAAACGGATGTGGGACAAGGTGCTGTTGGAGAATACAGACGATGTTGTTCATGTCCTGTCTCTGAAAGGCTTGTTCCTGTACCTGTCGCCATCTTGTCGTCACGTTCTAGAGTACGATGCATCGGAGCTTGTCGGGACTGCGTTGTCATCCGTCTGTCACCCCAGTGATATCGTGCCTGTTACGAGAGAATTGAAAGACACGTCGACGGGAGCAGCAGTCAATGTTGTATTCCGGATCCGACGAAAGAAGAGCGGTTACACATGGTTTGAGAGTCACGGTTCGCTGTGCGTTGAGCAAGGTAAGGGTCGAAAGTGCATCATTCTGGTGGGAAGAGAACGACCCGTTTATGCACTTCATCGGCACGATATTGAAGCAGCAGGGGGTATTGGCGAGAGTGAGATGTGGACTAAGTTGTCTACCTCGGGCATGTTCTTGTTTGTCTCATCGAATGTGCGGACGCTCCTGGACCGATCGTCTGAAGATCTTGTTGGCACTAGCATTCAGGCTCTGATGCGTGCCGAATCAAGAGTAGAATTCGGTCGCTCCCTGGAAAAAGCGAGAACTGGAAAGCGAGTGACCCATAAGCATGAGATACTGAATAAGAGAGGTCTTGTATTGCAGGCGCAGACCACTCTTTATCCTGGCGATGCCTCTGAAGGCCAAAAGCCAACGTTCCTCGTTGCTCAGACCAGATTATTGAAATCATCCACACGTCAAGTTGCTCCTACTCTTGGCTCGCACGGGTCCAAGTCAGTAAGTCCGATACAACGAATGGATATGACTTCTGAAGAGTCGACACCTCACAGCCACGTCTCGGCTTTGTCGTCGAACCTCAGTCAAGAGTTAGTGGTTGCTACTCACAGGACAGGTGCATCTACATCACTAGCCACTACAGGAGTTATTTCCCAAGCAGGTGGATCAGGGCTACCGATTGGATCGCAAGATCTCGCGTTAGCATCGGAAGACAACATTTTCGACGAATTGAAGACAACTAGATGTACCAGTTGGCAATTCGAGCTTCGTCAAATGGAGAAGAGCAATAGGTTGCTTGCCGAAGAATTGGCGGCCCTGCTGTCGAGCAAGAAAAAGCGCAAGAGGAGGAAAGGCGCCGGACACCCACACCGTGATTGTGCGAACTGTCACACGCGAGTCACACCGGAATGGCGACGCGGACCAAGCGGGCAGAGAGATCTATGCAACAGCTGTGGGCTTAGATGGGCTAAACAGGTGAGTCGTAGTAATTCTGAGCAAAGTGGCACCGTCCGACAAGTTGGGAAGGACTGGTCACAGTCCGACTCTTCCACGTCGCGAAGTTAATGTGTTGCGCGCACTCCCGGCTATTGTTTGTGTTATATTTTCAACTTCGACTTCGGACATTGCGAGGTGACTGCGATGCAAGATGTCGTATTGCTTCGATTGCAAATGACCTTGTCGCTACTACACCTGAATATTTGTGTCTTACGCCTCGTTCTTATACTGCTTTCTACCAATACTCGCCGTCTGCTATCTTGTGCTACAATGTTCTGTTCTGTCCTGTTCTGCTCTGTTTCAAAACCACGTTTTGTATTCCCATCACATTTTCCTACCACCATAGCACACCGTTTCCTGTTTATCACATCTCTCATTCCTTAATGCAACCTTGCTGATATCCTATCCTAAACAGACCGGCCGTGTCTCCCCCCGCAACTCCACCCGTGGTGGCGACGGCTCCAAACAGTCTCAAAACTCCTCCTCACCAGTCCACTCCTCTCCTCTTCAACAAGAAGTCTCGCAGAACCAACTCGGCAACCCGAATCTCAACTTCGACAAGGCGACACACGGCGATATGAAGGGCGAAGGAGGAGCTGCGGTCCCCGAGAGTCTTGGTGGGAGGAGTACGTTTGATAGTATGCCGGTTCATCAGCCTAGTCAAGGGTATAGAGAGGGCGGGAAGAGGAAGATCACGAATATTGATGAGTCTGATGAGGGCGTTACATGAGAAGTGGGAGGGTGACGTGATGAGAACATTTTGATCATGGTGTGATGCTATGCAATCAGTTGGGATTATATGAAATGAGGGGAGCAAGACTTACGTGATCTGCGAAACGCACGATGAATGACGACGAAGGCGCGTGGGGATTTGCGGGTAGGTGGTAGGCTTTATGGTTGATTGATGGGAAAACTTTTCTTCACTTCCACATTGCTCTGCGACTCAAGCGGCTGCGTTTGGTGCATTGCACAGATTGGCTTTGGGTTTGGATTCGGGTTTGGTATCAGGGTCAGGCTGGGCGGGATTCTTCTTTCCATCGCATTACATTAAATTACATTTATACCTACTCATGATTGAGCTGGACTGTTTCCCGTCCTCCTTGTTGTGCAAGGTGGCAGTCAATGTATATCTTATCCTTGAAATAAGGGGAGGGAAAGGAAACCTCCATAAAATTTGATCAATCTTGCATGTACGTACGTGTGTATGTCCAAGCTCATTAAGGTAGGATGAAATGCCCAAATTCTGTTGTCCGCCAGGTTCGAGAATTGAGTCTAATCACGTGCAGTGCTCCATTTCGATACCAGCCCCAGCACTTGCAATCAGCAAGGAAATTTAATGGACTTCTTTGTTGCAAGTCGCAGTTGCCATCGATTCGGCACCGACTGCTTTGTTTTATTTCCGATCGAACTCTCTGGCCAGAGGGACTCGGGGAGGCTATCAAACCGGGGCCGACTCGTGGGATGTCGGTATCGAGCTGACACTCCCAATTTTGGGAGAGCCGCTTGTGTCTTTTAATGGACAAACTGGACGAGTCAAAGGGTGAAAGTCGTTTCAGAATCTGGATTGGCTAGAGTTTGTCTAGTTTAGTTGAGTCGTGAGATCGTGAAGGGGATTTATGGATTGTGAGTGTTAGTGCTTCTGAGCGAATCGGCCCGGCGCTGAGTTCTTGGCTGTTCGGTTAGGGACGAGTAAAAGTAAATAAACTGGGTGGTGCTGTCATTGTCGCTCTAACTTTCACAAAGGGGGCTACGTGGTGTTGTACTACTTCTCTACAGAAGATAACACAAGCCATGAATCACATGGTAATTATGTATATTAATACCAATTGTACTGTCTCAAGCCGCTCCATTGCTCTTGCTTACTGGCCAGTAAGGATGGGAGCTTGATCCTGATTCTCACTTGTTTTGTAGCTGGAAACTTTCCGGTACTGTAGCCTTTTGCTTCTTCCTCTAACTTATATGACTTAGACACAGAGATCAGAGAACTCTCCCATCGAACACGAACTCTTAGTTGGATAGTCACTTGAGTCTGAACTCTTCATCCTAGCTTTTTTTGGTCCGGAATATAGCATTGCTATCGAGCGCAAGCCTGATGGATCGAACTTCGCCTCGGTTGAGATCATTGCATCCCTTCTACTTCAGTCATATAAAGAACGCGAGTTCCTCTTCTCGGAATACTTTCATTCTCACCTAGAAAATCCCATAAGTGCACCAGCTTTTGACTGGAGACCCAATTGGAACTTATCGTCAAAACATTTATCTCGTCTGCCCCAAACCCTTCTCTACTTTTTCAGCAGCCAATCCCACGCCCGCGCTACAATTGCCTGATAACCAAAAGTTTTGTTGCACATCGCAAAATGCAGACAAATTCCACCGCATTCCTCTTCCAATCATTATGCCCCACAGTTACACAGACAGGATGTGCACCTCCTGCAGATGTGAACCCCTCGCTTCCCATGAGCCAACCACAGCCACAGGATTTACGCGTATCACTTCTTGAGGAGTATCTATCCAATCAGCCCTAATCTTAAGTTTTTGTTGCACATCGCAAACTTGTGCGAAAAGCCACCACTTTTTTCTCTTCCAATCATATGTCCCACAATTACAGACAGCTGAACCCTTGCGCCTATCCCAGCCAACCACACCCACACTCATAGAGTATCCACTCTAGTAAATCAAATCCCGTATTCTGTCCAACCTTTACGGCAACTGCACATCGCCATATGTTGAAGTGAGCTTTTACGGGTTTTTTTCTGCTCTGGCTCCAGGATCAGTTGTATCTGAGTTTCTCCTGGCTTCAGAGAAGTGTATGCTTCAATTGAGTATACAGATTTGGAAGCTCAAGTACCATGAAGTGTTTGAAGATATTTTGTATTACAGTCTATTATTCAGGTTGTGCTACTTGCCGAAGCTCTCCATGTTTTCTATGCGCCGCCCTATTACCAATGCTCCCAGGTCTACCAGCCTTACAGTCTATCCCAATTCCCATTTCATTTTCCCATGCGCCTTTTCTCCGATCTCCGGATGCTGTGTTGCAATTTTTGAGTTTCGGGCTGGATTGCTCAACCCTGCCTGTTGTTGTGTCGAATTTTTTTCTTTTGGATCCGTCTCTTCGCTTCGCATTGTCTCGCCAAAACTCCCCTCCAATGCCCGCACCTTTCATCCTCTTCATCTTACCCACTAACAGATCAAGGACATTATGTCTCATCCACTCCTCCATCATCTCGTCTCATCGTAGCCGCCCTTCCAATCCACTTACGGCATACTAACATAACTCCTCGCCCTCTCCAAATCCGCCTCTGCTTCCGCATCAGCCCCCTTCTTTCCGGTCTCCTCATCATCACCACTATAAGCAAAGCGACTCCTCTTCCGAATTTGCGCACCATAAAAGTAGAACACGTATGGAATCGCACAACACGCCAAACTGATAAAAGCTAGCAGCGAACTCGCACACTGGTATCCCAAGCGATCATACATCTGCTTCGTGAACAAGACCGTCGCAGCACCCCAGAAAGAACGGATAAGTGTCTTTGCGGCGAGCGCAGATGCCGCTTGGTGCTGGTAGGAGTCCACGAGGTAGTTGTTGGCTGAGTTGTAGAGGAAGATGAAGCCGAAGCCGACGGGGAAACCGCCGAGTGCGGGACCGACCCAGGTGAGATGCGGGTAGGATGTCCAGGCGAAGATGAAGAGGCCGACGGGAATGCACCAGCAGGAGATCATCATGGGGATGAGGCGGGCTTCCGCGGGTGGGCTGCCATTGTGTTTGTGGTAGAGGGTGAGGTAGTGTTTGTTGACAAGGGGAGCGCAGCATGCTGAGGCGACGACTCCGATTGCGAGGGGAATGAACATTAGACCTGTGATGCCGGCGCTGTAGCCTTTGCCTTCTTGGAAGACGATCGGGAAGGCGACGAAGAACATGTATAGGAGGCCGTAAAGGACGGACATGTACAGGGCCAGTAGAAGAACGATGGGTTCCAAGAAGAGGAGTTGGAAGGGTCTGATGAGGAAGATCGACATGCGTTCGCTGAAGGGGCGGAGGTCAAGATCTTGCTCTGTGATGTGCTCCTTAGAGCCAGTCTCTGCTCGCATCTTCTTAGCGCGGGCGGCGAGGATGGTTGGAGCGTATGTTTCAGGGACGGTGAAGGTTATCAGGACCCAGACAACACCAGCCATAATGAGTTGGATCCAGTATAGCCATCTCCATCCTGTCGCATCTGCAAGGAAGCCACCAACGAGAGGACCAATTGCTGGGCCGATGAAAGGAGCTGCTGAGAAAGCGGCCATGGGAACACCCCGCTCTTCAGTTTTCCACAAGTCGGCAAGGGTTCCACCTATGATGGTGATTGGTGCTGAGAAAGCGATACCGTCGATTGCCCGGCAGACGAGGAGGGTGGTAATATTGTCTGAGACGGCGCAGGGAATGATGAAGATGGTCGCAACGAAGAGTGTTGTGGCGTAAATCATTCGTCGACCGACTACTTCTGACATTGGTGCGAATACCATGGGGCCTGTAAGGATTAGCTCCAGATTCCCGAGCATTAAGAAGTCTCGGAGGGAGATGCAGCGGACAGAAACTCCTCTGAAATGTGTGACCTACCAACACCAAATCCAATAACGAACAAAGTGATAGAAAGCAGAGCAACTTCCTCAGATACTTCGAACTCCTTCACAACCCCAGCAATATCCGCCGTGACAACCGAAGAAGCGAAGGCGACGACGAAACAAGTAAGTGCAACAATCATCGTGATGTACCACTTGTATGCTTTGCTCCAGTTTTTGGGGTTCTCAGGATCGTTGAGCAAGAATGTGACGAGCTTGTAATCTGTCTTTCCGTCTGGCGTAGCAACACCAGCGTCGATTTCTCCAGCCGATGTCTCTTTCGTGTATTCTTCAAGGTTGGCTTCATTGGTCATAGTACGGTACGGAAGGTTGATGTCGAGTTCGGGATCTCGTCTTGCTTCTTTGTGAGATAATTGTGAGCCGGTACGGTGTAAACCCGGGCCAGATGTACTTGGTTGACGGACTCGAGAGTCATTGGTGTGTGTTTGGGCAAGTGTTGGTGAGGCGGTATTGTGCGTGATGGGTTGGTACAAACGGCCCGCAGGCTCAAGTGGTTCGGTAGGAGTAGACATGGCACTCAGCTGTCGGATGATATCTTGTGATTGCTCCACTAGACTGATGGTATGCAATGTCGAAAGTAACTATAGGCGGCGATGAAGTGTGAGAACCTGTTTTGATGAGACACCAGATCTACCACCATCGTGGGACCGTGTCTTTATATATGGAAGAGCGGCACCAAGACCCACTACACCAAACTTAAAACCTTGAAGAGGCACGATACCAAAACCCTCATGATGAAATAAATCCAGATGTATTGGAAGCGGACCGAATTACGACGAGCGACCACTCAGATGCTGCAATGTCTTGGCATCAAGCGGCAATATCTCGCTGAGTTCGAAGATATGAACCAACCAGACGCAAATCACCATACGAACAGGACCATGTCTCAGGACTACCTGGGATCTGACGGCTCGCACAGACCTCATGCTGTGCATATGAGTTTGAGAACGAGTGGTCGAACGGAGGTTGGGGCTTGGATGTGATGATGATGGCCATCTCTCGATGAGGAGTATGAATACACACTTGGGTCATTCAATTGCTGCTTGGATGTTGAATTTGCTCTGGAATTGCGCACCAGGATTACAACGGGCATCATGAAATGCATTATTGATGTTCGTACCTTTAACTCGACGACATGAGAGGCTCCCTTAGGAACCTCCTGTTGAGTTTAATCAGCATCGTACGTCTTGCAGCGCTGGCTACGTCACTGACGAAACTCCAGATAACAGAACACGAAAAAGAGGAGGAAAAGAAGATTGGGTACATTGTGAAAACTGGACGGCGTTCCACTTGTAGAAGCTGGATTATTGGTAAAGATTGGAAAAAGGTTATCACCAGTGGGGCTATACCTGGATGTTTGTTGTTGAGGGTGAAATCTTGACATCCGCTTCCACCAACCGAGATCCGCCTTAAGGTTACGCCGAGCACGAGCAAGACCAAGACCAACAAGCGAGAAAGCTTACTGTAGGAGGTAGCCTCGGCAGCTACGTACCGGTGCCCGGGTTTTGCTCCCGATTTCGGGCCGCCGGTGTCGGCCGGTAGCTTTGCTATGATCTAGGTACGGAGGGTAGGTACATTTCTTTCCCGAGGTATGGACTACATCTGAATAGCTTCAACAATCAACATTCGCAACACCAACATTCGTTCCTCCTTCTCTCAACGCCTCATGTTTCCATTTCGCCATCGCCTTGCTGACGGGACGAATGTCTGTCCGACTCGCAACCCAATGCACTTCGTATGCAGCCACCCGCAGCCACAAGTGCGGCGCGGATATCAACTTCCCCGCTGTGACTCAAGAATGTAGGTTGATCTTCGATATTCCATCTGGGATAAAGAGAGCAAGTCTCTGAAGATGGGAATGTAAGGCAGATACCAGCCTCTCTTTGAATATTAACCATCGGGACATTGCCAATCTTTCGCCGTACTAGACCTCGGATTGTCCCAAGCTCAACAACTCTTTCAACATGACTACCACCGTCACCTCCACCTGCGCATGCCGCAACTTCTCCCTCACAGTCGAATTCCCCAATTCGATCCTTCCTATGGACCGGGCCTTATGCCTCTGCCACAACTGTCGTCGCGTCTCAGGCTCTTGTGGCTGGTCCAGCCTCACCGTCCCTCCAAGCCAAGTTGTCGACCCCTCGAATTTCAAAACCACCGCTTACGAATCATCAAAGGGCGTGGCTCGGCACCACTGCTCTACATGCGGGGCACATACCTTCACAATGGTCGAGAGAGGTCAGGTCAAGGCTTGTGTTATTAACACTGGACTGTGGGACCGCACAGAGGGCTTGATAAATTGGACGGGATGCAAGTGGATTGAGGATACCCTTGATGGTGGAATCAGTGTCTGGTTCAAGGATATGAAGCGGGCTGACGGGACGAAAGAGGGCTTGAGACGCTGGCTACGTTATGATGCTGAGGGTGGTGAGCTGGTGCCTGAAGGGTCGTTCCTGACCCTATCGAAGGAGGCGAAGCCACTCAAGGACGACAAATTGAAGGCACAATGTCTCTGTGGAGGTGTTAAATTTTACATCACTCGACCGGACGAAGGTTCGAAGAAAGCTCAATCGCCGTTCCCTGACCTGATGGTTCCATACCACTCGCACGGTTCTGCGAATCCAAAGAACGAGACGTGGTGGCTGCGGGATAACAATACGAAGTATCTAGCTGGAACTTGTGCGTGTCCTTCATGCCGCCTATCCTCTGGTTGTGAAATCCAGCCCTGGGCATTCATACCCAAATGCAATATTTTGCAGGAAGACGGATCGCCGGTTGATTTCTCAAAGGGAACTTTGAAGCCTTATGCCAGCTCGGAAGGGGTGACCAGGGAGTTTTGCGGTAGATGTGGCGCTACGGTGTTTTGGCATTGTGAAGAAAGGCCAAACTTAATTGATGTAAGTATAGGGTTATTTGATCCTGAACAGGGAGCGAGAGTTGAGGGTTGGCTGGATTGGTGGACGGACAGAGTAAGTTTTGAGGAGCTTGCTCATAGTAAAGAGCTTGTTGCGAGCTTGGCGGATGGGCTAAAGAGATGGAAGGCAGAGAAGAACATTTAGTCTATAATCGTAAGTTGGCTTGCAAGAGTTTGAGGGCATCTCTGCTAGGTGGTAGGTATGGGTACAAGCAGGCTGGAATAACACAAAGATTTGGGTCACGCTTCCAGCTTTGAGCAGTTTCGCTTCATACCGCAGGTAGGCATTGTTGCCTAAATGATGTTGATATTGAGTAGAATCTTTTATACAATCAAATTTGCCAAGTCTAAAGTAGCCCAACTCCCTTTAGGCACTTTACAACATCGACTTAGAACCCATATCATGAACTAAGTTGTCGACTATCAACATCGCTTGTACCAACTTCCCATCTTGCAGTCGCGGGGTGACAACCTGAACCGACAAAGGCGTCCCAAGGTATACTCTCCGGTCTACCGTCTTCTCGTCCCACAACAGCCTATTCCTCTCATCCCAAGTTGAGATTACACTTCCTAAAAGAGGCTTACCAAGTTCGAGATCCTGCTCACAGAAGTTTCGAACAGGTACAACCCCAGCAGGGTAATCCAATAACGTCCAGCTCGAGGTGTACCCTGCTGCATTGTATCTCTCAATCTCTGGCACAGGATGAGGAGCAACTAGACAAACAATAGCATCGATTTTGCGCCTCTTGCCACCCTTCCCATCATTTTCAGCCCACAAACCCATCATCTCCCGCTCCAGTTTGGTCCTTTTGGCTTGCAATTCAGCAACTTCGTGAAGTGTTTTAGGCTGGCTGCGCTTCAACTTCCCAACCATCCATGGCACTAATGGCTCGCCAGTTGCCTCCAAAAGATTACGCATTACTGCTCCTCCATCTGCACCCATCAACTTTGCCATCACACTTTGGCATTTTGTCCATGCAGGTGGTGTAGAGACTTCGACGGCTTTGACACCCGGGGAGTTATTGAGCTTCGCCTTCACTTCATCCAAAATCTTGGACATTGGCGGCAGGGGTACACAATTTCCATCCCCTCTTAAGATGCCAAATACAAATTCGCCCTTTGGACCACTTCCTCGAGCATCAGACTCAGGATTCCAAGCCAACGACAAGCAGTCTTCTCCCCACATCCAAGCCTTTTCAGTAGCTTCTCTCATTACGTAGCTGATATCGTCCACAGATCTTGCTAATGGACCAACGACGGCGGGGATAGAGCACCTAGACATTCCATCGGGAGATATGAGAGGACCACCGCCAGCTGGTAAGCGGCCGTTACTCTGCTTGATTCCAAATACGCCGTTACACATCGCTGGAACTCGAATGCTTCCTCCTGTATCGGCTCCCCAGCCGATTATACAACCTCGCATTGCAACAAGCACGCCTTCGCCACCCGAGCTTCCACCAGCAGTACAGAGTCTGTTTTTTCGGGTTCATAGTCCGACCGAAGACGTTGTTGATGCTGTCCAGTGAGTTGAGGGTTTGCGGCACGTTGGTCTTGGCGATGATGATGCAGCCTAGAGATAAGAGAAGATCGATCAACGGCGAGTTAGAAGTCGCTGGCTTGAAGCAGAGTGAAGCTATTCCAATTGAACTGTCCACGCCAACGATGTCAAATGAGTCTTTGACGCTAATTGGCAATCCGTGGAGGGGACCCATGACTCTACCCGCTCGAGCTAGGAACTCATCTAACTCTTTTGCTCTACGAAGAGCCGAAGTGAATCGCGGCTCGGTAACACAATTGTTAAGCTGTTGGGCGATTGCGGTTCTTTTACAGAAGGCTGTTGTGACTTGAATTGCTGAGAGGTCACCGTTTGAAATCCTAGAGAGGAGATCGTTGACGGACGGGGTTTCAGTGATTTTGATTTCGTCAGCTGTGAGAATCCCACATTCTCGGGGGATTTGCAAGACATTTTGAGGGCCATATTCCGCAAGGGGAGGATCTTTCGGTAGCATAGAGGCAGGCAGAAGCCATGCTGCAGGAGTCAGCGAGTTTCGGATATCTACTTTTGCTTTTGATATCTCTTCCCATCTGGCGTCCTTGCTCGCTTGATTCATAACGTTCGACATAGGGGGAGACGCTTGGTATGGCTCTCGCAACTCCGTGACAAAATATATGACCTCAAGGAAAGACGTTCTAGCCAGTGCTTTATCCGGGGGCTGAAGATACGCCGCATCCGGTCAGTGGTTACACAATGCAGGGTTTAGATATATTTCATCTAGCGGGCCGCCCGCCTCTGATAGGTCTAGAAGAGGTCAATTAAGGGCAGCGTGAGCATGTGGCTGGTGGGCGAGACAGGTTCAGTTGGGTTAGGAAATGAACCATAGGAATATCCTTCCTTTCAGTATCTTCCCCCATATCTCCCTGCCTGGTGTTCTGGGCTCTCTGGCAAGGCTCGTTAGATTTGGGGCTCTCAGTCTGATTTCGCAATTACTTCACCAGGGACCATGAACAACGAGAAAAATACAGATAATGCTGTCCCCACTGTGTCCGGATCGCCTTTACCATTTTCGGTTTTCAGCAAAGGGCAAAAACGAATCATCGTGGGCCTAGTTGCTTTGGCAGCATGGTTCTCAACACTCAGCAGCTTCATTTACTACCCCGCTATTCCGCTCATTGCCAAAGACCTGAGCCTCTCCATTGCCCAGATAAACATGTCCATAACAACTTACATGGCTGTCTCCGCAATTGCTCCCTCTATCACAGGCGATGCATCAGATATCTATGGGAGGCGACCACTGTATTTGTTCACGCTTGGCCTTTATTTAATTGCAAATATAGGCCTTGCCTGCCAATCAACCTTCGCTGGGCTCCTGCTACTTCGCATGTTGCAAAGCGCTGGGATATCCGGTATTTAAAATAACATCCTTTAGTTGACGCAAGGAACACTAACATTTTACAGGAGCTTTCTCCATTGCATATGGCGTCGTTGCCGACGTTTCTATGCCCTCAGAGAGGGGTTTATATGTTTCTGCCCTGACATTTGGGTATTCGAGTTTTCCAAGACCTCAAGTTTTTTTTCATTAGCTCACAAACATCAGAATCACAACTGCTCCTGCTCTCGGCCCATTACTGGGTGGCGCCTTGTCGTACGATCTCGGATGGCGTGCCGTTTTCTGGTTTCTCTCTATTGTTTCCGGTGTCTGTCTTGTCACGATGATCTGCTTGCTTCCTGAGACTGCCCGTGGCGTAGTTGGGAATGGGAGCATCAATCCGCCGCCCTAATCCCGACTTATCCCACCTATGGATATGTTCTTCGTGAAGTCGACCGCATTGGCTCATGATGTGCAACGTCAACGTCCACGCTCGTTCCCAAATCCCCTCAAGTCACTCTCCTTGCTCATGGCAAAAGATAATGCGGCGGTTGTATGTGCCGGAGCATTCCTACACACGACTTTCTGTTGTATTCCTGCGTCATTGGGAACCCTTTTTGTTGAGATCTATCAACTCAATCAGCTTCAAGCTGGCCTCGTTTACTTGCCTTTTGGAATCGGTTGCTCCGTTGCAGCCCTCGCCTCTGGGAAGCTGATCGATCGTGATTATCGGCTTACCGCAGAGTTTCACGGCCTCCCTGTTGACAGAGCTCAAGGAGACAACTTGAATACATTTCCCATCGAGAAGGCACGACTCCGCAGTGTTTTTATACCCCTCTTCATGGCAGTCGGAACAGTGATTGCTTTTGGATGGGCTGTGGATAGAAGAACGGTAATTCAACACCGGTCATCCGTCATTCTTACTAATAGTAGATAAGCCTCTTGCGGTACCTCTTGTTGTTTATCCAGAATAATCACCTCGTCTCCGTTGTCGCCAAGCGACAGTGCACGTGACCACTCGCCGCTTTTCTCACCCTCGCCTCACCTCGCGCTCACCCTTCCTCACCCTGCTCACCCTCACCTCACCTCGCGCTCACCCCTTCCTCACCTCGGCTCACCACCCCCTAGCAGCTCGGAATACTTAGTCACCCTTTGTGTGGGTCCTATCCTGGTAGCACTGTTGAGAATGTCAACTCCTGGCGAGCAGGATCAGAGGGAGCCAGAACGGGTCCCCCGGTGATCAAATGGGCTTCCTATTACCAGAATAGCTCCACGCCCCACCTCCCCTATGTTTAACTGAGACTGGAATTTGGTCTTTCAATGCATGCTTTATTCAGCTGTTACAATCCTTCAACTATTAAACCCCTTCCTCATCCTCCTTTCACTGTTCATCTTCTTCTCATGCTCCACATCTCGAGCGTCCTCTTTCTTCAGCTTCACAATTTCTATTGTTTCTTTTAGCTTTGTGCTTTCCTTGAGGAGCTCCCTTGTCTAGTTCTTATCTCCTTTATCTTCACAGCCCCAGCACCTCTTATTTGCAGGCACGCAAGATGGGCAAGAAGACACCAGAGGAGAAGGCGAAGAGGGCTCGAGAGAATGGATTCAATGATGACGACCATGATATTGATGATTCTATTGTCCTGAAGGAAATCAGAGATTACACTGATGGGGTGTACAAGGAGCAGATGGATATGTGGCGACTGTAAGTTTTTCTTCTTCCTAATCTGTACGTACTTCAAGGCAAGAAAATATACTAATGTCTTGGTTTCTGATCTTTACAGGTTTGCAAAGAACCGTCCAGGCGCAAGCCCTTGCCATTTTCGCACTTTGAAGCATTTTGCTGAATTTGTTGGACTATCAATACCAGGTCAGCTAGAGAAGATGCCGACCGTTGATACTGTACGTTGCTACATGCGGCGCTTTACTTCAATTTGGCCACGAGAAACCGGAGAACATATTCCTGAACAGTTGAGGAGATCACTCACTCATGTAAGTGTAATATTTTGTGACTCTCTCCTCTATTATCCAATTACAGCCATATCTATACTAACAGGCGAAAGTATATTAAAGGACCGCTTAAGGTGAAAATCGGCCTATCAACTGCTCATCGGGAACGACACTACTTAACCCTGAAGAAATACCTCATTCTGGTTCTCGTTATCTGGGAGAACGATTGGTCTGAGTTTGATCATGAAGCTTCTCGGGTTGGGTTTAGCGCCAAAATGAATTTCTATTGTTATTCATCAGCTAGGATAGGGGAGTTGACGGAATCTTCAGCTCGAGCAAACAGTGGGAAAGGGCTACGCTACAGAGTAAGTAACATTTTTGGTCAACTTGTTTTAAACTGAATATGTGCTGACGTTTCTTGACAGGATATCATTATGCTGGTTGGGTGGGGCCAGGATGGGAAACCAGAGATCCGAATAGCCTTGACAAGAGAATTTGCGAAGGGAAAGCATGACTCACGGAGCAGGTCAGATCTGAACACTCTCTGCTGTCCTCTGTTGCCAACACAAGCTGACGTCTTCCAAACAGGCCACAACATCCAATGAATGAAAGCACAACGGGTCTACCGTTTGTTCTCAATCCTATTCTGTTTATCCTCGGCATCGCTCTCGCCAGTGGTGCATTCAAGTATTATGAAACAGCCGACGAGATTTTCGATCTGCAACCCCCACAGTACGATGACCACTGGATCTTGGAATGGGCTGATCATATGCAAGACGTGCCTGTTTTCCAAGGCGCGACTTGCAACGGTCCTACTGGAAAGATTCAAAAGTCAACCTCGTTCTCAAAGCAGCTTACAAGTGCGGCTCAGTGGGCTGGCTTTCCCAACGTCACTATTCACGATGGTAGACGTGAAGCAATCGTCAAAGCTAACGGTAAGGCTCTTATCCTACTCTGATTATGTAGCCTGCTAATCATAGTCTTAGCTCGTGGCTATTCGATCGCCGAATTGGGGAAATTTGCCGGGCAATCAAATCACAGAGTGTTCCAGACGTACTATATGGCCGAAGGGAGCGTAGATGGCCAAAACAGCTTCCTCAATCAACCGTGCCGAACTGACTTTATCGAGGATATGCGGGGGATATCACTACATTGTAACCCGGAGCTTTGGCAATCGCTCCCAGCGAAGATGCAGCACGAGCTTCAACAGCGACCTGACTTTATCGCCCTGCAAGAGGAGATTACAAGCCTGAATAACAACATCACCACGGCGACGGACGAAGAGACTGGCCGAATGCTTCGAGCCCGACGGAAAGCCTTATATACGGAACGACAACAGCTCATCAAAGAAGAGCTAAAGAAGAGCCGTAAAAGTCAACCACGAAAACACCCATCCCAAGGCAACCAAGGCGATCGTCACCGCAGCTTTTTCAATCGTGTTCGCCATATGATGCCCGAACGTGACCGCCTGGCACGAACGTTACCCTTACCGTTCCCCCTCCGAAGCCCTGAAGGCCGGGCTGCTCTCGAAGACCTGATCGCACTCTACAGGGGCGAATCTCGTGTGGCTTATCAACCAGTTCTAAGACCTGTATTAGGTTGTTGCCCAGTGCCCAGTTGTGAGGAGGGGATCCAAAGGTTAGTGAGCCCTTATCCTCACGTTAAACCAAGCTAATCAACCTCGTCTTTTTATAGCATGCCGGTTGCGAATCAATGGAGGCATATATACCGTTGCTGGGAAGCGTATCTTAAAAAACGATACGGATACGCCATCTTCTGCTTCCAATGTAGTGAATGGGTGACGAGTGAGGCAGACTGGGAGCTCCACTGTCAAGATCACCTCGACAAACTCGAAATGCCTCTACGATGTGACCCCGTCACTTTCCGCTACGCCACCGCCTGTGCTGGATACTGCCCCAGTTGTCTTCGTGACTCGACACTGTCAGCTGCCCAGCGAATGCGTCAATTCCCCAAGCGGGCACTCTGGCTCGAGCACGTGGAGAAGCATGTGGAAGAGGACATCACGGGCATTGATTTCAGTAAACCCGTGCTGTGCCTGCATTCTTTATGCACTGAACCTTGTGCATTTGAATCGCCCCAAGATCTGCGCGAACACCTCCAAGATGGCCATAGTATTCCGATGCCTAGCTCAGGGAAGAAGCGTCGATCTGACACAGAGAACCAGCCAGATACTCAAGAAGGAAAATCGGATACCGTTAAGAGAAAACGCCCGCGACTTCAAGGCAAGCTGCGCACCGCTGTCCTTGATCCTAAGCCTGGCCGGCCGGGATGCCACGAGATTAAATCTGAGCCTTGGAATGAGACACCGAATTACAACTTCGTCAATTATTCGGCTGAAGACCTTGAGTCTAGTGGTTCGGACGTCACTAAGCCTCCAACGACAATATCCACGAGCTCCAGTCGCGAAGTTACTCGGTATTCCAGCCCAGCATCGAGTATAGATGATGCTGGTACTTTTGGACCTACTGACCCGCTTATATGCATTGATCCTCAGCTTTTCTCTCAACCAATTGTCCCGCTCATTAGAGATGAATCACTTTGCCCAGCCAGCATCTCTCCGAGCTCAGCGATAGCGTCTCCGAACGCATTCAGCATCACGTCAGTCCAAGGTACGATTGAGTCAGAGAATTGTATGAGCCTCGACAAAGAAGAGGCCCATCTATTGGAGGACGGAAGTTCTGTTGAAGACATGGCCCCTACTCAGAGTACGTTGGAATAACTAGCATTTTGGGAAGCTGGCTCTAACTAGGATACAGACGCTGTTATGCTCGCAATCGACAGCAAGAACACGAAAGCTATTTCAACTATTGGCGACACTCTTTCCCTGGAGGACTTGCCTTCAGCGATAAGTTCTGACGGTACAGCCTTCAAGCAGGGAAGCCCTACTTGTCTAGACGGTGGTTCTATGAATATCAGTGGATCACCAACCACCGTCTCCGGCAAGGGTGCTCACAGAAGGATACCGACAACTGGACTAGGGCGCATGAAAAGCACAGTAACACAGCCGCTGTGTGGCAGTCAAGGAGTAGGAGACCAGCCTGTTGCAGTCGAAGCCGAGGAATGCGGGGTTGAAGCGCTGCTTGCCAAGTGGAATGGAGGCCAGTATCTTGTGGAGTGGAAAGGCTTTCCAGACGGGCCGAATTGGTGGGTTAAAAAGAAAGACATCGACAGAGCGCTTGTCGACGCATTTGATGCGACCTATCAAGGAAATCATCTCGGCGTGCAATTGCTCAAGAAGCGAGTACGGAAGCGAACGGTCGAATACTTTGTTAAATGGGCCGGCCGGCCGGATGAAGAGAATTCTTGGGTGAAGGAAGCCACCATAAGTCGTGAACGAATTATGGAGTTTGAGGCGAGAGGGAAATAGCTGTCTACAGGTATTAGTAGAGGTGATGTGCTAGAATCTCGAGGAGGGGTAAAGTTCTGGTGAACACGAGTAACAAGTTGCGAAATTTCATTTATCTTGTCGTTCACTTGCAAGTAACGTCTGTCCCTGCGTCGCGAGACGTTGTTGGATATGTGACGCGCACCCCTCTGCCTGCCACGCAATACCATGACGAGTCAACACTCTGTATTAAATAGTCCCAGTCTGCCAGATAGTTTAATGAATCATTAGAAGTGATAATATTCTAACTATCTACTAGAGCAGCTACTTATAGCTGGTAAACCAATTAGGTAGCAGCCGTGGCTCACTCATGTGACCAAAGTCACATGTTCTAGTGAGTCACGTGGCACGGACCCAACTAGGTGTGGAGTCATAGACCAACAGCGTCTCGCTACGTAGGGACGGACGTTAGCTTTTGATTCTCGCTATTCATTTAGAGACTGCTTTTATTTATGCAATGCTATAAACATGGAACTAGAAAGAGGCTCCCTTAAAATTATATATCAGCTCCATGATACAGAAAGAATCAGTTCAGCAAGCATCGTCCGTAAGAGGCAGCGATGACTTCAACCTCTCTAATATTGCAGACGCTTCATTCGCAATTTGGCGCGACTCTATAGCGCTCTTTCTAAAAGCTTCGGCTATGTCGTCTTGTTTTTGAATATCAATTTGCAGGTGCTGGTTTTCTAAGTTTGCCGTTTGTAGCATCACCCGAAGTTGATTGGTGGCCTCTTCAGCTTCTCCCTTCAGCTGTGCCTCTACTACAGCGGCATCTCTCCATCTGCTCACTTCAGACTTCAATGTTGAATTTTCCGTTTCTAATTCCAAGATTCTTGCGGTGAAATTTTCCTCGGCTCCCGCGAACAATGCATGCTGGGTTTAGAATTAGCTTAAATCTTCTTAAATAATAGAGAGAAATGTAAACCTTTCCAGCCACAACTTCAAAGGAAGCGCCAACTTCACGACAGAGCTCCATATAAGCTCCAATTGAGTGCTTACTTAAGCATTTTTCAAAGAGGTGTGCTCTTGTTGGTAGATATTTCCATGAATATGGATCGTCCGCATTTGTCATCAAACGGACTTCGGAAGGTTCGATTGATATACCTAGCCTGGCTTCTGTCGTGTTTTATTAATATAGACTGAGTTATTGAATTTTTAGACCTTACTAATGTGCTCTGAGAGCGTTTCCCGACACCTTGCCCTCCATTTAGCGCGATCAATATTACTTGGTCGAGGCGAGGCCATCGTAGCAGACGACTATGTTTTATGATTTAGAAGACATTTAGATCATTTGATATAGCCTGAAGGGGGTTATTATCTAAGCTATGAAAGAGGTTTAGCTAGATTATGCTTCCGTTTCTCTGAACCTTAGGCTGGGATTCTAAAAATAAGTATGATCGAACACACCTCTCAAAAATAGAATCTTAGCATTACTCCTCGGGGTCCACGAACGGCCCCTGCACCCGCGACTTCATTCGACCGAGCCAGAGGCATAAGGGCTGGCCAGAAAACCGGCAAAGCGCTTGAATCAAGGACTTAGGAACAGAAGTAAAAAAACTAGTAGAAGAGATTTCAAATGTTTAGGGGACAAGCATAGAAACCAATTTCTCATTAAACTCATTCACTAATTTCCCAGAATTGGTTTTGGCCTGTTCAACAGATCCCACTCCCACCCTTGGCCATCTCTTCCAATTGTTCTAATAGCACTCATGAGAGGTCTTTCCATAATGATTGCTCTGCTAAAAACGACTTCCTCCACCTCTTTATATGAAAGGCTTAAGACCAAAGTTGCAGATATCTGGCTGTAAACTCTATATTTGAGAACATGAGTGTCATCAGGCTTGGCATCAAAGCCCAGTTCAATGCAGCAGTCATTACAGATAGTTAATAGCCCCATTAATCGCTTGCTCCCTTTCAATAGCTTGTGCTTGTGCCTAATCCGTGTGAGAAAAGAATAGACGGACCCATGAATTCCCTTGCCTACAATATGGCCTCGCCAGTGTATCTTGTCTTCAAAATCGCAATTGACACAAGAGACGGCAATCTTCGCTTTGGTTTCAGGCTTTGTGCTGTCGTATTTCTTCGCAGTGAAGTCGAGCTTCGATCGTTCAAGGTTTTGCTGCGTCAAATTGTAAGAACAGTGGACATGGACTGGGGTTATGTTTGAGGCCGATTTAGAGAGCAGGAGCTCTTGCGATGATGTCGGAGAAAGTATCCTGTTTCCTTAAACTCAGCTTACCCCGTGGGTCGCCAAGGGCCAGTTCATCTCACCGAAAGCTTCTTTTGGCCTTTGTATTCATATAACTTAGAGCTTGCGTGTATAACATTCTAAAAATAAAGGGAGCCAAGGCAGGCACCTCTCTAAAGACGGAACTTACTTTAGTCACGAGCAAGCTAGGCTAAATAAAAAATTTGTTGCATGTCGCGGAAGTTCGAGTGCAGTATCAATGTAAGCCACTTTTTTTTGGCTTCAATCTGTTTGCATGAAGGATGGAGAGGGCCAATGTTCTCTGCTCCCAGTCTCTGCACCCTCCACCTGTTTCTGCATCCTATTCCAGTTCCTGCATCCTGTTCCTGCACCCTGTTCCTGCACCTGGTCTCGCTTGGATTAGTCCCGCAAGGCGTAATCTCCTCGGACTCGATCTGGTCTTGAAGAGAAACAAGCGCGGACGTTACAAGAGAGGTGTTTTGGGTGAACTCCGATATTGCGTTTGCAGACGAGATTTACGCCTACGCCTTGCCGCGAACTCAGCGGTACTGCAATCGAACTTGCAATCAGAAGCTTAACTGAGGAACTGCTTGAAGCTTGGCATGTTGACATGTAGTGCAACGAGGAACAAAACGTGTGACGAGAATCAGCGCCCTGTAGCAAGATGGTACTAGGAACCATTTCGAAGGAAGTGAAACGGGATACAAGACTCTTGCAGCAAACGCTGCGACGTCAGATGTACCTACCCACAAACCTAAAGGTGAATTTACAGGCTCTCAGAAGATCTGTGGCAAGGATAATGGAAGTGGCCTCGGGCTGGAAACTTGATGATTTCTTTAAAAACTGTATCAAAATTAGAAATACTAAATATTTATGTAATCGGCCAATATTCGATCCTGGTTTCGTGTACACCACCAAGTTGTCAGGCCGTTGTTGCCTATGCTAGCACGGCGGAGGAAAATACACATTGCACGACAAAAATTCATCGTTTCGATATCGCTGTAACCCTTCCGTCCAGCAACCTGCTATCTCTACCCGAAAGCATAGGACATACATCTCGACAGTGTTTGCTATTTCCACTCAAACCGTTCTTACATGCAAAGCTGAACCAGCTCAGGCAGGTTCAGAGTATTTCTCCCGATATCTTGCCATTGGAAGAACATAAAGCACCATTAACCAAAGACACCATAGCCTAAATGTTTGTTTATCTGACTCTACATCTGTCCGTAACAGTGTTTTGGACGCAATCAGAATGCCAAGTAGTAAAGGGAGTACAAATCCAGTAAAGGGCAATTGCCAAAATGCTGGAGCGACCAATGAGAACAACAAAATCATATAAGCATTGACTAGTCTTGTGAAAGAATCGCCGAGGACTATAGGCATAGTTTTTCGACCTCGGGCTCGATCTCCTTCTTGATCTTCCATGTCTTGAAACTGGATCGTGCAGGTTATAGCTGCTGTCATAACTGCGGACCAGTAGTAAGCAGTCATATCCAGAGGACCGCAAGCGACTTGTGCTGCACCCGCTCCAAAAGATATGAATCCAAGTGCGTTGCTGATATTTCGAACAAGAAATGTCTCCTCTGCTGCTCCGAGATCATTATACATCCATGTGAGTATCATTAAAAAGATACTCTCCTTACTTCCACCGAGATATAGTGTTGAGAGAAGTACGATTGGGATCGATACAAGAAGAATTTGACGAGCTTGTTTAGATGTCAGTCGACCAGATGGGATCGCGCGCCAAGGTTTATTGATGGAGTCCTCTGCGATCGCGTCTGGAAGTCGTTGGTTCGCGAGGTTAAAAATCCAAAGGTTCATCCACGTCCAAAGTATTGATTTCTGTAGCCCGGAGAGAATTCCAAGGTTCGGTCGTAAGTCGGCACTGAATAAACCAGAGAAAGCAGCCGTGAAAGCAAACGTGGTAGCAGGAAGTATTGTCGTCTTAATATCACTCTTCGTAATGAGATAAATGGTTTTTGCGTGGAACAAAATACCCCTTTTCTGAAAGCTTGTTAGACCTTGCCTTTCGTGATTACCTAGCACCATACCTTTGTCTGCAGAGGTGATTCAACCTCCTTGAAAAATTTATCCTCCATTCTCAGAAAGAAGATATCGTTCTACAAACGTATGAAAACTAAAACAAATTGAACTCAAGTGTATATATATCTGAACTCTTCCTGATCAGACCGCGATTTGTCTAGGTACTATATAGTTATTTACAGTGTTCTAGTGCTTACCATACGCGGCCTGCAGATAAGTTCAATGTGCTCAGCCTATGTAAGACTTAGTTGGCTTGTTAGGGGGCAGATACTAGGGGCAGAGACGAAAGCCGTCATTGTCTGTCTACATCGTCTCCAGTCATCACTCGCCTATGGCCTTACGTCGAAGAAGGCCCTTGCACTAGAAGAATCTTCAAACCCTTGCGGCCAAAACATTTCTTATATTCTACTAATACATATCAACTACTAGTACAAATGCTTGATTTCGAATAGAAATTATAAGATAGGAGGAGCATCGGATTGTCTAATTCCAGAGCCTAGTCCGATGACCTTGAGCAACTTTCTCTATATTCTAACGAATCAATTAGGGCTTAGTGTATAGTTGTTCTTTGATAGAAATTAAAGTAGACAATCACGTAAGGAATAATGATTATAGTCACTATATTTAGACAGATAATGCATAAATTAATAGCAGCAAGCAAATGATATGATTAACAGATTAGAGCTTTAAGAAGAACGGATGTCTCTACTATAATCACGTTGTGACCATTTTCCTACTGTTTACTTCATCCCCTTAAGCCTAGTCTTGCTACAAAACTTGCTTTTCCTAACTGGTCTTCGAGGCAATGTAACTTCCTAACGAGAGCACATTAGCTAGGGATGAGATGAGAAAACTTAGTCAATCTTGTACGCAAGATAAAGCAGCACGTTATACATGAAAGATATTGTCCCTCGCTAGGGCAGAAATTAAACTCATGGAGGCGGCTGAGGCCGATTTCGAGCCAAAATCACACTGGATTTTTGCCACTAGTAACCGCCACTAATTCGTGCACCCTGTTTCTGCACTCTGTTTCTGCACCCTGTTTCTGCACCCTGTTTCTGCACCCTGTCTATTATTTCACAGCCACCCGAAGCTATCTTATTCGAGCGATCTATTATGCAATACTAAAGTAAGTCTCAAAATAAAGAAGAGCCAGAAAAGACACCTCGTTTAAGTAGATACAGTTTGGGATCTGAAAACGGCTCACGTCGATCTTCGTTAGCACGAATACTAGCCGCCGGTTACAGAACCAATATCTGGAAGGAGAGTTCAAATGAAGCAAATGAATGACCCTACTGCAAGCGAGATTAATCATTACTATAATTAGAATATATCTCAAGCTTTTTTCCTATTCTTGGAAGTCAGCTTCATAATAAACCTATGTCAAATTAGTCAACTGGAGCCAAAATTGGATCTGCGACTCGCCCAAGGTGAAAACTTGCGGAAGGAATAATTTCGACTCCTGCGGGCGTACGGGAGCCATGTGACTTATCAGAGTCACTTCATGACAAATATTAGTGTCTCTAATGCCGTCAGAAAAAACCTATATGACCTAACCTTTATTCCACTCTCCGTCACACCATGAAAACACAGCGAGAATCTAATTCTTAAATCTCCTTGAATATTTCCATTCATCTAACCTAAAATCAGTATTTTTTTCCCTACTCTCCTATTAGATTATATCAGACTCTTCATTATGCTCTTCTCCTTTATCATTGCCCCTGGTGCTCTGGCTTGCATTGCTGCTGCGGCACCCACATACCCCGAGCCAGCACCAACTACCACTGCCGCTCCTCAGCAATCCGCATCAACTGGACTCAGTTTCACTCAGCAACTATACCTCGCTGATACCGCCGCCGACCGATTTGCCCTTCTACCACTGGATGAGCAATTCAAGTTTGCTTTCAATGATCCAGCGCTGATGAATAAGGGAGGACTAGGAGGAGACCTCATCACTGCGAACCGCAAGACCTTTCCTGCTCTCGTTGGTACTGGGTCGGGTATGGCGGTCGGCTTTCTGAAGGGCTGTGGCTTTAATACTCCTCATGTCCACCCTCGCGCTACCGAGCTCCAAATCGTTGCTCAAGGCGTCCTCCAGACCGAGATAGTTCCTGAGAATGGTGTTTTCGATACACCTGGGGATGTTACGAGCGGCCGCCGTGTCATCAAAAATACCATAAACCAGTTCGAGATGCAGCCTTTCTACCAAGGCTCCGTCCACTCACAATTTAATCCTACCTGCGATCCAGCTGTCTTCATCGCTTCTTTCAACAGCGAGGATTTTGGAGCCGGTCAAGTTACAGACGAGTTGTTCGCTATGAGCCCCAATGTCGTTGTTGCCGCGTTTGGAGAAGCTGTTGATGGCGCTGATATTGATAAATTCAAATCTGCCATCCCAGCCAGCATCGCGAAAGGTGTCGAGGAGTGCCTTGCCAAGTGCGGTATCAAGAAGCGTTAAAAGTTCGCCATAGTCTAATGACTGTATAATCTTTTTGCGCGCTTTCTCCCAAATTCCTCATGATTTGAAATTTTTTAGTGGTCATGAGTGATGGCTTAACTTCAGAGACTGAGTAACGTCTGTCCCTGCGTGGCGAGACGCACCCTGTAACGAGACGAATTTATAGTTTTGGAATCACAATTTTTTTTAGCAAGTTTATAGAGTTAATATTAATATTTTACTTTCTTTAACTATTTCTCCCTAATAAGAGGTTCAGTTGTTGGGACGATAGCTGGGAAGCTCCTCGAGGGTTATTCGGAAAGGAACTTGAGAAGTGGCTCTGGAATACAGATGGATGGTCGACATTCAGATCCTCTTGAAAAGTGTGATACGCTCTCTGGCTCTATAAGTTACCAGATTTCCAAGCTACTTCCTCAATTGGACCCGTCACTGCTTCCCTCCTCCAACATCGAAAAGTTGTCTTTCATCAAGTGTCAAACAAGACTTCTCACAACAAGACTGCAGAACGTCTCCCGAGCTATCATGTATACCACCATACCTCTTGATGAAATGGAACGCAAATCTGTTTTAATCTGTTTTATCAAATGCACAAACCTTGGTCCCCGAAGCTTGATACCATGCACTGTCTCCTGCAAGAGTTTTGTCTAGGTCCTCGAGACCTGCAAATTGGGTGACAACACTCTTCCTTGGCCTGTGGATCTTTCCCTTTGAGATCACTACGCTCAACAAGATCCATCATTTTCGCAAGATTTAAATTGTTGGAAGCAGCTCATCAGTCCACTACGTAAGTTAGCCTATCTATATTGTAGGCTCCTCTCTCTTTTCGTGGTATAGGTTCTGACCACGGTATGCGGAAAATAAGTTCGCATGATAGCTAACTTACAACAGGCACTGTGCTGTGGTTTAGAGGGTACTGTACCTAGTACCTTGCCGTATAGATGTTACGGTGCTGTAGCATGGGGCCGTGAGTGCGACCCACCATACCGAAAATGATTCTTAGTAGGGGTATCTGCGAAGTGCGTCGGGGAAGTGAAAACCATCAACTTCCTCTACTCCAAAGTATTACTTCTTGATGGTTACCATCATTCTCAAACTAGTTACATTCCTTAAATGGTTGCCCCAACGTCGATCTTCAAGCACATAGATGAGCCTGCGAATGGATAAAGCTGAAAGCGCTCAGTAAACCAAACATGTATATCAAACCCGCAAAGACAACTGTTAAATGCATTATCTGGTGGCTACATCCGTAAATATCATACCTCAGTGGGTGCCATCTTTCTGGGATCCTTACTGTATAAACTATAGCTCCAAGAAGATTGAGAATTGCCGCAATTAACATGTATGTCAGGCTCATTCTTCGGTTCTGGATCTCCCAGCCATGAATGATAAGTCCATGTATCATGAAGACCACTGCAGAGAGGCCAAAGGAGGCGTACATCATGGTTCGATAAGGCCGGAGGGTTGGATGTCGAAATTTCGGGTTCAGGGTTGCCATGGTGCATATCACAGCTAAGACAGAGACCACAGCCCAGTATAAGTTCTGCAGTTTTGGGTCACAATAAAATCCGTAGTAAACCGAAGGGATTATTGATCCCCATATGAGAATAATAATTCCTAGATAGTCGAACTGATTCCAGTACGCAGCCATCTTTTCGCTATGGTTTGACATAATATGGAAAGATGCAGAGAGGGAAAAGCATAGGCTTACGCCAGAAAAGAATGTAATAAAGCCAATTATATCCCAATTTGAATAGCGGCGTGACAGATGTGTCCTCTTGCACACATATATGTTGGAAGGATTGCGAAAAGCACCGCGCCGAGGAGGTGGGAGTAGATGTTCACAATCTCATTGTGGATGTACTTCAAGCTGCTCAGGGACTTCTGAAAGGATCCAGAGATAGGCCGATATCCAGTGAGGATAAATTCATTATCTCGTCACCAGCTGAGGAGGTCGTTCCATCGTAGGAGCAGATAGTGACCACTTTGGATTCTAGGCTGCCTGGGTGTATGATCCGTCGGCTGATTTTCAGTCTCTCTCTGTTCAGGGGCCATATTTGCCCAGTTCCTACGTCTAAAAATCATCTATCGGAAAAGCGCCGCTTTGAAACGGTTAAATCCCTTTTCCGTGCTGAGAATTCGAAAAGCGATTGTCGGTAAGCAATGGAGCCAGGAGGGGATCTCCTAAAAATAAATAGTCTAGCTTGAGGGGCTAAAAACGGCTCCACATTACATTCCACCTCCTTAAACAAGCTGAGTAGCACATCAGTGCCCATTGCTCAAAACCATTGCGGCGCCTTCTAGCTTTCGATCCTTCGTACTTCATATCAAATGGCCCCAGTTAGATCCAGTAACCTTGAACGCGGCAAGTGGAGAAGTAAGTGCCGTGAAGAATTATCAAAGCACATTCGTAAGTCTCTCTTTGCGCATTCCTTTCAGTTCTTACTAAGAGAACTCCAGGAGATAGAGTTGGAATCTCAATTGAACCATCACAAGTTCGCCTGATAACTGGGACTGATGATCCTTATGAGTGGAAAGTTCTGCCAGAGAAAAGGCACCTCTTCTCTAAAAAAATAAGCGACCATTCGATCGGGGCATATAAGGAACTATGTGAAGGAATTGGTATTACGTTTGAGGCTGTGTCCGCAAGTGTAGCAACAGGGATGGGCTCAATCGGCAATATCCAGGAGTTTCTCGTCTCGACAGAGGTACGCAGGCAGCTTAAGTTTTTGAATCCAGCTAACCATTTATTCAGCCTACACAAGTGGGCCTTAGTGCAAGGATTGATGAATTGCATGGAGAAAACATGACGCTTAAACGAGAGCTAGAGGAATGGAGGGTTCAGGCTACAGCAGAATCCGAACTTCGACAACAGTTTGAGCAAGAAGTGAAAAATCTCACAGTTGCGAATCAGATCCTCCATCAGGATTTACAAAAGAGCACAATGGTAGCAGAGTCTTTCAGAAGGGACATAAACAAATACATTCACATAGTAAATGGGGTGATGCCGCTGATGGACGAGTTGAACACTGGATTGACAGGAAATGGGGGCTCTGGTGAAGTGGAGCCTTTCCTATGCCCTGTCGTTGAAAGTCGTAATTGACATCCAGATTAAATCAGAGAGATCAGCCAATTAATCAATTGACTGAAATGGGCTAAGTTACATAGAATGATAATACCCGTGCAGAAAGCGGTGACTAATTCATAATCCACACACCACAGCTTACTTCCGAACTATTACGGTGCAGCTTGTGCAGATATCTATCTCTGCTTAGTGAACAGGAGTCGATGGTCCACTTGCTATTCTCGGATGTGCTAATTTGTCATCAAATGCCACATGGCGAGTGCGTTTGAAACAAGATCTCTGGCTTAAGTTACACGCGAACAGATCCACGGCCGGATTCTCCTTCAATCTTTCGGCTTACTGGTTTGGGCCCCTGTATGTACAGTGCTCACCAGTACTATCCTGCTAGAGTTCACTTCGTCTACGTCAAGCTCTCTTCTAAGATTTCAGCGCTGATGTCTATTTGCGGCGACGGTTAACATAAGTTGGGTCCGAGTATTGGTTGACTTTCTCTGGGAATTCTCGTTCAAGATGCAAACCCGCTAAATCATAGACTTAAGACATGTTCAAAATTGACTATGAAATTCTTGAACTACGCCAACAGCTCTTAGCGCGTTGATTACTCCCTCTCATTTGATGCATCTCAAGAAGTAGAAAAGGCGAACTTAATAAGGGAGGCAAATCTCTTCCATTTGACAGGACAGAGTGAAGATAATATGATCGATGCCAAAGTGAAGAATGCGAGCGGACTTCATATAACCCGCCCCCGAACAACCTAGACATTGAGACAATGCGGGTGATGAAACCTGCCAGAACGGACCCCAGTTAGCTACGTTTGCCTCTGGCAGACAAAAAATGTGTTTTTGAGCCCACTTGAGTTCCCAGTGAGTTAATTTGATATCATAAGACCCTACAGTCTCAAGTAGTTTGAATTCAAGTTAGCGAATGTATAGATTGGAGTCCTGAATGATTAAGCAGGCTAAGTCTTCGGGCAAGCCAGGTTGTTCCTTTCTCTCACATCACATTTTACTTTGTCTCTGACCTCGCACCAGGTTCTGAGGGCAGGCTCCGAAGTTCTCTTTTGTATCGGCACTGACAATGTTGGCGTCCAGTGCCAAGGCAAATGATGTGATGGTTTCTGCCAAGGCCCATTTCTTTCCGGCTCCATAGCATCCAATAAGCTCAAAAGATCCCCCCTGACTTGGATAATCTGTGCGTCCATCCACCATCCCAACTGACAGAGATGGATTATACAAGCTCAGATTGAGCACTTCAGCCTCTTCATCCAAGTCAGCTGTCAAGTGAATCCAGCCCGACTCAACCACACTGACTGGGTCTTGACAGCAGGAGATAAACATAGTAGACATAACGTTGACAGTACCAATGTCCTGTCTCCTCTGACCATTCCGAGTACCACCGTCTTCAAACTTGGAGATGACGGAACGCAATCTGGTTGTATTACATCCGAGAATTGCCCGGCAGACAGAGTCAGACAGACTACCCCAGGCTATGACTTCGACACGGCGTGGATCCTTGAAATTTCCCCACGACAGTTTCTTGTCGGATGAGAATCTACCCTCGATCTGAAAATTGGTGATTCCCAAGCCTTTGCTAGCAGTGGAAGTAAGGAAGTCTTGACAAGCACGATGCGTGGAGATGGTCACCATGTTCTGGCCGGCTGGAGCGCCACAAGTATAGTGAAACCTGACCTGAACTGTCCTTCCAAGCACGTGTGGAATAATCTCAACAAGTCGAGCATATCGACTGATCTTTTCGGCGCTGGCTTTGAATGAAGACTGGAGTGTTGGCACGTGGCAGTAGAACCGGAGAGCATCATCGACCGTGCGGAAAGTGAATACAGGAGTTCGTGACAAGCCTTCGCTTAAAGCTTCTTTGCATCCACGCGAACAGCTTGCAACAATTGTGGGCTCTCCAGTCGCCAGGGCACTGTACACTGATCTTTCACACTTCTCGTGGACGGTCAGCGGATCAGCTAGACCAGAGGGCCCTCGTGTAAAGCCAAGGCAATTTTCAATCTTGATGTCCTTCGCTTCCTCGTTGCGGTGAGAGGGCGACGTCTCTGCCGATCTTTCTAAGTTTCGCGTTCGATCAATCATATATGCTGCAGGTATGGTGAAATAAAGAGGTAGAAGAAACCCGACAGAGGCGGCGAGACGGCAATTTATTAATAAGCGGCCTGTTGAAGAGGTGAGGAAGGACACTAGATCCATGATTTGTGGCTTTATAGATTGAATATCGTCATTAGAATGGAAAGTCGCTAAGTGCTTGAATTGTTCTTCTTGAAAATTCTTTCTAAGTCATTGGCGGGACTAAAGTATGCATTAGACATAGATCTGAGAGCTCAAAGTGTCAGCTCTGGTGTATACAGAAACAGGGTGCAGAAACAGGGTGCAGAAACAGGGTGCAGAAACAGGGTGCAGACAGTAGCGTAGAAAGTATGCAATGCAATTGTCAGACAGCCGAAAATCGAAGATGGTTTCAATTAATCAAGTAATCGGCGTTAGTTTTTTTCCACCTGTAGACCTAAGCAAATCCGCAGAATTCACCGTGGGTGGTTGAGCGACGACCGATATTTGGGGCCATTTATCCTTCCCAATAGAGTGCTTTCGAGCCCCCAAGACCCACATGATAGAAATTGCTTCAAGTATCTCGGTAAAACTAACCGAATCGTTGTCCCAATAACATACCAGATCAAAGAGACGGGCATCCTCCATATCTTCGTATTTCTCGAGGTTTACCGACAATTTTGATTCGCAATTTTCCTTTATAACTCGGTTAAACTTGACCAAAATAGTAAGTTCTCGAAGTACTTGGCACCGATTGAATTTTTCCATAAATCGCTTCGGCCCAATGAATTGGATCCACTCGATGTCGATAGCAAACAGTTCAAAACTAGCGTCATTTTCACTCGGGGAAAGAGAAGAAGCAGCGAAGTTGTGGATGTCGAAGTTCACATAGACAGTGTCTATCATAAAGTTGATGTATATTTTATCGATGTCGGCTGATAATACGTATCGTTTCAAGGCCGCGGTACGTGATTCGTGGCATACCTGTAATAAGGGCGGGTTCTCTTGCTGTCTAGGATATTAATGCTGATTTAAAAGCGGTGTGATGTTCACAACACGCGGAATCATCGCCAGGTACCAGATGTCCAGACGAATCTCAGGTGGAAGTCGAGGGAATAAGGAGAATGTCTGGAGATTCATAGTTCCTAAGTGAAAGTGCTGGAGGTCACGAGTAAAGAGTAAAGGAAAAAAGGAGACTGATTTTAGAGGGGCTTTGTGAGCTAATTGCCATGTATGTGCAATTTTTATTGAGGCTTTGCAACGTTCAAACAGAGCTAGTTCTCTCAGAGAAGGGATTAAATGCAGTTGCCAAAGTACGGTGTTTCTGGAACCTAATCTGGCTCCAGAAAGGGGAGCCCGTTCTGATGCCGCTATTTTGAGATCATCCATCATTATTATGAACCTTCATGAAACAAGACCTAGCAGTAAGGTATTAAACCCGTCACATTTGCCATTGTTATTTATAAGTAACCCTTAATGTAGAAAACATCAATCCCCATGCTCATCGTGTATGGAATGAATAAAAAGGCAATTATCCATTCCAATACCGCTGCAATATCAGCCATGCGACCCAAAAAAGCCAACACCGAATATGGCACTGCTATTATTAATTCTAGTATAAGAACCGCAGTTTTGATGCGATAAGATAGTCGCATAGCATTGTTTTGGGAAATAGTCAAGGATGTTCGAAGCTCCCAGCAGATAAGCGCCATAGTAATGGAGTAACAGAACCTACTCTAAAGTCAGCAAAAGGACTGATTCGTGGTGAGTAAATATACATGAAAGTAGCCACAAAGCTCCAGTGAAGAATTTTGTGTTGATGTATATCAAATATAGAGAGTAGCACCAGCGCCAATCCTCCAATGCTGATGGAAACAACGACTAACTTAAGTTAAGTCAATCAACACGTCACTTAAAGAATATTATGCTTCCCATCATTCAGCTTCCTCATTCGCTCAGACCCTTTCAATAAATATTCCTTCCCAAAACACCTCTCAAACAATGTCCCTATTACCATCATACGAAAGAATTTCAATCTCAAGAACCTTCAGCCATCTCCTTATTAATCCGTCAACAACTCCTTAATCTCCTTAACATCCCTCGGACCATGAGTATTAACCTCCTGCAAAAGTCCCAAAGCACCAATAGCCTCCTCCACGAGATGCGTGAAATGATGTTTCCTATCCCCCATCAACTCCTTCCCCAATCCGTATGCCCCAATAATCTCCTCCACAAGATGCCTATCATGGTGATGAGGTCCCTCCCCATTCCCACCAGTCATATAATTCGCAGTTCCACCCTTCGCCTTCTCCCGTTCCTCACGTTGCAAAAGCTCCCAAGCACCAATAGCAACAGCAGCCCCAATTGCAGCTTTGGAAAGATGAGAGACCTTGTTGTCTTTAGACTCGAGGGTTTTGGCAAGTTGGTCGAGGGTTACTACTGCGCCGACTCCAGTGGCTAGGAGTTCGACGTCTTCGGTCTTTGAGAGATGGTTGTGGGTATGAGTGTGTGGCATCGTGATGGTATGGTATACAAAATATGGCTAATTATAGTGTGATGTGTTTGTGATTGATTGTTGTGTGTTGCTAAACAATAAGCTTTATGATCTGGGGATAAAAACAACCAAGCTTCGCGGAGAAATTGCTTCATTCATATAGACTTCTTGTCGATCATGATCCCTGCGATTTAGAAACACGAGAGACTGGTTACCGGGAGGCAAATGATACATTTCGCAACTTCCGAACCAGTCGGGTTCGGTGGGAGGGATACTAATGGGAGGCTCATACGACTCTGGGAATTGGTGACGTGAGGATCAGAGCATCACGCTTGAGATTACTAGATTCAGAAAACAACAAAAGCAATGAACACGGAATATGCCCATGTTTCGAAGATTCTCGGATGTTTCTAAAAGCCGCAAAAGCCCTGAGGAAATTCTCGGTTGGGAATTATTGGTGGCTGGAAATGTCACGATCAAGTGTTGGAGGAACTACGTTGCTGCAGTTTCAGCCTACAAGCCTGTTATAATTACAGTTGCATAAGGAGCTACTACAGAGAGAGAGAATCTCCTATATAAAGGGGTAGCGTACTTAGTAGTACGGCCTATAGTACTAAGTCTACGCTTATAATCCCTATATTTCTAATAGCCTCTCTATTCTCTATATCTGTAGTAAATAGAGCCTTCTAAAGCAGTATAGCGCTGAATATTCCCGAAGCGATACTAGAGTATCACCGAAGTATTACTGATAACTTATATTATATAAGGAGCCTTGATTGTGCCTTATTAACTCCTGTAATATACTAATATATATATAGTGCCTACGTCTCCTATTTTCCTAGGAGTTTAGTAACTTTATAGTATTAAGGTATATAAAACGGTATAAGAGTGCACCTAAATCGCTCCCTTATTAATAATCTCCTGCTCCTACTGCTCTTATTTACCCTTCTTTATAGTTACCTTATACCTTCCTTTTATAACTACTAAGATATTCTTTACTAGCTTTCTCTCTAGCTTCTAGGGTATATAAAAGTTATTCTCTTCTAGTTCTGTTTCCTTTCCTTTTTCCTTTAACTATAGAATAAGATTTATCTTAACTATTAGGTATAGTAGTTATATATCGTGTTTTACTTGATTCGTAGTTATATATTATTATTAAGGAAGATATTTATTAAAGAACTGATTTTCCGCGAAGAATATTTCATTTTTTATAAGTTCTATTACTAGAAATAGCCTTGATTTATACAGGTCTACTATTAATTAGCTAACTATTATTAATCTTAGAGTTATTATTAGAGAATCAGTTATTACTAGGTAACCCTATATATATCTTATATTATTTAAACGATTCTAAAGGTAAAGCCTTCGTAAGAGTATCTACTATATTATTATTACTTAGAACGTGTTTTACTACTAACTTATTATATAAAACTATATTATCTCGAATATAGAACTAGCGGATATTAATATACTTTACCTTTAGATAGAATTTCTATTCTTTTAAGAGAGATTCAGCTCTAGTGTTATCGAGATATAGCGTAAGAATTCGGGATAGCTTTATATTAAGGTCTTTCTATAGCTTAAGTAACTAAGCTACTTCTCTAGAGCTATTACTAGTAGCTATTATCTTAGAATTTAAGCTAAAGAGAGCTATAGACCTTTACTTATTAGTAGCCTAAGAGATTAGACCCCTGTAGAACCTTACTATCTATCCTTGGAACGATTTCCTATTATATTCTATCTCTTACGTAGTATTAGTCTAAATATCGAATATATTATTATCTAGCTTTCCCTTGTATTCTATTCTGATTCTAAACGTTATTCCGTTACCTTCTATATATCATAGATATCAGAGGAGAGGTTTTATATCTTAAAGGTGAGATTTAAGGGGATTTAATATATACTATGCTAACTAGCCTGTTATATAGGTAATATTAGGTCGTGTGAGGTTTAAGAGATATATTAGAGAGCTAATAATCTGCTGAAATAGTAAGATCTCTTCAGGGGAGGCTAGTACAACACTTTTATCTTTAGCTAACTCCCTTAATACTATTCTAGCGGCTGCAGGTAAGGTATTACCTCTAGCTACAGCTATTTTAAACCTTTCTAGTAGCTTTTATATATAGGCTATTTAATAAATCCGTAGAGTCTTATTCTTCTTATCCCTCTTAACTTATAGGCCTATAAACATATTAATAGCTCTAAGGTCTTTACTTTTCTAGGTCTTTAAGAGCTATTTCTTAAGATATTCGTAGTTAGTAGGGTTACCTATAATTAGTATATTATCAATAAAGATTAATACGTATACTCTATTCTTAAAGATAAAGAGATTAGGGTTAGCTTCTAATACTTCTAGACCTAGCTTTTCTATCTTATCTTTAATAAGGAGCTACTATTCCTTAGGTACTTATTTTAGGCTGTAAAGAGAGCGTAGGAGCTTCAGATATACGTCTTTCCTTCTATTCAGCTCTAAGTGAAGCTTATTCTATATCTCCAGCGTCTTATTATTCGGAATCGTTATATATATATCTTCTTTTAAGTACGTGTTTAGGAAGGTAGTATTAATATTAATATACTCGATCTCTAGGTCTCTTTTAGCTATAACAGCAAGTAGTGCTTATAAGGTAAAATAGCGTATAACGCTTGCGAAAGTATCGAAGTAGTTAAAGCTATATTTTTACTTAAAGCCTCTTACTATAAGCTTAGCCTTTCGCTATACTATAGAGCTATTAGAGTTGATTTTATTACATAGAACTAGTCTTAAAGATATCAGTTTCAAGCTAGAGGAGGCTTACTAAAGTATACTCTATAGGTTCCAGCGCTTTATATAGCCTGTAATTCCTTGAGAATAGCGGCTTTCTATTCTACTAGATTATCCCTTAGAGCCTCTACGATAGTTATAACCTTAAGAGGTCGTATAAGTTTACCCTTTAGTGTAATTAGCGCTATTTAATAAGTTAATGCCTTATTAAGGATTTACTAAGAGTATAGCTTTATAGTTATTACCTGAGCAGCTTACTTAAAGTGTTATTTTCTATACTATTTCCTACTATATCTTAATAGTAGAGTATTATTAGACGCGTTTACTAGTTAAGTCTATTTAAGGAGGCGTTAATTAGACGCTCCCTTAGTATCTCTTACTATATTTTCTATAGCTAACCTTCCCCTTAAAGGATTTTCAGCTTCTATAGCTAGCTTCTCTCCTAGAGGTCTTTTAGCTTCTATAGCTAGCCTCTCTCTTAGAGGTCTTTCTAAGCCTTTAGTACCCTTAGCTAGCCTCTTAGTAAGTACTAGACTAGTAGCTAGTAGCAGAGGTCTTTCTACTGCCTTATTACTACCTTTTAGTATAGTTTCCTTACTACTAGTATATATAGAGTATATTATATACTTATTAAAGCCGTAGTCAGCTATTTCTAGTTCCTTAAAGGTTTCTACGTTTAGGAGCCTATAGGTTAAGGTATTAGCTATACCTACTAATACGAAATACCCCGGAATCGTTCTTTACTTTATTTTGCCCTGATATAGCCCTAGTAGATATAAAGGGTACGCTATAGAGCTAAATACTCTTATTTTAGAGAGGTTTATAAGCCGTCCTCTGTATACTTCAATTAGAGTAAGTCTAGTAGCTGTTTTATATAGTAAAGCAGTAGTTAGGCGTCTATTCTTTAGCTTTGCCGCTTACTTAATAGCGTAGTACTATATATTCTTAGGTATCTTCGTGTTATAAAGGATTAAGCGTATAATCTTAGCTAGTTTATATATCTATTACTTTACGACTCTATTCAGAGAGTGTTTATATGGAGGAGAGGGTTTAGGAATAATTCTACTCTCTTATAGCTAGTTAATAAACTTAGGACTGAACTCTCCCTTACTATTATTAGTCCTCTAGTAGATAATTATACGGAATTTACTTTACCCTTAAGTTTTAAGCTATAGCTTTAATTTCCGAATAACTAGTTAAATAGTTAACGTAAACTTATTAACTAAGAGATCTACCTAATATATCCTCGTAGTATTATCTACTACTAAAAGGAAGTATTTATAGCTATAAATTAAGCGTGGTAAGATACTAGAGATATCAGCGTGTAGTTAACGAATAGGTATATTAGTTCTATTATCTGACTTCTTATTAAAGTGCTCTTTTATATAGCTTATAAAGTAAGCCTTATAATACCTCTCTCCCTTTAGCTTTAGAACAGAAATCAGTCTTATTCCGTAACTGCTATAAGTAACTAGTTTCTTTAAATAGGTGTAATTTATATAGTCTAAACGCCTATAAAGCAGATCTACCTTTATTTCCTCTGTACTAGGCTAACTCTCTATTTATTCCTTTAATAGCTTTAAGTCTAACGGAATTACGTTATACGTAACTTAATATTAAGGATTCGTATCTAGAATATATAAACCTCTGTTTCTTATACTTATAAAGGCTAGTTTACTATTCTAGTATCTATTTACTAATATCTTAGTTAGTTCCGTATTAATTCCTTTATCTAAGAGTTAATATATTAATACTAGCTTTATAGCTCTGAAGTTAGGTACATACTACACGTCTTTAAGGGTTAACCTATTAATAGTAATATCTCTATAACTTTTAGCTATTAAATACGAATTAGTCGCTATTTTAATATATTTAGTGTTGTATTAGCGCTTAAGTTGCTTAAACTTAGCTAGAACTCTACTGAAGTAGCGAGTAGCGCTAGAGTTGATTTTCTAGATAGATTCTATAATAGAGATTATTAATAAAGTATATTCTACGTCTTTAATATAGTAAATCTCTTCTGAAGAGAACATAGGATAAGTATTATTATCTTTAATTTCCTCTACTTTATTAGTACTATCTCTTACGTAGGTATTCTTAGCTTCCGTGTAATCTACGTACTAGTAGCTATAGCTTTTACACCAGGTATACTAATTTCAGCCTAATTTAGGGCGATTTCCTTTCTTTTCTACACGCCCTCTATATCTCTATTAGCTACTACTCCTGCTATTATTATTTCGTCTTTCTTATCCTCTCCTATTCTTATATATATTACTTCTCCTACGTAAGTAGCCTCTACCCCTCTAGCTTCTACTATCTTTACTACCTCTCTCTCTATTATAGCCTTTATTCGCGTAGTTCGCGGTATTACTAGTAGCTATAGGTTAAAGCTATTCCTTTTATTAAATTTAATATTTATTAAGCTTTCGTATAGTATCTCTAAGATCTAGGTCTTATAATTCTAGGGTAAGCGCTATAGTAATCTAAGCTCCGGATATTAGTAATAACTATAATAGCTTAAGACGTATATCCTTATTAGTAAAAGGTTTACTATCGCCGCTAAGCTTTACTTTAAAGAGTAAGAGCCTTATAATATAGTTCTAAAGTGTTTCCTCTCCCGGGATAAACTTTATCTTAAAGAAATTATCTCTTATATTAGTAAAAGTAAGACTCCCTTAAACTACTTTACCTTTATCTACGTGAATAGCTTCCTAGAGAAGCTTAGTGTTATTTAGTTTAATAATATCTCTATACTTAGGAAAAAGAAGCTTAGAGATTAAGTTAATAACTATTTTAAAAGCTTCCTTCTTTTCCTTAGCGTGAGTATTCTACTAATTAATACTATTTGGTACGCTAACTTTAGTAAGAACGTAATAAAGAATACTAGCCTTAGCTAGCTCTTATTTAGTCTTAAGCTCCTATTTAAAGAAGTTATTAAACTCTAGTAAAGTTTTACCTTTTAAGGCTCTAGCGATATAGGGAATTAGTACTTTTAATTAGGATAATATTATAGTATAGTAGCAGATATACTAAGAGTTAATAAAGTAGAGATCTTAATGAAAATAAAGTTTTAAGGTCTTTTTCGATCGATTAGAATTACTACTATATTATAATTATAGTTGCATAAGGAGCTACTATAGAGAGAGAGAATCTCCTATATAAAGGGGTAGCGTACTCAGTAGTACGGCCTATAGTACTGAGTCTACGCCTACAATCCCTATATTTCTAACAAAGCCACGTGCTGTGGTGGGCTGACTTTCCAGTACACATTGCTAGGAGCCAATGTATCTCCGAAACTTGATCATGCCATAGCTTTTCGGAACAATTTAACTCTTCCGGATTTCCAGATTTACATTAGAAAAGTGGTATGCTTCTGGAACAGAAGCGGCATTGTTAAACTCAGTTTCGGATCGGGCCGAAATATGTGTACTCTACCGACAGCCTTCCGAGGCAACCTGCTGCTGTTCCGAAATCATGTTAACAAGTGTTAAGCTTCGATGTCTAGTATATATTGGTAGTCGTAGGTAGAAGTGGGATAATTCTCAAATGTGGTATAATCATAGATTCTATAACCTCTCATTATTTTTCTTGTGCTGTAAATTAAGTGACCTAATGCAGCGGCCTGCACTAAGCGATGGCTGCGTGGCAACTTCTAGTGAGGAGCTGTCCAGCGTATCCGGAACCTTCCGTCCTCCACCTCAAGTCTGGACCTCCAGTCTTCGTGCTCTCACCGGATAATCCCATATCGCTAAGCGAGAATTCTGAGAAATCGTTCCGCGCAGTTAAAAAATCGCGAAAAACGTTCTTAGAATTTTTATACCACCAAAACACAAATAAAAGATACTTGAGCTTCTTCTCTGTTGCATTAAGCTCAAATCAGAGTATACAGACGTGGTAGTGGTGCGATGCGCAGCTTTGAAAACCAAGAGATTTTGGCGTTCCCTGTACAAGCAAAAATGGACGCTTCCTGATTATGACCCCACTACGGTGGCGAAATACTACAGTAGAACCGGGCGAATAAATTTCCCGTTGAGTCAATTCATCGCCAACAGGGACCGTCTACACGGCTGCCATTCCCAAGCGTGACCCTCCAGTCTATGTGGCTGCCATTGCGATCTCCCTAGGCGCTGTGGTCCGTGGATCTAGGCCGCGGGGAACCGCCAGCTAGGTTGTATCGAGGGATGAAGTCGATCGGAGAATCACGACGGCGGCGTCGGGACGGCACGCAACGAATGCATCAGCTCCTGTTATTCGCCACCCCGAAAATCTTTGACTCACTCCATCATTTCACTGCACGCTAGAGGCATCCTTGGCGAAGCACCGCCGGAGCACACTTAGAGTTGAGTAGGTTACACCATAGAAGGCTGCAAAATGTGGCTTATTATCACGCCACGCTCGAAGTTTTGGATTTCTGCAATGCAGCTGCAAGAACCAGAAGAGCTAGACACCTACAAATCAGCAATAGAGCTGTCTCAATTGGTGCTGATGTCGTGCAAACACCCTCCATCACTCCACTCGCCTGCAAGACATCGATATGCCTCCGGGACAATCTCAAGATATAGCTGAAGGCCTCTACGACTCTCAATCTTCATCCATTGTCGGTTGTTTCAACAGATTTCGAACGAGATCTCTCCTCAAATCATAGTCAAAGCCCTTCAAAATGCTAAAAGATAACCCGACGCAAGGAGACGACAAGTCGGGCAAAACGGAAGACAGACGTGCCAACGAATCACACGTCCGCGAACTCGAGCTCCGAGAGAATGTTGCAGGTGGGCGTGGAAGATATACATCAGTCAGCGTCCTCGATCCAACGATCTGGATAGAACGCACTAAAGATGGTCACTACCGCATCGTCGTAACTTTCAACCTACAAGTCAAGATCCATGCTTTCGATAAAGGGTAAGTCCATTAGTGTTGCACCTGAGAACGCATGAATAACAGCATGCATAGATACCAGAAGAAATACAATAAGCTTTTCGATTTCATATCACTCAGGTATCTGTACCATCACCCTGAGAAGCACGAAATTAGACCAGGCGGTGACGGGGTCACTCACTTCAGAACGAATGATGAGACGACGAGAACAGAATGGATGGAGGCTAAGCTTACTGCTGATCCATCAAAAGGAGCAGCAGGCATATCTCCAGAGGTTGGAATCCATGTACAGCGTGACAATAAGGTCACGTATGAGCGTGAATCCAACAGCTGGAGAAGAGGTCTATCTTTCGAGTCATGTAAGTGTGTTCACGGTTGATTTGTTCCACAGGCTAAAGAGGGACCAGATTACTCATCTCCTCATGGAGAGCGGGGAGACCATGGGTGGGGGGAATATGTTCCGAGGGAATTACATCATCACAACTTTCAAGTTGTTCCGCCAAACCACAAGCTAAATGCGGATGGATGCAAATGCTCGATACTAGCGTTACCAGAGGTTAACAAAGAATCACCCTGTCGACTTCGGCTTTCATACGGGCCCCTTCCAAATAAGCATGATACGAAACACCAAAAAGGCTTGAAGACATACAACCGCTGTGCGCATTGGTTCTGGCAGACGGAAGTTTCTGCACACCTATGGGCACCAGAGATTTATGAAAGCTACACTACGCCCATAACTGTGACTAGAATAATCTCTACCAAGCTCTTGGATGAAAAGCCGCTCAAGAAAACCATAGAGCAAGGATGGGAAGACGCTCAGCGCTCCCTACATTTCGACTTTGTGGTGTGTACGAGACTTCGGGAACTTGGCAGGCAAAAATGGACAGATAGGTTCCCCATTCATAGAACCTCAACACCAAAGCCAGCTGAAGTTCGCGCAAAAAAAGACATGGGGTATCCACTTAAGCGTGATAGGATGGCTTTCTGTGTTTGGGCTTGTCCTGCCAAGATAAATTGGCCAAAAAGAAAAACGATGAACAAGCTGAAAGTGGCGGAAGAAGAGGTGAGCATATCTTGACTTTCTTGACAGGGAACAATAGTAGCGGTTGGCTGACGATCTCAGATCTCGAGACAGCAACGGTGTATTAATGAGATACCCAGTTCGGCCGTGTATTTCATCAGCAATTTCATCAGAAAGATGGGAAAGAAAGCCAAATCAAAGATCGACGAGGATAAGTTAGAAGAGGAGCGGGCACAAGTTGAAAGGAAGAATCTGGACAAGGCTAGAAATAACAGAAAGAACATGGAAAAAAAGTTGAAGGGTCTTGAGGCTCGAGAACGCAGAGCTCGTATCGAGGGCACTTTTCCCAACAGCACCTCAAGCTCAAGCTCAAGCTCAAGCTCAGGCACGGATTCTGAGAGGAAGAAATCCAAGAAAAAGGAAAGGCGTAGGCATCAGCGCTCTCCATGCAGGCATTGCAAAAAACATCATCGGGATGATTCGGAATCAGAGAAGAGAAATCGAAAGAAGCGCGACTCAATTTGCGAACATTGTAAAAAACATCACGCAGATGGCTCCGAAAAAGAGATGCCGCGAGGTAGAATGGAGCACAGAAGCGAAGATCGAAGACACAGTGGGTCTTACCAGTACTCCCCATGTCAACACTGCAAGGAGTATCACCCGCACGACATGGTTGCTGACGAGAGACACAATGAGAATCGCGACTCGATCTGTCGACATTGTCGAGAATGTCACGCAGATGGACTACGAGGCAGAACGGATCACAGAAGCACAAACCAAAGACAGAGTAACTTTAATGACTGTCGAGAGAATCATGAATCTCGTCGATATGAGTGTCGCTGCCAATGCGGAAATTCAACCTGTTGGTCAAGCCTCGATTACTACTATTCAGAGAGCGATGATTCTTTGCACTCAGGGCCCAGCAATCAACACCAGGAACGCAATCATGACTCCGACGTAAAACCCCAGGACGATGCTAGGGATAAGTCTCCTCGTCCATGCCATTGCCCTTGCGCATGCCATCCTCGCGACAAGATCTTCGATGAGCACGCTGCCGCTAGTGAAGACGAGACGAATAGGGATGACAAAAACGAGCTTGAAAAGAAGAAGAAGGAAGATAAGCTTAGAAGAAGAAGAAGAAGAAGAATAAGAAGGGAATTGGACCTCGAAATGGCACAAAAAGAGCTCACACTTCTGGAAAAGATCGAACAGAACTCAAAAAGGAAGTATTGTGAATATCTTCGAGAGCGTGAAGCGGAACTGGAAAGGGAGAGACGGGTTAAAGCCTTGGAGAAGGACACTCGACTGAAGAAGGATGCTCGACGATCCAGTCCTTCGACCACCGTACGGTTCAACATGGCCTCAGATGCGGAAGAAAACTCAGGGGACCACTCTGACGCAGACTCAGAAATCAGCATTCTTTCGATTGGGGATAAACCAAGAGTCTACCAATTCGGAAGAGGCATGACTCCACTTGAGAACTGGGGAGAAATAGACGAAGAGTGGATGGATCCTGCTTCCCAACAGGAAAGAACGCACGATGTACGTAGAAATCTTCATATGCTTCACGAGCATCAAGATAGAGGCACGCGCGAGATTATCTACGGGAATCGTGGTCGATCACCTATAGCTTTCCCAAGAAGACCGCATCAAACTCGCAGACATCACAGCGTTCACGCACACACGAGAACGAGACCGGGACACGAACATCATACAACGCCGAGAGCCGCGAGTTTAGGAAGGCATCAGGAGAGATCGCGACATGACCATCATCACGAAGACCGTTCTCGCGGTTTTGGGGCACTGCTGAATCCGCTTCTTGGTCTATGAATTGCCATGCTTGGCTTCACAGGAAGAGTTAAGCTTTTGCTCTTCACGATACTTTGCTGTCATCATGTCTGGTCTTTTGGGTCTGCGTTTAAAATACTCCACAGGACCGCTTGAGCGCTTCTGCGGGAATATCAAATACATCGACGTCTTCGTATCATGAATTCAGCCTGATAGAACTTTGAGTAAGCTGAAAATTTGCTTTGAAACCCAATCTACTCCGGCTAAAAATATAAAAATCCAAACCATTTCTGCAGTCTGCACTACACCGACTCCAGATCAGGCAGTCCACTATATAGAAGTTCTAGGATTTATCTTGGATAGAGGCCATCTAAAAGGCGAGGTGATCGTTGACGTCTAACGTGCCCACTAAATGAAGGTTAAGGGGTTCATCCTGATAGAGACCATCCAAAATCGAGGTGAGATGGAGACCCTTGCACAGTTGGTGTGTACACACCACTTGGTTTCTACGCAGTGCTTGGTTTTTGCACACTTCTTGGTTTTTGCACACTACTTGGTTTCTACACACCACTTGGATTTTACGCAGTACTTGGTGTTTACACACTTCTTAGTGTTTGCACACCACTTGGTTTTGGTACGGCACTCGACTGGAAAGACTTCTCTGTGTAAGATTTACTTATATAAACAAGTAGGGGAACAAAGTGTTGCGAAATAGGGTTGAATCTTGTGATGCGGTGGAAGTGTACGTGTGTTGGATTTCAGCGTATATCCCCCAAGTTAGTAGCAGTCCTGCAGGATGCCAGTGATCAGGACAGCAAATGTCTTGCTTCCAGTATAATCACCCTCAAGGTGCATATATACACGTGAAGGCCTGCCACCCTGTTAAAGTGTATCCGATTTCTACTTCTTGGAATTCCGACTGTGTGTATGTTTAAGGGGGACCTGGAACTTCGAGTCCTGGATAAATACCTTGCTCGAAATGACTGGTCCAAGTGCCTCTGCAGTTGCCGCTTCATCATTTCACTATGAATCCAAAAGAAGTAATCCGAGTAACGGTAGAGCAGGAAGACAAGCCCAGCAATGAGAAACGGTTTTGGTACTAGATATAGATTGAAACTAAAGGGATACTCTTACGCATACACCATTGCCTTATTAAGTCCCAACATAAGATAATTAGGGACCCTGCCTTTAACAATCATTTCTAGTGCAGAATTCTCCTTCGACAACCTCTGGACTTCCTTTTCCAGCTCCGCGATATATTGGATCGCTTTGTCGAGGACTATGCCCTGGTTTTCTTGTCAGCAACGGCATTATTAAAGAAATGATAATAGTTTTATTTACCTTGTTGCACTTCTGCGCCTTCCTCATCTCGCCAGAATCACTATCCATGGCATCTTCGCCTTCCTCTTCCTTCACTGTGGAACAGAGGCTAGGGATGCAGTCGCGTAAAGTATTGATCTTGCTGTTCAGGTTATTTCGATACCGCTTCTCGATCAGGTTGTGCGAGTTCTTTTGGCCCTTGCCGACAGGCGAAGACGATTTGCCCCGAGAAGTTTCCGGCAGCTTATTCTTTTTTCCTATTCGCAGTGAGACTGGTGACTTCGACTTCTTTTGTTCCACATCATGGTTAACGTTCCATGGCGAATTGGACTTCGAGCTACTATAGCCAGGGAGCAGGTCTTACATGACAGCGGGCTTCCCACCTCCCAATCTGATGCCAGTTTCATCAAAGAGCCCGCTCTTGAGCGGAGCCTGGATCATGTCCGGAAGATCTTAAGAGACTCTCTCCCGTCGCAGGAGGTCTCTGAGCGCCTTCTCGATATGTTTTTCGACTATCAGAACTCTATTTTCTATGTTTGTAACAGAGAGGAAGCACTGGCACAGTTGGCCCTCATGTACGAAGAGCCAGCGGGGGTCAGCATATCTTGGTTTTGCCAGATGTTCTTAATCTTCGCTGTAGGTATCCAATTTGATGATGTCTACGACACCGATGGAGCAACCTACCACGAGATCGGCCAAAAGTACATCGATGATGCCATTGATGAGGACCCCCAAAGCACGATATGGATTATTCGGGCAATGCTTCTCCTTTGCCTCTTCCAGCCACCAACGAAATGGAACTCGGTATGGATGCACCTTGGTAACGCCATTTGCTCGCCGCAATTATAGTAATTGAAGCTCACAGTCGATAGATGCTGCCATTCGGGGCGCCCAAAGATTTCAGCTAGATGTGGGCCACAATCTTCTGCAAGAATTATCAGACAACGAGTATCAGGAATGGCGACGGATATGGTTAACTATAATCTCCTTTGACCGGTATGTCTTGCGTGCGAACTTTTACCGCAATCATTCATAAATCATTGTGCTTCAATAGCTGGGTAGCAATTTTCCTCGGACGACTACCACGCATCAAGGAAAGTATTTGTAGAGATCTGATTTTCAGGGTAAGAGACTTGAATTTTCAATTATCGTCATTTAATAACAGCCGCTAGGACCCGAACTTCAGATTCACTTTGACGGACACCATTCAAGATAATATCACAACTTTAGCAATAATATCGGGAGACATTTTACGCGATATGTATTTTTCGGAGCAGCCTAGTCTCAACACATGCCGCAAATACAAAACCGAGCTCGAAAAATGGTCATCCAGTTTACCGAATCCTCTTCAGCAATATATGAAATCGGGCAAAGTTCCAAAATTTCCCAAGGACCAGACTGAATCGATAGTTAGTTTTGAAGGACGAAGCCTTAGGGATTCATCTGACACAGTGTTAGTTCAATTTACATTTCATGCACCTAGGGGCGTGGATGTTGATAACAAGACCATTCTTATTGAGGGCGTTGAAAATGGAGACTTCAGGTAACTTCGGGGGTCCTATTGTATCGGCGATATCGTCTGAATCGACTCTGTGGTAAGTAGCGCTATCGAATCCGAGCATGATGCATATGCCTTGGCATGAACAAGACTAACATCTGAGTTCAGCATTGACTTTGCATCTCGCCTGATCAATAACGCCACCGCAATGTTGGGTTCGCCATCTGCACCAAGGAAGTCATTCATGCCAGTGTACGTCTAACCATTCCTGTCTCCGCCTCACTTCATAGCACTGATACCCTAAACAGGTTTTCCTTGATCAATGCGGCCCATATCATGATTCTTGCAGCTGTCTGGAAGCTAAAGCAAAGCGGAGGCGGTTACGGGATGCTAGGACCATACGACCAGTCCCGCGAGCTCGCCGCAATCGACACCTCGATTCAAATCCTCGAGTTCTGCGGCCACAGAAATCCCTTTGCGCGCCGGTACTCAATTCTGATCAAAGACCTCCAACGACAATTAGTCTCCGGCCCCGCAGCTACGACCTCTCCGGGTTCGGATTTGGGACCTCTCCTCTCCTCCATGTCGTCTTCAGCCTCTATAACAGATTCCGATCCAGTGGCAGAAAGCCCCTATTTCCAGAATCTGAGGATTTCGGTTGAGCAGAGTAGTAATGCACCTACGATGGGAGCCTCAAGACCTTCTTTTACTGCGCAAACATCGTATACATCTGAGAGTCTTAGCCTTGAAGGCTGGTCGCCGGGTCAGTTTGGGACGCTGAGTCCTGGGAATGAGGATCCTTATGGTACGGCTAGTCTAGTCCTTATGATGATGTTTTGCCCGATAATGTGAGCACATACTAACGGGAGAGCAGACCCTACATCTTCCTTTGGGCTCCAGCCTGATGAGCATAATTTCTGGAGCCAGATGAAGGAATAGGATTTAGATTTGTATCTTACGTTTAATAGTCTAAGGCGTTTCACAGATTGTGAACAGCACGTGACTAATTCAGCCCTAGGGGCGTTGCATGAGCAGATGTTACGTTGTGAGTCGTTAATTATTGAACTTCTGTTGAAATAAGGATTGTACTTTTCTACGCTTTGGTCATATGTGAACGACAATATGGAATGGCGATTAGTTACCGACCTAGGGTTAACAATGTTGCTTCTTCCTCCGTCTTGCCAATGGTGGGACATATCAGTGCTAGAGTATTGATAGTCTTAGGATCCCGACTGAAGGTATCCTCTACTTGCTGCTATTTCAACCGTTGATCTCGACCACCTGCTCGAGCTATTAGCCATCCTAGTCGTGTAGTGTCGGAGAACGCACTTTCTTACATGTTACAACAGCTTTGATTCCAATTTACAACTATAACTTCCAAGACCATTTATAATATCTCTTTTTCTTTTCATCTCTATTTCATAGAGGGTTCCAGGGGAGCGTGTGACGCTATAGTAGTTGATAATTGCTACTCGGTTGCTAGAATCTTCTAGAATAGTCATGAACTCTGTACAGCACAACGCAGACTGGGATACGCAGCTAACAAGGGTATTGCAACCAAACCACCCCTCCGAAGCCTTGTCATCAAGCTTTGTGATTCAATAAGGATAATACCAATGGATGATATATCAAAGAGACAACACGCTACGAGTCTCAAACGGGAATATATCATAAGCGAAAGAAGTGACAACCCACAGCCTCGATACGCTCTCCCCGCCCCGCTACAGAAATCACCGATGACTGCCATCGCTGTAAGCACTGCCAACGGATCACTATCCAGCCACCATTCGCAGATTCTGCAAAAGTGTACACATTTCGAGTCTATTTGCCACATACCCGTAACGAGGCCGCACAAGCAGCTAGAGACAACTGTCCATTGTTCCAGATCTTCGCCAGCGCTCCTCCAGATGATACGAAGGCATGTACCCGTCGACAACTGGTACGCCAAGTCTTCTCCGACACTGAATGGTTTTGGTATCACCGAAGCTGTAGTAAAGTGCGTGAGAGACTCCAGTATCTATACAGAGGTATGAGCAGGCGGCCTTTCGTTATGCTGGTGGATGAAGTCGACTTTGGTGTCTCTCTCTTCAATTTTGGGTGGGCGAGTGACTGGCAGGGAATGGCTTCGGCAAGAGAAGGTAAGAAAAGACGTAAAAGGTGAGTTTGGCAGTTTCATGTTAAGATTTTTAAAGGCGACATTGCAGCAGGATATGCTCCGTGGCCAATCATACGAAACGGGATCGCAGGCTCAGATGAAGCCTATTCTGCTATTCAAGGGTGGCTGAAAGAATGCAATACATCGCACAGATCCAATGGATCTTGTCAAGATCCGACTACGACGTTCACAACAACTCGTTTGATTGAAATCGGTTTCAAAGACAACACTTACTTGCCAAAGCTAGCCTTAATCCGAAGGGGCCTGCATCCTGGTGTTGTCTAAGCTATTGCTGGGGAGGTGACCAGCCAGGGAAGACAACCACGGCCACAATTGAGAGTCGTACTAAAGGTATAGTCTTTGCAGATCTTCCCAAAACTCTCCAGGGTGCATTGATCGTCACCGCTAAAATGGGAATGCAATACATATGGATTGACTGCCTCTGCATTATTCAAGACGACTTAGAAGATCTAACGAAGGAGCTTTCGACCATGTCTTCGATCTACAAATACGCCGACATTACGATATCGGCTTCAAGTGCCCACGGTATCAGCAATGGGTTCTTGCAAGAGCGCACCTGGCAACCGGTATCCACGCCCTTCGCACTCCCCCTTCAGACATCAGACTCGAAGACTGGTACCGTGCAAATCACGAACTACGACTCCTACGACTTTGAAAACCAAGACCCAGTCCATTCCAGAGCTTGGATATTCCAAGAGCAGATCCTGTCCGCCCGCGTAGTGGACTTCACTTCCATGATGGTGCGCTGGCACTGCGCGACCATATCCAGGAACGACGCCGGCTGGCCAGAGCCCGAACCAGAGGTCGGAGACGGTCTCATGTCCATGTTCTCTGCGTTAAACATCATGGGTCGTCAAAGCCAGCGGGGCGAGGAGTCCTCTTCTGAGTACTTTTGGTCTTGGATCGTGCAGGAGTTTTCGAAGCGCAGCCTTTCCTTTGCTGGTGACAAGCTACTGGCTGTCTCGGCGATCGCACAGGAGATGGGCGAGAGAAGTAAAGATCAGTACCTCGCTGGAATGTGGAAGTCAAATCTTTTGGAGACTCTACTTTGGATGAGGGAGGCCAAATCGCCTGTGAAGAAGCCTGAGCGGTATCGAGCTCCATCTTGGGCTTGGGCATCCATTGATGGCGAAGTAGACTTCCCGAGCAGGTTTGCTGCCGATGATGACGATAAAAGGCGGTTGAGACTGACTGTTCAACTTGTGGAATGTCACGCAAAATTAGAGAATTCGTTGACACCCTATGGCGCTGTTCGTTCTGGGTCGTTGGAATTGAAAGGCAAGCTGAGGCGGGCGATATGGTACTACGATGCAGAGGAACTGGTGCTCCATGATAAATGCCGAGACCAGATTACTGGCGCCACGAGAAAAGCTGCGTTTGAGGAAGGATAGGAAGAGAACATGGCCGATAGGAGCATGGATATTTGGTGTCTTGAGGTCTTTGAACAGGCTGGCATGTATGCTTCACGCGACTTACTGCTCACTGAAGTTTCGACTGAGCCAGCATCTTCAGATGGGTACCGCTGTTTTTCTCGACTTGGCTACTTCAAGCTGTTTTTGACAAAAGTATCTGTTTTCCAGGGCGTTGAGTACTGCATTGTAACTGTCATTTGACAAGGGGTTCAATATCTGTGTTTACTCGCCTTCGTGGCAATGGTGTCTTCTGAGAACATGATGGGAAGGTGTCAAGAGACGGTGCCTGAAAGGTCTAGCAAAATAAAGTTTTCGATTAAATGGAAGAGAGTCTAACCAGGCACTCCACAAAATCGACTCAAAATATCGACGTATCTGGAACATCACCTACTCGTATCGACAACATAGACGACCCAGCCAGCCCCATGACCAGCATAGATGATTCCTTGTCTACTCAGACCACAATTGAACATGACCGACCGCAATCCACCTCTTCTCCGGGCGGTTTGACCACGTCGCGTTCCACCCATTTCATCCTACCCCCTCGAACCGGTCCCCAACACCCACTACCAACATAACGAGCGCATGCCGCAGCTCTGCTGCCATTTCTGCAATGCCGATCAAACGGCTCACGCCAAAAGCCATGAAGTCGGGACCCCGGCATATGGGTAGGCGACGAAGAAGAAATGGAGTGAGCCGGGAATTTGATCCAATCGAGCAAAATCTGTCCTTCGATATCATGTGCATTGCAGCCACCCGCCATTTCGTCCTCGTGAAATTTACCAAACCGAGCCTACAGACCAGTAGTAGTAGTCCAATACGATCGTAAACATGCGTTTTCATGTTGTTGGGTAGTATCGGCTTGAACAATATCTTATCACCCCACAGCGGATCAGCCCATTATCCACACCATGCCGCCAGATATCGCCATCATCACGATCACTGATTTCACGCTCAAGCTCCTCCCATTCCCCTGTTATAAAATACCCTTTGAATTCGATATCGACGCAGTTGTTTCAAATATTAATCACAGAAAGACTCTTACAACAGAAGACACACCAACGCGACCAAACTCTCAAGCCCAAGTCGCAAAAATGGCAGACTCAGCAACATCAGCAGCTGCAAACCCAACAACGGCTACCCCACACTCCACAACTCGTCATCCCCACACCCTTCCCCAAACTCCAACCCATGCCTACCTCATAACGCACACACAAAAGGCCGCCAAAAAAGACACCGAGATCCGCGACCTTTCCTCACAAATCTCTGCCGTCTACTCTGCCTCAGCAGGTCCTTCCCTCTCGGACGCCACCTCTCAAGTAGCCTCAAACCCAACCCCACCTGTTTACACCCTTCACAAAGACAACCTCCTGGGCACACACTTCACCTTGCGCGATGGCGAAGGAACCGAAGTCGCAGAATGGAAGAACCCCGTTGCGAGCGTGCATTTCGGTCACAGAGTTCAGATGCGATTTATGGACCCGGAACACAAGGGAGTAGAAGGGCACCTGGAGGGTTGGTCAGAGGTAAGTCTTCTTCTAGTTTTTTATAAAGATCGGTAGTAATGTATGGCATGAATAGTCATTTACAAACGAAATGACGAAGTATATGTGGGAAATGGATCCGGTGAAAGAAGAGCTGCAAATGTTATTCAAGGTAAAAAAAAAATGCCGGGGGGTGGGGGAAATGGCCCTTCTATTCTTTCCTTTCCTTTCCAAACCTCTAAGACATATTCTGACGCGGTATAGATTACTGGGCCTCGTACATCAAAAGCACCAGATGGGGAGAAACTCCTAGTCGCCATCTTCGCAGCCGAAAAAGCACATGTACCCTCAGGATTACTTGTGCTTAATCAAGGGGAAATCGATCCGTTACTTTGCTTATTGACACTTTGTGCACTTTTAGACGTGAGCATCTGGTGTTTCCTAATCCCATATGTTCAAATCAGTATTTACTTGAGGCAAATTAATCTAGTAATACAAACAGTAAGCTAACCAAGAGTATAGGCACCTAAGAGCCAAGGACGTATCGATCGCGTAGCGGAGTTTATGATCTCTGCAGTTATTGGCTTGTAATGACGAAATGGAAGCCGGTTTGCCTTGTTTCCACCTGGCAAGCAGCGCTTCAGCTTCCCACATCCCTCTTTTGGCATCAGTTGCAACCGCTGGCCTCCTACTCCTTGGCTGCCACCAAGCGGCTGTGTCACATTACTTTCGATTTGCCTTGGGTGTAATTGATGGTAAGCTTCCACGAACGTCATCGATGGTAGCTTCCGATGGAATTGTCCAGGAAAAGTGGTAATCCTCTCTAGTCTGATGTAATGGCATGTGCTTTAGCGTTACGTAGCTTGCGTCACCCATTCCCTAATATATAGGCAGAGAGGGGAAGAGGTAATCTTCCCTCCTCAGCAATCAGCTTCTGTATCAATCAGCATCACCAGCTATTATTCAATGCCTCTCCAGCTATTCTATTGTGCTGCAGTCACCTCAGCGTGCTAGTGATCATTACATCTGAGGAAATGCTTCCTAAAGCCGACCTCAACAGTAGATTGAACATAAGGTCCCCCTTGGCATACAAAAATGATCGATATAAACACCATAAGTAATTTTCCAAGTGGATTCCTTCAATTGCATACGATGAGTGCAATTGACACTCAATAAATCGCAGCGAAGCTCGGCTAAGTGTTCCCAGCTGTCCACCGTGAAATAGATATTATCAGAATAACGCAGAGCATCTGCATAAAGAGGTCTCTCTGTCCGCGTCATTCCATGAACTTCTGAAAAATCTGTTGAGCTACCATTTGGCTATCATTGGGATCCCCTGCAAGCTTATCCATGCTTGAGATGTTACTCTCCTGATCCTCAAAGTAGAACCTCGCTATATCTTCTGTGAAACCGGTATTATGACTTCATCCTCACCACACGCAGCTTCGATTGTAATCCGCAACCACTTCAGGGGCCACCCCCCCTCTGCACCGCTCTGTTATGCTATGCAGCTCGTCGGAAGACTGAAATTAACTTATATTTGGCATGAGACGGGCATACTATAGCTACTACCCAGAATCCTGGAAAGTCAATAAGGCTCTATTTGATAAGCCCAGTAACACGGAAGCAAGGATTAGATTGGGCAGGACAGAATTCCCGGACGTATCGTCCGCTGTGGCGGCAGAAATCCACCACATGTATTATGTATGAGGTTAACATTCGATCAACTTATATCAGAAATCTGGCCGGCCGATGAGGACCTATCAGAAACGGAGCGCAACTTCTGTCATTACCCCGCACAGATCGAGATCTGGGGTATGATAACTCCATTTCGAAACGACAGCCGCGTCAGGAAAACGATCCCCAATATCGACCGTCCCTATTTCCAGGGACAAGAAGTTTGTTGAAAGACAAGATGTTTTCAGAGCGCTAGAACTCCAGTTTTCTCAATCTGATTGTCACATTCGGGCAGTCCTTACAGGTCTAGGTGGAGTAGGGCACGTACAAATCCATTGCACTCTCTATATCGCACGAGCTGATTAAGCCATAGCAAGTCGCAAATCGCTATTGAATACTCGTATCGGCTTAGAGAGAGGGACCCTGATCTGTGGGTATTCTGGGTGTATGCAAGTACTGCCGAGCGATTCGAAGGCGCTTACAGATCCATTGCTGCTAAACTTGACCTGCCCGGTGCCGATGATCCTAAAACGGACGTGTTGGGTCTAGTTTCAAGATGGCTGAGCAATATCGACAACGGCTGTTGGCTTTTGATTCTTGATAATGCTGACGATATCGATGTTTTTCAAAAGACACAAGAGGAAGGATCTTCAAAAGTAAATGGCCCGAATCTTCCATTATCGAGCTACATCCCACAGTCTATCAATGGATCAGTGCTTATTACTACACGAGACCGAAGAGTAACATCTTGGCTCAGCACTGGATATACGAGCGTCATTCCGGTCAATTTGATGCAATTGGAGGAAGCCGAGCAGCTACTTTGCATTAATATTCCCCAAGGTCTATCGACAGGTCTTGATCGTGCCGACCTTGTTAAAGAGCTAGATTATCTGCCACTTACAATTTCTCAAGCGGCTGCGTACATTAGTGCGAGAGTTACTCGCATAACTGTTTCCAAGTACTTGATGCTCTATCGTCAAAACGAACAAAGTCAAACCAGACTGCTCGACCAAGATTCTGGGGATCTAAGACGCGATTCAGGCGTCCCGAACTCTGTGATTAGGACTTGGCAAATCTCATTCGACCAGATCAAGCGGAACCAGCCACAAGCTGCAGAGCTTTTGTCCCTAATGGCCATGCTAGATCGCCAAGGTATCCCCGAATTCCTCCTCTCCGTCCGGTACCCCAATCCCCTCGATCTCGAAGACGCTCTAGGCCCTTTGGATGAGTTTTATTTAATTACCATTGAGAAGGGCGGCAAGAGTTTTGAGATGCACCGGCTTGTCCAACTCGCAACACGGAAGTGGGTCGAGCGGTATGGTGATAGCAAGAGACGGTGGGGTGAGGCTAATGAAGTCGTATCAAAAGCGTTTCCAGACGGCAGCTACAGCAACTGGAAGACGTGTGAGACTCTGTTACCACATGCTCTTCAAGTGCTGACGTATGGATTAGAGTCAAGCCAGTCTATGCTTGACCGCGCATCCCTCTTACACAACATGGCTTGGTATAACTGGATACAAGGTCGTTACGAAATTGCGCAAGCCGAAAGTCGAGAATCTCTTACTCTTCGTAAACAATTTCTTCCGCATAATGATAGCAGAGTGCTTGCGAGTATGAGTATGCTTGCCTCGGTGCTTTCCAGCCAGGGCAAGTACGCGGACGCCGAGGCCATGAACCGCCAGACGCTCGAGATACGGGAAGAGGTGCTCAGTAAGACGCACCCTGACACGCTCACGACTATGAATAAACTCGCTCTTATGCTTAACAGCTAGTGTAAGTACGCGGACGCCGAGGCTATAAACCGCTAGACGCTCGCGATCTTAGAAGAGGTGCTTAGTAAGACGTACCTCGACACGCTTATAAGTGTTTACTGCCTTGCTTATATGCTCTAGAGTAGACACGAGTATAAGGAGGCAGCGATACTTTACTAAAGAGTATATACTAGCTATTATTTCTTATTAGGTTCCGAATATCTAACTATAAAAGCCTGTGTAAACTATTATTTAGTTATGCTTAGTCGTCTGGAAAAGGTGAAAAGAATAGTATAAAAAGGTAATTTATAGTAACTTATTACTTATTTATGCTTAATATTTAGAAAAGTGATATCCTATATCTACTGTGGAAGACTCTACTAAGCTTTCTTATAATTCTTTGTATTATTCTTTACTTATCTATTATTATAACTATGATATAGAGGGGCTTAGGGAAGGTGACTTCTATATATAAGTTAATACTTATAATATTCTAGAATGTTTAATTAAGTTTATTCTGTTATCGTTGGGATATAGTACTGTAAGTTCGCAGTAGCCTTTCTCGTTATATGATGCCTCGCTTAGGTCTGCTTTTTAGATAGGGCTCCTAATCTTTAAGAGAGTGTAGAGAGGAAGCTGATTTTGTAAGCGACTGTAAAAACAAAGGGTTAAGTTATAAGGTTTGTAGCTGCTATGGTGAGTGAATTATTATAGGTCCGCCCCGCGGTTTAGTACTTCTGATTCACGGTAGTAACGATTCTCGGCTAAAGGGGACCGACCCTACGCCCTCCCTCCGTAGTTTCTCCGTAGTTCCGCTTATATAATTAATATATAAGCTTGTAATAACATATGGGCCCCGCGAGGCTGCCTCCCAGCTGAGTACGCTAGCCTTAACCCGATAGGAAGTCTTCACTTTCGTATCTATATCAAATCAAGGGCTCGACTATTACTGAGAACCCTCCTCCTTACGATCCTTAAGCCTAGTTTAATAATATATCTGCTATAGTATAATAACGATAGCAATTTCAGCTTAACTGAGTTCTTTGAAGGCGATATACCTAAGAAGTATACTATACTTTCGCATAGATAGGGAGCAGAAGAGGTTACTTTTACGGATCTAATAGAAGGTATAGGTAAAGGTAAGGTTAGCTATAGTAAGGTATAGTTCTGCGGAGAATAAGCGAAGAGTGACGGTTTGTAATACTTTTAGGTGGATACCTGCTATATTGATAAGTCGAATAGCACTAAGCTCGCAGAGGCTATTAACTCGATATTTCGCTAGTACTAGGATACGACTAAGTGTTACATTTATCTGTTAGATGTTTCATGACTTAGAAATAATTCAGCGGATAGATCTAACGGGAACTAGGTATAGATATTTCGGAAAAGCGAATAGTTCAGACGTAGCTAGACTCTGTAAGAGCTTATTACGCCGGTATCAGTCGACTTCTTCTCAAAAGAGGGGGAGCTACTAGTATGGTGGGGTAGTGTGGTTCTAGGTCGGAAGATAGTTAGCCTGTTCCGTAAAGTTATATAAATAGGCGTGATAGCGCGTAACAAATATATTATCTTCTCTCTCCTACTCTTACTACTTATTTAGTTAGTAGTCCTCTACGTCCCTGCTTACTATATACTTTAATAGCACTACCCTACTTCTTTATATTAGTAACTTATATAAGGAACTAGAAGTAAAGCAGAGGAACAGTTAAGATATAGCTAAGTAAGTAGTAAAAGTAGGAGTTAGAATTTTATTACTTAGTAACTCAGTTATAGTAATAAATAGATATATAGGAAACAGCTAGAAGAAAGAGGCTTAGGAAGCCCTTATTTAGTAGATAGGATATCGGGAAATAGCGGAATATAAGTAGAGAGAGCTAAGGAAATACAGAAAGGAAAGTTATTATAATAAGCTTAGAAGATAAGGTTACTATAGTAACAGAGAAAGTTTATATAAGGAAAACAAGTAGAGAATAGATAAATATAAAAAGAAAGTAAGTTTAATATAAAAAAAGAGCCTAAAGTAAGGCGAAAAAAGGATATAAGGAAAAAGAGTTAAAGAGGTTAGAGTAGTTAAGGGAGCTAAGTCTAGAGGTTATAAGGAGTGTAATCGCTACGCTCCTACTAATAACTCTAGCACTTTCAACTCTAGTAATATTAAGTATACTATACTTTATAAGCGAGCACTAAAGGTTTAAATCGTTTACTAAATTCCCTAATATAATTATATTTCTAAGAGATCCTAAGAACTAGAGAACGCTAAGTATAAAGGAAAGCGATATAATAGAATATATTTAAGTCCGGGAGGAAAGCTATTAAGAATTAAGAACTACGAATTCTAGGATAGTAGAAGTTAAGTATATTTTAGTTATACCGGCCCTAGGTATACTAAGTATACTATACTTTAAAGGAGCTAATATTACAGAGTTCTTAGAATAGTATACCGATTAGTATAATAACGCCCAATTAAAGGATACAAACCGAATTAAATAGTTTCCCTGATATTATAATCTTACTATTAGTTAGTATATTAAGATACTACTAGAGTAGGTAAGTAAGAATTAGGAAGAGCTAGTAGTCTCTCTTTTAGAGAAGTATAAGGATTAGGATACTTTTCAATAGATAAACTCCTAATTATTCCTTAAGGCTCTAAAGTTAAAACCGCGAACTACAGAAAGTAATATAAAGTAGTTTATTCGATAATTCACTATAATATTAGCTACCTTAGTAAAAAGGGGCTAGTTAGAAAATTACACTTAGGGAGTATAGTTCTTAAATAAGCTACTAGGGGATATTCGTAAGAAAGTAATATATAAGAATAAGGTTAATATTAATAAGCCGGGTATAATTAAGTTTAATAACTTAGTTAAGATAGCTACTAAGATTTATACGTCTAATAAGATAGTCCGGGAGTTTTCCGATAATCGCGTAAAATAAGAGAGCTTTAGTAAATTAGTAGATTCGCTTAGCTAAGTACTTATCGCTCTTAAGGCAGAGAGTTAGCTAGTTCCCCTTATTATTAGCTTAAAGACTATATCTATAGAAATAGTAAAAGAGATAACCTAGGTATTTAATATACTAACGCTAGCTATAAGAGCGTTATAAGCTCCGCAGGCACCCGGGGGAAGATTAGGATTTAGCCCGCCCGGCGAGGGAAATCAGTTAAGAGCTTACCTAGTAAGACCTAGTAATCGAGTTAATCCGTCCCGATCGCCGTAAGGAGCTTACTTAGGCTAACCCCGGCGTCTAAATAACTTACTAATTAGAGTATATATAGCAGGTACTTATAAGAATCGCTAGAACTAATATTTCTACTATTTAGAAAATAAGTATTTCCGCAGGGACTACCCAGACTTCCTAATAGATATAGAAAAGGGGCTCGTATATAACTATTAGGGCTAGATATATTATAAACACGCAAGTAGCAGGGGGTAGTTAGTTAGGTAGCGCAGGGGGGTCCTAGTAATAGAGGGTATATAAGCTAGTTAGAGGGGAACCTTAATATAAGGAACTAGTAAGGGATAAGCTAAGGGGAGTAGTTTAATAATATAGCTAATATAAGTACTATAGTACCTTATAAATAAGGCCGAACCTATAAAAGTAATAGTAGCAGGAGTAATAACTTAAAATAAGTTAGATATTAAAGAAGATAAAGGGGACTAAGAAGCTATAGGAATATTAAGAGCTAGAAGTAAAAAACCGAAGAGCGGAAAGGATAATAAATAAGTAAACTTTAAGAAAGTATTAAAAGAGTAAGTTAAGAAAGAAAAGGACTTAGTAGCTTTAAAAGTTCTATAACTTAGAAAGTAGAAGTAGAAAGATCTAATTAAAAAGGTATTAAAGGAGGGAGTATAATAAAGAGAGATTATTAAAGAAATAGAGATAAATAAAAAGTAGACTAAGAAGTTAAAGAAAGTTAGTCTAAGAGTTACTAAGAAAGTAGAGTAGTACTTAAATATCCTAAAGTAGGAGGCATAGCCTCTAGAGCTATTAAATAAGGTCCTAGATAATAAACTAAAGGGTATTACTAGTAAGGAAGTACTTATATACTCTAAGCTCCTATAGAAACTACTTTTTAAAAATATAGTTATAGTAAAGTTACCTTAGACTTCTAAGAGGAGAGTTAAAGGTAATTAGACTAACTTAGTATTAATAAAGTTAGTAGAAGTAGAGAAGATATCAGAGGACTCCTAAGTCTTAGTAATTAAGAGCCTGAAAGTTAGAGTCCGACTAAGCTCTCTAACTATAATAACACTTATTAATTACAGATTAGAAGCTAATCTAATAACTTCTATAATTACCTTAAAAGCCGGGCTTCTTATTCGACCTAACCCTAATCTTGGAATAATAAGTTACTTAGGGGAGCGGGAGAAGTTTAAAAGGTTATACAAGGGAGTCACTATAAAGATCAGAAGTATCTTAATAATAAGGAGTTTTTTTACTTTAATATAAGCAGAGAATAATATAATCCTAAAACAACCCTTTATTATAGCGAGTCTCTTATTATTTTCTTATAGCAGAAGTTATTAGTTTATTATAGTTATAAATAATAATTAAACTAAGTAAGTTATAGTAAAAGTCGCGGATTTAATAAGGTCTCGTACTAAATTAGATATTTTCTTAGAAAACACCTAGCTAAAGCTATAATAGTAAGTAATTCTAGCGATAGATCTACTAAAAGGAGAAGCGAGTTAACTAGTATATTTAACTCGCTTAGCAAAGGAAAAGTAAAAGTATTTTCAGCTATAGTATTTACTAAGCTTAATAAGAAAGGGGATAAGAATATAATTCTTTTAAAGAGTACGGATTTAGTTACACTTTTATAAGTAAAAAGGGTTTTTCTTACTATTAGAGTTTAAAGTACTTATAAGAAGAAAGCTAATAAAATTATTCTAATTTAAAAGGGAATTTCAGATAAGTTAAAGCTAGGGGGGAAGCTGGACTAAAAGTAAAGGCAATTAGAACAGGAGAGAGTTAAGGAGCTTATTAAACTACTTTATAAATTTAATAAGTAGATAACCCTG